AAGACATGGGCGATGTGTGATTGAGGTTTCAGAGGGGTGGTGCAAAGCGCGATGGAGGAAGTTCGGGGTGCAAACAGGCGTGGCACACTCAGATCAGGTTGCACATGTCAAGGCGTCGGTGCCCAATCGGGCGAGCGTCATGCGCGCCTGCCGTCAACAAAGATAAGAATTCGGAATGTGGTCGTGGAGATGCAGGAATGGGAGGGCAGGATGAGTGATTCGAGGGCAATTAAGCCTGATCCATGGAACCCTTGTGAGACGAGTGTTGTGTTCACCCCGCCATGCCACCTGCTGTTAGTCTTTTCCCCACCAACAGACGACCAACGCCCAGACAGTCGCGCCGTCATCACGTCTCTTGTCTCAGTCTCGCGCCCGACGAAGCCAAACAGCACCCACGGCTTTTGACAGACAGCGGCACTTTACCCTTTCCCGACGCCACTCGACGAAGAGGGGGAAAGTGAAGTGGGGCTCCGCTAAGCCACCCTATGCGTGAGCTAAATCGCTGCTCGCCCAACGACATCACCACAGCACGACGACGACTCCGCCATTGTCGCCTGCCCCCATCACATACGCGACCCTCCCGCCGCCGCCGACCAGGACGCGTTGGAACGGCTGTTTCTCGCGCGCGCAAGTAGCTTACGTGACGGGTGTCTACCCGAGCGCTGTCGATCCCTGGTAGCCTGCCCTCGCTGGGCACGTTTGTCACGCCGTCGCCTCTGTCGGTGAAGAAATCTCCTGACGCCCTCTTCGCCCCAATCCAGCACACACGAGCCCCAGCATGGCGAACGTCGACGAGACCGTTGCCAATGTGCAACGCAAAATAGACCGCGAGAGGGCCCTCATCAATGCCGCCAATGCCATGCGCCAGTCGACCAACAACCCGGCTGTACTTTCCCGTCTCGATGGACAGATCAAAGATGGCCGCCGGAACATCGACTACTTCGAGTCCAAGCTGCGGGACTTGGACGTGCAGAGGACGTCCACCGGCATGGAGAACATGAGTCTGCAGCCAGGTGGCCGTGGCCCCAACAACCCGCTGACGCCTCCCCCGAAAGACGGCTGGAACGGGTACATGCAGCAAGACCAGGGCGGTTATGGAGGCCCTCAAAGCCAGTATAGCCAGCTTAGTGGCGGAGAAGCTCTACAGCCTCCTCGCGCGCCATATGCTCCGCCAGCACCCGGCGCGCCCAACAAGCGGCCCAACTACAGCAAACTGGGTACATCTCTACCTCTTGCGACAATGCTATGCTTTGCTAACACGCGCAGACCTCATCAAATATGACACCCCGCATCTCGGCCCCCGCATTCAGCTTATGCTGTCCCAGCTCGAATTCAAGCTCAGTGTTGAAAAGCAGTACAAGGACGGAATCGAGAAAATGGTGCGGTTATACCAGATGGAAGGCGACCGCAAGAGCAAGCAAGATGCCGAGGCCAAGCGTATCGAGAGTAACCAGAAGATTCAGCTGTTGAAGCACTCATTGAAACGCTACGAAGATCTCCATGTCGACATTGAGGGCGATGCTGGCGGCGATGGTAAGCTCCAACTAGACTGACTGCCGATATATACTCATCCTACGCAGACGATAGCTTGAACATTCCAAGTCAAAGAAAACCTTTGAGCGGTCACCTTTCCCTACGCGTACACGCCGTCGCCGATGTTGACCACGCAGCCACTGGGCGCTTTAGTCGAGGCCCAGAAACTTTTGTCAACATCAAGGTCGAAGACGCAATCAAGGGGCGTACAAAGCCCACAAGGAACGACCGCTGGACAGACGAAGTCCACGACTTTGCCATTGACAAGGCAAACGAAATCGAGATCACTGTGTACGACAAGACTGGCGATCATCTTCTGCCCATCGGCATGCTTTGGGTCCGCATATCAGACATTGCTGAGGAAATGCGAAGGAAGAAGATTGAGACGGAGCTTGCAAACTCCGGCTGGGTCGCTGCCGACAAGATGGGAGGCGCAGCTGGCATTCAGCCCGATATGCAGTTCCAACCGCCACCAGGACAGAACTTTTCAGGCGCCGGTTCTGGCCCCGGAGGTGCCCCAGGTGTTGCGAGACCGCAGGGTGGTCCTCAGCCTCAGACTGGCCCCATTATGATTGACGATTGGTTCTCGCTGGAGCCGGTAGGTCGTATCCACCTTACCATGTCCTTTGCCAAGAACACCGGCAACAAGCAGCCTTTCGACCTTGGTCTTGGTCGTAAAGGTGCCGTTCGTCAGCGTAAAGAGGACGTCGTTGAGCAATACGGACACAAGTTCGTCCAGCAGCAGTTCTACAACGTCATGCGTTGTGCTCTTTGTGGTGAATTCCTCAAGTATGCCGCCGGTATGCAATGCTCAGACTGTAACTACACGTGTCACAAGAAGTGTTACCCCAAGGTTGTCACCAAGTGTATCACTCAGTCCAACGCCGAAACCGATCCAGACGAGGCCAAGCTCAACCACCGCATTCCTCATCGCTTCGAAAACTTTTCCAACATGGGTGCCAATTGGTGCTGTCACTGCGGTTACGTCCTTCCCCTTGGCCGGAAGCAAACCAAGAAGTGCAACGGTAAGTGATTACACTATCTCGATCTGTAAAACTCACTAATGGTCGTTCAGAATGTGGTCTCACCTGTCACGCACACTGCGTTCACTTTGTACCCGACTTCTGCGGCATGTCGATGGAGGTGGCTAATCAGATTTTGATGGAAATAAAAAAGGCGAAAAGAGGTCAATCATCGTCAGGCCCAAGTATGAGCCAACGAACTCTACGAGAGAAGCCGTCAAAACCTCTGCCACCAGCGCAACCACAATCACCCGGCCACCCTGGACAGGAGCAAGCACAGCCTGACAGGTACTCTTACGGTAAAGAGCAAATGAGTCCTCCACCAGGCCCTCCACGACAACAATCCTATCCTACATCGGCAGCGTCAATCGATGCGGCACGGGCATCTTTCTCTACGTCTGGATCTTCTGCCGCTCCCACATCGCCTACTGCAAGTTCGCGACCCTCATCAGGCCCACGCACTCAGTCTTCCGTGGCTGCGGCTGCAGCTGCCATGAACAAGACTGCAGCTCAGCCTGCCTATGGCCGTAGTAACACCGACTACCAGCCGCAGAGCGGAAGGTCATCAGGTAGCGGGTACCCAGCAGACCAGCGCATACCACAGCAACAGGCTCCTCAACCAGCTACCTACGACCCATCGGCCTACGCGAACATTCCCAACTACCCACCGAGCCATCAACAACCTGCACCAATGCCATCTTACCCGCAAAAGTCTTCGTATCCGCTACCACAACAACCGCCACAGGCACAACAGCAGCCTCCGCAGCAGAAGATGCAAGAACCTCCAGCGCCCGCGAAACAACCTCCCTCCGCTGTAATAGAGGCACCAGGAAAGAAGGTCACGCCTGCAGCCAACACACAAGGAACTGGAAAGAGGATAGGCTTGGACCATTTCAACTTCCTCGCGGTCTTGGGTAAGGGTAACTTTGGAAAAGTTATGTTGGCCGAGACAAAAAGCACCAAGCAGCTTTACGCTATCAAGGTCCTGAAGAAGGAGTTCATCATTGAGAATGACGAAGTAGAGAGCACGCGCTCAGAGAAGAGAGTCTTCTTGATTGCCAACAAGGAGAGGCATCCGTTCCTACTGAGTCTGCACGCATGTTTCCAGACTGAGACCCGTGTGTACTTTGTCATGGAGTACATCAGCGGTGGTGATTTGATGTTGCACATTCAGAGAGGCCAATTCGGCACCAAGCGCGCACAGTACGTGTACGAAACGAGAAGAGAAGAATCATTGCTAACGATGACATAGGTTCTACGCGGCTGAGGTCTGCCTCGCACTGAAGTACTTCCATGAAAACGGTGTCATCTACCGAGATCTTAAATTGGATAACATTCTGCTCACTCTAGATGGACACATCAAGATTGGTGATTACGGTTTGTGCAAGGAAGAGATGTGGTACGGATCAACCACTAGTACCTTCTGTGGTACTCCCGAATTCATGGCACCAGAGGTAGGTCACATGATCCAGTATACCAGAAAGCTGCTAACATAAGTCTGTAGATTCTTCTCGACAAGAAGTACGGCCGAGCAGTCGACTGGTGGGCTTTTGGTGTTCTCATCTACCAGATGCTTCTCCAGCAATCGCCCTTCCGTGGTGAAGACGAAGACGAAATCTACGACGCCATTCTTGCCGACGAACCACTCTACCCCATTCACATGCCGCGCGATTCAGTATCAATCCTCCAGAAATTGCTTACCCGCGAGCCTGAGATGCGTCTCGGATCTGGGCCGACTGACGCGCAAGAGATCATGTCACATGCTTTCTTCAGGAACATCAACTGGGACGACATTTACCACAAGAGAGTAGCCCCACCGTTTACGCCGCAGATCACTAGCCCGACGGATACTAGCAACTTTGATACCGAGTTTACAAGCGTCACACCTGTGCTTACACCCGTGCAGTCTGGTACGTTGACACATCCCCACCACTCATTTATGTATATATGTGCTTTTACTAATGACGTGTTTAGTGCTTTCGCAAGCCATGCAGGAAGAGTTCCGTGGCTTCTCGTACTCGGCTGATTTCGCCTAAGCTTGCCTTGCCTTGCCTTACATTTGATACCCTAGGCTTCGTTTGGGAAAATGGGTTGTTCCTTTTGCTTTTGTGTTAGCGTGCTCAACAACTGCCTTGGCGACGAATGGGCGGTGGGAAGGGGTGCACCAGTACGTATCTTTGTTAGCATCAAAAGTGCAGCGTGCTAGTGTAATAATGTCTCGAGTGAACGGTAGAAGGGTATAATCACGCATGGATATGTTGGGCTCGACAAGGACTTGTGTATTGGTGCGGTTTACTGTATGGCGGGATGTTTCGGGAGTGAACAAATGAGCGAGATGATCCGGCAAGGACAACCGATATTACAGGATAGACGAAACAAGTTCCTTCGATTTGATATTACGCTTCATCTCTGATACTCGCGCTCAGAGAAGAGGACTCGATTTGGTCACTGACCCTCAGTAAGCACCCTCGTCCAGTCAAACTTTCTCCACCCCTTTCTCCAGCTTTCCAACCTTCTATCTCCCTTGACCCATCTGCCCTGCCTCTTGACAACCTCAACATCTACATCAAGCATACCTCCCAAGACTTCTCTAGCAAACAGATCGCCCCTAGGCCAGGCCCTCTCGTCTTCAACAATGTGCCCCAGCCCACCATCAAGCTCAAACCAAACATGGAAATATGGCATCTCCTTTGCCAAACTCCGGCGGAAAGCCTGTTTACCCAGGCCATCACGACTCGCCTTTTGCGTATTGATGAGCGGTTTATGCTGTGTCCAGTCACTGGCTTGTTCAAGGATAGCTTCCTTGAAGAAAGCAGGCGCCGTATCACCTAGCTCGAAGGGAATGGGTACAGCATTCAGAGCCGCATGACCCTTTCTACCAGGAAAAGCAGCATTTTCATAAAAGACGACGTCACGACCTTGTTCGTGATACATGCGCGTTAGGCACTTCATGAAGTTGCGCAGTTCCTCCCACTCGTCGTCATCGCATTCAAGAAGGTTGGTGCGGTGTTGAATGGGGACTAGGACGGCGCCACCAGAGCTAATCTCAGGTTCCGTAGGGAGAGTCAAGAAGACGCGTGTTGCTAAGCTGACAATGGGAGCTACGGGTGGCTGCGGGGGTGATTTATCTTCATGGTGGCATAACGGACAGGAATCGAGTATCTTGTTCATCTTTGTGTAGTCTTGGATTGCAGCGTTGCGGAGATTGATTGAGGACTTTGGGGCGCGGGCAGCGAGTTTGGTAGCGTTGTCGTCAATGTAGTCGAGATCGTTGTCGAACTTTGAGTCTTTTGCTATCTTTTCAGCGAGGATAGCACCTTCGCCACCTGCTTGGTTCTTGGTGCGGCGCTCTTGCCGGACCATGTCATCGATGGACATGTCTTCGTTTTCTTTGACAAGACCGCGCTCGGTGCCGCGTTTATTAGTCAGGGCTATGACTTCTCCTTGACGGCCGCCGGCTAACATGCGATTGTCCGTGGCGTTTAGTACGACAACGTCGCGATCTTTGAAAGTTGAAGTGTTGGCCAGGGCGGCGTTGTACTCAGCTTCGAGCTGGGCTGCTTCAGGGGCTTTCTTCATCTTCGCCTTCATCATCTGAGCTTTCAGCCTGTTGAGCTCGGTCTGGCTGAGCATAACGGTATTCGTTATCGGTTGAGGATCTTGTACTAGTTCTCCTTGCGGTAGTTCTGAAGGTTCGTGCGACTCGCGAGACTGTCTGTGGATGCCTTCCTTGAGCTTCCGTTCTTGGAAGAGTTCGCCGGATGGTTTCTCTTTACCAACGTAGTCTTTACCATACATCTTTCTGCGGTCCAACTCAATCTCCTCTTCGCGCGCCTCATCAAAGTCTCGTAGATCGCCGTACTTCTCCATTGCTATTTCTTCCACGCTTTGCCCTGATTCTTCGGCGTTCCGGTAAATTCCCTTCAGCTTCGTCATACGCCATTGTGCGCCCGAGTCGCCAAATGTGTAGCTGACTTCTCTCTGCGCAGGCTCTTCAGCAACGGTTTCTTGGCCCTTGGGATCCGCCAAACCACGGTTCAGTTCTGCGTGGTGTATCTTGAGCGCGGGTTGTCCCTCGTCCGACGCCTTGACGTATGTAGCCTTCTCTTCCCTCTTGCTCGGCTGCACGTAGTCGACGTCCATAGATGACGGTGCCTTCATCCAGTCATCGCGTTGCAGATCTGCCGTCGCCGCGTCCTCGAGTTGTTGGTCTAGAAGGTCGTCGTCTGGCGGCGCATAGCTCTTTTCTTGGGGATCCTCGCCTCCGGAAGAGTCATCTTCATGGTAGTGTCGCGACTTGCGCTTTCGCGTCAATCGATCTTCCTCGTCACTTGACGCGGGCTCCTTGTGCTTCCGTCGCGACCGATCATCTTTGTCATGTCTTTCTTTCCTCTTCCGCCGTGCACGCTCTTCCGATGTCTCTCGATGGTGTCGCGATCGCTTGTGGCGGTGGTCTCGGTCGTCGTTGTCGTGATGGCGCGATGAACGATGTTTGTGGTGGTGCCTGTCGCGACTCCTGCTCCGGTCGCGCTTCTTCCTTTCGTCCTTCTTTTTGCTCTGCGCAAGTTCCTTTTCAAAGTCTTCTAGACCCATGTTTGCGACGAGTCTATGTCAATCGGTGTTGATGGGGTCAAGTCGCGTGAAGAAAGTTTGGACATGGGCTCGGAGCTAGGGCCTGACATCACCGCGGCGGATTCCCTAGCGCGTCCGCGTCCGCCCCGCCTAAGAATTTCTAGAACAACTCCAACTGTGCAATGCACCATCACCAACGTTCCTTTAGCTGACCCCGAGAACAAGATATCGCCAGTGCTCCCCCGATCCCACCCCACTCACTGTTCATATCTCCAATCACGCATACGACGCCCGCAATGTCCTCGGCAAATGCTCCAGAGGGCTCTGCGCCTGTCGCGAACCCCAATACACCCGTTTCGATAGTATGCGTGGGCATGGCTGGAAGTGGCAAGACGACCTTCATGCAACGTCTTGTCTCACATCTCTACACCCACCCCGATCCAACCCAAAGTGAACCCTCCGTTTCCAAGTCATCTCCGACACCGCCGTACATCATCAACCTCGATCCTGCCGTTCACCATGTCCCGTTCACGCCCAATATCGACATTAGAGACAGCGTCAACTACAAGGAGGTCATGAAGCAGTTCAACCTAGGACCCAACGGCGGTATCCTGACAAGCTTGAACTTGTTCAGCACAAAGATTGATCAGGTCATTGGTCTGCTGGAGAAGCGAACACAGCCGCCGCCACCAGTAGAGGAGCCAGAGCAAAGCACGGTTGAGTTCATGACGAGTGGAGGCAAGGACAAGCAAACGGCACCGGCTCAGCAACCACAAGTGAAGCATATCTTGGTGGACACGCCAGGGCAGATCGAGGTCTTCGTTTGGTCTGCAAGTGGAGAGATTCTACTCTCAAGCTTAGCCAGTACATTTCCCACCGTCATCGCATACATCATCGACACGCCGCGCACAACCAGCACAAGCACCTTCATGTCCAACATGCTTTATGCCTGCTCCATTCTCTATAAGACAAAGCTGCCTATGATCCTGGTCTTCAACAAGACCGATGCACAAGACGCCCAATTCGCCAAAGATTGGATGACTGACTTTGAGGCCTTCCAAGCCGCCCTGCGTAACGAGGAAGAGGGTGGTAGCTTTGGCGGTGAAGGCGTGGGTGGAGGAAGTGGATACATGGGTAGTTTACTCAACAGCATGTCACTGGTTCTCGAGGAATTCTACAAGCACCTCAGTGTTGTCGGTGTCAGTGCTATGACGGGAGACGGCATGGATGAATTCTTCAAAGGTGTGCAGGAGAAGAAGGAAGAGTTTGAGCGTGATTACAAACCCGAGCTTGAGCGACGTCGGGCAGAAAGGGAGCAAGAAAAGAAGGCGACACGTGAGCGTGAGTTGGACAAGATGATGAAGGACATGAAGGTTGGAGGCGCGGGCACAAAACCAAAGAGCAAGCCACGAAAAGAAGAGCCAGAGACGGTTAGCGATGCGGAAAACTCAGACGAAGCCGGCATGGTGGATGACCTAGACTACGAGGATGACATGGACTCAGACGACCCAGAGAAAGGCCTGAAGGAGCGATACAGACAGGCTGTCCAGGATCGTGGAGTCGACCAGAACGAGGATCATAGCTTCGCACGATACGTCAACATGGCAAAGTTCACATGAGAGAAGCAACCAACAATGCAAAGATACCCGACTCTAGCTATGATAAATGGTTGGGCTTTCACATTGCACGATAGGCGGCCTCGCCTCCAGATTCCTGGTTCAGCTCGGAAAGACACGCGGGCATGTTGTTGAGAGGATTACAAGCGACGTGCATTCATCGACGGGCCGCAGCGAGACGCCGTGTCAGTGTTTCGCATACCAACCAACACGACTTTTGCACAGGCATGCGCACTGATCCCTTTTAACCCACGCTTCTCGATGCTAAAATGAGTTCGACACGTGCAAACTGGCCGTTTTTGCCTCCACATCTTGCCTTCTCGCCATCATGGCTTCGTTATACCCTCATGTTTTCATGTCTGTCTTGGTTACCACAGGCGGGGATGCACTTGTTTCACCAAAAGAGACGAAATTCAGGAAGCGAATGTTCCACTACAGTGCAAGCAGGGCAGGTAGAGAAGGGCAGCGAGACGATAATCCGCGATGTAAGAGAAGGTATAATTAGTTATGTCTGTCAGTTGTCAGCGCCATGCATGCATAGTGTGTAAGACAAACCCAGAATTTATTCTATATGCCTTTCCAGCAGAACTCATGCTTGCGTGATTCCTGTGTGCTCTTCCGTTCAACTCGGTCTGGTTGATGACTTGGAAAGGTCTAGATGTAGTAGTTCGCTTCGAGATAGTGCTATACAGTATGCTGAATACCCTGTTGCTGAATTCTATTCATTCAGTAGTGTAGATCGGAAACGTACTAGATATCCAGCCATACGTTGTCCTACACCCTGTCCTTGAGTGGTAATGCTCTAGTATGTTGCGACTTATATCTCGGATCTTGCTGCGTGAACATCCATATCGCCTGAGCGCGGCATAGTCTACGTAGATCTACAGTCATGTATTAGCCATAGCGACAAGGGTCAAAGTTCCCGACCAGGTCCTAGCTTGCAGACCGAGACAATCTGTGGCTTGCAGATTGTAAGATCGATTCAGGAAATGACAGGTCCTGTCGGGTTTTATTGAGGTGGGGTACTAGGTTGTCATACTTAGTAGTGTTTACCGGAATCATCGTACGTACGGGAAAGGTCATTCGTTTCATGTTGGCAACATATTTGCATTCGTCCTCTTATATCGTATAACCATGGCCTTCGTCTCCTGTTCAAGTATCGGTTCGGTGTATACCTTATTATCCTTGACTTATCTAAGGAAAGGCTTGCCCACAACGAGATGCTTTCATGGTAGGGAGCACAAGAAACCCCAAGGGAGATACTATGCAGGGCCTGCAAAGGAAAGAGGGCATTCTCGTGTTGTGAGACTGCACAACGTGGAACAAGGCGTTTTCTGCCGCCCGCAATTTATGTACGACGTTGGCACATGGCGTTCATCTGGTGCGACCGTTGGCGAAGGCGACAGTCCAGAATCAAACAGCGTCCTCTCTGGTGGGTGTGTCAGAGAGAATTTGGGGAAGAGTGAAGAGGCGTGACGCTCCATGTAGAATAAAGGAGGAAAGGAAGAAAGGAAAAGGGATAAAAACTTTCTCCACGTCGCTGGTTGCTAGCAACTATTAAAACGAACATGTCGTTTCCCGGCTGAGCCTACCTTCATTCAACCTGCATGACCTCATCCCAACAAACACCTCCTTACCTTCCACAAGCTGTCAAATAGCGAAGGGTGAGAGCAGAAACATAGCCAGTGTCCGCCAGGCAAAAGGCAAATGTGAAGCCTGTATGCAAGCCTGCTGTACAACATGCACAACATCAGAGGACCCGAACGTATCGCTCCCCACAAACTCGCCAGGTCATGCTGTTTCACTCATCTCGGGATCTGCAGGCAGATAAACGAACGTCTCACGACATTGACAGCCATTGCATCCCGTCTCGACCTGAAGCAGGCTCAGCCCAATCCAACGCTACGTCTGCGTCCAACGTTGTGCAGGGACAAGACATGCGCTGTAGGGCTGTTTCAAGCGCGCCCTGCTGTGCAAGTACCCAGGGACAGTAAGACATGGATGACTACTATAGGGGTTTACTTAGGCGTGTTGGGTGTAGCGAGTCGGGTGGTACGACTCTACGATAATGCTGTGTCTAGCGAATGCGTGGCTCTTGTGTGACTATACGCAACCACCGCATGCATCCAGAAGTGCGAGAGGACCTTTGGAATTGCTGTCGGATGAGATCGAATGATTTGCTGACATGCATGAAGCATCGCGGCGGCTCTACCTCCGTAAGACTAGCAGCGAAAGTGAGATTAGGCAGAAAGTGACAAAAAGTGTAGAGAATATTGAACTGATGATGAAAAGCCAAACCTTGTCGTTGTGCTGTATTGCCGTAGCGTACCGCTACATTCGACAGCGCGAGAGATCACATTGTGACGAACCTTATCGTACAGTTTTAAATCGTGGAACAAGTGTCCCGTCTTGCCGCGGCAGGGCACAGACGAAGACAGCGGAAGCCTATCGTGACACCGAGTTCGGTCCCAGGTTTTTCGCTGTTGTCCAGAGATGCTCGTCGAACTCAGTAAACCCAGCCACAACGCCGATCTTCGAGTTGAAAACCCAATTTCTTTTCGTATCGTTGCAGGCTGCATGGTGTTGAGAACTACGTTCTGCTGTCGCATATGCTTACCGCAGATCCGCAAAGTTCCGTATGCACCACCAATATGCTGCGTGCGAAACATGGAACGATACAAAAAGGAAAAGCGAAGTATCATTTCTGATGCAGATATGATGTCACTGAGAGCATGTGCAAGCAAGATGGGTCTGTATATCCGCCATGCACAGATTGTGATACAGAGAGGTTGGCAAGTGAGCCGAGTTTTGATGCAGGCATGAAATCCGTGATCCGGCGTCAAGTCGGATGTGGGGTCCTCCCAAGGCGGAAGTCGCAACCCAGAGGGCCGTTTGCCAGGTTGGAGGCCTTGCGACGCAGAGAGCCGTCGACTCGAACTGGTCCCCTCAAAGCCAAGGAAATGACTCCTGGTGATGTTGGGGAATAAAGTCCCCGGAAAATGACCTGTTGTTTGGATAGAGTTTGTTTGCGACAATTCCCGAGCCAATGGCAAGTTGTGGAGGAACGTCCTTCCGATTCGGGGTATCCGGGCTGAGGGTTCTTGTGCAGATCGTTAAGGTTCGAGTCTAACCTCGAAAAAGATCTGCAGGGTCATCAGCGTTGCGAAAGCCTTTATTAGTGGGTCACTAGCGTGTAGGCAACCGATCTTTTCACAGCTGTGAAAAGGTTGAGGAGAGGCCGTTGGACGACATTAGTTGGCTAGACGCCGCGGAGCAGAAGGGTAGCGGTGGCGTGTTGATAGAAACGAGATCCCGGGATAAGCTTTGAAGGTGGTTGTTCCAGCTAGTATGGCTGGGTAAGCTGTCGTACCATGGATGAAAAGCGGGCAATAGTGCGTTTGGCACGAACTATGAGCTGACGGCGGGGTACTAAACCACAGTTCGCGACCGTTTCTTGTCGTCACGATTGCATGTGGAAAGCCACATGTCTTGTATGGCTGTGGGAGATTGTAAGAGGTTGGAGATCGGCTGCACTTTCCATGGTTCGCATATACCGTTGAGGTCACGCAGGCGCATCACGCAAATGGCAAGTTGGTCAGATGAGTTTGTAATGATTTTTTGCATTGTTTTTGTTTTGAAAGTCCGCAGACTTCCGTAGAGTGTTGCGATTAAGAAAAATCAAAGGTTGATGCACCTTGAGTAAGGGCGGGTATCCATATTGCCAATTCCGGGCTCAAATCCCTATGTTTGAATGTCATCCTCCACATGCACTGGCAAACAATGAGGTTGCTAGCGACAAAGACATGAGGATGCTAGTGACAATGACAGAAGGAAATAGGCTGTGATCAGCCCATGTACCGAAGTAAATGCAGCCGATAGTATGTACAGAGAAAAAGAAAAGAAAAGTGTGCGACGATGCGCACCACTCCCAAACGCCCAGTTCCGTTCGTAGCCATGACGGCATGCGTCTATTGTTCCGTCGGACTTTTGGACTCCATGATATCGTGGTCGTAGCCATAAGCGCCAAGCTCTAGAAATCCGGTGGCCTGATGGTATAGCAGGCCGAAGTAATGATCAAGGATTTGATCAGATGAACCATGAAAGAGAAGTATTAATGCAGTGACCTATGACTCAAACTTGCGCTTCTCACCGCTTGCAGCGATGGCGAGTGCGTCCAAGCCACCGTATTGGGTGGCGGCGGGGTTGTAGCTGTAGTTGGCGGGGTCGGGGTACCGGGAGCTGGGAGAGAAGTCGATGAAGGCATCAGTAGACTGCACGGCGGGCGCCATGGAAAATCCGGAGGGGCTGAGGGGAAGCGTCGGGTCAACCATGGAAAGCGATGACAAAGAAGGCATCGTCGACTGGAGGGGTGCCGGCTTGGGCCGCTTTGCCTGGTGTTTGGCCTTCTTGACGTCGCGGTCTCCACCCTTGGCCGCGTTGCGGCCACTCTGGTGAGTGCGGCGGTGCTGCTCCATGTTGTCCTTGCGGGTAAAGGCCTTGTTGCACTCGGGGCAAAAAGCATCCTTCTTGCCAGTGTGCTTCTTTGCGTGGCGGGCAGCATGGCCTGAGGTGGTGAAGAAGTCGTTGCACTGGAATTGCTTGGCCATGGGGCAAGGATAGCTGTTCTTCTTGGGTCGCGCGTTCAGGGCGGAGGGGTCCTGGTGTTGCTCGGAGAGCTGTTCGGGCCTGAAGTAGCCAGCCTGCGAGGGGTTGGCGTGGTAGGGAAGAGGGCCAGACTGGTGGTGCATGGGGAAGCCGAGATCCTTCTGGTGGTGGAAGAAGCCATTTTGCGAGAAGACGGGCGAGTCCATGCCCGGCTCGTAGGAAAAGTCTGGAGTAATGGGCGAGGGCGTCTGCATGTTGGAGTCTGACGAGTCGCTGCGGACGAGGCGGGGTGGTGAGGGTTGGGGGGAGGAGGAGTAACTGGAGGTCCTAGACTGGAGAGAAGGAGTGATGGAGGGAAGTCGGACAAGTTGAGGAGGCGCCGGGCCGTCGTTTAGCAATGACACTCTGCGACCTGTCGAGTTCTTGCCGGACAAGGCGTCCATTTTGAGCAAACACGTGCCAGTGGGGGAATGCGACCAAATTCGCAACAGGAGCGCAGCGCAAGCACGTGAGAGTGAAGGCCGGGTGGTTGAGGCGCTTTGTACAGGGTGATGTGAGGGTGATGTGGAAGTGTGAAGGCTTGTGACGTCGACACGACAGCGAGAGAGATTGTTTGGGTGAGGGCAGGTTGTCGTGAGTGTTTTGGGAGAGAGCTTACTGAAGCACCACACGAGATGTGCGGGACTGGGAGCAAGTTATATTGGGCAAGGCACAAGCAGGGCAGAAGCACAGGGTTCTCAGGTCCCAGGATCAGGGCACTATCAGGGACTGAGAATTGCATGCGTGGAGATGGGAAAGTGCAGTCCGCCCTAAGACGCTAGCGTGCTGTACAGTGGCAGGGGCCCCGGCGATCAGCCCTCGCGAGGCGATGCGCTACTTAGTGGAAGGAAGAGCGACCAGGAAGCGGCGTCAGCGCATGCCACGGCGGACCAAACGAGCGCGAGCGCCCCCAGTGGGTGATTTGGGTTGGGAAGAAGCTTCTGCGGTACTGAAATCGACATGGGTGCTGGGGGAGCAACGACGTGCAGCAGCAGCAAAAGAAAGTCGACGCAAGATTGGCTTGTCAAGGTTGTCAGCGTCGGCCAATGCTACCGCGGCGGACAGGTGCCGTCTGCTCAGGAGAGATCGAGATCGTGAGGGCAGTTTCAAGGAACTCTGCGACCTTCGGGCGCCAATGGCAAGAAACAGGCCCTGTGCCAGCTCACACCCGCACACTCCGTCGGCCTACTTCCGGTGCTTGTCGGCGTCAAAGAGTCAGTTGTTTTGTTTGATGTTGTTGTCGCGCAGGGCGGCATGGCAATGTAGCCCAACTCTAATCCACCCATCGAGCGATGCGATGCGATGCGCGCGCTGTCTTGTCTTGTTGCGCCAGGCCGCGCGCACGCTGCTGTGTATACAGCTGCTAGACACGTACTGACGGGCTGTCATACCGGCCTCCAACCGGCCCAGGGTCTGCGTCCCTCAGCGTCCAGCATTCAGCGTCCGCATCTGGAGGCGCACTCGGTACTCGAAAAACGACGCGCCGGCATAACGTCGCTAGGTCTGATGTAATACAAAATCAGGGTCTTCTCCGCTAGTTGATCCCTGTCAGCCGTTCAGCTTTATCCGCCTTTGCTCTAGCGCCCCACTCGACGTTGAGCAGTGATCGGGACAGCTGGTGGGGATCGGTCACAGTGCCCTCTGCGATGACGTCGGGCTGCCGCAATCACTCGTCTCCAGCCACAGCCCCTGGCGCTTTGTTTAGCGCCAAAAGACCCATAGACTCCTCTGGCCAGACTCCTGACTTGGACGCCGTCCTCGAAACGGCAGCCGCGCAGCACTGACCGAGCCCCTCCATCGAGTTTTTGCACCCCATCGACGTGATCTTCCCACCTTAGCCTGCCTCGTTTCTTTTCACTTTGCGCGGCCACCACCCATCCGGTCCTTTTCTAACAACCTGATCGCGATCACTTTCCCCCCCAAGCAGCAAAGCCCATCGTGGTTTTATGCAGGGCCCGCCCAAGTCACCCTTCGTGCCGCCGATTGACCCGGCGTCAATCTTCTCTTACAAACGCTGATGTCACTCTGCCCCATACCGCACGCCTCGCTTTCGGCACCGGTCGCCCACTACCGCACTGCCTAATTGGGAAGCTCACGATACCTACCTCCCTGCCTTGCAACTGTTTTACCAAATTTTTCAACGGCGAGATCGGCGTACAGCCACATGTGCCAGCCAGGTGGAGCAGGCTTACCTTGCTCGATACGATGCCCAATATTGTGATTGCACTCTAATCGATGCCCGTCCTTTTCTTCGCGCTCTCAGCAGTTCAGCAAGGGCGCCACGCAGCCACGTGGACCAGAGCTTCGGTGCTCCTGATCGTCCCGCCCAGCATCTGAGAGATCGAGATGAAGTGCGATCTTAACCAGTATTGACCAATGCCAGCCTCATCTTCAGCCCTTGATGCTCCTGAAATGTTCCATGGTCCAGCACACCTGGTCTATGCCACTGCTGCTTTTGCTTCGTCAATCTGGCACCTGACGCCCTTCTGCCAGTGCTCACTCAAAGTCAAATTGCTTTTCCGACTCATCGTCCCCTCGAGCAATCTTCCTCGTACACTACTGCCCAGAATGTCTCTACTGTCATTGGTCCCTTACGCCACGGCCGCTGACAGTCCCTGCAGAATGTGTTGATGGCGCTTTCACAAGCGCCAAAGCTCCAACGCCTTGCGGCTGCAGCCATCCAGAATCAATGCCTCTTGCACGTCAAATTGCCCTTGCATCCTGGTGTTTCCTTTTACTTGCAATTCAAACACAAAAACTGCGCCAACTTGCACACCGACACTAACAATTACTGCGAACGATCTCGATCCCGATGCACTATCACTGTGAACTATTGTCGCGAAAGAAGTGCAATTCCCCCTTAAATCCGCCTAATCGCCGCCTTTGAGAAAGCCGAAGTCTCTATTCTTGGCTGATACATACCCCACTCGGTATCCGTTAGCATGCCGTCTGCCATGTGTCGAATAAGAAGCGATGGACCCTTCTCCGATGCGGCGTTCTCATGGTTGACGCTAGGTCGGCTTGCACGCGCTCGACATTTCGTAACCAAGAACTCATACACGGCGCTCCATCAATACTGATTATCCTGCCTACGGCTATTCATCTCTCGCTAGCAGCAGATCGGTACGGGCGCACCTCCAGTCGCATCAATTACAATTACAGCTGCAAGATATCAGCGCGGCATACACTTCCGCCTCCCCCCTTGCAAGGCCTGCTGCCGTAATTGGGAACACCCCGGCTGCATGGATCAATGGGCACATGTTCCTACCCAGTCACGCCATGCCCAGCTTCCTTCAGCTACTGCTTTCGTCTTTGCTGTCCCTGATCTCAAGAATGGACCCTTTGAATGTTCTTCGTCCACCTCGATTCGTGCAGTCGTCGCAACACTGTGCCCGCTCCAATCACAAGGTTTATACATAACATGTACGACATGGAGATCATGAATGCCATGCTCGGCAGGACACGTCAGGCGATCTTCAAAATGAGCATACGTCACGGAAAACCGTTAAGCGACGCGGTTCGAGACCACTTGTTCCGCAGCGCCAACGTTTCCGAAGATATTCGGCCTCGTGTAAGAGCTGTGTTTTCGTAGGTAGATAGCCGAACCTAGTAAACTGTATTCGCTCATATTTCCACGTTCGAACTACGGCAGGCGCAAACTCCAAACTTTAGCTTACAGTAGCTTCCACGCCCTCTATTGATATTTGCCGTCTTGTGCTCAAAACAAAAAACCGTTGATTACAGGGTCCTCAAACACAAGACGCCGACCCCTCCAGATGCGAGGAGCTGGCTCCGTAATGAGGGTCTGCTGCTGAATACCCCGCATCGAGACTTCTCATTGGTCAGAACGCCCGGAGTCGCTGTCCGTGAGGCGTCGACCGTTGCCGAGTAGCCGTGGCACACCTGGTGACAGAGTGCGCTAGGTTGTCCCGCCTCCCCGCCTAAGCTACAACGGAGAGATCATCCACGTGGGAACTGGATATTGTACCACTTGCTTTTGTTCTCAACCCCTTCATAGCACTGAGCGATATCAGGATCGTACCCAATACTCCGGCGGTCCACCGTGTAATGATATGTACCAGGTTCTCGACTCGACTCAACTCAACCCAAGGTTCACATTTGCGTGGGGCGGCTCTCCGCAGCCGCATCTATGCTTCATGAAGATCTCCAATCCTTTCTGCGCGGGCCATGTCGCCTCTCAACAACACTGAGTTGTGGTTCTGCCAGATCAATTACGCCATCTTTGGACCCTTTTGACATTGTCATGATGCATGTCGGAAGAGGTCTTTAGCTTGTTTACATGGGGGCTGGTTGTTTAATGCCGCGCCCAGATCATTGACCAGATGCAGACCCGGGCTGCAGTATGACCTGTCCCGTTTACAGGATATACGACTTATCCTGGGGTATACCCTTTGCGTGGCTTACGTCGGCTGGAGCATCGTATCATTGTGGTTATCGAACTCTGCCAAGGCTTCGATTCACGAACAATGACAAAGCATTTCCACCGGTAGCGATCAAGGCGTCCGCTGTCAAACCACCATATGATGCGACCACGATTCGTGGAGCCGCGGACACGCAGCATCGACGTGAAACGTGCATTACTCATTCATCAATCGCTACCTGCAAACTTTTGCCCAGAGTAACTAAGGCGAATGTTGACAGTTGCTTCAGATTGCAGAGTCACACAGCTGCATCTTCGCAATCTGTGTGTGACCTCATTACACCGAGCAACATCACCGAAGAAGACCCACTCGCAGTCACGGCCATGATGACCGGCATAAGCGAGAGAATTACATCAAGTACATCGGGTATTTTCTCCGTATCGCATCACCAGTCATATCACATTGCGCCGCATCGCATTGCGCCCTGACCCAACTGACCCCTTGTTTTCTTCACCTGTAGCCATCTCGGTGTTTTGACTCGTGGTACTCCACCACCACAACATGCGATATACTAATGCGAAAGCGAAATACTTACGCGTTCGTTCGCTTAATTGCTGAACTGGGTTCTTTGTTACCCCGAGGGTCCACTTCCAACGTTTGATGTTTTATCGCTGCAACAAGAGGGCAAGTTTACATCCCATGATCTCCCACTTTTGAGCGCTTCCAGACATGCATCCTGACTCGACATCTATTTGACCGATTGCTGGCCGTTGATGTACCCGGGAACCTGTACCCGGGAACCCACATGATTTTCAACGGTTTCGTCGACTTGTCTGCCATATCTATTCTGGCAATATCTCTCCGGCTCAAGAGTGGTCACGGAGAAAGATTCCGTATCGTTGTGCATACCGCGGAGCAGGAAAACGCACTGTATTCCTCACTTCCTCATCACTCTGCCCACCACTAAGATGAAGACGGTGATTTGTTCGTGTATGCATAGCGTAATTTGTCTAACGTCTTAAAGCAGTCTGAATTGAATAGTTGTATGCGGCTATCGTTCCCGAAGGAAGTGTAAGAGTGACATATAGCGGAACATGTAAGCCTGCGTCAGCTTCTCTTAGTACTGCCTTGGGTTTCGTACACTTTTTCATCAGTATTACGAGATCACGAACTGATTCCATCAAGGGTCTGTTCGGTTATGCAATACTATACACTCTCTGTACACCAAATGTAGAACGCACGGTTGGAAGACAGGATAAGCGGATATGCATGCACCTCGTTTCGGAAGTAACCCTTCGATTTTCTGATTACTGTAAGACTACTAGACTATTCCAGGTCTCCCTTGCTACACTACCCTGGACATGGACGTGACGATGCATCACGGCTTGCACACAAGCCCTGTCTCGTTGATGTGTCCAATACGCGCTCTTGGAGTTGGCCTAACGGGTGAGCTGAACGATAGGTTTGCAGCGGGGGGAATCTGGGCCGTCTATAGGATCTTGGACCCTCTTAGCTGGGGCGCCTATAGGGTACTAGTTCTTCTCAACCAGCATCACCGTTGTAGAACTCGGATTCGAAAGCCGACGCGGCCTTTATTGGATGTTTGAAGTAAGACGAAGCCAATTGAACTTGTTGGGTGTCGGAGACGGCCGATGAAACAGTGGATATTGTTGGTTGTAATACGAGATTCTTGGGGGTCATGAGCAAGTCCCGGTTTCCTTTATCCTGTTCTCTACTTTCCCTTTCGAAGAGGAATTGACTGCACCCAGATACGGCAATGTAATGTTAGATGAATCAATGAAGGATGTTACACATCAGAGTAGGAGTCAGTACAATTACATAAAGAAGCCAGGGAAACGTGAAGATGAGGCTATAGCAATGCTCATCTATATGCCGAACCACTAAACGACATAATTCTTCCTACCGTCACGTTCCTTGCTGGATAAATATAAGCTACAGGCCAAGTTTCGTTCTCTGTTATCCGTCTCGTAATATGACAATAGTAGCAACTCCTCAATTTCTCTCTCGCTGCACGCGAATGATAGTAGAAGAATAATCAATATAGCCGGATTGTTATGAACTATTCACCACGGCCCAGATGCATTACCCCACGCATCCAATACGTAGTTACCATATCTGGTATGACTGCTGCTCTTTTCTTCTTTCGCGCTGTTGTGCGATCACTACCATTTCAACTTGATGCATATAATATAACCTGAGACGGCCTATGGACCAGATTGAGTAGATCAGTAGTGTGTTCTTGGTGATTCGAGCTGAACAGGACGCGCATCTATTCTACGAGACAGAAAGCGAACTGCAAAGAAGAGGGGCGTGACATGATGCTGTCTGGATGAAAGTACTCAAACATGGACTGGCGCTGGAGACAGACTGCAAGTTTGAGTCAAGAAAGTATACGCAGAGCAACCACCATGTCTACAAGCGATACAGTCTGAGAATTGGCTATGTCAGCAGCCATAAGGAGAATCTGCCACTTGCGGAATGTAGATCGGACAAAGGGTAGATGCGGATCAGATTTTTCAACTTCGAGCATTTGCAAAGACTTAGCAACAACAATGAATGAAACTAACCGCCTTGGTCTATCGGAATTGTCCATTACAAGGGTATGGGATATCTACAGTAAAACTCAAGCTATGGACAAGCGAATAACGCCACTGTACGAACCGTGTCAAGAATGGCATACAAGACTCACTCCTGGCACCTGGTTTTCTCTGCAACTAAAGAAGGAACCAGCTACTCGCTATCGTCATCGCCGATAAGTTTCGCGTAGTCCTCCATAGAAGCGAAAGTGGGCAGGTTCTTGAGCTTCCTCTTCTTCTTCTTGCTGCCCTCCTTGTCCTCATCGCCATCGCCATCGCCTTCTAGGTTAAGTTCGACTGGAACATCGGCATCGCTGTCCATGAATGCATCTTCATCGTCGAGGTCGAAGTTTTCAAAGTCATCGTCGTCGTCTGCCTGGTGATGGCCACCAACAGCCTCGTCCTCTTCATCGGCATCGGCATCCTCCCCATCGTCACTGCCTAGGTTGAGTTCGACACCGCCGTCCATGCCTCCAGCCTCATCGTCGCTCATCATGTCGTCCATATCGAAATCGCTGAGATCATCATCATCACCTCCGTCACCTTCAACGTCTGGACGACTCTTGACAAGCGCCTGCCAGATCTCATCCTCATCACCACTGTCCTCTTCACTGTCGTCCTTCCTGCGGTCTTTCTTCTTCGTCTTCTTGTCAGCTTGCTTGGCTTTGCCGGCCTTCTCGAAGTATGTGTGGAAGAAGACTTCATCGACACGGACATCGTCGACCTTGCGTCGCCAGAACTGCTCGGAGTTGAGTGGGTCGTGCGTGCGGTCGCCATCGCGGTCGGTGATGAGGTAAGATGCGGCCTTGGAAGTTCCAGACATAGGCTGCATGATCGAGGAGCCATGGACACCTTGAGCCTTGGTCTTTGCGTTGCGGAAAGAGAACTTATCAAGGAAGTTCATAAGAGTGTAGATGGTCGGGTCAGGCTTCTCCTTGATGGGTTCCTGATTGACAATCTTGGAGGCCAGGACGTGGACAGAGGGGTGGTAGTGTGCTTGAAGCGGTAGTAGCTCCCACAGACAAGACAGGTCAGCATGCGCATGTTCCGGGTCTCGTTTCCTGGAGTCATAGGTAGCTTGTTCAGGCTTCTCTTCTTCCTTCTTAGTCGTTGGCTCCTTGTCCTCGTCGACATCCTCGTAGTGCTCGTCGCCGCTGTCGTCAGCATGGTCTTCTGGAGTCGACAACATGGACTTGATGGTAGGGAAGGTAACTATCAGTTCGTTGACGAGGTACAAGACACCGCAGATGAAAGGTGGCTCGTGCATATGGATGATCTGCAGTAAACGCTTGACGAAAGCCTTGACACGCTTGATGCTAGTATCGGCCTTGAGCGAGCGGTACAACAAGTTCAGGAACATGATATGCTTCGAAGTTGTCATAAGTCGTGGGTCCAGTAGAGATTCGTAAAGAGTTCGATAGAAGCGATCCGCGGAGTAATGCTTCGTCGCGGAGATTTGCTGAATGAGCGTCATGGCCTGGATGCTGGTGTTGAAGTTGGAAGAATGTGTCACTTCGAAGATCATGTTCAGCTGTTCTTCGAACTTGGCGTCGTCGGTTTTGGCAAATGGGAAGGCACGGTTAACACCCGTCAAGACGGCGGATATCAGTTTCTCTCGCGACTCGTCCTCAACCTTAAAGGCCATGGTAGCCGCTTTTTCAGCCTTCTGCTTCGCCATCTTTCCAGGCTGACCGCCACCTCCTTGAACGTGTCCGTACTTGTTTATCCTCTTCTCCTCCTTCTCATGCTCTCTCTGCTTCTTCAGCAGACCGAGGAAAACGCTAAAGTATATCTCCAAAAGCTTATTGGCGACTTCAGGCTCCTTCAAGCTGAGAACAGTTTGGTTGAGAGTGATGATGGCGTAGTACTTGGCTATGCCGTTCTGATTCGGTCGGAAAATAAGGTCGGACTCGATGGAGCTAATGATGACGTTCTTCATGAGCGGGTGTGTGTTCTGGAGCTGAAGCAGCAGGTAGGATGCCCTCGATGCGACTTTCTTTTCCTTGTCTCCAAGCTTGTTGATGAGCAGTCGCAAAAGGTTTTCTTCCTGTTCCGGCTTCTCCTTCAGCAACTCCCAGACGTAGGTTACAGCACGGTTGCGCGAGTACTCGACTTCGTCATTGGACCATGTCTCGAGGATCTTCAGCAGCTCAAAGTATTGTTTCTTTAGCCAATCCTCGTATGCCCACACAATCAGATGGGTTTTCTGGAGAGCGCCTGGCAGCTTATCGCCCGCCTTCCACTGCACGTTCTTTCCTTGCAGCGCAGCGGTCAAGCCTGGCTGTCGTGCAAAAGCCTTCAACTTTCGGTCCGGAGGCAGCAGAACGCCCTGACCCAGCAGATCCTTCAGCGCAGCCAAAGCCTGCATGGCAGCATTTCTGCTCTTCTTTTGCGAAAGACCCATGAGCTGCCCAAAAGCCTTTTGCGTGTGCAGCGGCGACTCTTGAACCAACAAGGTCAGTGCAGACACCTTATCCTCCATGGTACCAGAGTCCATGACGGTGGCCATAAATTTGTGTGACGAGTCCTTGGCCAAGTGCGATGATGCATACTCCTTGGCCTCTGTGTCGAGGAGTTGGATGGCATATTCGTGGATGGCGTCGATGATGTAACGGGGCGGGATCGTGGGATTGTCGACAGTCGGAAGCTGTGGCAGTTCTATCGTATGCCATTCTGGCTGCGGCTTGAGAAGCTACTGCAGATTAGCATCGTTATGCATCAAATATTTGCCCTGATGGTGCGCACCAGCTGCGACCGCGATTTTTTGCTCTCGCCATCCTTGCGCTGGTTGGTGCCGTTCTTCGCGCTCATCCGACTCTTATCCGGAGAAGGCTTCGTAAAGCCATCTTTGGTCTCAGCATGGGTTCGCTTCTTCCCCATTTGATTTGGTTGGTGTCGCGAAAGGTGGAGCTACAAGGTCCGTCAGAGAAGAAACTCTGACCCGTCACGACCTTGGAAAGATTCCACGCCTGCCAGAGCACTGAGTCGAGATTTTGAGAGCCTTGGCATCGGCGTTTTGTGTGGCTAACGGCTTGTGGGCTAGCGTGGTGGAGCCCTCATCGTGGTGCATATTGTGACCTAGGGGCCGACTTTGAAAGCACCTCCGTGCGGCCATACTGTGACTCAACTGGTCGCTTTAGTTCAGGGTCTTCTGAAGAACGCGTCCTTTCGGTCCTAACTTCGTCATACCAAGACTACCAATTGGCATACATTGTCACTACCAACACACACACACCCCGCCAACTACCCCGCCAGCTCGCATATGCTGGAGTAGGACAAGGGCGCAAGGACCACGACTGCCAGTCTACATCATGGCTACCCAAGCTGGCGATGAGGATAAGAAAATATCCATCACACCCCTTCTCAAACGACTCTGGCATGAGTCACCCACAACCAAACCAACAGCCGACGAGATAGCAGCAGCCCTCGCCTTGATCTTCACAAACAGCCTATCCGAAGTCCAAACAGGAGCCTTGTTGACATGTCTCCATTTCACAGACCAAGACAGACAAGCTGAAGTATTAGCCAAATGCTCCAAGGCGATGCGGGATTATGCCACTGGCATTGATGTCAAAGGTCTCCAAGAACTCATCAACCAACGAGGAAGGAAAGAGGGCGGCTACCATGGAGGCTTGTGCGACATAGTTGGCACAGGAGGTGATTCCCATAACACTTTCAACATCAGTACCACATCGTCCATCCTCGCCAGCGCTCTTCTTATGATCGCAAAGCACGGAAACAAAGCATCAACATCACGTTCTGGCTCAGCAGACCTTCTGTCCTGCGCACCTCCGAAGCCACCGGTCATCACCGCCATCGCACCCAATACCATCCACGAAATTTACTCAAAGACAAACTATGCTTTCCTGTTTGCCCCTATTTTCCATCCGGGAGCTAGACACGCTGCTTCCATCCGAAGGCAACTGGGCTGGCGCACTATCTTCAACCTTCTCGGACCTTTGGCGAACCCGCTACATGATTTGATTGAAGCGCGCGTTCTAGGTGTAGCAAGGAAAGAGATTGGACCGGATTTCGCCGAGTCGCTGAAGCAGTCTGGTTGCAAGAAGGGCATGATCATCTGCGGTGACGAGGAATTAGACGAACTCTCGTGCGCTGGACCAACGCATTGCTGGCGAATAGTCGAGGATGCTTCTACAGGCGAGGCTAACATCAACTACTTCACTGTTACACCAGCGGACTTTGGGCTTCCCGAGCACCCTCTTAGTGAAGTCAGCCCTGGGCAGTCACCCGAACAGAATGCGCAAATCCTTATGAAGATTCTGATGGGCGAGGTTCCGCCAGATGATCCAATCTTGCATTTCGTTTACATTAACACTGCGGCATTGTTCGTCGTCAGTGGTATCTGTGACGCGGACACGAGCAATATGGGAGAGGGTGACGATGGAAATGTCATCAAAGAGGTTGGCCCAGGAGGTGGACGCTGGAAAGAAGGTGTCAGGAGAGCCAAATGGGCGATCTCGAGTGGAGCCGCATACAGCGAGTGGCAAAAGTTTGTCGAAGTCACAAACAGCGTTGCATAAGTTACGTCTACGAAACACTCTGATTAGACTACTCGAATCCACAGACGCTATCATGAAAGGATCCCACCGTTTGTCAAAGATGATCAACTGACGCTTCGAACTTCGAACCCACGAAAACCTGTCTCTCGTCCTATCCCTTACTCCCACACCGCTATCTTCGTATTTCAGCTATTCGTGCTTCCGTCTCCGCCCATCAGACCCAAACCCAAATTCTGCTTTTTTCTTCAGTCCATCCAGAAGCTGCTGGACTTCCAGCACGATTGCATCCCACTTTGGCTCATCTAGAATCATCTCTTGTTATTCAGAACTCTGGCAGTGGTCAACTCTTCTTCATTCCATGCAAAATGTAGCATCTGAAGCTTCTTCGCGGGCACTGCAATAGCTCTAAACGCGTCTACTAGGGCGATGGCTTCTTCGGTGGGGATCAGATATAACGACGTCGACTGTATGTGATACATCAGACGGCGCAGGTTGGCAAAGTTCACCGCGATGAACTTAAGAGACTGGCAGCCATTCTTCATCTCGCGTTCGGAGCTCCTGATAGTAATCGTTATATGTGCCAGTACAGAAGGGAGGCGATGAACGTGGTTTATGGTACGAACATGACTTACCCTGTATAACTCTAGGATGCGATTAGGTTCATCATGCATCAGAAAACTCACTTCGACTTCGTTACGTCCGAACACCAGGTCCATGAGCTCCGTTCTTATAGCTTTATTGATGCGTAGCAAGTTTCGCTCAATAAAAACGCGGCTGTTACAATCGATGATATCTCCGTTATCCAGCTCGGCAAGTATTTCCCGGAAGCCTCGGTATGAGAGCAAATTATTAATCTTCCGTCGCACCTGGAATTCTTCAAAAGGCGTGTGCACCCTCATGGGCCACTTGGCATCGGCGAAGAAGATGACGTGGGAGGTATCAGCACGGGTAGAGTCGCTGCGGCAGCCAATCCAAACATGGCCTCCAACGGGGACGTTGAGGTCTGAGTAGACTATAGGACGCAAATCGGCTGAGAGACTAGAGATAATATCAGACTGTAATTTTGGAAGTGTGCCCGTGAATGGCATCGAGTGCACTGCTGGAATTGATGTGGCCAATAACTGTTTCGGTAGCTCTGGAAGTGCGTTCATATGTAGGTCATGCGTCCCTTCGTCTTACTTGTTTGTGTCATCACTGATAGGGATGTGATTGAAATTGAGATAAAGCGCTAGTTTTGCAACAAAACATGGGTGAGAGTGTGCAAGGTGAGATCTGGAAAGCGTTGAGAAAGAAACTATGGAGAACTTGAAGGTTACCCATGGATAATGGCTTACGGCGAGTGCAGGCAAGAAAGTTACATATGGTCTATGTGCCCTCACGTTATTCGCCATGGCAGTGCTATACTTCACTGCTGATTCTCGAGATACGATTCACTGTGCCTTTCAACAGTGCGTTGTGAATCAGATAATGAGATTTGTATCCTGGCGTGTTAAGGTAGAACGGGTCCGTCGCACTCGTAGAATCTGTTGACGATGGTGCAAGACGGTATTGGCGAGGTATGTCGAATCGTCAGAGATGTTGTTGAGAGGTTCTCACGCTTAGCCGTCAGATAGATAATCTTCGCGGATTTGTCGACATTTCAGAGGAACATGTAAGCTTTCTGAAAGACATGTCACAGATTGTGGCTTAATAGGTCGAAACCATCGCTGCCTGCCCGCCTCTTGTGTCGCATTTCATCTTGGATGTTAGACGTGTGGTAAGCTAGACCCACACACAAAGCCCCTTCTAACGTGATCGCGCCGGCGCCACTGTGCCCACATATGATCAATCGCTGATCCTGCGGGGAGTTGAAAATAGGTGGTGCGCTGAGGACTGCGCCCTGTAGGGCGTTGCATCTTCACGAGAATGTTGTGAGAGTGTTGGCGGCCTGGCAAGGTTGAGAAAAGGTGTCTCGCAGTCTTGCCTGTCACTTCCTTGGCGCGCTGCATGCAGCAAGCGCACCATCTGTTGAACCTCGGAATCGCGACCCCTATGCGCATGTCAATTGAACCTGCGCCAGAAAGATCAACGTTACTCAACGGATATCCCGACATCTCGATCGCAGCATCCCGCTCGCATCACATCACCATTTCGCTTCCCACCAGACTTAGCCCAGACTGACTCCGGGCCCGTTTTCCGTTCCAGGCCCCCTGCTCAGCCCACACTTTACGAAGACGCACGGCCACCGGGATGACAGCACGACGAATCTTCTCGACACGAGGTCACGCCGACAAGACAACTAATTTTAGTAGGCTAACTTCATTGGACGCGTAATTAGTCTTGCCATCAACAACGCGAAGATTCTGCATCTGCGGCATGCTAAGCTATAGCGCGTGTCTGGGGATTAGCGTTTTGCGGCTCGGTATCGATTATGTGTCAGCATAGCCCAAGGCTGGCGCACATGTGGTTGGGAAAATGGTTGGGAAAGCAACAGGTGGGTGGTGGGTAGCCGTTTGACGTTTGACCGGTGCATGAAGTGCATGGGCGCAAAAAAAACGAGAGAAAGTGGAGGATGTGCTAGGGTAAACAGGCGATTGGATGGGGAAATGACGACAAGATGTGCACTGTTCCTATAGGAACATGGTTTGTTTGGTGGCACCATACGGGTTGCAGGATGCGAATTGGTTTCGAAACCCGGGGCAGGAAGCATGGCTGGGGAGAGGCACAGCAGGAAGCGCCTGAGGCTCACCTGGGTCGGCGCAACGACACACAAGCTTCCATCTCGACTCTTACAACGACGACAGTCATCCAGGCTACCCATGTGAAGGTCGATGATTATGGATCGCCGTCTGGACGCCTGGAAGGAGAAGTCTATTCAATAGAAAAAATCTCCGCCTCGATCACGAACACGAAACATCCTCGCCATGGAGAATGCTATTATTGGTTGTGGAGGCCGCTAGACGCTTGTCTGGAAGACAGTCCGCCTGTTCAGGGATAGTATGGGGCTCGCGTTAGGGCTGGTTGCCGGGTCAAAGTGGCGTTCCAGGGCCAGGGTTAGCTCCGATGCTTGCTCTTGGGTGCGGGTGAAATAGAGCAGAGGCAATAAAAGGAGGACGCGTCTCTCACGAAGCTTGAAGTTTGCTTCTCATCTCGCATCACTCAATCACTACTCGCATCGTCTCAATCACTACTTGACATCCTTTCCGTCAAAGACTATCGCTACAGAGTTCAATCGTTCAAAACAACCACAACACAATCGTCAACATGCGCGCCTCCATCTTTGTCTCCGCTGTTGCTTTCGCCGTTGCATCGGCCCAGGTACGTTCTCAGTCATCAATTCGCATACTATCCCGAATGGACCGCTAACATTCATCCAGGACTCATCCTCCGCTCCCTCATCCTCCATCGACCCGGCCCCCCAGACCACCTACCTCACCCAGACCAACTCTCTCGGTGTCGTAACTGGCATGCCCGCGGCTGACACTTCCATCGCTACTCAGCCTGACGCTGTCACCAGCCAGCCCGCTGCTGTCACCACTCAGCCAGTACCTGCTGACATCCCTGCCGTTGGCCCTGGTGTCCACACCCTCACTCTTGCTGGAACCGGCACTGGCTCCATGGTCAACTCCACCCGCACTGTCACCGTCAGCGCCAACAACAGCACTACCGTCGCTCTCGTTGCCTCGCCTACCAACTCTGACGCCGACGCTACTGGCTCCGGCGCATCTCGCAGCGGTGCTGATGCCACTGGCTCTGACGCCTCTGGTACTGCTACTGGCTCCGGTGCTGGTGCTGACGCTACTGGTGCTGCCGTCAACGTCAAGGCTGCCGCTGGTAGCCTCGTCGGTTTCGGTGCCTTCATGGCTGCGTTCTTGTAAACTCATTGATCGCATTGTTTGTTCATTTTAGCTTCGACGTTTTATTTTTATGAGGATAGCGGTCCTTGAGATACCTTGGGTCTTGCATTAGCATTGCGTAACAGATCTGCATTGCAATACTGCGGCGTCGGCACTGGCATGTGTCTTTGACGGGAATAATGTCTGTTAAGTTTAGTCATGGCATTGATGAAAACATCGGCCATGTTAGTAGTACCTTTTTGTACATGATGTTGGGAAAATATATCAAACATTTGGATACAAAACGATTGTTCAGTCGTTCTTGCTTGTGATGCATCTATTGGAATGGAAATCGGCATCTAACCCTTGCGATGCTCAAACATATCAGCATCGGACGGATCAACCGACCGTCGGGTATGTTCCGTTCCGATACAGTTGAGCCCTCGTGACTTGGTTCTTTGCTGTGAACGAAAGAAGCTGCCGTCAATAAGTTTCTTCGCACATCCAGAAGTATAAATGTTCCACATCAACTTTAGACATGACCGACATCCATGCCGAGGTCGGCAAACCTCACTGCTTAGCATTTGCCAAACACCCCACCAAACATTACCTTACCCAATCTGATTGAAACATGACAGCCACCACTTTCCCCAGACACATCCCTTCCATCCCCTACAGCGATCCCCCAAGTCGCCTCCAGACCCTCGACATCTGGCTTCCCCGCCCCCTCGAGGAGACGCCCAAAAATGCCAATAACACGATATGGCTAGTCTACATCCACGGCGGCGCATGGCGTGACCCTCTCATAGAATCGCAAAGCTTTGAGCCTACTATCAAACATCTTGTCGCTTCGCACTCGGCAACGCTGGACAACATCGCAGGTATCGCAAGCCTGAATTATAGACTTTCTCCTTACCCCGACCACGCGACACAGCCAAGTACACCTGGCGATCCCGGGCGATCTGCTAGACACCCGCAACATGTTCGCGACGTCGCGCACGGAATACGACATCTACAGCGCGAATACGGGATGAAGAGATGGATAGGAATAGGACATTCCTGCGGCGCTACACTGCTCTGCCAACTCATCTCTCATGTCGGTCTTACGGCTGAACTTATTCCTTGCCCGCAACCAGAAGCCTTGATTTTGATATCAGGCATCTACAACCTACCGCTACTCATTCGGAATCATCTTCCGCCTACAACTCCAGAGTACATTTCGGAAATATACAAGAACTTCATCATCGGGGCTTTTGGTGAGGATCAAGCGGAGTGGCAGGCAGTGTCACCTGTTTCGGGCAAGTATAATGCACAACAGTGGCCGGAAGGCAAGCTGTTGGTGCTATGCCATAGCTACGAAGACGAGCTGGTGGAGAGAGCCCAAAGAGATGTCATGTGTGTTGCGCTGGATAGGGAAGGGTTCAATATTGTTATGGAAGTTGGGGATGATGAAGACGAAGTCAAGGCTGAAGGAAGAAGAGTGGTCAATGTGCGGGATCTCAAGGGCGGCCATGATTGGATCTGGGAAGACGGAAAGCAAATCGCGATTCTGGCTGCTGAAGCTGTGGAGCGGTTGATTTAGAATTCGAATTGGAAGTGAAGTGTCGTTGTCTTCGCTATCATCTATACACATACGAGAAGTGGAGTTCCAAAGTGGAAGAGAGAAGACTCCGCGAATGATGCTTGTTTTTGGGTCATGCCCATATCCAATAACCGTAACCCCAATGCAATCGCTTGCTGGTTCGCTGCTAGTTATACAGCGTGGTATAATGTACAGTCGTATCCCGTTCCTGCCCCGTCATCGCTCATCCAAGGGTACTGGCTACCGCTTGTTCAACCTCTCGTCCATGACCCTGTTGATCTCGTTGTGCATCTGGTTCGATCCACTCTCAGCATCGTTCAACTTGCTCTGGAGCTCTTGGATTTGCTTGTTGTTGCCGCCCTCGACCATCTTGGACGCTTGCGCCTTTGCTTGGGAAGCATTGACGTTGCCGTATACTGCCATGGCGCTAGCGATCATGCCACTCATATCGCCAACATTGCCCGGAACAACAATGCTTGTGCCCTCCTTAGCCAGGTTGCCGAATGCATCCACGTACTTCTCAGCGACGGAAAGCGAGATGGCGTTCTGTGCTGCGCCCCCGCCTTGAGAGATGGAGCGAGCAACTGCGTCAATGCCATTGGCAGTAGCAGTAGCCTTCAACAAGATAGCCTCAGCCTCTCCGTTTGCCATGTTGATCTGCTCAGCCCTCAAGGCCTCAGAGGCCAGGATGACTGACTGTTTCTTTCCCTCGGCGATATTGATAGCAGACTGTCTCTGACCTTCTGATTCGAGGATCTCGGCTCGCTTTGAACGTTCGGCAGTTACTTGGCGGTGCATGGCTTCGACGACGGGCTCGGGTGCGTGGATGTCACGGATCTCGTATCGGAGACAAGTGACGCCCCAGTCCTGTGCTGCCTCGTTGATGGCGGCCGTGATGTTGGCGTTCAGGTTGGCGCGTTCTTTGAGGACGTGGTCGAGGGAGAGCTGACCAATCTCGGAGCGCATCGTGGTTTGCGCCAGTTGGGAGATGGCGTACTCGGCGTCTTCTACACCGTAACTGCGAGTTGTCAGACCCGCTATCGGCTCTTGTAGTGTGGTATGCTTACCTGGCCTTGTATGCGTCAAAGACCCTGGTGTAAAGCACACCATCCAGCTCCAACGTGACATTGTCCGCTGTGATGGCACTCTGGCTGGGAATCTCGATGGCATTCTCCTTCAGACTCCGGACGTAGGCGATCCTGTCAATGAAGGGTATCAGGACGGCAAGACCCGGCTCCAGTATGCGGTTGAACTTTCCCATGCGCTCTACAATCCATGCTGTTTGCTGTGGCACGAAGCGGATCACCGTGTTTGTCGGCAGACGCTTGCTTGACGAGAAATAAGAGGGGAGCCCGGACTTGGAGTTGGAGCTGGAGCTGCCGAAAGAAGCGAAGACGTTGGTCGGATCTGTGGCCGAGTGCGAGTTGAGCTGCGAGAAGCTGCGGACCGACGACGCCGTCAGAACAGTAGCAAGTGGACATTTTCTTGGCATTGCGAGCCGCCTTGAGCTTCGCAGTAGCCCGGAAGCCGTAGTGGCTGCCAGCCGTGTGCGCGGCGCCATGATTGTGAGATTGGATGCAAGCGATGATGATGATGATGATGTCGTCGGGACACGCGAAGCTCTAAGGCTGTCGGCGAATGTCTGCGGTCAACCACCGACCGCCGCATTATGTAATCTACCTCTACATTTCCTGTCCAGCTTCCTACGCAAACACACAACAGATCCATATCTAATCTGTTGATGCATATCTACAATAAACCTATACCGAACGTTTCCATCCACCCTCAGCTTCGAACATCTCACCCACCTTTTTGCTTACAGCGAGCAATCGTCTGTCATGGTAGCGAGGCGCAACGAGCGATATGCCGATTGGCATTCCATTCTCGCCCTTGAACCCTGGAACGTTTACTACTGGTGTATGCAGTGCCTTTACGCGTATTAGTCAAGTTTCATCCCGCTAGTTTACGGCATAACCTACTGTCCAGATCAAACAAAAAGCCGCACTTCCTGTCTTCTCAATCCCCAACGGCGCCTCGTCTGGCACACTCGGTGTAAGTACGGCATCGTATCTGCCAAGTATATCGTCCACGATCGGCCTTGCTGCCGCGATCTCGTCAAAGGCTTCAAGTTGCGCTTTGCGCGAAATCTTTCCGCTGTTCTCAACATGGCCTACGAGCTGTTCCGAGATCTTGTCCTTAGCGACCGTATACTCTGGAAGAAACGCAGTTCGGCCGTCAGAGTTGAGTACTGTCGCGTGCCGATTTGGCAACTCGTTCAGATACTCTGGGAACTCAATCTCCTCGACCTCAGCTCCGTGTGCACGAAGGAGCGAGACAGCTTTGTCAAGTGCGGCCGAGGTGCCAGGACCAACGTTTGGCCAGACCATCGTTTTGAGAAAGGCGAACTTCGCACCTTTCACTGTGTAATCTGTTGGAGGCGGAGCATCATCGTGAATGGCAAAGGCGTCGGCGAGGAGTTCCAGATCAGCCACGCTGCGGGCGTAGAGACCAAGTGTATCCAGAATTAGCGAGTAGATCTTTTGGCCTTCGCGGGTTATAGAGTTCCATGTGGGCTTGAGGGCGTAGATGCCGTTGTATGAGCCAGGGCGAATGGTGCTACCACCAGTCTGCGTACCTAGACCAATAGGTGCTTGAAAATCGCCTACTGCGGCTCCAGATCCGGACGAAGAGCCACCAGGAGTACGCTTCGGGTCGTGCGGATTCCGTGTTTTTGGGCCGGTGGTCGTTGCAGCAAACTCGGTCGTGGTTGTTTTGCCCAAGATGAGTGCGCCGTTCTTGCGTAGTATCGCTATGGAGCCGGCATCTACTTGTGGCGCGTCGTTGGCATATATGGGTGAGTTGAATTGTGTAGGCATATCTAGAAGATCAGTCAAGTCGGATTGAACGGAAATCCCGGTGGCTCACCCTTGGTGTAGATGACATCCTTTACGGCGATGGCAACGCCATGCAGCGGTCCCCGTTCAGCTCTTGGAATGGCGTCAAGCGCTCTCGCCTGCTTGATAACATACTCGGGGTCAAGGTACGCCCATGCTTGAACGGCCTCATCGCGCGATTCAATGCGCGCAAGAAGTGATTTTGCGTATTCTTCGACTGAAGTTTCGCCTGCTTTGATCTTCGCCGAGATCTCGCTGGCTGTGAGTCTGTAGAAATCGGAGCTCATGGTCTCGTAGAGTTCGACGATTCAACTATATCTATATAGCTGCTGCTACTATGTACGTAGGTGACAATTGAGCTTTGCTGCGGTATTATGATGAGAGGATTGAAGACGTGGTCTCTTTGAGTTGTAAAGTTGTAGTGTCATTAGACGCCGAAGGCAACGACGCGTTAAAGATGCCATCGGCTCAAGTGACCCGCATCGTAACAGGCAGCTATCACATGTCCCGTGTAGGCCCGCTGATTGCGATAGCCTAGTACTTGTCTTACAAGGGCAAGGTACTCACAGTTAGAGCCGATAACGGCATCCCACCTTTTCGGAACGTCGGTTCCGATCGGAACTTGAGTGATCAAAATGCGGAGCACGGGAAGAAGTGGCTTCTGGACTTGATAGCCGGTCAAAGAATCTTACACACGTTCTGGTATAGGCTGCAAAGAAGTAGCACGATCGCTTCAAAGAAAATACGGTTTCAAATTATCATGGTTCAGTTATGTAGATGCGTGGACACGATTTCGGCTCTATTGCACTATCTCTCGCTTCTCTGGACTTAGAAGGTAACCTTCGGTGACTTCTCGCCAATCTCAACGTCGTCTCCTCCGTCAGTCATAGGAGGTGTTGCAGCCGCATAAATCTCTCCACCATCTCTGTCTCCGTCGTAGAAGCCCTCGCGGCCCTCGTTCGCTAGCCATTCCCGTTCAAACGGCGTGCTCTCTCGTCCGACTGGGAATACTCGAGGTTTGACTAAGAGAGTAAGAACCCAGTAAATCGTCGCTGCCGTGAAGAAGGTCAACAGCCAGCCCATACGGTACATATTTTGTGCAGCTGCCGATATGATCTGCGGCTCGTACTGGCCGATGAGACCTGGAATGCCCATAGTAGTACCAAGTAGCCATGCCACCACACCGTTCCAATTTACACCGGACCAGAACCAGTAGAGGCCTGTCTTTTTACCATCGTAGCAAGATGGTACATGTATGTTTCCCTTTCGTGCGATGAAATAATCGACGATGATGACGCCGCAAAGAGGTGCCATGAAGATGTTATAGGAACCCAGGAAACTTGTTGACTGTTAGTATGATCAATGCGACCTCGGGGGACTTGACTAGGAGCTTACCTCAAGAAGGCTGAAGCATTCTTCATCAACTGCCACGGCTGCACGACTACACCGAGGATCGCGCAAAGCACCTGGCCACGACGAATGGTAAGCCATTTTGGGAAGAGACCGGTCATGTCACTTCCAAATGGAATGGAGTTCGCCCCAAAGTTCGTCGCGAAGACTCCGAGATAGAACGCCAGAGCGGCGAAGAAAATACCCGCACGCGCACCAGCGCCGAAATGGTGGTCGAGAATGGCCTCGAAGAGGTCCCAAATATTCCAGTAAGCAACGCCATATGCTGCCTGCATAGAAGTCGTAGAGGCCATGCCCAAGAAGAACACGACAATGGAGGCCACGAAGACACTGATACCCTGGGTTATACCAGCATCTCGAGGCTTTTTGCAGTATCGAGCAAGATCGGGTTGGTTGACTAACATAGGCGAGAGGGAACCGAAGATGGTATTAATGCCGGCCATGATGCTCCATCCTAGAGGCGTCACCGAGGCAGCAAGCTCGCCTTCGTTGGAAGCAAGGTCCATTGCGCCCAGTCCACCTCCATTGGCCATGCACCATCCGAACACTGCAAAAGCTGCAATTGGCATAATGAACCCTTTCACCGTGAAGATGTAGTGGATGTGCCTGGGATGGACCCACATGAACGGAAACTCCATTAGCCAAGCCATGAAAAAAGCCAAAAGTTGCTTTGAGGTGACGCTCGCAGTAGGAGAAAGAGTGTTCATAAAGTTCTCCCATGAGCTACCGAAGATGCAACGGAGCATCACCGAGAGGATGTTCCCAGCGTAGAAGGATTGAATGCCGTACCAGATGATGCACACCATGGCTCTGATGAAGACGAAGAAGTAAGAGCCGTACATTCCCATGACCTAAAGATTGGTGTACCAAGTCAGCATATGTCTCACATGCAGTTCGTACAACAGCGTTACGTACTGATCTTGCGATGACGGGAAATCCGATGTGATACTTCACGCCTGGTCGGGCCATGAGAATAACTACGACCGCAGCAAGGAAAGAGCCAATGCAGGCCGATACGAAGGATTGTTGCCATGTCAGGCCGACGGTTACGAGAGCGGAGCCAGTGTTCCAGCCAACAAGGGAGAATTGGTTGGAGAACCAGTATAACGGCAGATTAAACCTTGATCTGTCATAAGACACTTCAAAGTATTCATGATCGATGGTACTCACCAAGTCCATGTTCTCTGTTCAACTGGCGTTGGCTCAAGATCTTTGTTGGACCATCTTTCGTCGCCAATTGGGGCGTGACCGTCATTGCCTTGTGGGGCTTTGATGAAGTCGATAAATGCTTCCTTGGAACGGAAGGGTGCTGCGAACCGGTCCTTGGTCGGGAACTGGACTCTTCCCATAGTGCTGTAGTGGTCTGGTGTGATTGACTACTCGATGCTCACAGCCTTCCAAACCACCTTCATGTTGGCGGACCATGGTTTCTCATATGTCGATCGGACCCTACGCCAACTCCAGATCGTTCACGTATCACAGGCATATCGGACCTTGATTGACCAAAGGTATGGCTTCTAGGGAAGCCTCTTTCGGCGAGTTTTTAGCCGACCATGTTGCTATGCGCGCATCAGTTCTCCCCAAGCCTTACAGGAGCACCTACGACGCGATCAACAGCAGGGGTAGAGATAGGAGGACGCTGTACAACTCCGACATGTTTCTTGTTGCGGCGTAGTCCTTCTGTAATCTTTGGAGACCCCAACCCTATGGATGAATGCAGCCGAGATAAGACCACGTGATGTGTCATCTTAGCCTGTTCGGGACAATTCGCGATAAGACACACGTCGGCTCATACATCCCACTCCTTCAATGGACTATCGCACGTGGAGAAATATGGATCCAACCGGTATGGATTCGAGCCGAAAGCTGCAGGGCTGTCACTTTCTTGCCATACTCTCGACAACGAGGTCATGTTGCAGTCCTACCCAGAGAGCCCCGTAAGCCCCTCTACCAGCCAGGGGGTGATAGGTTCGGCAGCGGATCCAGTACTGGTATCGAATTCCGCTGCTCAAGCTCAACCAAACGCCACGAGTCCTCCACCTCCTGCAACTAGGAAGTCTCGCGTCGCCTTGGCTTGCAAAAGGTGCAAGCGAAGAAAGCAGCGTGTACGTCACGTCGCACATTGCCTGCTGCGAGAGCATGGGCTAAAGACGATGTAGTGTGATGGTGCACGTCCAGTCTGCAGATCGTGTCAGCGAGCTGGCGTAGCTTGTGCGTATGAGAGGACCATTCGTCCTCAGTACCCTGGCGGCAAGTCTGTGTAGGTTCATCCTGTGGTCTTCAACGTACCTGCGATCTGCTTCTGACTCCTCAGCTATATCAATGCTTTAGAAGAACGAATCGCCTTTCTTGAGGCCCGCCTCCCCGATCATGCTGAGGATCACTACGACAATGGCCCAGAAAGTCTACAGAACACGTCTTCTATGAATGTTGAAGAGCCCGCTCTGGTTCTCCAGCCTCAGCCCAGTGCATCGCGCCGCGAATCCCGAGAAGACTGTTTTTCCGAAGATCTCGAGGGTGAGGATCGGACCTCACTCGTTGACGGCGTTGCCTATCTGTCTTTGTGCGCATCTGGAACCACAGATACAACCTCAGAACCTTACTATGTCGGCTCTAGTTCCGGTGCCACCATTGCTCGCATTATCCAGTCCTCCATCTTCCGAAGTTCTGGCAAGAGAGCAGTTACTCAACCCGCGTCTCAAACATGCCAGGCTACGGGAACCTCGAGACCACCTGCCCCTCCTGAATCTACTCATTCCGAAGAGACCGGCGCCGATTTTCCGGATCGACAGCAGGCGCGTATGTTGTTTGATGTCTTCTTCGAACGCATACATACGCGCTGGCCGTTGCTAGATCGCGTGGTTTATACAAGACTTTTCGAAAAGCAATTTGTTCGAGGCGCCCTGACTATCATTGAACGCAGCATGTTTCATTTGATATATGCCATAACTGCTCGCTTCCTGTCTCTAACGCGAAAGCCTTGTGGTATAGACTCAGAGGTAAGACCTACTAGTGCAGACTATGCTATGAAACTCACAGATCGCAGCATCATCTTGTTGCAGCTACCGAGCCAATGGACTATATTTTAGACCAGCACAACCTTGCGACGGTACAATTCCTTATCTTGCTCGGAGTACATGGCCAGAGATCACCTTATGGTGCAGGCGCCTGGTCTCAGATCCGATTTGCAACATCCGTGTGTATCGAGATGGGTTTGCACAGGAAGAAGACGGTGATGGACTCCCCTGCGCACGCAAGGGATGCAGAAATTCGGCGGCGTAATTTCTGGGCGTGCTACTGCCTTGATAGGGTGACTAGTATTGTGCTTGGCAGGGCTTTTGCTATCGCTGATCGAGACATTAACGTCGAGGTAGGCTGCCAAACCAAGTTATGGTGTATTCACTGACGTGTTCAAAAGCTTCCCAGTACAAGTCCTGAGTTTTATACTTTGACACATTCAGAAGTTCCAGACTCGGATAAAGCCCAGTGGTCAAATATCGAGCCTTTCATACACATCATCAAACTCGACCAGATCCAGTCACGCATTCATAAAGCAGTATTTCGCGTTGATAGAGATGTCTTCAACGGGACACCAGAACGGCGGGCTAAACTTGACCGAAAGATGGCTGCCATTCGCAGCGATCTGGACGAATGGCTGCGAACCTATCCGCAGACACCGAAGAAGGAAAACAAGATCACCTGGATGTACGATCCGGAAAGCGCATATCTTGATGCACGAGACTTTTATGGTGTTCAGTACCACAAAGCAATGCTGTTCCTTTTCACCGTCTTTCTTCCTACACTCGACACATCAGACATGCGCTTCATCACATGTGCGCGCTCAGCGGCTTGTGTTTGTAACGCATACAAGCGATTGAGTCAGAACCGAACACTGACCTACACCATGATCTCCCTCCATTCGTGCTTCGTAGCTGGCTTGACACTGGTGTACTGCATCTGGCGGGATCGATCTCTCTTTTCCTACGATGTTCTAGAGGCAACACGGGCCTGCTCACAGATCTTGACTATCTTCGGCGAGAAATGGCCCGGTGCCGTCAAATATCGCGACATCTTCGATGCGTTATCCGGAAGCTTGTTCAAGACGATTGTCAATTCGACGCCTACTACGACGATGCACGGTAACGGTTCGAGACCGCTGCAGCTTGATGTGGATGCAGAGCCTGGTATAACGCCGCGGAGTCGACGAGAGAGTCGCGAACAAGCGTCACACCTTCCAACGTATAGCAACAAACCTACCATGTCGCACATGGTCACGGACGCTGTGAAAGAGGCTTTTATGGAGGTTGATGAAGAGGCACCTGGCGGATGGCAAGGGTGGCGTATGTTCAACGAGATGGTAAGCGATGATACGACCTCTGCAGCGAGTGCAGCGATGCGATTCGATGGTGTGAGTCAAAATCAGACTGAGGTGAGCTGGGATGCTTACGATGGTTCTGGATTTTATGGCGTGGATCCAATCCAAGACGCAGCAATGCAGATGGACAGCCGCAATATTGTGGATGGTAGTCAATGGAACTTCGGAGAGTATAGATAGGCAACTTCATGACCGTCGTCCTCATTTATACCATTCACAATGGCCTTTTACGTACCGAAGATGATCCAGGTTCAACATTCAACAATTCCTTATTGGTTATCTACGCGAGCTGGCCCTTCTTGTAAGGAAACTGTTCTCTGAAAGACTCTGCTATTTGAGTCCGAGTCGCAACCCAAACCCCTTCCTTTTCCGAGATGTACTTCACAAAGTCTTGAAGCGCCTTGAACCTTCCTGGCCTGCCAATGATGCGGCAATGTAACCCGATAGTCATCATCTTTGGCTCACCCGCTTCGCCCTCCTCATACAGCACATCGAAAGCATTCTTCAAGTGCTCGTAGAAAGCTCCCGAGCTGCGGAAGCCAGTTCCTTGGCAGTGAAATTTGAAGTCGTTACAGTCGTAGCTGTAGGGAACCATCAAACAACCTTTGGGGTTTGCGCTACCACGCTCGTGAGGCAGGTCAGTCCAGTAAGGAAGATCATCGGCGTATGTGTCGCTAGCCCATAGAAGTTCTTCGCCCATCTCCTCATATACGAGCGGAATCAGAGCTCTGCTCTGTGGTGATGGACGACCATAGTACCATCCCTTTGGTGCGTAGCCAGCAAGCTTTTTCAATGACGTGATACCATCTCTGATGTGCTGTTTCTCAGCCTCCACAGAGAGGTTGGCATGGTCTATCCAGCGGTAAGCATGAGAAGCGATATCATGGCCTTCTTCCACGCTTCGGATGACAGCCTCTGGTTGTTCTTCTACGGCTGAGCCGACAGCGTAGAGGGTAAACTTCATCTTGTAATCGTTGAACAGCTTGAAGATACGCCACCATCCACGACGGGAACCATATTCGAATTCTGATTCGCCGCTGTAGTCTCGTTCGTTTATTCTGTGTTGCGCTGGATATTCACGAAGGTTGATCTCGGAAACTCCATCGCCTTTCATCACAGAGCGTTCGCCGCCCTTTGGTATGTCAACAATATTTCTAGAGCAAAGGGTGACTAGACGGCAACTTACCTCCTCATAGTTAATGACGAAAGATACGGCAACCTTGGCATTGTTGGGCCATTTTAACCCCTGAAGTCCCTTCTCGCCGTAACCTTTGAATTCGCGTGGGAAGGCATAGTCAGGTGGTGCGGCATAAACTTCAGGCATGATGAGAGTACTTGGAGACTGGAAAGTAAGACCTGGTAATAGGGGATGTACTAGATTTGACGTAGACGATACTCAGGCTTTGCGACACAAACATATATGTACCATCAGCGGAGCATCTCGCGATAGCCTTTCCTCATCATCTACCAAGCTATCGGCCATTCTCATCCGTGACGCCTTCACGTAATCGGCGACATACCAGGCCTTGCCGTGCCTCACGATGAGATCCCAATATTGCGGCCGAATGCGACCCACCGCAGTGTTATCAGAAGAATGGAGTAGTTATCGGCTTGGAAAGAACCGCATGTGGAACATTGCCGTGAGGGGGATCGCTGAGATGAGGGGACAGGCCAATCCGACGTCGCCGATAACGACCGACTTTTGTGGGGCTGCACAGTACCTACCTATGTCGGCATACCCAGGGTAAAGCCCAGGTTGATCTGGAGACAGCTTTCTGGTACTTTGATTGTGAACAATGAGTAATGAGGTACAGCGGAGAACAATCGCGTCCATGTTCCGATGTCGCTACCCCACACGCTCTGGATGCTCCAATGCAATCGCTATCGCTTCATTTATTTGACTGTGATGAGTTATGGACGGTGCCGAACAAGGACATGATCGAGGGATTTTATGATATGCTGAGGACTTGGTGTCACGATATGCTGATAATTGGGTGTCACGGAGAACCTTTGATTGTTTGCAAAAATACTTTGATGATTCGCTGTCTCGGCCATGTATCTCATGAGTTCGTCATGTCACTATTCGACTTGAGCAGACGTTCCTTGCTACACGGCGTCTCCTATCCTCGATTTCTCATCAGACATTCTTTGCTTTGTCTCAACTTCTTCGCCGTGGATGATTTCTTGTTGAGCCTCATCCGGCGGTATTGTCGGCTGTGCTCCTTCCTCGTCCAGCTTTTTGGGTGCTTTCAGACTAGTGTTACCAACCCAGAATGTCAAAGACAAGCTTAGACCTGAGCAGACGGTGAAAAATATGAAGATGTAGTGTAGACCAAGCATATATGTGTCAAACACGTCTTGCTTTTGGTCTGGGGAAAGACCAAACTGGTCAAGGTCGTACGTTGAGGATGTCAATTGGCTCATCAGATCGTCTGACACGAAAGACCTGTTCGATAAGTCTCGACTGAGCGTATTTGAGAGGATGACACCGGAGATGACCAAGCCAAAAGCACCACCAATAGTGCGGATAAAGTTACGCAAGCCGGTCGTCACTGCGCGATCCTCTGCGCGACTATTGGCGTACATGCCCACAAGTGTCGGCTGGAGCGTTAGACCAATACCAGCACCTTCTATGATGAGGACAACGATCAACACAGCAAGACTCGTATCTCGGTCGAACAATAGTGTGAGGCCATTGCCCAGAGTCCACAAACCAAAGCCGAGCAGGATGCAGTGCATATAGCTGCCGACCCGGTTCATGTACTGGCCTGATGCGATAGACGTGAAAGAGGTCGTGATAACCACCGGCAGGATCAAGGCACCGGAAACCAGGGACGAATACCTGAGAACCGACTGGAAGTAGATTGGAAGGTAGAAGAAGTTGCCGAAGTACGCAAGACCTATGAAGAATGTCTGCAGATATAGTGCCCAACAGTGCGGTGCGCGGTACAGTCGAAGTGGCATGATTGGAAGAGCCACAAGTTTCCACTCGTAGAGCACGAACAGTACGCCTAACACTGCACCAATAACAGTGCAAGCGATGAAAAATGGAGAGGCCCATGCGTAGGTTACACCGCCCCCTGATAGTGGAATGAGCAGGAGCAGGGTGGATGCAATGTTCAGCAGCATGCCGCCGTAATCAATCTTCTTGATCTTTTCGAGATGATCGCCAGATCGATGCTTTAACGGTAGGAAGAATAGGATAACCATGGAAGTTGGCACACTCATAATAGGTATTATCCAAAATACCCACCTCCAAGTCGCCCCTTCAACGATGGCGCCTCCAAGGAAGGGACCTGCGCCGTTTCCCAAAGCGATGATTGCACCCAGCCATCCTAGATAGAAGTATTAGTATCATGTGATTATGCGTAGACTGGGTTTCTCACCCTGATATTTGCCCCGGTTTTGCAACGTTGTGATATCGCTGACGATAATCATTACAAGACTGTTAATGCCACCGCCACCGATACCCGCAATGGCACGTAGGACAAACAGCTGGACTGCTGTTCGCGCGAAACCACATCCAAGGTCTCCCAGGGCCATCAACGTAAGACTAATCAGCAATAGATTCTTGCGGCCAAAGATGTCCGATAGACGGCCATTGATCAGTTGGAACGCCGTCGATGCGATGAGAAACGATGTACCGATCCAAGATGTTGCTGTTCCGGTATTCAAATCCGCAGCGATTGCAGGTGTTGCTGTTGAAACGCTAGTTTGGTCGATAAAGGAGACGAAGAGGCAGACTGATAGAGCTGGAATGGCGATTCGGAGTTGGGTAGATGTCATGGTGTTTCTTTGGCCGCCAATGGATGCTGCATCACTATCGTCGTCATCCTCGGCTTGTTGGATGGTAGGCGAAGCGGGTGGACTGTGAAAGTTTTTCGTATGTGTTCCCAGGTCGTCTGGCTCGTCGTCTCCGGATGGCTTCTTACTAAGAGTATGATCAACGCATATGTTGTTTTCTTTGTCGAGCTGCATCGAGTCCGTCTCATTAGCGGAGGCCTGTTGGTCTCTCATCGTGGTGTTCTTCCGGGATCGCAATGAGCCTCAAAACCATAGCGAATCTTTTGACGGGTATATTAGGCACAAGATCAACGGTCCCAAACATCGTGGCTAGCGTTGAAGCTGGACGTGGAGCTTCGGGAGGCTGTCCGGGCGGGACGGGGCCTCGCAATGACGCCTACTGACACCTGCAGGATTGGTACGTATTTTCCCCTCAGAGACATCGCGAGAGTAGCCAGTTACAGCTCAGCTGTCTACGCGCGTGGCAGAAATGCTGACACGCTTCGATGGCGTAAGTGGCATTGCGGATGAAAGCAGCCGGCGGAGGCAGGGGCGCCAAGTGGGTCGTTTTAGCATAGCGACCTCTTATCGGGACTTTTTCAGCCGACGCATCTCCAACCCCTGATCCTTCGTTGATTGCAATTCCCATGGATATCGGATCAGCATGCTGAGAATGGCACTCCAAATGTCCAGCCGAATCTCGGCATCACGGGTGAGCCTGACAGACGTCGTGTGTCAGGCGGGCTATGAGCTGCTGATAACGAGTACAGCAATTCATCGTTGGGTCCTAGCTAACGTCCATAATACGTGTGATGGTCCACAGCTACACAAGTACCAAACAACAACGAAGTATTGATATAGCGAGCAAACTCGGTTTCAGCCAGAATCATCCAAGCTTGCCTATCTTTCAAACAAAATCAGTATCGCCTGCGGAGATGTCACGACTTTTTCACCCATTGACAGTCGGGGATGTTAAGCTAGACCATCGTGTCGCTATGGCACCGTTGACCCGGTATCGTATGGACGATGACTTTAAAGCGACGCCCATGAGCAAAGGTATATGTACTGCTATCGTCGCGAAGGAACGATTTTGACAGACTGTTCTAGAGTACTATGAGCAAAGAGCATGTGTACCAGGAACCCTCATTGTCAGTGAGGCAACCATCATCTCTAGGAACGCTATTGGATGTCGGAACGCCCCTGGAATATGGTCACAAGATCAGATTGATGCATGGAAAGATATCACAGCAGCAGTACACGCCAAAGGCTGTGCGATATACTGCCAACTTTGGCATCAAGGCCGTGCTGCGAAGCCCGATACGCTAGACGAGGAATGTATTAAGATGGTCTCCGCCAGTGCGGTCCCCATGAGTCCTCAAGATCGGACACCGGAAGCGATGACCGAGGAGATGATCTGGACCACGATAGCAGATTATGCCTCTGCAGCTAAGAACGCGATTGCTGCAGGATTTGATGGTGTCGAGATACACGGTGCTAACGGGTATCTACCGGATCAATTCTTACAGACGACCTGCAACCAACGAACAGATAGTTGGGGAGGCACTATTGAGCAAAGAGCGCGATTTCACCTCGAAGTAACCAAGGCAGTAATCGGGGCTGTTGGCACAGAAAGAACGGCAATGCGTCTAAGTCCTTACAGCGACTTTAATGGCATGCTAATGGACGAGCCCGAGCCGACCTTCAAGTACCTTACGGAAGAGTTAAAGAAATTAGGCTTAGCTTACCTCCACCTTATCGAAGCCCGCATTACTGGCAACGACGATTCGGAATGCGGAGGACAGAAGACTGTGCGCTGGATGGTTGAACTGTGGGATAACGCAAGTCCAGTCATGCTGGCTGGAGGCTTCCTACCCGATTCGGCGAAGCAGACCGTTGACGAAGCATACAAGGACTACGATGTCATCATTGCATTCGGAAGGTACTTCGTCGCCAACCCCGATCTTGTCTTTCGCGTCAAGGAGAGCGTACCGCTGGTCAAATATGACCGTTCAGTTTTCTATACCCCGAAAACACCAAAGGGATACATCGACTACCCACACAGTGCGCAGTATTTGAAATCCATGGCGAAGGCTTGAGATAGGTCTTTTGTGTAGTAGTCGCATTATACCAAACATGTGGTGTCTCTTCCATTCTTGCACCGCAAACGCCTTTGGCAATTCCCTCCAAGCGTAAGCTCGCGAAGAAGCTTTCCCTTTCTTACTGTAAATTGATACTAGAGAAGGTACTGCAGAAGTATAAATCAATGATGTTACTCAGTGTTGCAGATAGAGTATAGGGTATACAATAGTTCTCCTACTGTATTCCCAGATGCCACTTTGATATCAAATTCCATCTCTACCCATTCGGTGAGTCGAGGTAGTGATTGGTTCGTTGTCCCAACACTGGTAGGGCATCTTTTCCACCCCGAGACCTCCAAAAAACCGTATTCCAGACGCGGCAACCAAGGTGCTGGCTTCGATGCCGTACTCTTCGACCCTCCTAGGCTTTTCCTGTCTACGGCTCACTGGGGCCTCGAGCTCAGAATTTATAAGGAGAAGCTTCTTTCTTCCATAGAAGTTGTTTCTTCTCTTAGGACGTCTTCCAAACGTTACAGGTTAGCCTCCGCCTAGCTGAGCAGGACTGTGCAGGTATCGCGCTCACTTGTAAGTGATTCTCTTCTTCTCTAATCATCATCCCGTTCTGAAATCGCCAGGATAGATATCCTTAGATGAGTCGATAATGTCTGTGGGGTCAACCCTTGTCATAAGTCGCTCTCGGCATGCACATGTAAGTGAAGTCCTCCTTCTAACTTAGATTTACACCAAATATTAGTGCTCCAATTGGGGCTATGGAGGCTTGTTCTCGATGTGTTGAAACTGGGAATCCTACCTAGGTACCCAGACGTACCCACGGTCTCGATCATCTTCCTGTTCCTCCGCTGTGAAGCGACCAGGACACGTTGTAAAACGAACGAAAACGCTTGGATCCGAACGGCCCTTGCGAGTTTGCAGATATGTTCCATCCATTAATAATTCTTTCATTTCGGCTATTTTAGGCCATTTTATGTTAGATTCTAGTGGCGGTCAGCGTTGCTCGGCGAACTTTCCATCATTTGTTACCTACTTTTGTCATCCTCGAGTACGAATAAGATGTCAAACTTTATAGATGATGATTCGTATTGCTCTCTGATATGAAGCAACAAACGAAGGTTTTCAAGCAAGTCATACTCTTCGTCTCCGTGTTCTCGAAAATGGACCCATGTGACGTATACATGCCGAAGGGGTGTGAAATATCCTGCTTTGCGCATCGCAAGGATGCCAGGAAGTTGTTTGTCAGCTCTGGCGTCTAGCGCACGAAGCCATTCGATGTGCACGTGTTCGATTCCCTGCGGGAAGAATTGTAGAACACTTCTCTGGCTTCTATCTGGAGATGTTGAGGATAGGAAACTTGACCAGTATGTAGCCGCCTAGATACAGGAAAGATTGACGTTAGATGATGCTTGCGGAGGGCGAAACGTTAGGTTCCTCACTAAGGCTAAGCGAACAATTGTCCTGCTTGCAGGGCAGCGCGTGTAGACGACTTTGGTTACCACTGCGAAAGAAGTAAGAAACTAGAGACAGCGAGTGAGTGATTGTCCCCAAGTCAAGCTAAGGACAAGTCTAAACCCAAGACGCTTGATAGTGATTCCTGTGCGTTCCTGCAGGTACTTTGCGCGGCCAGGGCTTTTTTGCCAACCGCGTGGCACGTCGTCGGACGCGAAACTCCCGCGAGCTTATGTACGGACAGCGGCTACCCCACGCCCACGCTGCCGGGCCCGCTCCCCGCCGCTGCACCTCGAGCTCTTTAGACGGTCCTCAACTGCTACCACCACAACCACCAACATGTCGGCCAAGATAGACTCAGAGACGCTCAAGCAGTACCTGGCCGATAGCCCGCCTTCTATCGTGCCTCTGGCCATCAAGCCCCACTTCGATGCGCTGACGGATAAAGAGAAGCTCTATGCCCACCACCTCTCAGTGTAAGACATGTGCATCCATCGGCTGTCTGTGACATGGCAATTGATGCGTATCGTAGAGCCTGCTTCGCCGGAACACGCGTTGTCCTTCGCCAAGTCTCCCCCGAATCCGAGCACATCTATGACTTCATCGTCGCTCTCCATAAGCACACCAAGGGCGACTATGCTTCCCTCGCCAACGACACCGGTCTTTCACACGAAGAGATTGACGCATACCTCGATTACTCAGCGCAGTTCCTGGGCAACCTAGGCAACTTCAAGTCCTTTGGCGACTCCAAGTTCGTACCCCGCCTCGACCCCCGCCAGCTGAAGGCACTCGCGACCGCATCCAAAGACACCCTAGCCATCTACGACAAGTTCAAGGACGCCATATACACCGGCAATGATGTAGGGAAGCTGCACCTGGGCTATCCCGGTGCAGGGCACATATCCACCTACTACCCTGATAGTCCCGACATCACCAGCGAGCGCATCTCCAGCGTGAGCGATTTCCTCGAAGGAAAAGGATTGCTTCCCGAAAACACAAGGATCAGGAAGACCAAGGACGGCTACGAGGTTCTCATTGCGTCCGCTTCGGACAGCCCAGCGGCAGAGCAACGCGACTTGAAGGAAAGCGAGTGGACAATGGACGATGGAAGCAAGCTGAAGCTCGTCTTTGGCGACTACTCCAAAGAGATGGACACCATTGCATACCATATCGAGCAGGCAAAGAAATACGCAGCCAACGACCACCAAGTCAAGATGATGGAAGAGTACTCCAAGAGCTTCAGGACAGGATCACTACAGGCCTTCAAGGAGAGCCAAAAGGCCTGGGTACAGGACAAGGGTCCTCAAGTAGAATCCGACATTGGCTTCATCGAGACGTATCGCGACCCACACGGCATCCGCGGCGAGTGGGAAGGCTTCGTGGCCATGGTGAACAAGGAGCGGACGCGCGCCTTTGGCAAGTTGGTCGAGACAGCCCCACAGTACATTCCTCTACTACCGTGGGACAAGTCTTTCGAAAAGGACAAGTTCCTCAGTCCGGACTTTACGTCGCTCGAGGTGTTGACGTTTGCGGGCAGTGGGTAAGTCTTTGTAGTTTCCATCATCTCACCACTCATCTAATACCAAACAGCATACCGGCCGGGATCAACATTCCAAACTACGATGACATTCGGCAGAACTTCGGTTTCAAAAACGTATCTCTTGGCAACATTCTTTCTGCAAAGGCACCCAACGAGAGCGTTCCATTCATCAAAGAGCGTGATCTAGCAACCTACCAGAAGTACCGAGATCCTGCCTTCGAGGTCCAGGTCGGTCTCCACGAGCTGCTCGGCCACGGATGTGGTAAGCTGCTTCAGGAGACGGAGCCGGGCGTTTTCAACTTCGATAAGGAGAACCCTCCGATTTCACCCCTAAGCGGCCAGCCAATAAAATCCTGGTACAAGCCTGGCCAGACGTGGGGGTCGACATTTGGTGCTATCGCTGCTTCCTACGAGGAATGCCGCGCCGAGTGCGTCGCTATGGCGCTCTCTTGCGAATTTCCCATACTGCAACTTTTCGGCTTCGGTGACGGCAAAGCCGACATGAAAAGCGAGGCGGGAGATGTTCTGTTCACTGCATACCTCCAAATGGCTCGTGCGGGTATTGCAGCACTGGAGTTCTGGGATCCCAAGAGCAGGAAGTGGGGTCAGGCCCACATGCAGGCCCGCTTCTCTATCTTGCGCACATTCCTCAATGCTGGTGTCGAGTTCTGCCAGCTGGAATGGGAGAAGGACGATCTCTCCGACCTCACTATCCGCCTTGAGCGCGATCGCATCCTAGATCTAGGTCGCCCTGCCGTGAACGACTATCTCCAGAAGCTTCATATCTACAAGGCAACTGCAGACGTTACCGCCGCCAAGAAGATGTATGACGAAATCACCAGTGTCGAGCCCTTTTACGAAAATATGGTCAGACCAGCTGTGCTGAAGAAGAAGCAGCCGAGGAAGGTGTTTGTCCAAGCAAACACAGTCGAGAAGGACGGAAAGGTCGATCTGATTGAGTACGAAGCTACTAACAAGGGCATGATCCAGAGTTGTGTGGATAGGGAGTATGTCTGAACATGCGACTGTGGCCATGAGAACGTTCAAACAACCCCATGTTGATGCTTTGAGAAGTCGTATGCACAAAGACATGAGCAACATATAAGAGAAAAAATAACAGCTGACCGAAGAGTCTGGACTTTAAGATTCGTCTCCCGAAGATTTGGTCACCACGTGCAAGTGGATAATGAACATCCATATCCACCAGAGTATTGTCCGCATCAGTTGTGTCATGTCATTTGAGAATCGGACGAGCCGCGCGCATAAGTATTCTTCCGACGTATGACAGACGCGGAAAGCAGCTTCCGTTGTGCGAATTGCGAAATGAACGAACACGCCTTGAAGTGGTACACCTGGGGTAGTCTTGCAATGGCTGCAACGTCATCTTGTCAAAGATGATGTCGTCATAAGATGAATATAGTAGGACATATGTTTTGGCTGGAATACTGGTACCAGACACAAGAACTCCTGCTTGTTATCGGGCAAAACATTGCCGAGATTTGCTTGGGCTTGCTTGTGGTAAGTCTTAGCGCCGGCATATGGTGCGCTAATGTAGGTCGAAGTGCGGAGAGACGAAACGTGCTAGCCCGTCACATATCCGCCCTACCCGTTTCCGAAGAGAACGCCGAGGTTCACCTTATTTTCCACCGCTCAAGCGCCATCTGTATATGAAGATAAGTCAACTGACCATAACCTAGCTCAATGCTGGTCGCAAAAAGATGAGTAGCTACTGTGGGATCTAACGATTATGTGGTGTGGTCATTCGGACCGACCTGCGGATGAGAAAAAGATATTCCTTGACTACACATGCAGACAGGTACGGTCAACAACTAGGTCGCATAGTCACAAACTCCGCTCACAGAGTACCCACAAGAGATTCTAGCGACGAGGTCCGTCAGGGCTGAAGGATGAAGGCAGAAGAGGGGCAAGGAACAGGCGAGGTGTGAACATCAGAAGGATGCAAACATATCTCCGGTTCCTGAATCGATGGCAGCGAACCACCGGCGATAGTGCCTGAAGCGAACAAAACTACAAGGATCCAGATAGTTGTCAAACTACTCAGAGGCCCTGTGGCGTACGTGACTGCGCCGCTGTCATTTAGAGGGTGCGCTAGCGCCATGAGCTGGTGCTTTACAATGCCCCTATCATCACAAAGCGCTGGTCCTTCCGTCTTGCTAATGGCGGAAATACCACTAACACGCAAAAATCATTCTCCTCGACGTTGAATCTATCTCGATGCCGACATGGGTATCGGAATGCTCTTCCAGTGGGGTAGTCTCCAAGCTAGTATAGGAAATGCTTTAAAAAGAGCAGATATCTCAATGGTAATGGGCTACCCATACTACCAATCCACTCCTTTCACACAGTCAACTTTCTTCTTAGCTTCAGGCAAGCATCTTCTCATCAAAATTTCATTATGAAGTTCTCCCTTCTCGCGCTTGCAAGCGCTTACACAGCCAGCGCCGCCGTCATCGGAGAAAGGGCAGCATATGCTGTCAAGGGCACACCTGAAGGTTTCGGAAAAGGAACGACCGGAGGTGGTAGTGCAGCATGTGTCGTTCCTTCTTCAGTGTCGGAACTGAAGACGTGGCTCACCGATAGCACTGCGCGTTGTATCGTGCTCGACAAAGAGTACAACTTCAAGGGTACGGAGGGAACTACGACTGCCACTGGTTGTCGTCCTGCCTCCAACAAATGCCCTGGCAATGGAGGTCAGGATGCTATCAACTCCGCCAACTGGTGTACCAACGGAAACGCTGGAGCGGGTGCCACATCGGTTACTGTCAAGTACGACAATGCTGGTGTGACTGCTATCAACCTGGGCTCCAACAAGTCCATTATCGGTGTTGGCAACAAGGGTGTTATCCGCGGAAAGGGTCTCCGCATTGCCAACGGCGCAAAGAACATCATCATTCAGAACATCCATATCACCGAACTCAACCCTCAGTATATCTGGGGTGGTGACGCTATCACTCTGGACGGAGCTGATCTAGTCTGGGTCGGTATGTTAATTCTTCCATTCCACGCTCACTACCAAGCTGACATATACAACAGATCACGTCAAGATCTCCCTCATCGGTCGCCAAATGTTCGTTGCTGGTTACGGTAACTCCAACCGCGTGACAATCAGCAACACAGAGTTTGACGGTCAAACCTCTTGGTCTGCTTCTTGCGATGGACGTCACTACTGGGCTATCTTGCTCCTTGGTGGCGGAGACCTCATCACTATGAAGGGCAACTACATCCATCACACCTCTGGCCGCAGCCCCAAGGTCGGTGGACAAGGAAACACACTGCTCCATGCTGTCAACAACTACTTCTACAGTAACACCGGCCACGCTTTTGACATTGAGGCCGGCGGTATGGTCGTCGCTGAGGGCAACGTATTCCAGAACGTCAATACCCCCCTCTTGAACAACAACGGACAGCTCTTCTCTGCACCTTCAACCTCCGCAAACACTGTTTGCTCAAGCTCCCTCGGACACACCTGCCAGCTTAATGCCTTCGGAAGCAGCGGCAGCTTCAGTGGCAGCCAAACGGACTTCCTAGTCAACTTCAAGGGCAAGAACGTTGCCAGTGCTGCAGCGGCGAGCTCAAACGTTGCCAACACTGCTGGTGTTGGCAAGATCTAGAGCATCCCGGTGGTGCATATGCAATTGCCTGCATGACCGATGCTAGGCGCGTGGCCTCCGCAAGTTCAAGGACGTGCCACCCATCTTCTTTGTATCTACTTTGCTCCATCAAAACTTTTTTGTAAATATCTTTAGACAACATATAGTTGCAGGTTCCATCAAACTTTATTCTTACAGACTTGTCCCATAACCTTTAGTGCAAGCGAGCCAAGTTCTGACTATATTACAAGCATGGCAAGTACGCGCATTAGCACTCACATGACTTCGAATGCAAAGACTTCCCGAAAAACCTCCAGGTTAGTCTGCCCGATTGGTCCAGCAGCATAGACAGCAAAAGCGATATGCTCGAACCACCCTGCGAACTCCTCACTCTCCAAAGCCATCTTCATCTCCTTTGCAACAACTCGAGGCGGACACCTATAAGCACCGCAACCCATAGCACCCAGCACCAGCCTCGTAACCCCTTCTCCCGCAGCCATCCTCAATACCAACAGAATCTTCTCCCTCAAATTTTCCAAATCCTCCATCTTAACAAAACCCTTTCTTCCCTCCGTAACAGCGGGTAGACACGGCGCCGCAACCGTCATGACAGCCACGACATGGCGCTGATCTACAGGCAACTCGGCGAGCCCATTATCTAGCGTGTCCCTGAAGACGACCACGTCGGGGGACATGACGCCTGCAATAGACCCTTGTCCCGTATTAGGCCAGGGGTACCATTCCGGCTTCAAAGTAGCGAACAGCGTGCTAGAGTAGCACAAGGCCTCTTCTTGCGTTCGCGAAAGCGTGTAGCGCCAGCCGCCGCCTGGTTCTATGTCGGAGGCTAGGTTTAGGACGCCGATTTTTCCGCTACCGGGGAGTATTCGCGCGAGGGCGAAGGAGTCGCTGTTGTAGATTGTTGGGGGTGTTTGCAGCGCAAGGTTTGGATATTTGGGGGATGTTTTAGAAAGAGGCGGGAGTTGGGAGGGGATGAAGTAGCTGGTGAGGGAGCCGCCTGGTGTTGATGCTGCAATAGATGGGGATCGCGCGATGGTGTCTTCGCAGATTGCGTGACGAGCTCCAAAATTTGCCATTGCGGTGCGTTGGATCTATTCGTAACCCAGGCTTGTTTTATCCTTCCTGTGTTGCTGGCAATGGTTTGAGAAAGATCTGAACAGATGCGATGAAGTTTATGTGAACAAGTAGGCAGCAGCTTTGCAAATGTGGCGCAGCCACGATTTAGTCGTGTAGCGTCGTTGACGGAAGCCTCCTCCCGTCATTGTTTCAGTGTAGAACGATGGCTTGTCGACGGTACTTAGGTACAGGGATGCGAAGAAATACGCTATGCAGATATCTGTCCAGCCTGCGGCAAAGGGCCTTCAAGCTGTGGCTGCACCACCTACCAGGTATATCAAGGCGATCGCAAACCATAGCCACTGTGACTATGCTTACATGAATCGGTTGCAGATGATTACTCATTGATTTTAATTTCCTCACGAGCAATCATACTATCTATCTTATGATAAAAACACGGTATACTCGGGTATCTTTCTAAGCTTTTTTGGCATAGCTTCTTTGTTACCTGGAGCTGTGGTGTCATCTTGCCCCGCCTTAGCTTCCACCTCGACCCAGAATGCTTCGACGCCTCTTTCTCATACATTCGATACGTCGTTGCTTGAGATATCGTGTAGTGATGGCGAAAGGTATCCAACTGAGGCATTGTGTCAGCACTGCTTCCGGATCAGGAAGGTAGATATGTGTTGGGGTCACGCCCAAAGTCCAGTGCCTGCATGGTGCCGTGTTGAGCCTGCGAATCAATGGATGCCTTGTATCGTGTCAATGCTCTGAGTCATCGACTACAAGCTCCAAAATGATGGACGGTGCCACATGGTCGTTTGTCATGTTCTACGTCTGAAGTGCACTGCTCCTGAAAGCTTCTACATGACTGCCATGCCACTTCAACTTCATCCAATGACGACAGAAGACACGCTGTCCTGGACACGAGTTCGCGCACTCGCCTACTACGGTCCGACACACGATTTAGTGCACAGCGGACCTATCAGCGAAGCCTCGATACACGGTGTAGCGGATGATCGCAAACGTGAGATTGGGAAGCCAAACACATGGCACTGGAAGGTCGTAGATACAGATGTCGAGCCCAGCTCCGACGACCCATCAAATAACGGCGGGCGGACGATCGCTGTGTCAGTGTGGAGTATGCATAACATGCAACCAGGAAGGGGAGAAGAGGAGACTATGCCTGGTTTCCTGCCTCCGGAACTGCGTCTCGATGTTCTGGGGTCCTTGTTGGGTCCTCTACGGGCTGCTCAAGCTTCCATCATGGGCACATCGACGCCTTACTTTATGCTGAATCAGCTGGCGACGCATCCGGATCACCAGGGTCGTGGGGCAGCGAAGTTGATGCTAGATTGGGGGATGCGGAAGGCTGACGAAGAGGGAATGGTGACATATCTGGATTCGTCGATGACAGGAAGGCCTATATATGAGAGGAGGGGATTCGAAGTGGTGAAGGCACTTGAGTGGGATCGTGTGCCTTGGGGCGGTGAAGGAAAGGACTGGCATGGATGTATGGTTCGGGCGGCGAAGAGTGTAGAGCAGTAAGCGTGTGCTGTGGAATAACGAAGGTGATAATGCAGGGCATGCTGTACCACGTCGCTGGATAGCCGACTAGCCGCCCGAATCAGCCGTAGTCCGAATGCGAACGCCCGGCTCGTGGGCTACCAACCCCGCAACCTGCCCTGCGCCCACGTTGCCGGGAAGCCAGCTGGTAGAGGCTCTTTGTTGGTGGGCGTCAAGTTTGGCCAGCAGCTTGACGATAGCATAGATATTCAGGCCTTGGCGGCCAATGACGTATTCTCTCCTCTCGACGCGAGCGACAGGCGCGGGTGGTCTTTGGGGCGTGCGTGCACTGCTCAGCCTCGCAAGCTTCTCCGCGCCGCAATGGCCCAGTCCGTCCTGGTGCTGGTAACATGTCCGGGCGCGGGTTGGACTATGATGCACCTGGGCAGGGGACCTGAAGCCCGCCTTGCATCCTTCTACCAAGCCGCCCTTCGCCTTCCCCCATAATAACATAACGCCCGTGGACAGGTATTAGCAAGCTCTCTACCTACCCTCCCACCCTCATCGCCGTCCGCATGTCCGCGCAGGGCTAATCGAGGGGCATGGGACGCAACGCGCGGAAGCGTATCTCATACGGTAAGTGTCGGCTGCTGCTGCTGCGTGCGCCGTCGCGACTGACGCCTCCCAGTGCTGCCGCTCGCCAACTCGGCCGGAGGACACAGGCTTGGAGTCAATGGCTTGGCCGTCGACCCCCAGAATTCGATCCTGTACTCGGGCGGACGTGATGGCGTAATATGCGCATGGGACCTGCATCTCGACCTCGACAAGACCGACGACGACGACGACAGCAGCGACCCTTTTGCCGACTCCAACGTCGTCGACTCCAAGCCCCCGCCTACCCAGTTCCGCAACCAGGTGCAGGCGCACACGCACTGGATCAATGACATTGTCCTCGCCCAGAACAACGACGCCCTCGTCTCCGCCTCGTCCGACATCACCGTCAAGGTGTGGCGACCCGCTGCCACGGACAAACTCCCGCCCCAGACAATCGGCCTGCACACCGACTATGTCAAGCGCGTCGCATCGCCGGGCGGCAGCGAGAACTGGGTAGCCTCGGGCGGGCTGGACCGCAAGATCAGCCTCTGGGATCTCAATGGCGCGGGTAAGAAGCTGGAAATCGCAGTGGGCGAGGACGAGAATACCGCAAAGGGCTCAGTCTACGCCCTGGCAGCAACACCCAACCTCATCGCAAGCGGCGGTCCCGAGAGCATCGTCCGCGTATGGGACGCGCGATCGGGCAAGCGCATCACCAAGTTTGTCGGACACACCGACAACGTACGCGACATCCTTCTCGCGCACGACGGCGACACCATCCTGACTGGCTCATCCGACCAAACAGTCAAGGTCTGGTCCATGACGGCAGGTCGCTGCATGTACACACTGACCATGCACAACGACAGCGTATGGTCTCTGCATTCAGACTCACCCGAACTCGACGTCTTCTACTCCTCAGATCGCTCCGGCATAGTCGCGAAGAGCGACGTGCGCAACTGCGCCGAGATGGACGAGGGACTATCGCTAGCAGTATGCCAGGAACACGAAGGTGTGAACAAGATCGTCGCAGCTGGCCATTACATCTGGACTGCCACGTCCAGCTCGAGCATCAACCGATGGAACGACGTCGAAACCGCGGCCGAGGTTGAGCTTCCCGAGTCGCACAGATGGCAGAGAAACAGCGTGTCGACTATGCAATCGCGCATCCCCTCGCCTCCTGCTGGTAGCCCTCCAAAGAACGAAGCGGCATCCAAGATACCGCTCAAGTCTCTACTGCGCATGTCCAACACCGCACCCTTCCCGCGAGCACTCGCGACCAAAGACCCCGACGCATCCACATTAGCCAGCGCGCGCAAACCATCCGAGGTACTAGCAGCCCCAGAGCACGGTGCCGTTGGAACTGTTCGCGCTCTGCCAGACTTCACAATCGAAGGGCAGAATGGTCTCATCAAGCACCACCTCCTCAACGACCGGCGAAGAGTCCTTACACTTGATACGGCAGGTGAAGTGGTTTTGTGGGATCTACTGCAATGTGCACCCATCAAATCCTACGGCAAAAAGCACATGGAGGATGTACTACCAGAGGTTAACACCCAGGACAGCGTTGCACACTGGTGCGCCGTCGACACAAGGATAGGAACTTTGACATGCATGCTCGAGGAGAACTACTGCTTTGATGCCGAGACATACGCAGACGAGTTGGATCTAGAGGAGCAGATTGAGTTCCGAGAAGACCATCGCATAAATCTTGGCAAGTGGATCTTACGCTATCTCTTTTCCAATCTCATCGACGAGGAGATCAAGCGCGATGAGGTCTTGCGTGCAGAGTTACTCAAGCAGAAGGAGGAACAGCCGCAGCCCAATCGTCCAACTAACATCGAGCTGCCAAACATGAACATAAACGGATGGAAGGATGCAACTTCAGGGCCTACTTCGGGTTCGACTATCAAAGCTGAGAACGGATTGCGTCTGCCGCACACACCAGGTCTGGCTATCGGTCTAGCTACGCCAATGGCAGCACCAATGAGTGCGGGACGCAACTCTACCACCAACCCTCTGACTCCAACCAAAGAAGAAGGCTCGCAACTAGAAAAGACACAAACCCAGCGGAGCTCGACTCAAGAAGGTGGCGACTATTTTGGTTCCGCTTCTGCTACCAACGGTAACGGAAACGGAAAGTCCGCAGAGGCTACCAAGGAAGGCTCCACAGATTCAAAAGAAGAAACTGTACAATCACCTACCGAGGCCGACACGCCAGCGAAAAAGGGCAAAGGCATGTTTGGCAAGAAGTTCAACATGGGCTTCAGCATGAAGAAGTTCAGCACTGGCACAGCCGTCCCTGAGCCTGCCAAGCCCGCTGTTGACGAAAAGGCCGAAGACAGCGATTCGCGGTCTACCAAGACGAACGAGAAGACCATCGAAGACAACTTCTACGGAGCTCTTCAACGGATACAGCAGGGCTATGAAGAGCAACTTGCAGCCGGCGCAACAAAGTTGGATACGCAGATTGCGCCCAGTTTGCCCAACGAAACACCTGTACTAAAGCCACCTGCCATGACTACCATTTTGATCCAGGAAGATCGTCCAGACTCTGGCGGTGTGGCTGATCTCTTCGAGGGTAAAGTCGGCACCCTGGGTTCGCAGGCTGACCTCATCGAGAAAGCGGCACCAATGTGGCTGGCCGAAGTCTTGCTACGGGTGAGTTGATCATCTGCGTTAAACTCTACGAATACCATGAACTAATTACGACAGAACCAACTCCCACCCAAGGACATAGTCAAAGTATCCTTCGTCCTCGAACCCTTTGGGAACGCACTGCCGTCCATTTCTTCCGACGGGTACATTCCCTTTTCCCTCCCCTTCGAAACCGCAGCCTTGGCTAATTCGAAACTCAGCAACAACCGTCTCAACGCAAACCGCATGCTTCGTGCGCGCAAGATATTGGGCTACGTGGCTGAGCGCATTGAACCTGCGCCCACCAAGGAGGATCTGGAAAAGCAGGCCGAGACAGGTGGTGTGCTGAAGCCTGATGAGTATCTGGAGCTGTATTGTAATGGACAGGTAAGTTTTCTTGTTGAAATTCGTGTTTGATATTGGCCGATGAGCGATGCTAATCTTGGATAGTTGATTCCTCCAACGATGACGCTCGCTAGTATCCGCGCACACGTCTGGCGCGGTGGCGGCGACGTACTTCTTCTTTACAAGGCAAACGGCCGCAAAGAGATCAGGCACGCTCCTTATCCTGGTCCGCAGTCTGGTGCTCCGCCCGGTCCTATACATGGATTGAAGGTTGGCGCTGGTTTGAACTCGGGACCGGGTAGTAGTAATGCAAGTGAGGGAAAGCAGAGCAGTGAGGCGGATAGGAGTACCAAGGACGCTGCCATGTTTGGACCCTGAGTGTTGGGGCTGGGTCGAGTTGGATAGATGGAAGGAGAAAAGGCGGCTAGAATGCGGCCAAGTTGTGGACGTTGGATATCATTCTTGGTTCAGAGTCAGAGTTTTGGATAGTGTACATAGCATACCTGCTTGCCAGTAGACTCACACACGAGTCGGTGTGCTCGGCCTCATGGGCCCAAGCAAGATGGAGTAGATACCATATGCAGTCATGGACGTTCCTTTCGGTGCCAATCTCCCGGCTCATCTGAATCGTGAAGTAGATTGTACCATGTCAGTGTTCGCCTACACCACCCAAGGCATTACTCGCCCATTGGTATGAGCCAAGGAAGATGGCACCACCCAGACTGATCCAGCCAACGCGCGGGCCCAGGCCTGCAAAGAAAGCCCTTGGACCCGATTCCCTCATGATAGTTGACAGCATAGTAAGCATAGGCTGTTTCTCCCTGGCAAGCATCATTCTCGTTTTCAACACATCCAACGGCGTCGTAACGCCCGCAGCCACAGCGCCCGCCACACTACCCAACAATCCGCCTTCCCATCCACTAACCTCGGTCCTCCCCGTCCTCGCCATGCGCCACTTCTTCAACGCCTCCCAGAGCGGGAATTGGATGACCGTGAAAGGCACCTCACGGATGATCGTTATCGACCACCCGCGATACAATTCCATCCACACATGCGCCAACCCCTTGGTATGCCGCTGCCTGAGCACAAACGCGAGTGCCTCCCGTGAACTCGGATGCTGACTCGCCTGCGCCCTCTGCTTGATAACTTCTGTTGGTACACGTACAGCACACGCCGCGACCTCTCCCGCACTGGCTGCTAGCATGTGTACCAGAGCCTCTGTCCCGCCATCTCTTACGTCCTCCTTGTACGGTTTTCCCTCCGCATTGTACTTGATCGTAGCCGGTACATTTTGGGAGAATGATCGTTTTATCGTGTCGTATGTTATGAAGAAGAGGGCGGCACCGGGAGCGGAACCGACGATTGCGCTGCCTACGCCCCGGTATATGCCATTGAAGCCGCCGGCTGCAGCGAAACCGGATGCAGATTGGAGGCGGGTTTTAAGCGTGTCAAGAGGGTAGAGAGAGAGGTCTACTGTCGTGCCTGCCATGCCGCCGGCCTAGGGTGGGGTGTAAGTGGGCTGTTTTGTAAGAAATGCGAAGAGTCGCACCAAATCCGATATTCGGAGGTTGAGTGGAAAGGGATGGTAATATTCTGGCGGTGATTAGGGAAAGTGCTTACAATGAGCGACCGCAAGTATGGCGACTCAACCCATGCTTGTGGTGGTGGTGCTGACTTGGAGTCGAGCGCGTGCAGCATGGTGGGAAAGTAATTCGAGACCCATGACGACGTTCTCGAGACGATGAGTTCCAGGAACGAAGCGTCTGTGCGCAAGCTAGCTGCATCTTCTCCCCGACTGGTTGGCTCTCTTTAACACTTGGAATACTTTTCCTGACACAACTCCCGGTTTACGAAATTACAGATTTTCTTTTAGTATCCAGTGGGGGGGACTTCATAAAAGAACATGGCGCGTTGAACGATGAGCGGTTCGGCTATCAGTGTCAGATGTCTGGCTAGCACGAGGGTTTCGAAATGCAATGTGCAAGAGAAGGGTCAGAATGAGGAAGTGCATGGGAATCTAGGTCCTGCCAAATCAGATGGAGTGGAGGATGAAAGGACGAGGTCAGTGGCCAGCCATGATGGTGCACAACAACAGCCAAAGCAAGACGAACCGGAAAACGAAAGTGACGATCGCCATAGAGACAGCCGTTCTCCGAATCCTTCAGACTCATCACCAGAATCAGAATCAGAGTCCGGATGTGGTAGTGATTCTATCGTCTCAGACTCTTCGTTGGATAGCGAACGTTACATGAGCTGCATACAAGAAGCCCAGCTGTCACCAGACGGTAGCTGCGTCTTTACATCAGACTATAGCCGCCGGTTTTCTGTGTATCCTATCTCGAACAACATTCTAAGTCAGACCGTCGTCCAGAATCTCGCACCGTATGCATCTCTCCACTCCTCCGATCCTATCTGGGCTTTTGCTGTCAATCCGCTTTTCAACTTGCAAGATGTCAGCAGTACGACTGTGCTACTCAGTCGACGAGACACCTATATCAGTTTACACAACGCGTTGTGGGGTACCCCGAGAGCTACCAACAACGATGCCAGTCCCGCTACAAGTGCAGGGCCTGTGGATATATCCACCCCTCTAGCATCTTATAAACTAATCAATGGTCTTACTGAAGCCGTCATCGCACCCATCAGCCTTGTCTACTCCAACGGCGCCACCCATTTCTTTGGAGGTGCAAAAGACGAAATCGCCATATTCGACCTCCAAGAAACCGACAAACCCATCCACACGATCCGCACCATCCCCGCCAAGCGCAACAAACTCAAAGGCGGCGGCCGTGGATTCAAGGGTTGGGTCTCCGCCCTAGCTCTCTCTCCACCCTCGCACACCTCTCATGACGGCCTCTTAGCAGCAGGATCACGGACCCGCTACATCGGCATCTACGACTCTATCGGTGGCAACGAAATAACCCACTTCTCCCTCCCAGGAACAACAAACGGCATCAAGTTTCGCAACGAGAAGCTAAACCACGTCATGGGCGATGGCGTTTCGTCTCTCAAATGGAGCCCATGCGGCAAATATCTCTACGTCGCTGAGCGCAGTTCAGACGTCCTCCTCATATACGACGTCCGTAATTTCTCTCTCTCCTTGGGTTACTGCGCTGGGAGGAAGGCACTCACGAGGCAGAAACTTGGTTTCAATATCTGGAACGCTGGGGCCTCACCGTATGATATCGAGGGTCTCTCGCATGAGGTTTGGGCTGGGGGAACGGATGGCATGATCAGAGTTTGGAGGGATCCGTACATGAGAGAAGGTGCTGTGGAGGCTGATGATGTTGTTTCTGTAAATGGTAGAGGGGTCCCGGTCGTGGGATCACTCGTACATGCTTCGGGAAGTTTGGCTGTTGCTGCTTGTGGAACCATTGGAGCCGAGGAAGACATGGAGGGGAGAGGGTTCAAGAGGGGTGGTGGTTCAAGACCAAGGGTGAGGGAGTGGGGGAGTTTGGATGTCCTAGGGTTGGGCTGATATGCTCCATAGGCTGTATAGGATGCTAGAACGAGCAAGCGGCTGGTTCAAGATATCATTGAGAGTATACCAGCACAAAGGAAAATTAGAGACTTAGCGTCATTCCATCCATCCGAACATGCGAGCGTGTATCATAAATCCCCGGGTCCGTGTTGGCACCACGCTCCAAACCTCCCGACCCTCAAACGGTCTAAACATATTGAGCAGGTTGCGCACGTTCTCTCAGTACCCTCGGAGACTATGCCTACGATTCATTACTGAATCCAACACCTTTTCTACTCTTGCCTATCTAAGTAGCCCAACGTCTGGCACGGTGACAGCGCAGAAGTCAAAAGAAACAAGCGGCCTATTGAAGAGCTTGGGCACCTTCTTGCTTGTTCACATATCAAGCCACAAACCATATCTGGAATCGACAGTAAAAGCTCAAATTTCCCTTTGCGGACTGCCCATGGTGTTGTAGTTTGGTAGCGCGTGCCTTAGGCACACCGGGCGATCGGTAAGTGATCTGACCCCTCAAAAGGAGATGGCAAAACAAACCATACCCGGAGTCCATGGCTGGACGCCTGAGCTGCTATCGACACCTTGGATTTATGTTGCCTAATTGGGCAAACACTGGTTTTGTTTGATGTACTGAGCCGGTGCATAAAAATGTCAGGTGAAGCTTATGACATCTGGAACTCTCCAGACGTCCCTAGTGCGAACTTTTTATTCTCCTTACGCCATCTGGAATCGACGCGAAAACGACGATTGCCCTTTCTGGCAATTTGTTGTGAGTGAGAAGATTTGAGTATGTGAAACGCTACTGGATCTCTGCCTGGATATGAAACCGAGGTCTACAAGCGGACGGCGGTGTGTGACATGTGCGCACTACGCTCCGGTTCAGTATGTGTCGGCATGGCCCAGAAAAAGATTCACGCCCTGATCATCCTAGGCCATTGTGTTCGTAGTAAGGCCACAGTACAGCACGAATGCGTTGTCCTCAATCCAAACCTGTCCCTGCTCCCCGATCCAATAGCCCTGTATGTCAAGTCGCGTGACATGGACGACCCAAGCTTCATGACAAGACTACCGTTGCTTTTTAGGCGACGTGTCCAGTCGCCCGCGAGAATCGATGCTTTTCCTTCTTCCTTCCCTTCTCGGCGGCTATGACTACTTCGCTACCACGTTCCGTCAGCCACGTACCAGACCTCGACCCTGAGACCCGATTTTCGATTGAAGCCTCCATCCTGGTTCGTGGATCTTTTCCGATAGCGCAATCTACCGTAATCGATGCTTCCCTTGATACCCTTCCTCTTATGGTATATTTTGGCCGTTGGACGTACGGCGACCAAGCTCATTGAGTGCTAGAGGTGTAAAGGCGTCCCGGGAAACGGGTCTGACAGCCGTTGACAGTGATCGATGGTTGATAAAGTATGTTTCCTGTTTCGGACGTGTGCGCAAATCGTAAGTCATGTCATATACCTGGTTATCGTGGTATTGAGGAGTTTGTGAATCGCCCTCAGACTGAAGATTTAAGCGTATACGTCAGCAGAAGAGCATAGTAATCATTGGCGCGTGCGTGTCCTCTCAAGGCACTGTAGCTGCTCTACGACTATGTTCCGTGGGGTGCCGAAGCATGATGCGCGAGCTCGGTGCGGTGTTGTGAAAGAGTTGGAGCGCAGAGGTTGCTACGCCCTTGACGTTGTAGCTATCATAACGGCACAAGATTGGAAGAAGCTTGGATAGGTGTAGCGACGTGGTCCTCAGCCTCGCACACGCTCGTATAAGTTTCAAGCTTGCCCACGATAGGCACATATCACCAATGAAGCAATACGGATCATGACGATGAGCGAAAGCAGTAATACGCACGGCAACCAAGTAACCCCGATTACGCGCAATGTCCAAAACAAGCGAGTTGGCATGTGCCGCGGTTTCCATGTTAGCGCAAGAATGACGTAGTGGCTCGCGGATGCTTGCGCAAATCCCGCCAGGAACACGACATTGCATCACAAGGCCCACGTTTAACCCTTCCTTTCACTCTTCCCAAGAACATCATCTTCACGACTGCATCTCCCTCCAAACACTCTGTAACACTTCAAAATCGAAACCACACCTCGATTGATATCCCAACAACTCTCCCAACATGGATGTACGTATTCCAGCTCTGTTGATGAGGGATGGTGTTTGCTCAATGAAGAGAAGCTGACATGAATGCCAGGTCTACTACTTCTACTCCTATGGCACTGCCGCATGGCTGGGTAAGCTTCATGCCATCTATCAAGGATACCGTACAGCTTGCTGACAGAGTTCAGCAACCCAAGCCGCGCCTCTCATTGCGTCCCCAACAATGATAGTAGCACTATTGTCACCCGAGGTCCGCGAAGCCTCCAGTACGTACACTCTAAAAGTCGGGAACGCGAAAAAGCAGGGGATGCTAACGAACATGATTAGCTCTCGAGGTCTACTTCTCCCGCTCGTTGGGCTTTTCGCTCATCGCACTGGGCATCATGACGGTTCTGCTCACGGGCTCTGTGCCACTCTCTAGTAGACTTTCCGAGGGTATGACTTTCTTACTTTGTCTGCGAAGTCCACAACTAACATACATCCAGGAGCAACGACCAACGCCGAAGACCCCAAAGCCCCCTACGCGCTCCCCACCCTCACCATAACCGCAATGTTCCATTCAGTCCTCGCCTTCTACGGCTACGCCATGTGGACCAAGACTGGTGTCATGTCTTTCGGTCTGGGAACGCTCGGCTCAGGCTTCTTGGCTATGATTGCGCTTTGGTGCATCTTGTTCGCTAGCAGCAATGGCCGCATTAGCAGGAAGACCGGTGCTGACAAGAGGACATCTGGATTCCCGTTCAAGAACCAAGAGGCTGATAAGAGGAAGGCTAGGTAAACGCATATACTTAGCTTTTGTCGAAACATGGTCGATTGTGAAAGTTGACAAGCCATGCTTTGGGCGGAGGTAGGGGCATGGAAGGGATGTCTGCAGCGCTCAAGCAACAGTGGGCAAATGGGCATACAATGGGAGTTATGCATGGAAGCGGGTATTAATATTTGGCACAAAAAAATGGCCAGGCACGGATTGAGCCAGGCTGCACACCATGGAAGCATCAAATGAATTGGTATCTTTAATCTTGAATGTACCCAGAGACCGTGAACCGTCGATCTACCCCATAGTAATACACGAAAACTGTCAAACGAATACCAAAAGAGTGCGCCTATTTCCCCTTTCAACATTGAATCCCGTCTTCTGATTCCGCCTAGCCAGATTATCTTCCAAGCTCAAGGCTGCATTAGTCTTGGAAGGCCGCTTATGACATGTCCATATATGGTGGCTGGTAACCCCCAACAAAATGATAGCGGACGAACCCCCAGGGGAAAGCTGGATGAAATAGGTCGAAGCAGGGAGCCTGCCTGTACGCTCTGCGGCCCGATCCTTGAGCATTCTAAGCAACAGGGACTTGTGGGTGGAGCTCATCGTGGTGCCGAGGCTCCGCTGGAGGCGGCCTGGGTGGCTGAAGCTCATGCTTGATCTGTGGTCGCTGGGCCTGTACAGTCTCGTCTCGCCACCACGGTAGCTTTCCGTCCTTTGGTGCCATTGGGAGGGACTTGGCAGGAATGATGTCGTTCTCCACAGACTGCCAGCCCTCCATGTCGTCTGGCATGCCTCCGTCGACTCGTCGCCGCCGCTCGGTTGCGGCTTGTGCTTCCATGAAGTTCTCGAATAGAAGCTCCTTGGCCTGCCATTCCTCCTGACGCACCTTCTCTAGCTCCTCAGCTTCGGCGCGCAGTTGTTCGCCTTGTTGTGTCGCCCAAAGCAGTTGCCGACGTAGTAGCTGGAATAGGTCTGGGGCGGGTTTGGAGAGTTCTTGGGGCGTAAACTCGATGTCCGGCGGGAACTGCACAAGCGTGGGCGCGCTTGGGTTTGCGAGGTCTTGCAGGTAGACGACGTTGTTGTGTGCGTAGTCGGCATCTGTTGCAGGTGCGTTGGGCGGGATTGTTGCGCTGTTGGAGGGGTGGGAGTGTGAGGATGGGGAGCCGGGCGTCGAGGCCTTGTCGTGTGGCAGCTTCTTGGCCTCGTTGTTCAGTACAAGCTTGAGGCGCTGCTTGTTGTTTGTGGGGTTGGATGAGTGGTGTTTGGGAACAGGATCAGAAGGACGGAGGGCTTCGGTCTCGTGGACAGTTCGCATGTGCTTGGCCAGCGCGTCGGAGCGGGTGAAGGAGCGGTCGCATTCTAGCAAGGTTTAGTATACTGGGCGAGTCGAGACTGGGGCCGTGACGTACCGGGAAGCGTGCAGTAGAAGGGCTTCTCCCTCGTGTGAGAGCGCATGTGTGCCCTTAGCGCATAGCCACTGGCGTGTGGTATGCCTTTCCTCGTGCAGTCGCTCCACTCGCAGCTGTACTTCTTCTGCCTGGTGCCAATGTGATCGTCGTGGAGATGCTCGACCAGGTTGTCCATGTTCTGGAGATCACCCGCTGTGCAGCCGTCCCACTTGCAGACAGTGACCTGTTCCTGGCCGTAGTCGTCGTCTTGCGACATGCCCGGGTGGTGGTGTGGCGACGCGGGGACAGAGCCATCCGTGTCTTCAGACAAATCGCCCTCTTCTTCGGGCGGCATCGTGTTGATGTGAGGTGGTGAAGATGGCGCGCGAATGTTCAGACGTGGTCGCTTGCTTGGGCGCGGGTCGCGGTCAGGAGTGGCTTCGTACTGGCCGCCCTTGATGTCTTCGGGAAAATCATCGCTGCCGTACTCGGAGAGCTCTGAAGGCGAGTCCATGTTGGCGGTTTGATGTCAATGTTCCAGCTGCTCCGGGCGCGTTTGGGCGAAGTGAGCGTGACGACGGCTGGCGCGTTGGACGTCTAGCGGAGAGGTGCATTGACCAGCCGTTTAGCTTCCGTCGCATATTTTGGTCAGCTCTGCACATCTCACGTCCTTCTTCCACACTTCTTCACCATAAACATCTGCAGGTAAGTCTTTGGCTAGTTCCTTCGCCCCGTCTTCATGATGATCTATTCCAGAGTTCTGCAATTCTCAAGAGTCGCTTCACGGCTGCTCGAATGTGGATTAGCTCTACACTACAATTCTTTCTGATCTACTACTCTCATACACATTAAGCTTGTTACATTACAACTACAACGCTAACATGCTTCAGACTGGATCTGCACTTGGTTATGCCGACAGCAATGCCGACATAGACTCGGGATATCGGCCACCAGTTGGGGCAAACCTCTTCAGCATCTCGTCCAGCGCCTTCTTCTCCTCGTCGTTGAGCTGCGCCGGCTTCGTGTTCTCCTGAATCCTCTCCGACGTTGTAGCACCTGGGATTGGAATGATGATGGGCATGCCCTTGGCACCGCTCTGCGCGAGTACCCAGCCGAGGGCAATCTGAGCTGGTGTGGCTCCCTTTGCCTTGGCCATATCCTCGACAGCGTGGAGTAGCTTAATGTTCTCATCAAAGACGTCGGGCTGGAATCTAGGAAAGCGATGGAGCATGGAGTCGGGCTCGATGTCTTCATGCTTCTTGTACTTGCCAGTCTCCCATGTGTTAGCACTAAGTCTTTAGTTGGAAAAAGATGCGCTTACCAGAAATCCGCGTCCAAGAGGAGAGTACGCAATGATGGGGATACCCAGCTCTGCGCATGTCGCCGCCACGCCGTTCTCCAGGATGTCAGTGCTCCAGAGCGAGAACTCCACCTCAACCGCCGAGATGGGGTGAGCAGCATGCGCCTTGCGGATCGACTGCGGGCCAACCTCTGACAAGCTGATACCGCCGAGCTTGCCCTCTTTGACGTACTCGGCGATGTAGCCGACAGTCTCTTCGATTGGTGTCTTGGGGTCGACTCTGGCACACTCGAAAAGATCTAGGCTCTTCTTGCCATCCAGGACCTTCAAGCACTCGTCGATGCTGCGCCTGATGTTTTCGCGACTGCCATCGGGCGCCATCTCGCCCTTCTTGAGTCCACCCTTAATGGACAGGACAACCTTCTCTGCGTCACCTGGATACCTGGTGAAGTACTCGTTGAGAAGGTGTAGAGAGTTGCGCTCTGGGGAGCCGTAGAGTTCACCACCGTTCCAGTTGTTTGCGCCGAGCGAAAGTGCCGTGCGCATAGCTTCGTAGCTCTGCTCGGCTGGCGGTGGGTTCTGGCGCCATGTTAGGCCTATGATGTGTTAGAATACTGGAATCGAGGTAGGTGATGGTTTATATACCCATGAGGCCATAGCCCACTGGGCCTACAGTCTTTCCGACGAGTTCAGGCATGTTGGTGGTTGGTGCTTCTGTGAAGTTTCGTAGATAATGGTGGGGTAGATGGAGCTTCTATAAATTGATTGACGATTCTCAATTGCTCGTGTGGTTGTAGCAGTTGTTGTTTGATGTCCTTCTCGCCGTTCTTCCACGAAGCTCTTATATAGAATGGTAGTCTTCTCGGGCCCGAGATCATTTTTATGTAACTGGATGTGATGACGCTGGGTTCCACATGCATCTGCCGGGCCCAGATCTTAACTCCGCGCGACCAATCAGAAGCGGGTGTGGCGTAAGAGGATGGACTTTGCACGATAGCTCCAGCGGAATGCGCGCGCGACCATCTCCCACAATGTGTAGTTTGATAATTTGTCCGAAGTGGATTTGGTAAGCTGAAATCGTTGTTGTGTGTTGATATGGAAGCTGGCTGAGCCGTGAAGCCGACACTTATGATCAAGCTCCAGCACTTGCGGCAATAAGAAGCTTGTGTATTTGCTGAAAATCGTACAACACATCAAAACAACATCAGCAGCTCTGTGAGAGCAGTACTAATTAGTGTTATAGTCTAGTAGTATAATTCTCGCTTAGTGCAGGCGTCTTCTAAACGCCACAAAGCCTGAGCAACAGCTAAATTGTACAACATAGTACGTGCCTTTGAAGTAGATCTTGAATATTCCGGACAACCCACAGCAATAGTGAATTTATTTTAATTGTCAACCTATCTACATAACAATACTTTAATACATGTGCGATACACAAATGCCCAAGTTTTTCGTCGATCCTTCCAACTTATGAGCCCATGCTCCAACACATTCTCACATCGTCTTCTTGCTCTCTACACCCTTTCGCTCAACGCCGTCCAAGTCCCTCAGCACAGCCTTGACAGGCCAGACAAACCCTTCCTCGACCGTGTTTGTTTTACCCTCCTCAATGGTGACAAGGTACTCCACCAGTGCCATACCCACATACGCTCCAATAGCAGTCAGAATGTGCCACCACCCGTGCAACTCAAACAAGAATCCCCAAGGCAGCCCAACATAGCGCTTGAACTGCGTAACATATGCGCAAAGGTGGAAATCGATATTCCAAAGGAAGTACCCAAACAAGCCTGTTGAGATGCCAAACGTAGCCATGCTGCCCAATTTCTTCCTGCTCTCTTCGTTCTTGACTTGCTTCTTGATCAGCGCGCGCGTCTGTTTGCTAACGAGGAAAATCATGACTGCAAAGGCGATTTCGTGCATGATGATCTCGTCGGCCCAGACATGATAGACGGAGATGGGAATTAGACTGCCAAGGATGTAGAAGGTGTATTTCTGGCGCTCCGATTGCGTAGCACCGAAGCAGAGGAGTTGGTGTAGAATGGCCCCTACGGCCAGAAACATGGATAGGTCATCGCCCATTTGCGAGTGGTACTTTAGGGTTGCGTGGAACCAGGCTGATAGGACGCCCACGCCAATTAGACCCCAGTAGGGGAATGCGAGTGTGGAAACTAGTCCGCCATCAGGTTTTGGAGCGACACGGCGGAGGCCGTGGAGGCCGTAGATCACTGGAAGTGAGTGAGTTTATAGTTCTGGCTTTGATGGAGGATTGCACGGACCGTAGGTGATGTTGGTAAGGGTGTTGATGAACTCGCCGATATACGGTGTGATGATGTAGTCCTTCATTCGTTCGTCAACCCTCACTACATTCATTCAGGTTGATTGATTTTCGCATACCTCTTCACAAAAGCTATACCAGGTCAGTTATTTCAGTCAATCCAGGTACCATACCCAAACTCACTTGTGGTTCGACGTCTTGGGCTCCCAAGCTCCTACAATGTACTCATTCGGATAGTCCCATCGCAACTGCATCGTGAAGTATAACAAGTGCGGGCCACGAAGATGAGGTTCTTCTGATGCTGTGAGGTCGGTGAGGTTGTCCAGATGTTGTTTGCAATGGTTTTCTACTTGAAGCAGGACGGTTCGCGCTATGACCCCTGAAAGTGACCTCGGGATCCACTTTGCACGCTACCTGAAGACGAAAACACTATCTATAGAAACGTGCAAACCAGATAGGAGAAGACAGAGATATCTGAAGAGGTTGGTAGAAGGGTATTACAGATATGTCTTCGTCGGATCTGTATTTGTTGAGGTTCGTGGATTCCGCAAGGAGCGTTGTCGGGCACAAAATAGAAACCAAAAAAGTGAATGTGCCACACATCGATATATGTACCTGGCGGACGATTCTTAACGGCCGAGAGGTACTGGAAAACAGATAAGGAATGTTTATGTTTGTATATATGCGTGTGGTATGCCTGAGTGTTCTTCAACTGTTGTCGCATGAAGTTTCAACCAAAAAGTGAAATATTTCGTGCACGAGTCCACGCAACCAGCAAATCGCTCACAAGGGCCGGGAGACGTTGGGGAAAGTCTGAGTAAAATTCCAAACTCGACAAGACACATATGTGATGCTTGAATGTTGTTCAAGCTGTGGAGGGCCGAGTTTTGGTCAAAAAAAGACATGTAAGTAATCAAAGCATGAGCACGTATAGCCAGAAGCTTCCCAAATGAACTAGGGATGTACCTGAACGTATCCCAGGATTCTGTGATGTCTGTAGGGCCTCCTGTAGCCTCTAAAAGCGCAAAAAAGGGGTCTTACCGCGACTCGAACGCGGGGCCTCTCGCAAGCTGTTGCTCAGGCTTTGTGGCGTCCAGAAGACGCCTACCCTAAGCGAGAATCATACCACTAGACCATAAGACCGATTTGAGCTGCTCTTGAAGAGCTGCTGAAATTGTTTTGATGGAAAGAGGCTGGAAACGAAATTATATATAAGAATGCATTTTTAGAAATTTCGGCCTATTACCGAATCTCAAAAACACCTGGAGCTTGTTGGCACGATAGACATTGACAATTTCACAAAAAATTGTGGACTTCCAGCCATCGGAACGGGGAAAATACTGCCAGTGTTGGTATGGTGGCCGAACTTAGCCGCGCAGACACGGGCGGTTCAGGGGGCGGCAAACCCGGACTCGAACACCAAAACTTTACCTGAATACTGAGCGCCCTCGTCTAACGGCATCAAACCCCAGATCCTGGGAATGCCTGATCTACCACTTGTTAGTGAAAATTCTAGTGATGCCGATTGGGGAAACCTGAGATTTGTCTCAACGACAGTTCTCGATACACTCAATCTCCGCCGGACTTGTGATTCTCTCTTTTGCGCGAGCCTTCTATGAAGCCAGGTTCTATTCAAATCGTGTGAAGAAACAAAATTCATTGTCAAGTAATCTTGTGCGAGCGATGGCGCAGTCATGCGATAAACATCTCCAAGTCAAAAGTCAATGACGCAGACTATTGCACGCATCACAACTTCACACCGTTTATACGCCTTCCCAAGTATTTGCCACGCACACGAAAGCCGCATGTATCTTATACCACGGATATAGGTGTCGGGTCCAGCAATCCGGGCGGTGGATGTCACGATTAACCTCTGATCGAGTTTTAGTGGTTACAGTTGCATCGGATCATATCCAGATTTCACTATCAACGTTTTTGCATCCTGCGCAAAGCTTTTGTCGACCATATTTGTGCTGTCGACTGCTTGGGTGACTTTTCGAACTTGGCCTTGCAAGGCCAAGTCCTGCGAACATAGCTACATACTAGAACTAGGATTTATACGCGTACGCGTGTCGAGCGGCCTGATGTTACGATCATTTCGCTCCAACATTCCTACAATGCAATGGTTGGTGGTTTGATGCGCAATCAGTTAGCCCGAGCACGAGGAAAGGCAGAAAGGATCATCGATGAGCAAACCCAACGTTCCCGAGGTCCTCGTAACTCCGATCATGACAAGGTTTATTGAATCGCAGCTGCGCAAATTCCAGATTTGCCTCTGATGAACTGTCAGAATTTGGCAAGGCCTTTGTCAATTTCGCCTCCCATACATCATGTCTTTCGTCTTGAATCAACCACAACATTGTAATGCGATGTATGCGAAACTGCATGCCAATAACAACATCGCGATGGTGAGTAGAAATCGGGAGATGAGGGCGGACGTTGCCAAGCAGAGAAATGATCGCGCCCCGTTCGTTCACACCACTCTGTCGCACCCCTGCCCAATCACCCAGCAACACGCGGAAACCATATCGTATCAGGAAATATTTCCAGTTCACATGTAACATCGTCGCATTTTAGCAGCCTTGCAACGTGCCATCGGACCCCGGGAAGCTTCGTAAAAGAGCCGCCGGTTCGGCTGCGGCGCCACTGACGACATCGACACTGCACAACGCGGGTGAGGCGATCTCCACATCTCTCCGACTTTGAGCGTCCGTGTCTCCACCTCCAGTCTAACCCCAGACTCACTATTTTCCACGAATCAATCTGGGCCCGACACTGACTCGATGTCGTTTCTCTCCGATGTTCAAGACGGCTGGCTTCTCAGCGTGCGGCCGCTATACCTATAACGGTAAATCCGCATTTTAACCATTTTACCTGGCCAACGAATGTGTCAGTATGGGGAGCCTCATGCGGAGCAAGGACTTCAGTGGAGAAGGCTACTCCAAGCGAGATGATTATCACGTTGAACGAACCGGCATGTAGTGCCGACTGTTTGAAGCTTTATATTCAACCTTGCCCGCGAACGTGGGTCGACAGGTCAGTAGACTGCCATCTTTGCATCAACCCAAGGCTCTGGAGAGGTTCTAGTCAAGATGTTTGAAAAGTTCCCCAAGATCTATAATGTCTACTTTTTGGCAATTGTTGCCACGATGGGAGGTATGCTCTTCGGATTTGACATCTCATCGATGAGTGCCATCATTCCATCCGACCAGTACCTGTAAGTCATGACTGTCGAATTTGTTAGCATATCCACTCACTCTCGACAGCGACTATTTCGACAACCCATCTGGTGTTGTCCAGGGAGCCATCGGCTCGGCACTTGCTGCTGGATCGGTAGTCGGTAGTGCTATGGCTGGTCCCATCTCTGACAAGTTTGGTCGTCGCGATGCTCTTGTGTTCGCCTGTCTCTGGTGGCTTGTCGGCACCGCCATACAGGTCGCTTGCACTGGTCGCGGCATGCTCATTGCCGGTCGTGTCTTAAACGGAGTAACAGTCGGTATCACGTCATCTCAGGTGCCTGTGTACCTTGCCGAAATCTCGAAACACTCGCAGCGTGGTGCCATCATCATCATTCAACAGCTCGCTATCGAATGGGGCATTCTTATCATGTAAGTGAACTATGCACGAGGAAAGTAGCTAGGCTCATACTTTCCAGGTACTTTATCGGTTATGGCTGCACGTTTATCCCTGGCGCCACCGCTTCGTTCCGCACTGCCTGGGGAATCCAGTTCGTTCCTTGTGTCATGTTCATGATTGGCCTGCCATTCCTTCCTGAGTCTCCCCGATGGCTCGCCAAGGTCGACCGCACAGAAGAAGCGATCCGTATTCTTGCCGCCATCCAAGCCGATGGAAACATAGAAGATCCTTACGTTATCGCCGAATACGAAGAAATTGTAACCGCCCTTACTGCTGAGCGTCTAGCTCCCCAAGGATGGAGAAAGTTCGTTGTGAACGGCATGTGGAAGCGAACGCTTGCCGGTTTCTCTGTCCAAGCATGGCAACAGCTTTCGGGTGCCAATGTCATGACCTACTACGTCGTCTACATATTCGCCATGGCAGGTCTCCAAGGCAATACCAAGCTCATCTCATCTGGCGTACAGTACGCCTTGTTCATTATCTTCTCTTCGATAATGTTCTTCTTTGTCGACAAGATTGGCCGCAGAACACTTTTGGTTTGGGGTGCAATCACGATGGCCTTTTGCCATTTTGTTGTTGGTGGAGTTTTGGGAGCCCATTATACCTATGTACCCGATGGTGTCGGCGGCGACAAAAACGTCGTCATGGAGGTTACCGGATCGCCCGCGTACACTGTCATTGCGTTCTCGTACCTGTTGATCATCGTAAGCAACTTCTTTCCGTATCTTGTAGAGACCATGCTAACCCTACACCAGATCTACGCGCTTACGCTTGCGCCGATTTGCTGGGTCTACGCCGCTGAGGTGTGGTCACTAGAGACCCGCGCCTCCGGAATGGGCATAGCTGCTATCGGAAACTGGCTATTTAATTTCGCCATTGGACTCTTCATTCCGCCCGCCTTCATCAACATTAAATGGGGGCTTTTCGTAGTCTTCGGAGTACTTTGTGTTCTGGCATCCATTCAATTCTTCTTCACATACCCTGAGACTTGTGGCAAGACTCTTGAAGAGATTGAAGTCTTGTTCAGCAAAGAGGGCCCACATGCTTGGCAGACCAAGAAGGGCAGCTCCCACCTTGCTCAGGACGTCGAAAACGTTGTAGCTTCGCAAGCCAAAGGCGACGCTCTTGCCACTATTGAGAACATTGCCAAGAAGGAGAAAGACGAAACTCAGACGACGGAGGCTGTATGAGCAGTCTTTGGCGTGCATTGATTAGTGTATATATTACGAAGTAGTCTCATACTCGGCTTCTTCTCGTTGGTTCAAAACCCTTCATCAAGTGACCTGTCACATTCGTGGTTAGTGGAGTGCGGTGCTGAACGTGTAGCTAATGCGATAAGGCTACGTTCTTTTCGACAACGTGGTTGCCTAGCCTCAAACACGTAATCCCAATGCTTTGCCTTCCCATATAATGAACACTCTCTCACGCTCATCCTGAACCTCACCCCGACACCATCTATCGAAACGACTGATTATGTGTCACTTCGTTCGCGTCCACTGTGAGAACTGCCAAGTACTAATGAGACGTCACGGAAGCAACTGCAGTCACGGTCTCGCTATCTTAGGCCCTTCAGGTCTACATTTCGAGTGTGCCTCTCTAATCAACAACATCGCACCAGATATCGATATTGCAAAGAGCCTATGTCATGAGTGCAGAATGAAAGGGGTCGAAGACAAGTATGACATTTACCGCGATCTATTTTCATGGCAGCCTGGATATAGACGCCAACATTGGCAGGGTACAGATTGACCAACAGTAGACCATCGCACGGTAATCATGAACTCAATCTTCCGAACCTGCCTAGATACTCCACTGCCGCCTTCACTAAAACTTCAAATGCAACTACTAATCCCAAGCCTCATTCCAAAGTCCACTCTGTTTCAAAATGTCAACGTCATTCCCCTGAGCGAATTCCTTCGCCCAGTTCTCTCCATTCCATCTTTCCCACGCGCTTCTTCTCCTCAGCTCCCCCCACTCCGAACATTTCGGTGGATAGGACTTTCCCATCTTCCATTCACGCACCTTTTCCATGATATTATTGCGTCCGACGCTAATCCTATTTTTGAAAGACATGGGTGGCTTGACGCTCGCATTGAACAATGCTTGCTCTCGCATGCTCTGGAGTTCTTCCTTGTAAGCAGATATCTTGCCCTCGCGTACATTGAATGCTTTGGGAAGATGACAGCGTGGAATAGGTATTCGTCTCTTGACAAGGTCAATCGGATGAGTGGGTGTTGAGATTGTGGAGTCTGAACTCGAAGATGAGCCTTCATCTTCATCTGAAAGGTCGGGAAAATCTTCGCCGTATATGACCGCTTCTTGTATCTTCCCAATATCTGCGTTCCGTTTCTTATTTCTCTTCAACAGTCTAGTGACACCATCCGCCAAATGCGCGTTTTCCACCTTTGCTTGTTCAAAATTCCGTTCAAGTGCTATACGCTCTTCTTCCACGGTTGCGAGCTTCTTCTGTAGACCTTCGACTTCCCAATATGCTTCGTCATTAGTTTTCTTGTAGTAGTTCCTAATGTATCGGAGAGTCTCCTGCCTTTGCTGATCGGTACTGGTTTCGAAGGCGTGTGTGCGTTCTTCAAGTTGTGACTTCTTTTCTTCAGAGTCTTCTTTCCATCCATTCGCATCTCTCATCAACTGATCAGCTTTTGGACGCAGATCTGCAAGCTCTTCTTGTGCCTTGGTGAAATCAGACTGCAGCTTTTCGTTCTCTGGGTGAAGATGCGACAAGACCTTCTCCACCTTGGCGAGATCCTGCTCTACTTCTTTGCGCCTCTGTCGTTCTCGCTGGTAATATTCCCTGAACTCATCTCTATTTGATAGCACCTCCGGCGAGAGCAGCGGGCTCTGTAGACTAGGGCTTAGCAATTCCTCTTTCTGTACGACCATGAGTTCTTTTTGTTCAACAATCTTGGATTCTAGATCCGCTACTTGGCACTCCAGTCCTCTGCTCTTGCCTTGCCACTTTTTTAGATACTCATTGAACGTTCCAATCAATTGGGTGATTTTGATCTGCAAAGTTTCTATCTCGGAAGCTTGCGCAAGCCTCTCGCTAAGGGCGTCGGGGTGGGGGATGGGTACGTCCTCGCCATGAGATACACTTCGAGACATCAGATCTACAATCTGGCACAGCTCTTTGATAGACACTACCTGATGTTTTAGCTTCTCTTGAGTATCTCTGAGCTGATCATCAAGATTCTCACAACATGCATTTGCATCACTCCGCTCTTTCTCTTTCTTGTCGACCGTCACTCGAAGCCTCCGATTCTCCGCTTCAATCGCTTCAAGAGCCGGTAGGTTTGGCTCGCGAGCATTGCGCGCTGCGATTCGATCTTTACTCTCCCGAAGTTGTGTGACTAGCTTGTCGTTCTCTTGTTTCAACTTCTTAGTGTCGTCTTTGACGGTTTCTAAATCTGCTTGTACTGTACCACATTGTCGTATGGCCTCATCACGCTGTGTCTCCGCTTGAGTAAGTTCGTGTTGCAGCTTTTCCTGTTCTGCAAGAATCCTATCTAATGCGATGTCATTGTTGTGGGCAGTAATCGCAACGGCACCCGTCCCGTCTTCTTCTGTACTGCGTTGCGACATGCCTTCGACCTGATCTTGGAGTGTTTTAATCTGCGGTTCGAGATTTTCGACATAAACCTCTTCTAATGGCAACGCCGTGCCGTTTTTGGTAAAGGGAGAAGTTTGGTCTAGCGATACATTAAACTCAACCTCATGCTCTCCAACGTGACACTTGGGTGGCCCTTTCTTGATGAAAGCCTCTATCTCTTCAAGCTCTTCCTCTTCATGTATAAGCGAGTCTTTTTCTTTCTGTACTCCCTCTTCCTCAACTTGCGTTCGCTGCTTTGACGATGCTTCCTTCAGAGTTTCATTTTCTATCACAGGTAGGTCTTCTAGTCTTACTCCAACGTCCTCTTCTTTTTCCAATTCACCAGACACACCGGAAACAAGACTCTGACTTTTTGTTCCGCAATGTTTCTCCATCCGTGACGAAGTGCCGCTTATACGATCATGGCTCTTAGGGGAAGGAGATCCAGTAGTAGAGTGCCGGTTCAGACTCGGACGTGGGCTACCGGGTACAGAGGCAGTTTGAGACTGTATGTTAATACCTGTCCAGCCAGGCAGTTCTTTGCCCAAGGATGGCTTCTTCACAAACTGAGCAAGCTCGATCTTTTCATTCTTCTTCGCTTCTGAAGCTTTAGTAGGAGCAGCAAACGACGATACATTCAATCGCAGTGAAGACCTGGGCGTATTATGCTCCTCTCTTCGGGTATGCTCTTCGACAGCACGGCTCGATGGTGTATCACCGTTCTGTTCCTCCTCTTTCCTGTGCATCGAGTCTGCTACTTCATCAAGAGAAGATAGCGACGTAGCTTTGTTATTGCCGTCAATCTGCGAAGGGTTGTCCCGCGATTTTGGCCTTGCCTTGTCGCTCATATCTAGGGTACCCGTCAATTCGTCACCCGTACGAGACTCTTGTTTTATGATATGTTTGCAAGATTCCTATGTTTGAAGCACTGGAGTTTGGCCTTCAGCTCTAGTTTGATGGACGCATTCTATCCGTACTTTTTCCATTGTCGGACCATACATTGTCTCAAAAATTCTTCTGTGTAGCACAATGCCTCTCACCCTAGAGCAACTGCATACCATCTGATAGACATAGTGAAACATCTGGGCGATACAGCAAAGCATTGTGAAGACATAATAGCATAGTGAAGGTCGATGGAATACCATGAGCATTCCAACGAGTGACGCGGGTTCTTCTTGTTGGGATTTTTATCGTAGACTTATGCACAAATCCCAAACACCAGCCAAGAAGAGGTTTTCTAATTGGTTTTATAACAGCCCTTGATTCCCTAGCCAAGTCTCTGAACGATACACATGCCACATGACATGTCTGTTTCCGTTGCCAGAGCCACAAAATCGCGTATCAGGCATAATCCATCCTGTGTTGCATGTGCAGTCTCAGTACAGTGATAGGCACCTCAACGAAAGTACGTCCGTCAGAAGAAACATCAACTAACAAAAACCTACACTTATGCCACTCCTAGTCGAAGTCACCATTACCCACATCAGGCTGGCAGCCGTTGCGGAAGGCGCTTGCCCAGCGACTGGGGTAAGCGATGTGAGCGTAGCGTTAGTAGCATCACGTGCTAGCGCGTACCGACTCCATGGCGTGGCGTAACACAATGCTAGCTGGTTGTGGAAAGACCCATGTCGCTTTTGAGCCGCATCAATGTAACGGGAAATAAGTTGAGTTCTGATTTGAGTATTGCTAGCGCCTTACCCAAAAAAACAGAGAAGCAAGCAGGATTGACAAGAGGTAAGTGAGGGGTAGAGCGAGAGGCGTGTCCTAAGGCTGACAGTGGCGCTGGGTCTATGAAAAGCGATCATTGAGCGTAGGCCCATGCTTGGTGGATCTTGCACGTGTTGTGACATGTCTTTCTCTGTGCTTCCTTGACGCTGGTGTACCGCTCGTCACAAACCTACTTTAGCCGGGCGAGTAGCCGAGATAAGCGCTCTAGCACTAGAGGCGACAGAGCTCTCTCGTTGCTGGGTGGGATGTTGGGGTATGCCTAGATGCGAGAAACGTATGATAAGCTTTCGCTCTGGAGCTGCGTAACCATTTGTTACCCCTGTGCGGTGTCTTCTGATCGCGCTAAAATGGGTTAACTCATCGAGAGGAGTTGAGGAATGCCGCACATCGTGCGATACTTGCATGAGATCCATACCAACCATCATTGTGAACGTTGGTACCTCGCGGCATAGTTGCTCGATTCAACCGCGACCGTTGGCCTACTGCAAGAACGCATACTAGCGTACCAATCCCGCCTTCTTGTGCCGAGGGGTATATACTCAGTATGACTAGGCATATGCAGAGTGTAAGATGTCATATAGATGCAGCTTCGATGCGTGTTTTCCGGTGGCGCGGCACTTGTCATGCTGTGAGCAGAAAAGGTCCGAAGCTTGAGCATAGGATGTTTCGAGCTCGATGATGCTGGTAGTTCCGATCACACTATCGACGGCATTCCCGTGCCATAAGCTCGTTCCATGGTAGCAACGCTGGGAAAGTGGGGTAAACCGCTAGACCCTTCCTTACAGGAAATTGAGGGCTGACCTTAGTTCTTAGCCTCTGCGGAATGGGACCACATCATCTCTTCATTCGCTATTGCTGCAAGGTACCGAGTGTTTTAGAGGAATATGGTGGTTGTACAACGTATCGAGAGGCGCGGACAGGTGTGTAACCGATTTGATTTGGCTCCATGACGGGTAGAGCCAACGGAGCTTATCTTCCTAGCTCAGCAGACAGGATCATGGTGTTGGAAAATGGTGAGAATAAAATCTCAAAATTACCATAGCTGGCAGAAGTCACCGGAGATTTGGCCTGTCTGAGCAATGCGGAAGTCGGTTCAGTGGAGGCAGACATTGACAGCTACAGCGTCGATCACATGTACATGTGCTCGAAGTCTTCTCTCCAGGCCTGCGACTACGAGTAGCTCGAGTTGCCACTGCTGCACACACTATAGACACCTCCTATGTCATCTGACGTAGGCTCTTACGGTACTGTGAGAACATCGTGTTGTGTTGATAGCACGTTTGGGTTCATTTTTAGGTAGACTGGTCAGAACATGCATATTCAAACATCACAGACGCATTCAAGCCTCCTGATTCAAAGCAATGTCGCAGACAGTGGCCCCACTGATGTTTCGCGCTTGCTCAAACCAATCACTCTCGTCTTTGAGGCTCGGTCAAACCTGGTCGCCCCAGGTCGGAACTGTTTGGCTATCGTGCCGAAAAGGTGATAGTACGCATTCCAAAGGCGGGTCCCCATGTCAACACGATCGACCGGAAGCAACCGAACTTTTGCTCTATGCATGCAATATGCAGGACGTTGCCCAGGTGTCCGCGACCTGTCGCCCAAGGATACGGAGGACTAATTGACTGTGACGGACTTACCGAAAAGCTCTTCGGCACGGAATATTGGCCTTGATAGCCGAACAGACAGGATTAACGGAACCACTCTAGGCTTAAGCGGTCAACGCACCTAAGCCTCGCCGCGGAGGCGCACTGTGACCAGTATGTCGGAATTGCTGTGCTGGTTCTTTGTCTAGGAGACGTAAAACGATGATAAAGCGTTTGGGATCAAGTGTTTGAGAAATGCTTGGTTTGACGCTGCTTGAAGATCTATTGTATAGATGGATGTCGACGCGCTTTGTAAAAGTTAGATCTCGTGGTATCGTGGTCAGCCCTGCCAAGCACGAACAGCTGTCAGGGTACTGGCATGATAGGATGCAGCCGTCCGTAAAAAGCACGCAGGGCATAGCTACGTAGCGAAAGAACCCAGATTTTGGTCGGCTAACCGAGTTAAGCCTTGAGAAAAATGTGGTCATGTACCATCTATGTCATTGGTTGCCCAAGAAAGGAGACCGTCAGCCGCCGGTGATGCAATTGGTGCGAAGAATGCAGCCCATAATCCTGTCGAGCACAACTCCAAGGGTCGCTCTAGAGGCTAAAGATACCAGTGAGCGTGTGGCTTGCTATAGCGAGCGCCCACTGCATATGAGTGCTGCAAGCCATCGTAAATCCCTGTCGAGATTGGTAGACAGCTTCGTAGGGTAGGCGAAAGTTGGACAAGGGCGCCCAAGTTGAGAGTAGCTCCCGTTCATAGCAGTCGCTGTGGAGGGGCTGAGGGCCGCTTTCAACCCCACAACAGTAGGGAGATGGTATTTTCGACTTCGAAACGTGAACGGACCAGAGGGCTAAGTCTTGCGCCATCTTGTAGGTATTGAATCGCTTGCGAGGCCTGCGATCCAAAAGCAGCGCGACTTCTCAGTGTGTCAAGCGCGCCCAGGCAACACCAATCCGGTAGGCCTTTGTCCGTGTTGAGACGAACAGGTACACTATACACTATAGGTGAATAATTGACCTCGAGGTTTAGTAGTCGCTACAAATACCTTTTGAGGACTGACCCCGGACAAAGAATCCTTCTCCGTTGATTTGCCCTTCACACTTTGCTCGAGCTCTGCCTTCGCCACAAAGACACGGCCGAAACAACACAACTCAAACACTACAGCGGTGTCTGATTTGCAAATTGGCATCACGTAGTCGTCCACGTTGATTGTCTCTGCGCCAAAGCCTTGGTGCCGGTGAGAAGCGGGTAACTGCAACAGGTTCGTTCCCTGAACTCTTTGCGAACTGCTATGCATCATTGCGACGAAGCAAACCCAGCAAAGGCCAACATAGCCGGTATTGTTACTGACACATATCAGCACCATATCTGGAGAAGAGCAGACTGGTTCGGCATCGCCTCAAGAGACCGAAAGAGCCCTTTCCGGTATTCAGAAACAACGATTCTTCATCGGTCTTCAGGCTCCGAGACTTTAGGCCAACAGAAGACTCATTCCGCTCAACCCAGTTGCGCTTGGTCTTGTTCATCATCAACTTCTATCGCTTATCTGTTTTGTTGAGTTCAAAACGAGGCCAATCGGTAAGAGTGAACAGAGCTTTAGCCCGCAATCTCCACCGTCGCAGCGATTGAGTAAGGCGTTAACACCCGCTATGATGAGAGGTGACACGCTCATCCAACAGCACCCCCCTACCCCACCGAATGCCGGATCGGAATACCAGACCAGTCTGCACCAGGTTGCGCAATACAACGTAGATCGCGGCTATCCATTCGGTGAGGCAGGGTATGGTTCTCCCAGCTCGGTGGCGCACGAAGGGATCCCTTCACATGTGTCACATGCCGACAACCACTCTCGTGGGCTCGGACTAAGTATACAACATGTAAGAGTCCTTACATCCTTGCACATATAGCCATGCTGATCAAATTACAGGACGGGTATGGTCCACCGGCAGAGTACTACCATAACGGCTCGTATAACGGCATGCCTGTGAGCAAATATTGCTGGTCGTGTTTGACTTGGTTGCTAATGAATGCCAGAATGACCAAGCTCTGTTCTCGCCGCCGACGCCGAGATCATCGAACGGTGATGATTCTGGACGTAGAATGACCCGCAGCGGACGAGCCACGACGTTGTCCAGCTCCCCACGTCGGAACGAAAGCAGCCCCCGACCGAAGGCGACGTCTAGAGCTAAGAAGGCGAAGGCGCCGAAGAATGAAAAGCATAAGACGCCCAAACTGACTGCGCCACTGAGTATCCTGACAAAGGAGCTACATCATATCCCAGTCAAGAACATGGAGGAGTGGGTGAATAGGCCAGCGGACGTCAGGAGACGGGAAGTGGAGAAGAGGAACGGATACATCACTCGTCCCATGAACTCGTTCATGCTGTATCGGTCGGCGTTTGCGGAAAGGGCGAAGTCATGGTGTCTCCAGAACAACCACCAGGTCGTATCCTCAGTAGCGGGAGAGAGCTGGCCACTGGAGCCTCCGGAGATCCGTGAACTGTACAACGAATACGCAAAGATCGAGAGGATCAACCACCAGAACGCACACCCAACATACAAGTTCTCGCCCAGCAAAACAGCGGCTCCGGCGCGGAAACGAAGAAGCGAATGGTCAGACGAAGAAGAACCTAGCGATCTTGACGATGCTGAATGGGCTCCTGGTAGTGGCAGGTCTCGCTCACGACAGGCTAGGAGAGTGGACCGATCGTTCAGTTATCCATCGAGTGGTGTTGCTGCAGAGTACTTCGACCACTCGTTCGGTCCGAATGGTAATGGTATTAATCGATCCTCCTGGGAGGTAACGAACGAAGGCAGACCGATGCCGATGCCGATAAGCCACAACGAGCTCTACAACCAGTACTACCAGACTACTGCATATCCCAACATGCACATGAGTCCGAATTATGTAGACGAAATGCACATGAGGATGGTAGAAAGCCCACCATCTTCCATGCAGTTTCACTCGAACCCGTCTATGCTGGGATTGCCCGGAGGGAATACGAATGATCTTCTGCTACAGTCGGATCTCGGCACACCATTCGACGAGGGGCAGCTGGATCCAATGTTGTTGGCCTACGATGGAGGTAACCACTCGGATATTGATCCTGCAGCACTGCAGAACAACTTATACCAGAACGTCCACCCGGCAATGCAAGGAGATAGGCTTGAGCAACACAACCTCGGTGGTTTGTTGGATCTTTCACCCAACGAGTACCAATCCTGGCAGTCAGATCCAAACATGGTATCACTCGAACAAGAGTCGGAGTTCGACAAATGGATGGGCGAGCAGTGATCCATATCATATTAGCTGGTGTCTTTGGTGGTTGTGTCGCCATTGTATTTACGCGCGACGTTGTTCCGAAGCGATGACCATTCTTTTCAACATCGTAGGGCTTCTGGCGAGCTCCTGCACGGTGAGCAGCATTCAAGGCGTTGATCGAACCAAAGTTTTCGGGGCTTAGAGCATTTAGACATGGTGTTATCGCGTATGTAGACTAAGATGTATATATTAGTGTTCAATCAGCCTTCTTCAATCGTCTCGATGTAGGGACAGGACGTGACATTGCATCCCATGTAACATGAATCCATCGCGCTCCATAGTGACGACGAAGAAAACACCACTAGCGGAGGGGTCGAAGGTGCTGGCGAATGAGCTTGCGTGGGTTGCTGGTCTTGTCGAAGGGGTTGCCGGAAGAGTGAAGTTGGACTCGAGAAAGCCAAGGCCCGTCCAGCCCCACCTGTCCCCGCGTCGCGAACGCGCCTGTCTTGGTGGAAGAGAGGGTCCAAGAAATATCCACAGCAAGATATAGACGTCAACTGCCCTAGTATTGCTCAATCAAGCACCCACGAAACCACGTCCATCACGGCGCGCCATCTCGAGAACCTCACAGCTTTGCGTGTCCCACAACTTGCAGCGCCCGTTCTGTTTGCCTGAACTAGCACATTCTCCGTTACTACCAAGAAACAAGACATTCGAGGAGATTGAAAAGAAAATATAGATCATGTATGGAGAAGCGGCCAATAAATTAGTAAGATTCAATGCACCCCCCAAGTTTGCTGCTCCACGACTTGTCTAACAAAGCTTAGGTGCAAAACGCGAAGCGCACTCTTGCCCTCCCCCATCTTCCGCCCTATGCCTCAGAGCTCACGCGCTCCATAGTCCGCGAAGTGCGCGACCTTGACAAAGACGTGTCGTCGATCCTCGCTCCCTACAGCGGCTCCTTCAATCCCAGCGCATCGCCTGAAACAGCCTGCGCTCTCCTTGTAAACCACTTGTGTATGCGCCGGAACAAGCGGTGTCTACTCGCCTACCACCGTGTGCGGAGCGACAAGCTGGAGGAATACTGCTGGGAGGGTATCGATGTGCTGGAGCAACAGGGCAGCAAGGACCATAGTGGAGAAGGAGGGAGGGGAAATGGTATGGGTGCCGGAGGCGGAAAAGAAGAAAGCAGTTTGAGTCCAGAAGAGGAAGAATACGTGAGGCAGTACAGCGATCTGCTTGCTGCGTACAAGGGGCAATGGACTGATATCGATTTGACGGGGAGTCTGGAGCCGCCTCGCGATCTGTTCATCGACGTTCGTGTCCTGAAGGATGCGGGCGAGATACAGACGGAATACGGGTACGTGACGACAATCTCGGCATGCCGAAGCTTGTTCTTTATTGGGACAATATGTCCAATACCACACCTCTGCTAACTGACTATAAGGTCCATAACCCTGACCAAGAACTCGCAATTCTACGTCCGGCATGGCGATGTTGAACGCCTTATCACGCAAGGATACCTCCAACGTCTAAGCTAATCTCTCTCCAATACATGTGAGATTGACTCTCCTTGCCATGCAGCATCACGCAGCATGCCTTCTCAACCAACCAAATAACTTGGTATCTCCTCCCGCGGAGATATTGATTTGGCAAATCCTTCACACTTCCGTGACCTGGCCCCCAAAACACTTTTGTAAGATCAGCCCCGAAGCTGGGTTGCCGAGACGCATCCGAGACCAAGGGATATCCAGATCCAGATCCCAGTGGCGGCAAGGCTGTGTTTTCTGGAAGCACGCGCCGCCCACCATCACCATTGGGAGGAATACCACGCTGTCAGAAATCTTCACTGGACCTTGCCCCCCCAACAGACTCCTGTAGGCTTCTTAAAATAGGCAGAGATGACCCTAGATGCACTCTTTGCAGCAGGTCTGTTAGTCGGCCTGTAGACTGGGAGGAAGGATGCATGCAACTATGGCGCCAACACAGGCACATGTCCGACATGCATGTAAAATACCATTAATGGATCCTGGCCGGCGATACTGCCATCAGTTAGTATCTGCATCGGTACGTCATTGCATATTGGGCAATAGGTCGTAGTCATACCAAGGCATCTAGGTTAGAGAGCATGAGTCGCCGACATTCGCTTGCATGTATATTGGCACGCATGTTCTGAAAAGTTTTTTCTGTTCACTGTCTGTGGGCACACTTGTGTATGGAGATACAGAACTGATAGTGAAATCAATAATTAGATATTGACACAATATTGCGTCTCTTAAAGTCAAGACTGATCATTCTCCTAGGACATATCGCTGAACTACGTGGTTGATCCACTAACGTACAATGATGTGGTCGCAACTTCGACATCGTGGTCCTTTTGCCATGGTAGAAGCTCATCAACGAAGAAATGACCTGCGACGGGGTGTGTAAATCAGAGAAAACATTAAGCGGTGTGTCAGGCCAGCACTTACGTTTTAGTACAGCCAAGAGATATGTGGTGAAGCCGAAACTACCCTCCCAAGCGTAGTCTTATTGAAACCTTTAACTCCATCCGATGCCATTCTGATCCATCCAGTGAACCATCCCTCCCAATGCAGTGAGCTGACGCCATGGAAAAGAAAAAAAGATTGCAACAAGCGGAATTTACCTTTACCAAGTCTCTCAGACAACCGAATAACGCCCAGTCGGTCCGCGAGTCGCAGATGCGTCCTCGGCTGCAATTGTCCCCTCACGTAGAAGACGGGTAAGCTCCATCATAGCCTGTGTGACGATGTTTTCGGTATCGCCCTCAACAAGAATGTACAATTTAGGAAGATCAGTCTCACCAGGCTGCTTGCCAGCTGGGTAAAAGTTACCCTTGGTCGTGATAGAGACACCAGTTTGTTCCAGAATCTTGGCGACGTTGGTGCGGTTGGTGACGGCCCATCGAGCTTTCTGAGGGAAGTCGTTGATTTCGATAGTCGAGTGATAAAGACCAGCATCTGGGCCTTTGTTGTCGATGGGCTGACCTGCGTGTATCATACCCTTCTTGCTCAGTCTTCCGTCAACCTTGGAAGCAGCGGCCATTGCTCGCTCGCGCGCGGTCATCGGCTTGCCAGAAGCAGAAGCTTCAGGGCGTTCGGTCTTGCTAACCACAATCTTACTGTTTAGGAGCTTCATCCAGTGTGGTTGATCCTCGGCGTCAGCTGCAGCGGGGTCAGCGGCCTTGACGACACCCGGACCAGCAACTTCAGGCTTCTTAATGATCGGCGCAATCTCCTCCTCCTCGTCGCTTTCGTCAACGCCTTCGAGCTTGAGTTGACGCTTCTCGCGCTTCTTCTCAAGAGCACGTGCTGCATCAAGCTTGTCAAGACCCTTACCTCCGAAACCACCGTAGTACTTCTCGGTACCTGCCTTGGCCTTCTCATGGAACGTGTTAGCCATTTCTTGAAGCTCTGGGGGTACTTCTGTACCACTCTCCTTGAGTGCCTTGACAATGTGGAGTGCGAAGCGCTCTTGACCGGGGTTCTCGATGAGTGTGATGGCTGTGCCCTTGTTACCAGCACGACCGGTACGTCCGCAACGGTGCACGTAATCTTCCAAGTGGGTAGGTGAGTCGAAGTTCAGTACCATGGCCAGTCCAGGTACATCAAGACCACGAGCTGCTACAGATGTGGCAATAAGAATAGAAAGAACACCTTGCTTAAAGTCATTGATCGCTTCGTTACGATCGGTCTGATCTTTGGCCCCATGTATCGTGTTGACAGAGAAATACTTAGACTTGTAAAGCTTGGACAAGAGGTCTTCAGCTGTCTCTTGTCGCTCAGTGAAGATCAACACCTGGGCATTCTCATCTTCAGAGAACAGCTGACCAAGATATAGCAGCGTCTTGTGAACCTTCTTCTCATAACTATTCGGGACGACAGAGATGACCTGAGTGATCTCGGGAGCAACCTTGCTCTTGCCACCAATGGTGATCTCGGCTGGATCATGCAGTGCTTTGCGAGCCAAGGACTGCATGTTCTTCGGCATAGTTGCTGAGAAGAGGACAGTTTGACGATCAGGGCGTACATTCGCAAGAATCTTCATGACTTGAGGCTCAAAGCCCATATCGAACATACGATCAGCTTCATCAAGGACCACATATGTGATACGTCGGAAAGAAAGCACTCTGCCTTGGTTGACGTTTGTCAGATCAATCATTCTGCCTGGGGTTGCACATAAGATATGGATGCCTCCACGCTTAATCATAGCGATTTGATCGGAGATGGGTTGGCCGCCATAAGCACACTTGATCGTAACGCCCGATGCAGCGAGGAATGGTTTGAGCTCATTGACAATCTGGAGTGCCAGCTCTCGAGTTGGGGCGAGGATCAATCCAATGGGTCCATCAGTAGGTTTCAGAGGGCGTTGGTCAAGGACATGACGAATCATAGGGATACCAAAGGCGAGTGTTTTTCCAGAACCAGTCTTGGCTACTCCGATAAGATCCCTACCAGAGAGGATTGTAGGCACACCTTGAGACTGGATACCCGTGGGCCTCTCATAGCCGATCTTAGTGAATACATCCATGGTAGCTTGCAGCAGGCCCATCTGGGCCCACTTGGTGACGGGACGGGGTACATCATCCGGCTTGACCTTGATACCATCAAGTTCGTGACGCAGATCGGCAACTTCTTCAGGTGTCATCTGTGCAACTTCGGAGGGTTCAGTGTAGAAGTTTTTCCTGAATGGCTCGTACTCAACTTTATCGTGGTTGACGGTGGGCACCTCCTTCTTCTTCTTCTTTGCAGCACGAAGGGCGAGAAGGTCTTCAGCCTCGACAGAGGTCTCGACAGGCTCAAGCTCGTCAGCAAACATAGCTTGACCCGAAGGAGCCCCACGGCTTGGTTGTGGCTCAGAGAGATCGGCCATGAAGGCATCGAGAGGGTCGATTTCATCTTCTTGGGCGCCTGCATTTTCGTCAACTTCCATCTTGTCGTCGGCGGGGGCTTCGACAGCAGATGCTTCTCCCATGGTTGCGTCTTCTTGGTTCTCGTTGGCGATCTCCGCACGACGCTTCTCAAGGCGAGCCTGGAGCTCGGCGTTGTTCTCTTCGTCGTCACTGCCGATTCCACTCATCTCGGAGTCGTGGTCAGCGCCGTCAGCCTCAGGCTCGGGTTCGTCGTTGGTGGTAAACTCGGGGAGAGCCTGGAGCTTGCGCTTTTTGGTGGGGCCTTCCTCGTCGAGCAGGGCTTTTCTAGAAGTCTCCTCTTCGGTCTCAGCGGCAGTCTTAGTCTTGAGACCGAAAGCACCAATGTTACCATTAGCCTTAGCAACGGGGGGTTCTGCAAGGGTCAGCCTGTGGTTCGTAGCAAACGATCCAGAAGAAGACTTACTACTAGCGGTGACAGTCTTTCCAGCAGGCTTGGCCATATCTAGTGGGCGTGCTGCGGCGGAAGCATCCAGCCTGAAGGTCGACTTCTCGGGCTGCTTCTGTTTGAGTTTCTCAGTAGCGCTCTTCTGTAGAACAGCTTTGGTCTTAGCGGTATCAAGCTTGGCTTCAGCCACTGGGGCCGGCGGAGGTGTCGCAGCAGCCGAGGGTGTTGCAGGCGCAGTAACAGCTGGCGAAGCACCAGAGCCAGGCGTATCCGTCTTCTCCTTGCCCAGACGCTCGGCGTTGAGCTTCTTCCACTCGGCCAGCTTCGCAGCGCGGTCAGCGAGCTTGTCCTTGACCTGTGTCTCGGGATCTTTCTTCCTCTCGTCGCGCGAGGAAGGCTCCAGTCGATCGCGCCTGTCGTCGCGCCTGTCATCGCGCCTGTAGCTGTCGAATCCAGGTGCCGGTGTGACCGAGGAACGAGAACCAGGCCGGCGAGAAGTGGAGCGGCGACGCCTGTCCCTGTCCCTGTCCCTGTCGCCATCGCGATCGCGCTCGCGCCTGTAGCTGTCTCCACGGTCTACACCACGGTCGCCACGGTCTCGAGATCGGTCGCGGCGGCGAGGCGGCGGAGAGCGCGAACGTCGACGGTACGTGTCGCGGTCCCGCTCTCTCCGGTCTGGCTCCCTCCGGTCATCGCGGCGGTCCCGGCGGTCACGGTCGTCTCTAAATCGTCCCTCGCCATAGCGGTCTACACGATCTCCGCGGTCGCGGTCACGGTCTCGGCGCGGGGAATGGCGTCTACGATCGTAATCAGTGTGGCGCGTCGCCATCTTGAGTCGGTGAAGTTACTGCTGTAATCAGTTTGGATGTGGCGTCCTCAAGCAGCAGATGCGGGCGGGTGCAATTGCGTGGGGTAGCAGTGAGCTGCGGAGTTTGAAAGTTGTAACGAATAGGGTCCCCGAGCATGTTTCCTTGGCTGATGGTCACCTGGCACGTGCGACGCGCTAAAACCGAAATCTTGGACGCTAGCGATAATTTTTGGGAAGTTGCGACAGTCCGAGGTGAACGTGACAAGTGAACATCAAACACCAGATATGTCTGTCAATCCGCGCAAGAGAAAGGTAGTTACGCGCCCGGCGCCCGAGCCAAGCGAATCCGAGGACGAGCTGGGCGACGGACTGCTGGAAGGCATCTTGTCGCATTCCGAGGACGACTCGGACGACAGCCAAGATGAAGATGCCGATACCGACGCCAGCAGTGTGATTGAGGGCCTGTCCGACGAAGATGAAGAGGGCGAGGAAGACAGTGACTCGGAGCAAATTCGTGAGGAAATGCGCAATCTGAACACCTCGGATGTTCCGCTGCGCAAGAAGAATGGAGTACCGACACATGAGATGGATCTGGACGCCCATGGCAATGCAACAGGAGAACTGGACGACGATGAACATCTCAAGCCCAACTACACTGTTACAACGGATGCGCACGGCAATATTCGCTACATCTACAAGGAAATCGACCCAGTCTACGAGTCGGACGATTCGGACGCCGAAGCTACGAACACGATCGGCAACATCGACCTCAAGTACTACGATGAATACCCGCATATTGGCTACGATATCAACGGCAAGAAGATCATGCGCCCAGCAAAGGGCGAAGCACTAGACGCGCTGTTGGACAGCATCGACATACCGAAGGGTTGGACAGGCTTGACGGATCCTCAGACAGGAAAGCCGCTGAACCTGACGGACGAGGAGCTGCAGGTACTCAAGAAGCTCACAAGGAACGAGGTGGTCGAGGACGGATATGACCCATACCCAGAGATGGTTGCCTACTTCTCTGGCCACCAGGAGATTATGCCACTGAGCGCTGCACCAGAGCCTAAGCGACGATTCATTCCTTCCAAGCACGAGGCGAAGCGTGTCATGAAGCTCGTCAAGGCGATCAGAGAAGGCAGGATTCAGCCGTACAAGGCACCTGAGGAGCAGGAAGAGGAGCAGGACGTTTTCACTTTCGACGTATGGGCCGACGAGAAGCCACGACCAGACAACTCGATGCACATTCCTGCGCCTAAGCTGCCACCACCTGGCTACGAAGCGAGTTACCACCCACCGCCCGAGTATCTACCGGATAAGGCTGAGGAGCAGGCATGGCTGGAACAAGACGAGGAGGACCGAGAGAGGGACTTTCTGCCCAAGGACTACGCTGCGTTGCGCAAGGTTCCTGGTTATGAGACATTCGTCAAGGAGCGATTTGAGCGAAGCTTGGATCTCTACCTGGCTCCTCGTATTCGAAGGAATCGACTGAATATCGACCCTGAATCACTTCTCCCCAAGCTACCTAACCCGGAGGAACTGAAGCCTTTCCCAACTACCTGCGCAGCGATATTCCGTGGACAAGAAGGACGCGTCCGTTGTGTATCGATCGATCCCAACGGTATCTTTGTTGCGAGCGGAGGTGACGATGGCTATGTGAGAATCTGGGAGATTTTGACGGGTCGCCAAGTCTGGAATGCGAAGCTGTCAGATGAAGAGGCCGTGGATGCTGTACAATGGAGACCTACCAAGGACGCTGCCGTAGTCGCTGCCGCTTGCGGCGAGAATGTCTACCTCATCGTACCTTTCACTCTTCTGTCACCCGACGTAGAGCAGGCCAGTCGCGAAGTTCTCGACGTAGGTTGGGGTTACGCAACGTCGAAGCCGAAATCAAATGATGGTGAAGCACCCAAGCAAGCACCTGGCAAGTGGTCCCGTCCTGGAGCTCGCCTTGAAAACAAGGGCGTCCTGGTTCAAGTCGAAGTCCGATCAGCTGTCAAGATTATCAACTGGCATCGGAGAGGAGACTACTTCGCCACAGTATCGCCTCGGGGTCAAAGCACAGCAGTAGCCATTCACACCGTCTCAAAACATCTCACCCAACTTCCCTTCCGCCGCCTGAAGGGTATCGCTCAAACCGCACAGTTCCACCCTTCCAAGGCGATCTTCTTTGTCGCTACCCGCAACACCATCCGCAGCTACGATCTCGCCAAGCAGGAACTCGTTAAAATCTTGCAACCAGGTGCCAAGTGGATCTCCTCGATTGACGTACATCCTGGTGGTGACAACATCATTGTCGGAACATACGACAAGGTAAGTTCCGGTCACACCAAACTTTTAGTAAAGCATTCACTGACTTTCCATGCAGCGTCTCCTCTGGCACGATCTCGACCTCTCCAACAAGCCCTACAAGACTCTTCGTTTCCACAAGGAGGCTATCCGTGCAGTACGCTTCCATCAAGGTGGTCTACCTCTTTTTGCCGATACCTCCGACGATGGCACCATCCAAATTTTTCACGGAAAGGTTGTAGGCGACTTGATGGAGAACGCAACTATTGTGCCCTTGAAGGTATTGCGAGGACACAAGGTCAAGAGCAGGCTGGGTGTCATGGGCCTAGACTGGCATCCCAAGGAGCCGTGGTGTGTGTCGGCTGGTGCAGACGGAACATTGAGGTTATGGAGCTAGATGTGTAATATGCCTTTTCTACATGACTTGCATTCTGCATGGCGTTGGTGCAATTACGGAAAATGCAACAGATTCAATGCTTTTCCCCCCAATCTGTATCCTTGGACTACTTGTGATCTATGGGCAGTAACATATCATGTAATAGTGTACTGCCGACTGTGCTGGCTAGAAAAGACGAAACTTCAGCATATCGCTCATGGTGCCCAAATAACTTATCATCTTTACGGCTTTTGTAGAGATCCCTCTGATATTCAAAGATCCTGTTGTATTGTCCAAGCAGTTGCCTAGTCCAACTCATACCATCAAGCCTACAGACTGGTTGGTGGTAACAAAAGCGGCCGTTGTCATGAACGACATGCAAGCAGGCAGGCAAGAATCGAGCGCACAGTATGCATTGGACGTTTAGACGTCCAAATATCGACCGCGCAAAAGACTGTTGGACTTTTTAGCAAGGTCTGCGGCGGATTGTGGCCAGAAAAGGTATCTCTCAACAATGCGCTCACCTGGGCATTGGGTGATCATTGAGTGATCAGTTCCACACTGCGATCTACACCTTTTTAAACTTACCTAACGCGGTAACTCGGAGCCGTAACCCCCGACCTACCAATCTGCCAACGACAAACATCAAGTTCCCACGAAGCCCAGAGCGCACGAAGTTTTGACACAAGAAAAGGACTGTTCCGCTGGAGCGATGATTCTAATCAAGATTACTTGAAGATCCGGTGTTGGGAGTGACGAGATTGGACAGTAGGGGTAAGACTTCCGGTGGACAGGTGTAGGGTTGCAGCTTCTCCATACTCGGTTCCCGCAATACAACAGCATCTCAAGGGCAGAAGAGGGGTGGGATAGATTCTGTGACGCGCTGAAATTGTGCTGGCGGAGTATCCCCGGCTCTTTGATTAAAGCTCTCATATTGTGTACACCACGCCGTATTAAAGCTTGTATAACCGCTAAAGGATGGTATACAAGGTATTAGCTATCGACAATAAAGTCCTGCTTTTTAAACATTAAAAAAAGATGCGGTTTTAGGTGAGTTATCACTAAAAAGAAACATTGCCCAAAATGGCGTTGCGGCGGATCGGCAGCTTGGCGTGCAAAACTTTCGACGCAGTACTGTACCATCATCAACGGTTCCAGCGAAAACTGCCAAATGCGGTATATTCAGACTAGCAGCCAGTGCGCCACCTACCGCATATGAAGCACTTCGCTACTACGGTGCAAGGGCTGATTTTCATCGACTATGCAGAAATCAGGTTTCTGCTAGCATTGAGTAAGTTTGTACACGATCACACGAGGATAATTCTTGTTTTGGTTCTCATTCTCTCTTAATACAGGTGCAACCATATCATGATATGCTATGCACGCTAAGACTGCCAACATCCCGTCACTTGCCACTTACATATACACATCTTCCCTACAAAATCTTCAAATAATAAGGTCGGCCATCAAACGCCAGAAGGGTATCTATGAGCGTGCCTCAGCAACGCTCTCTAATGCATCCATCAAACAACCACCTACAACTCCATAATCTCCTGCGCCTCTTCCGATGCTTCTGATGATGACGATCCCGCGTTGAACAATTGCTTGATCTCTTGAGGATCCATGGTGCCTACAAATGCTCGCTTAACGAAAGTGAACCATTCCCTTGACGCCTTGTGTTTCTTATGATGCTTTCCTTTCTTCCCCTTCTTATGCTTGTGCTTCTTTCCTTTCGTCGCATTGAGCTCATCGTCTTCGTCTTCATCCGTCTCAAAATCTTCATCTCCGGCCATGTCTCCTACTTCCTCTTCTTCAACTTGAGCACTTTTCGATGCAGATGATCCAATCTTCCTGGCATACTCCACCCACCGCCTTACTGTGAGATCGGCAAACCCTCTGTCCTTTTTCGTGTCGTATTCAATCTCAAATACAAATTCGTTGGGATGTGGCTCTGGCCGAGGTTGCTTGCCCTGGTGTTTCTTGTGCTTGCCTTCGTTCCACTTCTTGTTCTCCAGCTTGCCATCCGGGCTGACTGCAAAACCAAAAATCGTACTTGCAGAATCTTCGTTTATCGAAGTCTCGGCGGGGGCAGTTTTGACAATCTCCGGCGGAGGCTCGAGAAAGTCGTTGTTGATGTGCGTGAGGTTTGCAAAATATTGAACATGTCGCGTCCATGTTAGAGTCTGCGGCGAGTATGCCGGGCCAGGCGGGGCGGATTTCGAGGGACCGTCTGGAACCTTGAATTTGTACTTTCGTTGCTTCTTCTTGTCTTTCCTGCCTTTGTGCTTCCTCTTTCGCGCAGTCTCCACGTCTCGTAAGTATTCTTCGTCGTCGTCGAAATTGGTGGCGGTGATCGGCAATTGCTCAACGGGTGTATCGATCGTTGGTGGGCTGATAGGGCTAGAGGCTACGTTGAGGTGTTCCAGGCCAGTGATATTGTATTCGATGATGCGGAGGGTGGGGAAGTAGTTCGGTACTACGCTGGGTGCGACGTGTGTTACCGCATAGCGTTCAGCGTATCTCCCACCAATCTTCTCCAGGTACTTCTTTCTCTCTTCTTTCCGATCTTTCGAGGATTTCTCAAACATGGACACGAGCCATGCCCATAGCGAATCTCCGTCCTCCCCTTCATCGACATTCTTCGAGCGCGACTTCTTGTTCGACTTCGCTGGGGGCGCAGGTAGTTGAGCCCAAGCTTCCCGTAGATTAAGTAGGTAGTCGGACGCAGATGCCACTGTTACTTCTCCGTTCTCAAGAAGATTAATGTCTTTGGCCAGCGAAGGCCTGTTTTTTATTGCTCCCATTTTTCCATTTTCTGTATCCTTTTCGATGTGTTCAAAATCCTGCAGCATGAAGTGATCGATATTCATGTGCCCATAGAGGCTTCCTACGATGACGTCCCGGAACTGTCGCCCGAAGAGTGCGTACTTTTGCCAGCATGTCTCGTCCCAACTTTCTTTGCTGTCGACTCGAGCGGGTGGTACATGGCCGATGAGTATAGCCTTCATGCCGCGATCTCGCAGGATTTGAAGCTGAATGCGCAGCCATTCCATGTGTTCGTACCCGGGTTCGTGTTTCTTTGCGCAGCCGTCAACAGCCGAATTGGAGGTGAAGAAGTATCTGCGCAAGTCAGTCTCTTTCCCAGAGTTCTGCTTTCTTTTGCCACTTACATGGTGTTCAAGCTGATAACAGCCAGCTTTCCTGGAATCACCTCGACTGAAAACCATCCTCCTTGCTGGAACTGATGCCTTTGCGCCTCAGGTATGAAGCCCCGCCATATGTCGAGATACTTGATGGTCCATCTGTTTGGGCCGGGTGTGAAAATGTTGTGTGGCATGATATCGTTGTTTCCCCAGGTCGGTACTATGGGTATCGCGAAGCTGTTGGGGCCATGGCCCTGGCCGCTCAGTCCAAAGACTTCGGCGAATTTGGAGACCATGTACTCGTTCTGCTCGATGACCTGCGTTTGCGTCCGTGGTATGTCCTCGTCATTGTCGTGTCGCGCCGAGTCGCCGGTCCATATTATGAAGTCTATGTCGTCTTTGAGGTTGTCTTCTATCCATTTGAACGTCTGGTTGACGAGCGCGAAGGGGGAGTCGCAGCCGGTAGTTTCTGCGCCGTAAAGACCAGCGGGTCCATGTCTGCGATGGCACGCTGCGTCGGATTCTGTGCTGGAATATGTCTTGTAGAATGGGTCTGGATGAAAGTCTGCATCATGACGTTAGTCGCGACTCTGCCCTGAAGATCAGATAAGACGTACCAGTAATATGGAGGAACCTGCCCGCAAGCTTTCGTCGACTATCCGCGTCTATGGATCCAGAACCCGCATTGCGGCTGTTTTCTGCAGCACCTGCCGCGTTAGGCGGGGCCGCTGTCGTGTGTGCCCAGAAGAGCAGCCCGCATAAACATACGTCCCGTACGCGCAGCATGTCTATCATGGTGAAGAGTCAAGACAAGGCATTTGCGAGCAACTCTGGGGGTGTCGTGCGACTGTATATCCAGGAATACTATGTAGAAGCGCCGCCGCCGAAGACAGGATACCCTGATGGCCCGTCGGGGAAGGAAGGCGCAACAGGGAGCCACCGCTGGAGCACGATCCTTCAGCAACCCTTGTCATTGGTGCGTCATTGCCCGCGCACTAGCACATCTCCCACACATCCCCCAGCCAGAGGCATACACATGCCCTTCCCCACAGCCACACATGTCTCGCTAGTACTACGCGTCCGTTGATCGTGTGATGTTCAAGTGCCCGACATTTGTCGCCTCGAATTTGCTCAGTGTCAGTTGCTCGATATGCCGCCGCAACCACCCCGATTATCACTCACCGCTTGGCTTCCAAGCCAGGTGTGGGCCGTCGAATACTCTAGACAACCAAGAATCCAACCCGGAGGGCGGTAGATCTTGAAGATTGGGCAGCAGATGACTCGCGTGGTCACATTTCATCCTCCACGTAAGCCAAGGCTGCAGTCGAAAATAATACCTCAACATCAGCATGCAGTAACTTCACATCACGCAGTGAGCCGAGAGGGCAATGTGTGTAGTTCATTGCATATTGCAGACCTGCAGGTGCTGAATCTACATGTTGCTAAAGATGAATTCTCTCTTTGCAGAAAGACCTTCCCCTCTTGAAATATCATGTGCACTATCCCAAGTGCTTCCGATGCTTGTTCAACAACCTGTACGCTAGTTTTTATTTGCGCCGCCCAGCGAAAATCATAAGCCCCAGGACGCGCCCTAACTAGGCAGTCCATGCAATACAGTGAGAAAGACGAAGAATCAAACAGTGCCCGTAACTAGCCATGTCTTGAGTAGTCAACCGAGCCGAACACCTACGCTATGCTGCAAATATACATGACGGTGTGTGCCGCCGTAGAAATCGAAAACGCCCGTATGCCGATGATATGAGTTATGAATGATGTATAGGCATACTATGCATCCGTACAGGAATGGATTCTCAAGCGCCGTTCTTTTGTCCGTTTGTTGGAGTCGCGCTCGCCGCTGGCTTCTCTTGGCTCAGCATCTTGTTGTACATGCCCTTGACAGCCGCGACAGTGACACCAGGCCGAGGCCAATGGTGGTTGATAGTGTAGTTCCTGTCATTAGTTAGCGTGTGTATGTAGAACATCGTTATGCATGCTTACCATAGACGATCCTCGAGCTCCACATTATCCCGAGTCTCTGCGCGGATGAAGTTGCCGATAGCGATCAACTCAATCTTAAGGACCTTGACCATGGTCTCCTTCTGTGGGTAGTTCTTTGGTGTCGCCTTTTTAAGGCGGCCCAGATTGTCGCGCACAGGTCGAAGCTTCCGCTCAAGGAAATCATCCGGCTTCTTCTCCTTGGGCTTTGGCGTCTCCACACTGCGGTCGGGTACTTGGCTCTGACTATGAGAGCGTGGACGGTCTTCAGAAAGGCGTGGTCGCTGTCTATCCACATCGCCGTTCGACTTCTTACGGTTTTCTGGCGTACCATTGCGATCAGACGTCTGCGCACGACGATCAATGCTGCCACGGTCGTTGCGATGTTCCTTGCGGTGGGCATCAGATGGTCTGTATTGGTCGCTATGCCTAGGGCGATCATCCCGGCTCCGATCGTGATGGCGACCTTCAGTCCGACTGTCAGGACGACGGATCTCGCTACCGCTATGGGCGCGATGCGTAGGACGCTCTGAATCCCGTCCTTGCACCTTGCGTGCTAGGCCAGCTGGAGCAGGACTAGCAGAGACACCCTTATCTGCCCGACGCGCGATATTCAACTGATGCTTCTTGTTGTTGCGGTGATGGTTTTCCATCAAGCGCTTGACATTGGGGTCCGACGTGCTCTTGTCTTTGAGAACAGTAAGCAAATAGTTCGCGCGACGAACCAGATGCACAGCACCAGGCGACTTGGCATTCTTCTCGTCGGCCTTGGTCCGCTCTTCCTTCTTGTCGACACGGTGCTCTTCGAGGTAGAACTTGTCCGTCAACCCAAGATCTGGATCGTCACGAATGGGGATCCACGCGCCGTAGCCGTGGCGTTGGATGCCGATACAAAGCATACCGTCCTCACGTGCACCCCAGGGACAAGAGTAGCTTGCAGGCTTGATAGCGTCCGGTACACGGAAGTTGCGCCACTCCGATGTTGCCTCAACCGCTTCCTTCAGGACGCGCATCTCGATAGGGCGCTCCAGGATGGTCTCTGCGTTGACCTTCTTGACGTTACCGAAGTCAAAAAGAACAGCTTTCTTGTCCTTCTTCGTAATCGGGCGCTTGGTCTCAGCCTCCAAGTTCTTGAGCCTAGTCTGCTCGTCCTTAACGAGCTGCGTGCTCATGGCAATGATCTCATCGAGCGTAGCTTTGACGACACCCATGTCACGACCGACAAGCCTTGCCGCGCGAAGCATCTCCTCGCCACGCTCGTCGAGCGAACCATACCGGCAATATGCGCCGATAAGGTTACGAGCCTCCTTTGTGTTAAGAGGACGCTTAGGGTCACGCTTGACGCTATCGTCTTGCTCGGATTGCTCATCATCATCGGCATCGACTTGAGAAGCCTCCAGTGCTCGCTTCTTTGCAGCTCGCTGTTCTCGTGCGCTTGCTGAGGCTGCTTTGCGCTTCCGTGGAGCATTCTCCTCAAGCAGCTTCTGAGTCTCTTCTTCATCTTTCCGCTGCTGGATGTCAGCCTTGACTGCCTCCAACTCTTCTTTTGGAATGATATCGTCCCATTCGAGATCGATCTTGACATCAGTGTACTCAAAGTTCCTGAGGAACTCTTCACCGCCATCAGATGTAAGACCAGCAGCCTGCTCGGTCTTGTGTTCTTCAGCATTCTCCAAGACTGAGTCAATGTCGAGCTCCTCTAGCTTCTTCTGATTGCCAGATTGCTCGAACATCTTCTGTCCACGGCGCTTGAGAATGTTGTTGATGTCGTCGGCGGAAGTGGGCTCCGCTGCAGCACGACTCATCTTGTCGTTGAGCTCCTTTTGCTGACGATCGGTCACACCACGCTGAATTGTGATGAACTCAAGCATGCGCTTGTTGCGAGCGCGCTCCAGAATCTCCTCTTCGATGGTATCTTTCGAGACAAGACGATAGACACTGACAGGCTTCTGTTGACCGATACGATGAGCTCGAGCCATGGCTTGCAGATCTGCCTGAGGGTTCCAGTCGGAATCGAAGATGACAACGGTATCAGCAGTCATCAAATTGATACCGAGACCACCCGCCCTAGTCGATAGCAGGAAGCAGTAGTCCTCGCTGCCGGGAGAGTTGAAGTGATCGATAGCGATCTTCCTCTCTGCCGCTGGGACTGTGCCATCTAGACGTTGGAAGGGGTAGTTGCGCAGCTTGAGGTAGTCGGTCAAGATGTCTAACATGTGCACCATCTGACTGAAAATGAGCACGCGGTGACCGTCGGCCTTGAGCTTTCCGAGGAGTCGATCCAACAGCATCATTTTACCACTGGAGGTAATGAGAGCCTTCAGGGTCTCCTCTTTTGACGCACCAGGCTTGACGAGCTTGTTTTCGGCGTTGGGGAAAAGCAGCGCATGGTTACTAGCCTTCTTGAGCTCCATGACAATGTTCAATAAAGACTGCTTGTGGCCCACACCACCCTCATTGAGAGCCTCGTAGTTGCGGGTGAGGATGTTCTTGTAGTATTCCAGCTGAATGTCAGACAGTTCAACTCGAAGAATCTTCTCAGACTTAGGAGGTAGGTCGTTCTCCACCTTCTCCTTGGTGCGGCGAATCATATAAGGCTGAATGGCTGAGCTGAGTTCGGCAAGCTTTTGACTGGCATCTTCCGAAGCAAGATCAACGTTCTCGTCAACGGAGATCTTCCCTGGCATAAGAAAGTCCATGAGGGCAGCCAGCTCACCGAGCGTATTCTGGATGGGAGTACCAGTGATGAGAAGTCGACATGGTGCCTTGAACTGTCGCAGCCTATCGTACAGCTGTGACTCGCGGTTCTTCAATCGGTGAGCCTCGTCGACGGCAAGGAACTGCCAGCTGATGCTCTGCAAGAATTGCCAGTCCGCAAGAACGTACTCGTACGTCGTCAACAGTACGTTGAACTTGATCTTCTTAGTATTGCCGTCAACCAACAGCTCTTTGTCCCGAATGATGCTGCGGGCCTCTTCTCTACCGGTGTAGATGACATAATTGACATCTGGTGTCCAGTTGTTGAAGGTGTCCGCCCAGGCAGGCATAGTCGATAGTGGCACAACGCAGATCATGGGGCCGTCCTGCCTCCTATCATGCCGCAGCCAGTTGATGAAAGACACAGTCTGCACAGTCTTTCCCAGACCCATCTCATCGGCAAGGATGACGTTTGTGCCTCGACACCAGTTGTGCGCAAGGAAGTTGACACCTTGAAGTTGGAAGGACCTGAGTTGACCATACTTGATGTAGTCAGGTTGCGTGTCCAACTTGACAAACTTCCTGCGAGTATTCGGATTCGCCTCGCGGGCGTCGGAGGAGGGTCGGTTCGACGAGCGGTCAAGAAATCGATCGATCTCGGACTGCGACAAGCGGCTGACCAGCGACGCAGGTTCCCATGTACAGAACTCGTATGTCAATCCCTTCCACTTGACAAAGTATTCGAGCTCATCCTCGCCGTCTCGTGAGTCAATGACACGCTCTACGACGTGGAAGTCGAGCTGGCTCTCGCGCTCAGCTTCGCGTGCGACCATGTGTTGCTCGTATTCTTCTGGGTCGGCATTCTTGCGGCTGTAGACATACATGTCGTTCTGAACAGGGCCCTTGTAGTAATTGTCCAATTTGCGGTAGCCCTTGTATGATGCAGCCGTCTTGTAGTCTTCCCATGTGGAGTGGTAGTGTGCCTTGTCTTGCCATTTGACCAAGTATTCGAAGTCGCGCTTGTCAAAGGAAGGATCCATTTCTGCCATCAGTTAGCACAAGACGGCATGAAAGATCGATAGCTCGCCTTACCTAATCCATCCTTTGGTCGATGGTCAAGGATCTTGTCAATGACGGGGCCAGTATCCTCTGGCGCGGTCGCCCAGTAGTTGGGTGTCATATCGTCATCATCCTCCACGAACTCGTCCTCGTCTTCCTCCTCGTTGTAGTTCGCAACCTGTGCACTGCGGCGTACAGAGAAGCGGACCTCGGCTTGAGATGGAGGCTCGCGGCCTGCAGCAACGGCTTGCTGACGTTGGCGTTGCTTCTTGGTTGGGATATTGCGACGAGCACCCACGTAACCATCCGACTCGGAGTCGGAGTTGGCTGAGCGGTAGACTGGCGTGGGTACGTTTGAGGCTAGGTAGGCGGTTAGCACGACTTCAGATGGACAGGATGGGGCAGACAAACTCTTGCGCGAGGCTGTCCTCTGTCGCTTGCGGGGCTGATCAGAGCTGTAGTCTTCATCATCTTCGTCATCACTATCCATCTAAAGAGAGTTAATAATAGCTTCCTCTGTCATCTGAGAGTCACTTACGATGCGACGACTAGGGCGAGCACGACCCTGGAGTGCGGTTAGCTCATGTGCATAGAGACTGGAGGTGCCACGTACGCTGCGACGCAGGCCATAGAGCTCCGGGTTCTGTTCTATATAGTCTTCCTTCTCGTCGCTTGCCTTGCGCTTGCGCGGTCGAGTTGACTCTTGTGATGAACTCCGGGCGCGGTCGCTCTCTTCCTGCGCAGACGGCGGTGACTCAGAGTCGTAATCGCCGTCTGGCTCGCCCTCGGCATCGACATCGTCGGACGAGTCTGAAGCAGCAGCCACTTCGTCGTCTTCGTCGTATTCCTCTCCTGGCGCGTCGACATCGGAGGCTTGGTCAACTGCGGCGGCCTCTTGTGAGTCGGACTGCTCGCTGTCGCTGTGGTGGGAAGAGCTATCGGCGGTCGCCGTATGGGCTGCGAGAGGCGACAAATGACCGTTTGTGTATGGTACCGAGGCGACATGGCCCGGTGAAGAGGGCATCATGATGGACGTGGCTGTGGTTGATGGTCAGCACGATATTTCAACCTTCTGTGGGCTCCAGCGGCGCAGAGCGGGTGCGTTGGATAGAGCAGAAGTACGCGATCCAGAATAGCCAGAAAGTGGCCAGGAACCAGGGTGAAGACTTGTGCAATGGAAGTCTGATGGAATGCGGTGCTGGTAGATGAGCGCTCGATGGAAGAAGGGCGGTGGAGTCGCGTGAGCCGGTGGGTGCGCGGACTGAGTATGCAAGGCGATAGAGAGCTTTTATATACGCTCTTTGCGCAGCGACGGATCGTGTTCTACGTGAAAGGCAAGTTGCTGGATGCGTGGGCGTGATCTGGCGATGGGATTGATGGACACGGACAAGGCCGACAGCAGGCAACTCCGGCAGGTTCGCGAGTGAAAGTTACGCGACAACAGACTCAAAAAGGGAATATACGTACAGTCCATGTCCAAGACACCCTCGAAATAGGTAGTGGGGGTTGGTGGTCTTGGGGGTGAGGTATAGGCTAGGTAGGGTCGTGATCTCTGGAGCGCGGAGGTTCCTTACAGCGTTCAGCGCTAGCCCCGATTTCAGCCTTGCCCTTTGTATACGGCGAATCAGAAGCCAGCGAGTAAGCGCACCTAAAGGCCGACAACGTCAGTGTCCACACTTCTTTCACGTTGTTTCTTTCTACTCTGTGCAGTCGTCAGGGATACCTCCTTCATTCTCCGCCTCCAGACTCCGAGCGCGCCTCTACAGCAGTGACTCTCGCCGAGTCCACGCACGCACTGCTTATCCGCCAACTTCTTCACAGTTTGCGACTCCCAGGCAATCCACACCCGCAATCGCCAGAACAACAAAGCCGCCGCCAACATGTCTGACAAGCTCACCCGGTATGTCACATGCCTTTGTACACCTTTCCCATGCCTATTTGCTAACACAGTCCAGTATTGCCATTGTCAACTCGGACAAGGTACCCCACTACCCCTCCACACACAAAAATTGATCCCCGACTAACACGAGCATCTTCGCCATGACAGTGCAAGCCCAAGGCAAGTGCATCCCCCCTTTGCGCCTTCCCTATCCTAACACGTCGCAGAAATGCCGACAAGAATGCAAAAAGTCGTGCCCAGTTGTCCGCACGGGCAAGCTGTGTATCGAAGTCGACTCGTCCTCCAAGATCGCCTTCATTTCTGAGCGCCTCTGCATTGGATGCGGTATCTGCCCAAAGAAATGCCCTTTCGACGCCATCAACATCATCAACTTGCCCACCAACCTCGAGACCCAGGTCACCCATCGATACTCGGCCAACAGCTTCAAGCTGCACAGACTGCCTATGCCCCGTCCGGGCCAGGTCCTTGGTCTGGTTGGAACAAACGGTATTGGCAAGAGCACAGCGCTGAAGATCCTCAGTGGCAAGCTTAAGCCTAATCTTGGTCGCTACGACAACCCGCCAGACTGGGAGGAGATCCTAAAGTACTTCCGTGGCTCTGAACTTCAGAGTAAGAGAAGCAAATTTTTGGTCAAAGGATTAACTCGCTAACGGCGCGCAGACTACTTCACAAAGGTTCTAGAAGACAACCTCAAGGCTGTCGTCAAGCCCCAGTATGTCGACCAACTTCCAAGGGCTATCAAGTCGACCGACCGCTCCGTGGGCAAGCTCATTGGAGCCCGCTCGCAGATGGATAACCTCGACGAGATGATTGACGAGCTGGAGCTGCGCCACATTTTCGACCGCGACATCGGACAACTGTCTGGTGGAGAGTTGCAGCGTTTCGCCATTGCCCTCGTCTGCGTCCAGCAGGCCGACGTATACATGTTCGACGAGCCGTCATCTTTCCTCGATGTCAAGCAGCGTCTCGCAGCTGCCCGCAAGATCCGCAGTCTGCTCCGCCCCGACGACTACGTCATCGTCGTCGAGCACGATCTGTCCGTGTTGGATTATCTCTCCGACTTCATTTGTGTTCTTTACGGAAAGCCTGCTGTCTACGGTGTTGTCACACTGCCTGCATCTGTCCGTGAAGGTATCAACATCTTCCTGGATGGCAACATCCCTACCGAGAACTTGCGTTTCCGTGAGGAATCGCTGCAGTTCCGTATCGCGGAAGCCGGCGACGAATACATGGTGGACCACAACCGTGGCTACAGCTATCCCAGCATGAAGAAGACCCTCGGAAGCTTTGAACTCAACATCGAAAGCGGTTCCTTTACTGACTCCGAGATCATTGTCATGATGGGTGAGAACGGTACCGGAAAGACCACTTTCTGTAAGATGCTCGCTGGTGCTCTTCAACCTGACGGCGATATCAAGGTTCCCAAGATGAGCATAAGCATGAAGCCCCAAACCATCACTCCCAAGTTCCAGGGTACCGTTCGCCAACTCTTCTTCAAGAAGATCAAGGCCGCTTTCCTGAGCCCTCAGTTCCAGACTGATGTCTACAAGCCGCTCAAGATGGACGACTTCATCGACCAGGAAGTGCAGAACCTCTCTGGCGGTGAATTGCAGCGTGTCGCCATCGTCTTGGCCCTCGGTATCCCAGCTGATATCTACCTTATCGACGAACCCAGTGCCTACCTTGACTCCGAGCAACGTATTGTCGCGTCACGTGTCATCAAGCGCTTCATCATGCACGCCAAGAAGACTGCCTTCGTCGTCGAGCACGATTTCATCATGGCCACCTACCTCGCTGATCGTGTCATTGTCTTTGACGGTCAGCCTGCTGTCAAGGCTCGCGCTAACAAGCCTGAGTCTCTTCTCACTGGTTGCAATACCTTCTTGAAGAATCTGGACGTCACCTTCCGCCGTGACCCCAACTCTTTCCGTCCCCGTATCAACAAGGACAAGTCTCAGCTCGACCAAGAGCAGAAGTTGAGCGGAAACTACTTCTTCCTTGAGGATGATAGTTGAAAAGGTTCTTGAGAAATGGAACACGCCTCCCTCCCAGCGACGCCCGCGAGGGCACGTCAAGACCGGGATGACTAAAAAGGGCAATAAAAAGCGTGGTTTGAGAGGACGCGCTGTGAGCCTGCTAGATGATGAGGAAGGTGCGGACGAGGAACTTCAGGAAGATGGCTGTCTTCTCATCGGCGGTCGACCTCCTGCGCTGGTCATTTCGAATAGCGTGTAAGGTCGACAAGGAAACGCGCTATATCAGCCAGCCCGGGTCAAGTTAGGTGGCCGCCGAATATTTGGAGGATGCTGCAACACATGCGTTGACGATGACGAATCGCGAGACGTTTTAAACCAAAAAAACCATCTACTTATTAATTTCTTGGATGTAGCAGAGAGCAAGTAATGACAGTGCAAATAATGTTCTCAGCAAAAACTATTCGTCAGCTGTCCTTGATACCACCACGTGATGCCCAGCAATCCGCACAAACTCTTCTTTAGTCAATTTTGGCATCTAAGGTAGGTATCAATAATTTGCATATATCCATTTGCGAGTTTCATTTTGGAAAGGCTAGCTTAGATAAAGCAGTCCATATGCCGGCGGATAAATCATGTCAAGAACGCCCTATCGTGTCCCAAACGGCCCAACATGTTCCGAACGCCTTACGAAGTTGACGCTAGCACATTGGAATATCAGGCACAACGAACCCGGTGATATTCACAAAATTCACAGAACAGCACTGAACAATAGGTAACTCCAATCAATCACGCCTTACGCCATCGCTACTGCTTCACATGCTGATCCAATGGAAACTACGCCTCCACGACTAACCGCTAACCGCGAATCGGATATGGAATTCCATGCCACCGACCAAGACTTTGATGAGATGCGTGAAACAGAACCAGAATTCTCGCTACCTCCCGTTGACGGTGGAAAGGCTGCGTGGCTTTTTCTGTTCTCAGCCTTTATTCTAGAAATCCTTGTGTGGGGTGAATTCTCCGTTTTCATCTACACCTAATCAAACCAACACTGACCTCAACTGACGCTTCATAGGCTTCCCTTTCGCTTTCGGTATATTTCAAGAATACTACACCTCGAACCCACCATTCGCCGGCTCCCGGAATATACCAATCATTGGGACTTGCGCAATGGGCCTGATGTACCTTACGTCGCCACTCATCTTCAGTTTCTTCGCGTGGTATCCTAATCTTCGACGTCGATGCATAACCATCGGACTGATCATCATGTGTCTTTCCCTAGGACTTAGCTCGCTGAGCCAGACTGTTCCGCAACTGATCGCTAGCCAGGGAGTTTTCTATGCAATTGGAGGTGCACTGTGCTATAGTCCAGTGGTTGCGTTTATGGATGAATGGTTCGTGAAAAGGAAGGGCTTGGCTTTCGGAATCATGTGGGTATGTCTACACTCAGACTTCTATCGCATCCCATCTTTTCACAGGTAAACATGCTTGCAGCTCTTTGCCGGCTGACTCCGCGACAGGCTGGTACTGGTATCGGTGGCATCATAATCCCACTACTATTGCAATATCTCCTCGGTAGATACGGCTTCCGCACTACCCTTCGTGTTTGGGCAGCCGTCCTTTTCGCAGCCACTATCCCCTTGACTCTATATCTTAGGCCGCGCCTTCCCGTCTCGCCAGCCACCAACCACCGAAAGTTTAGCATGACGTTCCTCCGAAACAAATCATTCCTCCTTTTCCAACTCGGCAACGTTCTTGAGGGCCTTGGCTACTTTATCCCGTCTATCTACCTCCCCACCTACGCTAGAACCCTCGGCGCATCGAGCGCTGTGGCTGCCCTGACCCTTATCATGATTAATGTGACCGCTGTCTTTGGTTGCATAGTTATGGGTGGAATCGTGGACCACTGGCATATCACGACATGCATTTTCTTGTCAACTATTGGATCCACACTCTCTGTTTTCCTTCTTTGGGGATTTTCTACCAATCTGCATCTTCTCTTCGTCTTTTGTGCTGCATATGGGCTTTTTGCAGGGAGCTATTCGACAACGTATCCTGGCGTCATGAAAGCGATGAGAGACAAAGAGCAGGGTACCGACTCAATGATGGTATTCGCGGTACTAGAAGCCGGTAGAGGTGTTGGAAATGTTGCTTGTGGGCCAATGAGTGAGGCGTTGATTCGAATGGGGGAGGTTGGAGGCAGGGGGCTGTATGCTAGTGAGTATGGGCCACTTGTGATACTTACTGGTATCAGCGCCGCATTGGGGGGCGTAAGCTGCTTTGGTAGGGCTACAGGGTGGTTTTAAGCTCCGATATGCAATGGTATTGCGCATGCTAACAATCGTGCTGATGCATATAATCCGAAGCAGTCATATACGTCTCAGGATGTACGTCCAGAGTAGCAAAATGATCAGTCAATAGACTATTTACAGTTGTTTCGTAAGGATATAACCAAAATGGGTGTGCATGAGGTTAGTAGAAAAATGGTGTATGACATAGGACAGCATCTTGCCCGCATACCAGTAGGCTTTAATATTCTCCGCTCGAACATCGGCGACGTCATTCTATCCTTCGGTGCAAGCGGTGTTCAATCCCAACAGAACCCAAAGTTTTCCAGTCTTCCTAGTCTTCGAACTTTGTGGCAATGTTGATCCATCATCGCCATGTTCATTTGCTCGCTCGTCGTCGTCGCGATCGTAATGAGGGTCTCAATCGCTCTGAAGGTTTGTCTGGAACCCATGTTTGCTGCCGTCAACATGGAATCCCTACTTGTCTCTTAAACGGCTCTAGCCACTCAACAAAATCTGCAGGCGTTTGATTCCATGCATCCCCTCCATTGTAGAGTAGCCACCTAGCCTGATGCTGTATTTCTGCATCCGAAGGTATATGGGAGTTTGGGTTCTCCGTGCACATGGTAGCTGCCACCCAGCGTTTCAAATTTGCCACAAATCCACGATAAAAGTTCGCATCCTCTATATGGTAATTGGCCAGGCCCTGCAATTCGGATGCTTCAGTCAAGGGTGCTGGTACGGCAGGCATATGATCTGCTTGGATTAGATCTACTGCAGATGGGTCGGCCTCATACTCTGTCGACAAGAACGCTAGAGGCGATGGTGAAGAGGGCGATAACCATGGAAAACTCTCGCTCGAACCCGATCCTAGGCTCAACCCAGACACCAAATGGTTTGTTACGTCCTTTGCAGATATGCCATTCCGCTCCTTAAATTTGGAAAGCCAATCTGGGTTGGAGCGCACAAGTGTGATGATCCAACTTGTGAAGCTCCCAGATGAAGTGAGTGAGTCTTCCTCCTTGCGCCGGATGATTTCACAAGCCTCGTTTTGGATGTGCACATCGTGTACGTGAACATCTATTAGTCTCTCGAATTCGACGAATATCCGGAGTTGCGACTCGAATTGGCATTTTTCGAATAGATAATGCTGGCCATGAATCTTTAAAAAGGAGATTTCACCATCATTCGATAACTCCATCGACCCAGATCTTGCTTCTCTGATCAGGTCTTCTGACGACATGATCAAATCGCGAAGCCAAGAGTCTCCTTTTGTTAATGCCGAAGTCGACATTTCCTCTTCACCCTTGTGTTCGCATGCGATGATGATCCGGCATGCTTCCAGTTGCATTGCCTTATGTGTCGGCAACATGCCTGTTCTGGTATAGCAGTCATGCGTAAAGATTTCCATCTCGGATTTAATAAGCTCATATGCGTCGATAGGTAAGCCGTGTAAGGCATTGCTGGCCTTGATTGGAAATGGTAATTGACGCTCGAGATGAATGAAATCTAACATGGCACAATCAGTTCTCATGAACGTTAACAAGACCGGGGGGCGCAGAACTCACAAGGCGGCAGAGAGTTCTCAACCCATTTCAGAACCTCATCATCAAATCCCCATTCGCCTTGCCATTCTGCCATCGTAGAGCCGGACTTGAAATGCTCAGCCAGATGGTCGATTCGCTCTCCCCAGGAAGTCATCCATGCATTGCAAAATCCACATCGTGATCGAACATCAAGCTTGCATATCTTCCAGTGTTTCATAGACCAATCTTCGTATTTAGCCCCATGAACGAGTTTTAAGTGTTGTGTAAGGTGGTCCTTGCGGAGAAACGTTCGTTCCTTCAAGTCACGTTCGCTACACGACAAAGGATTGTGCGATTGTATGTGCGCATCGTCGGGCGACATGTGCCCACAGAATGTACAGAATAGACCTGTAACGCCAGGTTTCGTCGCAAGTGAGGAATCTGATCCACAAACCCATTGCTCGAGAGCTAGGTGCAGCGACTTCTCATGACGCTGCCAGTCATGCTTTGTCTTGAACGTGTCGGTGCAAAACGTGCATTGATATGGTAACTCCACAGCTTGGAAAGAGCTGACTTCTGCCCTTGGACGGCGGCGTTTTCGTCTTGAGATGCGCGTACTTCTATGAGAGGATTGGGATCCCGAATCCGACGTTCCGGCACTGCTCGCAGAGGACATATAGTAGGGAGATGACCAGACATTATTTTCGTTGGGGCCAGGGCTTTGGAAACCGTAATGGGCTAGAGAAAGATGTCAGTAATAACCAGAAAACTGTATAGTACCGTAGTAAACATACATGCAGAAGTTCCTGATCCTGACGCTATCGCTTGCGCGATACATCTCATGGTCGCACCCTCTTCTTCTGGCGGGGAATCGACCCACCGTTGCAGCGGGTCCTTGAACTTTGTTCTTTCTCTTAATGCTGGAGTCCCGGGTCGGGGAAGGATGTCGATAGGATCCGTTCGCGAACCTCGTACTTGTGGAGAAGCCGGTCTCACGTATCGCATACGGCCCCTCCGTCTGCTATTCGCGAACCAGTTGGAAATTTGCTTCCGATTCAAACCAGTCTGGCTTTGCAAGAAATTGATGTCATCATCGTTTGGGTATGGGTCCTGCTTATGGTGCACAAGCCAATTGTTCAGAATGCGAAGTACATTTCTAGAGAAACGAGCACCAAGCTTAGGCGCAACGGTTGGCATAGATGTGCCCGTCTGAGATTGTAAGGTGTCTGTCCACTCATCTCCAAAGACAAGAGAACCATTGCGATCCGGGGTCATTGGGCCTTCGTCCGTAGATCTTGTTGGTCGGCCAGACGAGACCCTGTCGAACTCAGAATGAGAAGGCGAATATGCAAGGAAAGGAAGAATTGTCGAGTCGTAGAATCATTGAAGGCCTGAGCGTATCTCAGGATTGTCTGTAGTTTCATCCAAAGCATGGAGCAGAAGTGACCAGCGAAGGAGGATCGTAGGAGTCAAGACTACGGATAGCCGCTAACTCGAAAACAGAATAGTGCATGTCATATACGCCTTTCGACCTTTCCGCAATAATCTAAATCTCATTCACTAATTTGATGGAGAAGAACAAGTAAGGCCACCGGACGTTCAGGACATTGAGGCATTGAGCTAGAAGGCTTCGACATCACGTATGCGCAAAATAATGATAAAAAAGTATGTTCTAGTATTCATCTTCGTATGTATGGCTCATCTCACGCACGATAAACCCGCCAGTTCTAATAAGGAAAAGACGCGCTAAAAGAGAAGCAGAGAGGAAGAAGGGAATATCCGTGTCCAGAATATCCAATTTCAGCAGTTCAGCAGCGGGGGTATAATGATGGTGCCCAGTAAACGCCGGCGACAATGCAATGTATACAACAAAAGAAAAAGTGTAATGTACTGTGAAGACTCAACTGTTTTAGCCGCGCCACATGAACTCCTCGTCCATAGGCATCGGCGTCCGGTTTGTCAATTCCAGACTTTGGTTCATGAGCTCTGCGTCCTCTTCCTCTTCAGATCGTCGACTCGCGTTGCTAAGCGGCGTGGCCATAGGGCTTGTTCGCATCGACAGTTCGGCATCAAGACTAGCCGAGAGAGACTTTGTGTCTTCTTCTGGTTGCGTAGGTAGCGGTGCGCAGTCGGTGGAAGCCTTGCTAGCCCTCTTTTTCGCGCGCTCTTGCCTCGCCTCTTCTCTTTGTCGCATGAGTTCTTGTTCATGAGCAACAGCTTTCGCACGGCGTTCCTCGACGTCTTTGCGCTTGATGACTTTTCCGAGAGCGTCTGATGCTTGAATCAAGCCATCGATACTGATGGCGTGGTTAGTCATCTGATGGTTGATGTAGTGGTATACGCCGGCTGGAGTATCACATTGGAGGAGGGCTTTTTCGTTTAGTTTGAGGAGTGCGAGCGCAATTTGGAAGAGAAAGGTCGATCCGTCGTGCATGCAGAGGACGACGTCCCAGACGCGGAAAAGTGCTTCGGCGGAGAGACAGTCCGTGAAAACGGACAAAAACCATTGGAAGGTCAGGGCCTCGAGCTCGATCTCTAGTTCGTCGAGATGGGCTGATAGCCTAGGCAAAATCTCACTGACGTAGGAGCGAAGGACGGATTGATCGGCACGGGAGGTGAGAAGGTGCTGGTCATAGTAATGTTGAGGTAAAATCTCTTCGATCATCGCAGTGAGAACCCAGAACGCATCTTCCGGGGTGGGCATGATTAGCAACAGGCATGCAGTGATCAGATTCATGCCCTGACAGTAGCCAACCTCTGGATTGCGGCGGGAGTAAGCGAGGAGTACTTCCTGGAGCTTTTGTACACCAGGACCGGTGCGGAAGAAGATGTTATCGGTAAGGGTGCGGGTGATGTCCATCTGAATCTGCGTTGCAATGGTAGGATCATCCTCGCCATTGTTCACCAGGTCTTCATAGTAGCCTGGCATACGCAAATGCAGCGCACCGCTTCCCTCGGCCCAAATCGCGGCTCTCATATTGACGGGTATGCCACCCAGAACAAGGCGACGGAATTCCAACCACTTGGCACGCCCGATCTTGCCTTTGTTACCCAAGCCTGCGATGCCTACCAACTCACCATCGGCAAGAAATTGTTCAGGCATTGCATTAGCTTTGCCATTCTCGCCGATACTGGCAACGTCGCCTTCGCGCTTGTTTTGCGCACGTACTTTTCGCAAGAAGTCATTCCACTTGACAGTCCTTTCTCTTTGAAGATTGTCGTGTAGCTCACTCATCTGCTCCAGTAGGGACTGGACGGGGTCAAGCTGCGGCGGATATTGGCTGATGGGTGTAGACGGGCCTGGCGAGGTACTTGTGACTGAAAGCTCTGCATTACCTGAGACGATGCGTGAAGGTGATGGCTCTGGGTTGACGCTTGTTGTCGGTACGGATCCTCGCTTCATTAACGTGATTTGGTTCTGGCCAATCTTGAAAGAGGTCTCGCCTTCAGCAGACTCTACTGTGGTGATAGCAGCTGCAGCTGGAGTATGTGACAGTAGCTCAGTTGGATGCGTGGCCAGCTTCAGGTAGTCGGCCCAGGTCTTGCTAGCTGGCTGACTCGGTTGGTTGTCGGAGTCGGAGCTGGATGGGCGTACGGTGCCATCGTTCTGGTCTACAGGAGCGGAACTTGCATGTTCTGGATCTTCATCCAGAGCAAGATGATTGAGTGCAGTCCTGCCGTCGCCAAGTGATTCGACATTGCTACTGCGCTTCTGCCTGATGAGCTCGGCTGCTGCCTCACTCTGCCTCTTCTTGCGACGCTGGTCATAGATGAAGCCGAATCTATCAGTCAAATACTCGCTGCTGCCGATAAATCTGTTGTGCTGCTGTACTAGAGTCGGCGGGCGCGAGTCCTCTGGTAAAATTCGGTCCATTTCCACAGGCCCTAGATTGCTCATTCCGCGGGTGGGCTGAGTCGGACCGAGGCCGTTGGATACATTCTTGGGCTGCTCTGTCGTGGTGCTTTTGATAGTTCCATTGGGGCCCAAGGCACGGCCTCGCCTTTGTGTGCTTGCCAGCGAAGACTTTGCCGACTGCGCAGTCTTGGTCGAGTCCATAGAAGGCGCGCGGCCAACAGCATCCGAAGCAGTGGACTTGCGGCCTCGCACAGTGTTGGCCTTGTTAGCATTTGCAGAGTTGTTGCCTGCGACCATCTTCAACGCCCAACTTGCTAATGACGTCGACGATGATCTACGCGCCGATGCGTCTGTAGCATGGTCCTGGCTGTTGAGTCGGCGCAAGGCGGGCACAGCACCAGTGGGAGGCACGAAGAGATCGCTGGCGAGGGCTTTTCGTGGTGGCTTCGCTCCGCTAGATGCGCGTGACCGTGTATGTCCCATACTCTCGGCCTCTCTGTCCACGTTGCTCGCCACAGAGGGAGCGCGACTGCTCTTTCTGCTGGTGCCGGTCCAAATGAAATTCTTCCAGTTCTGTTTGCTTGGCGTTTCCGACACGACTGAGTTGATGGACATGACTTCTGCTTGTGGCGCTGAATTGCCCGTGTCCATGCCCAGAGCATCGGGATGCTCAGCTAGTTCGTCTTCCATGGCTCTGGCTAGTCTGTCCTCCATGGGGTCGTCTGGGTGCAGTCCGGTTGCTGCGCTATCGCCCCTCGTCCGCGTTTTGGTGAGGCCATTGCCTTGGTCCTTGCCCTTGTCCAGCTCGCGCAGTCGAGTCTCAATGTCCATGTTGGAGACCTCGCACTCCTGCAGCATCTTCCTCAACATGCGCTCCCGCTCCTCGGCTCTTCGTCGCAGGGCGGTGATTTGCGCATCGCGTTGGGCCAGGTCCCCGGCGAGTTGCTTGACCAGGGCCACTGCGCCCGTCTGTCGCAGCGCATCCTGTATGCTCTCGTCGCTGGCGAAGTGTAGGTTTCCAGGGACCTTGGCCGACTCGGTGGGTGTGTCGTCGAAGAGGGCGGAGCGGTCGTTGGTGGCGGACGAGGCTGCGACCAGACTGCCTACTATCTGCTGTGTCGACTTGGTGACCTTCCTGACAGTAGACACGGGCGTAGTGCTCTTGCTCAGGTCTGGCGGAGGGACCGCCTTGACCGTGTCGGGCGACGCAACCGTCCTGCTCTCTGCCGTCTTGACGCTTTCTTCAGGCTGTGGTGTCGAGCGAAACCAGCCATTTACGCGCGCCTGTGCCGGCGACGTCTCGGGGCTAGGCGACAGCGAGGGGAACGAGGTGAGGCTCTTGGTGTCGACTTCGGGCGAGGGCGCCCGGCTGCGACTCCGGCTGAGAGACGTGTTGGAAGTGCGCTTCGAGGGGCGCATGCGCTGTATGCTGCGGTTTCGTGGGTTGGATATGGTGGAGCTCTGCGAAGCCGTCCGTACTAGATCAACAGCGCGCGGGGGGTCCATTGCCGCCATGTTTGTAGAGTCTGACTACAAGCACGCCCATTCGTCTAGTCGGCGGCGAGACTGTGTCGGAGCGGATATGGTGCCGGGACGAGCGGTCGTCGAAATGTGCGTGTGTATACGTTGTGCGTGTATACGTTGTGCGTAGTGGACGTCTGTTCTCGCGTGCATGGGTTCGTATGCAAGTGGAGGCGCTGCGTCATATGGCGAGGCGATCCCTTGTAGTAGTACTCGTCGCCCCACGCTTCTTTGTATGTGTGAGCAGCTGCAAAAAGACTTTGGAAAATGCCACGTCCTCAGGGGCAGACAAAGCACACGGCGGATATTGCAAGTTATGAAGACGCAAGGGGCACCGGCACAGACAAGCACGACTCTTGGGTGTGGGTGGTGTCAAGCAATCAATCATTCCCGAGCCGCTAGGTCGGGTTTGTGCTTGTGCATTGCAGCCCTACAGCCACACTTTCACCCGAAACACGTTCCCTGGCGATCTCCCTTTTATGCCCAAGACCCTGGCCTGCTAAACACGCCGAGCTATGTTTCGCATCTGCCATGCCCGTCACCGACGAGGACGCTGCATTGGCGGCCGTTGCTACCCTGCACTCCTTGTCCCCTGAGCAGACTGAGGCCCTGGACGGCATCAACGCCATTCTGCACAACGGCGAGCCCTTTGTCGACGTCCATGAGCTGTTTGCCCTGTATAATCTTGTCTACTTCCGACAGCTACTCCTCCCACGTGTTCAAGTCATCTGGTCGCCGCGCTTGACTCTGGTAGGTTTTCTTTGCGCTTCACAATTGCTTTCTGCTACCGTCTCATCCACGACTTCTGAAGCCGGCCTCGTGTCCGGACCGTTGCCCCACACGCTTCTAGACTGCCGTGTCAGACAGCGGCTAACAATAGACACAGTGCGCTGGCATCTGTGAGTTATCCAAGGACCCCAAGACCGGAAAGTTCACGCGCATCCGTCTGAAGCTGTCGACGCCTCTGCTGCAGTACCGTCCACGCTCCGACACCATCAACACCCTGCTCCACGAGTCGATTCACGCCTACTTCTTCATCACCACCTCGTGGAGACACTCGCGCGGAGATGATGGAACCGGGCACGGCCTTGGCTTCCAGCTACTCGCCGACGCCGTAAACAACCACGGCAACTACAAAGTCACCATATACCACACCTTTCACGACGAAGTCGACAGCTACCGAACACACGTCTGGCAGTGCGACGGGCCTTGCAAGAACCAGCCCCCATACTTTGGCCTGGTCAAGCGAAGCATGAACCGAGCTCCTGGCAAGGGTGACACGTGGTACTCGAGACATCAGGCCGAGTGTGGGGGGACATTCCAGAAGGTGCAAGAGCCAGCGCCGACCAAAAAGCAATTGGAGGCCATGAGCACCAAAGAGCGCGCGGGACGACAGAAAAATAAGCTGGATAACTGGATCAAAAAAGACGTCAAAGCCGAGGGTAAAACCCCTGCTATGCCCATTGTCATTGGAGCAGAGAATGAGGCTTCAACATCTTTTCAAGCTGGCCAGAAACGGCCGCTAGCGGGCGAGGACCATGAGCCTGTCGTCCAGAAGAAGTTGCTTGTCGACTGTCCGATCTGTAGTATCAGATTAGCCGAGTCCGATATCAACGAACATCTGGACATAGAACACCTTTGATCTTACAAATAACATTTGCGAAGGCGAGTGTGCTACGTCATTGCGCATTAGAACTATGCCACGTCTCGGATCCGTGTTACCTCTCATCTGTTGGAGAGGAAGCCATCTCGTGCATCCAATGATTTCTTCCACACCACTAGCGCGATGCCGAAATCATCAGTACCTTCATGGAACTCAGTCCATCGTTCATACACCTCAACACCAACCACGTCCAACTGTTATTATCCACAACTCGTTAATGACCGTATTCCACATTTTGTCTAGGCGCAAGTAACCATAATCGTCTCCATCAATTTCACAGCACATCTTGGAGCTCACGCACCCAGTCAACTTTGTCTTCCGCCAGGTTAACATCTGTTCATCATGGCATCAGGCGCTCCATCGTGTTCGCTTCTACGTCTTCCAATAGAACTGCGCTACGAGATCTACGATTATCTAGGTCGCCGGGACTTTAAAAGTTATCCACTCTGCACGACGGCAGTCGCGTTTATTGATCGAACCGGCCCGCCAACTGCGCTACTTGTTACTTGTCGCTATCTCTGCGACGAGATTCGCGCCTACTTCCTCCCAAGGGTCACACTGGGATTCGTCCAACAGCAAAAGTCAACTCTCCAGAGTATTGATCCAATCTCGCTCAGCGTCATCAAGAGAGCAAAAAAGGTTCATGTAAGGATGAGCTGGTGGGAAATACCAAGAACTGCCAGAGATTTCCGACACTGGCCGTACCGAGTGAATGGGTGGCTTGCGGACCTGGTCAAAATGTTGCTGGAAAAGGCCAAGAGCTTAGAAGTCATCACAATGTCTTTCGATGAACCTACCTGGGGCACTGAGTGGGAGCAGAAAGAGAAGACACTGGCTCCACTAAAGGACATTGCCGGCCGGGTAAAGTTTCGATTAGGCGAAGTGGAAGCTGGCGAGGAGCTCACGGATGAGGAAGAGGCGGAAGAAGCCAAGTTGAAGGGACCGCACAGTACGTACACCAAGACGGTCGGAAAGGAAGCTGAGTTGAGGAGACGGCTAGGTGCATACCTAGAAGAACTCAACGCGGTTGCGTTGCCGGTTGTCAGCTCTCGAGGTGGAGCGTGGCTTTCGTGATGGTTTGAGTGGGAGTCGCACTACTAGATCCGATATCGTCCAGTAGCATAGAGCTCTACTAGCCATGATATCCAGAACTTCCGTTCTGCTTCGCTTTATCACATACCCTGCATCGCATGATTCGTTCCCTTAATTCCTTCATCTTGTCGCCTGTATCTAATCTGTCTACCGATTCCATCGGCACTGTCGCTGTCACTGTCACTTCCGCCTCCTATACACTCGTTCTCTTAGTCCACATTCTTCGCTTTGTTCATAGCAGTTAAGAGTCTATTGACATACCGGCGTCCAGTCTCAGCTCGCTCTCTATCGGTCTTGCACGCCTAGGATGTCATCAACAACATCTAGCACTTTCGCAGTCACCACGCGCTCTCACCTCCCCCTATGCACCTTCATCACTGCTCTACTGGAACCTTCTTGCAGTCAGTCCGACATCGCAGGCTAACTAGGTAGCTCATCATCATAATTCGCGCGCTTGGCCCGTGCCTCAAGTTGATATCGCGCTCCAAAAGCTGCCTTCACCTGCGACCGCGCTTACACCGCCCACTAAATCGCCTGTCTGGAACCTTCTCCAGGCAGCGAACTACCCACAGACCACGCCGCTTGATTAATTCTCCGCACTCGCTAAGCGACTGCCGGCGATCTGCCGGCCCCCCTCCTGTCTATATAAACCCCCCTCCCCCACCTCTCTCACTCTTTCTCTCCACTCGCTCCATGAAATCGACTCTCTCTGGCAAGTCCACTTTCAGCATCATGGCCTCGTGCTTCAAGTATGCCATCTCTTCCTCCATTTCCACCTCTGTTTTTGCTAACACTTCCAGACCTTGGCCAGGATCTCATGATGTATGACATCATTCGTCGCCAACAAACATGATGATTATCAGCATCACTTCCACTCTCACTCGACTGTCGACAGTCTCGATGACTTCAACACCCCTCCACCCTCTCGCCTCGCCTTGATCAACATCAACATCGCCGCCTCACACATGCCTCATACATATCCGCCTCGGTTCAACATACATACCTCACTTCGATTCGACCTTCAGCTATCCTGACACACATGTCAACTTCGGTCTACCAAACTACCACATCGAACACACACGGTCTCGTCGACATGCACCACACCGACGGCAACCCGGCATAGGCACCAACCTCTCTGGCACCGGCTCCGCTTCGACTGTCGACAGTCTCACGCAACTCCCGATACCGATACACTGCGCATGGAAAGTCAAGTTGTGGCACAGGGATGTAGGACAGTCTGCATGGTTGGCCCTCGAGTTGGTTGCGGTTTGGATCAGAAAAATAAAGTGGTGTTGAGTCGGTATCATTGGAGGTCAACATTCACACATTGGATGTTTCAACCATTTCGACATGCATCGAGCAACAAGGTTGGAGGACAGACGGTCAATGGCGCTTCGGCGCTAAACTGGGCCTCTTGTTGTCTTCTCTGAGGGTGTTGCGGCCCCTGGGATGGTTGAACGTCTTGGTGTGGTGTTGGCTGAAAATGATACTGCTTTGCTCACTAGTTGGATGAATTATGGTTGACTTTGGTGGTATCTGGAGGCCTTGGTGGTTGGATGGTGCAAGGTTTTCAGCCTGAAGGTTTTCCAAGCTTGGTCACAACAAGTGTCTCTCAAGGAAAGGTTAGAAGGGCGGCTGGCAATTGGATCCTCAACTTAATCAAACCAACTTTGTCACTAACATCTTGTTCATGTTTCTGCTTGCGATGATCTTTGGTGATTGCTTTCTCCGTGATGCTTCTAACCTCTTTATGAATGATGAGTACGAAATGTCTCTAAGTCATTTTCGCTTGCTGTATATTGCAAGCAGATGCTCAGAAGTCTTAAGAAACCAACATTGCTTTGTTGTTTCCTACACAATATCAAAGGGGTGCATCGCTTAGCTGCACGGCCTCTATCAATGTCGCCTAAGAGTCGCTGTAAGCAAAGTCGTATCCGTAAGCCGTTTGCTGTTGTAAGAGAGTGGGATCAAGAGTGTAGGATCAAGTATGCTGTTCTGCTAAGCGAGAGTCACGATTAATTCCATGAGGTATTATTATACTATATGTATTTCGGAAATATCTAGGTTATTCAGTCAATGTAGTCTCAAAGGCCGGTACAGTTTCGTACAATAACGCCATCATGTGATACGCCAAATAGATGAACGCCAACATATAGTCGGAACTTTCAGGAACACGCCTCCAAAGACACCCCAGGAAGGAATTTATGCATCTGGGCATCGTCTACTACTGCATTCCTTTTGCACTGCTCTTTGGTGTGCGCCCAAAGCCACAGCGACGCACTATTCTCCGCCACAGCCTCCCCAGAACCGTCTTAATCAATCGCAATCGCACTCTCCCTAGAATCACCTCCCTTGTTCTTCCATCCTATCCCCACCCTCCCCCTCCTCCTCTTCACACCACCCATAAAATTCTCATGCTCTTCCATACCCAACGCCAACCACTCCTTCTTCAGCCCCTTCTCAGCATACGCCCTCCTACTCTCCGCACTCCTCATACTATACGGCCCTTTAGCCTTCTTCTTTCCCTCTCCTTCTCCAGTATCCTCTTCGCAAGAGTCCTCGTCTTCCATGTCCGGCGCTTGCCACCACCCACGCCCTTCAAAGTACTCAATGTTTAGGTGCTTGATTATGCGCTCGTGGGCCGAGGGGCGCGGGCGCAAATATGACTCGTCAGTGGCTTTGGAGCCGAGGAGCGTGTGGATGTAGGTCTTGCGGGCTTGGACGTGCGGGGTGGAGAGCATGGTTGCAGTGCCGCCCATGCAGTGGTAGAGACCAGTTGGTAGAGGTGGAAGGGTAGGATGAAGTGGGGAGGGCGTGAAGAGGTCGAGTTTCGAGAGGTGGGTTTCTTGGATTGCTTGAGTCATTGTCTGTGAGGATGTATTGTTAGCATTGTCGTCTACTGGACAGGTTGAAGAGGGGAATTGGAAATGTACCATCTTTGGAAACTCGGCTTTGTCGCATTTGAAACAGCATACGAGTGTCTTGTAAAGACAGGCTTTCCTTTTACTGGGTTTCTTGCAGAAGTAACATATTTCGGCTAGCCATTTGCGGCGGCATGTGAAGACTCTTGCATTGCGCGGTGGTACAATGTCGGCATGGCGTTTGAGGAGGTTGCGCGCGTATTCTTCGACCACGGCATTGAGTTGTTTGTTGGTAGCGGCGAGTGCATTGAGTGGGTAAGACGTGAGGTTGAGGTTACAGATGGGCTCGGTGTACGAGAGAATGTTGAAGAGAACCTCTGGTGGGAGGGTATCGAGCCGGTTCATGCTGTGGGGTAAGACAGTAGCGCGACGACGATTAGAGTCGCGATGAGATCAGCCCTGGGTTCGCGCGGCTTTAAGCGGAGATAAAGCTAGTCACCCTTTCACGCGAGCGACAGGCGACTTGACGCGTCCCACCCCTCTCACCTCGTCTATGGATACCAAAAAGCTCAGTGTCGGGAGGCTATCAGCTCAATATGCCTTTGTGACTCTCTGCGCCTTCATGGAGACCCGTTGCGCCCACGTGCCAAGTGATCATCTGGGTATACAAACGCGCTGAGTATCGTCGAGCGCGACCCTTTTACAAGCAATTCGGCCTCTCGGGATACCTCTTACCTGATCTTTAATGAGCAGTAGTCGTCTACGTTTTGCAAGGACATGAGCATAGGCCTCAACTGGCGGTGTACAGACGAAGCTGGCAGTGAACGCCTTGGGCGAACCATACTGCCCGTCCTGTCATTCTCATGCTTGCGTTGAGTTGCTTGGAACGTGTTTCTTACAATGTTTATGCTAATAGATGCTAGTCATCGGACATACCAGCTCGTAACAACGAGCAGTTCTCGACATCTATACGTTTCCTCATTCCCGAACGGTCCGGACCAATCTTTGCCGAGATGACTACAAAAAGAGGATCAGAGGTTTAGACCCGCACGCACATGGGCTCAAATATAATAGGGAATGCTTGCGAAACTAGCTGGACATCACAAAGGCCGGGGACGTCTCCCATGTGCTTATAGCAGGTCATGTCTTACAGTAAGACAACTTTGACTGGATCCTGGCTGTAAAATGGATGGTTTTCCGAAATACAAGCTTCAGAAGTCCTTCTGGACCTGCCGAGAGCATGAGAGCTTTCTGTGCGACTCAGAAAGGCAACAGGTACACAGGCCATATGCTGGCAAAGCGGGCATTCGACTGGTAAGTGTACAAAGGAATATGCCTCCTGCCTACTACACCAAATGACTTCCGCGACTCCAGGCATAAAGGTTATAAACGTAGCCGATGTGGCTCATGAATCAGGGATTATGGGAGGGCTGGGCCGGGCCTGTCTGGCGAAGGATGACGGCAGCTGGCTCCGAAGATGTTGGAGTGGCCTTAAGGCATCATCCCACGCGAAAGTTTATTTTGAACACGCGCTGCATCAGCCAGGCAATAGGAGGCATGCCACTTTTCGCCACAGTCGTTCGCGACTGGTAAGGTTGCACTGCCATGCCGAACAGCCATTGGCTTGCACTGTCTCCAGCCTCTGTTTCATGAGGCACAAATGAGACCCGTCGGTGATTGGGTCTGCCTTGCCAGGTTAACGGCTGCTTAGTTCTTGACCTTGTGGGTTGTTAGGCTGATCAGCTAGCGTACCCGGTATGCCGGTAGTCGGTAGTCTGAGCCTGCCGGCCCGCTCTTTCGACATCATGCACAACATGCTCTGACGTCCTCAAAGCTTTGCGAACAATGTGGGCAACTTTGGCCTTCATTCACGCGCGATATATTTCGCAACAGCGCCCTAGCTCTCTCAACTAGTAAGCACGTTTGTCTAGCTTCTGAGACCACTTATGTCCTGCTATCTTCTTGCTGGAGCAGCCATGTACGGACAGGACTGGCCCGGTCCGAGTGACTAACCCCGGCATCTATCCTTACTGGTGTACTACGAAAAGGGCCGATGCCCTTTCTGGGGAACGAAGTATCCACTTTAGTCTCCTGCGGGACGAGTGCCGTTGGTCAGCGAGTAAGTCGTTCGACTAAACAAACTCTGGAGAAAATCAAACTAGGAATGCGCATCACATGCCTCCGCTAGAGGTGTGTAGAACGCCCGAGGGCCAGGGGCACAGACACCTTACAGCCTGAGGTGGCAACGGTGTTCTCGAGGAATACAGTGAAGGACCTCTTCTGTACTATTAAGGGGGAATCATCGCCTCCGCCCGTTTGAAAACAAGTGACCCTCTGCTCCCCTTTCAGCTGACTACCAGACTCATCGTCCTAGGTCATCATCTTGTCTAGTCTTTGGTTGATTCCGCTGCTGTTCAGGTGACTGTACGAACATTAATCGGCTTATTGTTCGCCTTGCTCTTTTCGAGATCCTTTCGCTGCTTCTGGTAACCTAGGCCGCGTCCTTACCTCTGGAGCCCGTTCTCAGACATATTTCGCTACACATAACGTCCTTACATATCCCGTCAGTCCACTGCACAATACGATGAGCCGCACTCAGCGCCACTCTGGCGGCAGTGCAGGCGGATCGCGCCGTAATGGCGGCGCTGAAGGCTGTGAGAGCTATCGTGGAGACTCACACGGAAACGTAAGAAAGGGCGGTCACACATACTGAGGCTCACCACTGACAACGGGCAGCATACCACATCTACCTCGACTTCAAGAAACCATGCCTACGACCCGAGCAGAGACTCAATATATACCCAAGCGCCGCGCCCATCTAGGTCCGATCACGCCCACCTTACCCAAGTGACCAACAACTCAGCTTTGAACACACCACCTCCCCCGGCACATCCTCAGAACCTACCGTATCGCCCCTACAATGCACAACACCAGTTTTTGACCAACCACTCGTCATCTCACCTTCGGATCTCGCCTTACGACCCCTATGGTAGGGATTTCAACGCATCGCAAGCTTTCCAAACCACATCCCTGGCTGGCGTTTTTGCACAGCCGGATAGGCAGCCATATTATCCTGCAACCGGCGGCTCCCGTCAGGATCAAGCTGCGGACCGATACGCCGACCCGTATAACACTGTTGGTCATATTAGACGTGACGGAGCGGTTTACGACCAAGAGGAGGAGTATGAGGAGTACAGACCATATGGTTCGAACGTTCATCAACACGGACAACGAGGATACTACGGAAGTAATGACACATCTCGCTAAGTAACGACATGACGGTATGATCTGGAATGAGGTGAGAACGGCTTTCTTTATATTTACATATTCTGGTTCTTTGGGGCGTCTATGGGTGGGCTGCAGTTCTGGCCCCAGGCTTGCATCCTTCGGCAGTGATTTTCGAGTTCGCATCGGCCTATCGACCTAGCGCTTACGATGTCATTTCTGACACATCGGAAGACGTTGAAGTGTTCTAGCTTCAGCCTTGCTTGCTTGGTGCGCTTTCCCCCTCCACCGGATGCGTTCTTCTTCTTTCGGATCTTGCCTTTTTTCCCATATCGACTGACTGGTACAGTCATTGTTTCTCTTATACATCATACACAAATCTTTGTAGCGCATTAGCCAGTGGGTAGTTTGGCGTCCAATCTACATCCTTTGTCCAAATGCAACTCGATCGACCCTCATGACCTGTTCTGAACGTTGGAGACCTGTTGGAATTCTTCCATTCCCACCGGCTTCCCGAATTCAGATCCGACGCGGTTGAGCCGCATGATGCTGACATATCCGCCCGTCGGCGCAAATGACACATACACCTTTCACCGGAGCTTCACCGGAATCGCTATCATCCACAAGGCAACAACTCTATCGCTCACCGGACATTGATAAGGTAGCCGCCGCCGAAGACTCTGTCACCGGAGAGGCATGCGTTGGCCATGGTGAAACATGTTACTCCATTAGGTGTGGTAGCGTTAACCAAGAGATGAGGACCGCCATGAAATAAAGCTCTGTCAACCAGTCAATCACAGAAGGACTCGCACGCTTCTGCAACAAGTATTGAGTCCTTCTTGGAGGCGTCGATAGGACTCATATGCAGAACAGGAGGACCTGCCACGATCGACTCGCGTTTGCCGTGATGATATGTCGTCTAGACAAGAGTATGTAGATCCACTGATATGCTTCGTCCTGCATTGCGGCTATCATGCTGCAAGGCAAGGTTTATTCTGCCTTGTCCAGTCGGCCCAGCAGGTACATGCTTTCGCGTTCAGTCTGCATTGTTTTCACCGATCAGAGCCCATGAGCCGATCTTCGCTTCACGTGTAACTTCAGCGCTCTACTGGAGGGTATCGATACAAAGATCAGTCCAAAAAGTGGGCACGGCTATACACCCAGCAAATTGTTGGTGCGACCTGAGGCTCCTGGATAAATGATCTTGGCACGGTGGACCTGAGTACGCGCGGCGGAGGCGGATCTCATGGGGCGCTTAGTGTCAGCCGGCACTAATAACATGCAATGCAACTTTCCTGCCATTAGCACCTGCTGCAAGAGCGCAAGTGGAGCTCGTGGAAGGCATAATGGATGCTACGACGCAACTCATGTCGAGAAGAAGCAACTCGCCAGAACAGGAACCATGTAGCGAGTCATGGTTCCTGCAGCGGCTTTGGGTCGAAAGCAGGGTCGCGCCTGTCACATCTCCCGTGGTAGGCCGTTCCAGTAGCCTGGTCGGAAGGGCTGTCAAACTGGCCAGACTTAATGTTGTGCTCGAGGTCTGATCAGCACATGGATTGCCCCCAACGTCTTTGTATGCTTTATTCGACTTTGTTCATAGCATTCGATGCGTTGCTTCCGATGATTAACAATTTCGGCTGGTTCGAGATAAGATGACGATCAATGACGTGCTCTACGAGGTGATCTGTGCACGGACTACGCTAACATAAAGCGGGGAAGTACCTAGCAGTTCCCGAGACCCAGTGCGACGTCGCCTCAACTAAAGATAAACCTCCAAAGATTTCTAGAGAATGTGACCGTCCAAATTTGGCATTATTTGCGAGACCTGCTTCACTTTTGCTTGGAGGACTGTCTGCCTTACGGAAGGCTTGACACTAAGGGTATACGTAGTTGGGCGGCAATTCTGCATGCCTTGAGGCCGCCTACAGCATCGTGACATACCATTTTCTGAATGGCGTTAGGAGTTGAGTATAATCTGACCTCGAGGTCCTGCAAAAGGATCGGCGGCTTCGCAGCTGTTTGAAGGAATGCTCGCGCCGTTTGGAGGGAAACTCGTGCCGTGTACCGCCCCCTATACTGATTCGAGAATAGCCACTGCCGGTCTCTTATCGTGACTGTTGTTGCTTGATGTTGGAGGCGGTTTATCGTTCCAAGACAGACCGAGGTTTCATGACGCGCCGCTAAGACGAGTTGCACCTGTCCCCGCAGATATGGTATGCGATATGGACGGACATCCAATCGCTGACCGTTTATTCTCTTGATGCGAATCACTTGTGCGGCTCCAGATACCCAGTCGTTGATCTATGTGGTTTGTTGAGGCGACAGGCTCTCGTCGAGGGCATCGAGATCCAAGTCACTTCACCGGTCTTTATTGACAGCGCCCACTTTGTGGCTCAGCCTCCCCTCAAGGCTGATCCCCAAGGCAGATTTGAGGAATCTCTGCCTATACCTTTCTCTATTGACAGCATTGTTTTTAGCCCCATATTTGCGGCTGTGCTGTTGGAAGAGTGTGATCTGGAAAGCGAAGCGTCGGCGTGTTGATATATCTGAAGCTATGCCTCTTGCTTTCATGGAAGAAGCTCGCGCTTTCGACGGTTCGTTAACCCCCTTATTGTTTGCGTGAGCAGAGCCGCATCTTCGCCAGATTGCTTTTGACGACCGGTCAACCCCACGTTCGCCACGGAGCAGGGCCCTTGACAAAGTTTGTTCCTCCTGGACTCTCGAAATCACTCACTAACAATGTTTTCTCGAGTAGCAAAACCCTTCTCCAATATGCGAGCCCTATCACCGCCACCGCCGGTATCAGGAATAGCCCCGCTTCACTTCTGGGACGTTAGTATCGTCCACGATGCCGATGTCTCGATCTGGAACACGGTGTGGGCATGACCCATGTCGACTCGAAGGGCGAACCCTCTCCCCATATTAGCAAGATCGCTCCGATGTCATGCTTGGCATCGCCTTCTTTGCTGTCTGATTCATCCATGTCGACGTGCCCAATGACCCATCACCAATTCGAAAGCCCGAGACACAGAACGCCCCAGGCAACAAGAATAGATGGACGACCCAGCTGAATGTACTACCTTGGCTACAACAGCTTTCGGGATGGGGCGCGTCCCGAGCCTAGCGACCACTCGTCAACCCTATACGCTCACCATATACGTTGCAATCCAGGGCTGCTTAGTGCGATGCAGAGTCCTCGTCGGACTATCGCTTCCCTTTGGTTCGTTGCGGTCGAGACTGCTGTCGGTAACATGGTGTGTCGGGCGTCAGAGTAGTCCTTCTGCTGGCTTGGTGCCCTCTTTGCAGCAGCTATCCGTCACGCCACCGGTTAACAACGCGTGTCCCTATCGCCAGTCAGTACAGTCCTCAAGGAACTTACATATCCACCGCTAGCCATGACGTCTGTCTGTCCGACCGAGCTTTGGGGTTGATAAGGTCCTCCGGCATTGCGAAGGCTCATTGCCACATAATTCGAAGCCATCCCCATGTTCTGAAGATGCTCATCCATTTCGAGACGAAGCGTCGCTGGAGTATCACGTAAGTGAGTCCGAAATCCTCGCACAGCCTTCTTGCAGCGAGAACGCGTCGTATTGATTTGTTTGTAGCATTTCCACAACTCGGCACAAACTTGTTCAGGCTACAACGGAGCCAGGTGCACGTTCATGCACCTGCCGAAGGTCAACAGTCGCAAGCCAGGTTGATAGCAAAAAAGATTCATCAGTCTCGCGATATCCAAAGGATCCTACCGGAGACGATTCGCCTACCGGAGATTGCGTCCCCATCTTTAGGTGTCGAAACTTCTTCCGCAAAGTCCGTCAACTTTCAGTACGGATTCATCGGATGTATCCTCATCGATACGCAGAAATCACCCCTGAAGAACCTCCACCACCTTACGAGCATCAGCAAATGCAGGAACTTCCTGCCTTGTCAATCCACGAACTTCCAGATCAACGCATCCTCGCACCAGAGCTTGAGGGACAGCACGGGTTTGCTGAGCTAGAAAGTCCCATGGATCAGCCCAACGATGAGTCGCTCCATGCCGGACTAAGTCGAAGGTCGTACTCATGTTCGAGCGAATCGAATGAGCACGTTGCAGCCGTAAATCGTATGGCTTTTCGCCGAACGCCATCCTTCGAGGCACCAAGGCTACTCTGGAGTCTGAGTACCCAGCAAGACCTCGGTGCAGCGCCCAGTATGACCAGCGGCGAACAATCACATAAGTCGTCGCCCATATCACCTCTCACACCCGAAGTCAGTAGCGACTACTCTAACCAGCTTCACCCCAACACCGATCTCGCGCCTGATGATATATCACCGCTAGAAAGTATCTCGCCCTTCAAAAACTCTTGGGTAATGACAGATTTCGTCGACATGGAATGCGATTACGCCTTGCGTGCCACTCGCCCAAAGTCGTTAGCAGCGAGCTCTATGGAGTCGGTTCAAGAAAATGTACAACTCTCTCAAGTGCGACGTCTCGATATCCGACCTGATGATTATGCCGCCTTCGCAGTGCCATTACCGTCCGCAAACCAAGGATCATACATCCCCCGCGACCACCCAGCTTTCGCAGGGGGCGATTCTTTGCCAGAGTCTTATGCGCAGTACCATGGCACCACAAACATCCGCTTGGGTATTTATGAGTACGGCAATCCCCTTGGATGGCAGTATCGTGGAATGTGCGGACAAGATGCGACTGAAGATGGAGATGCTGAATACACGGACTCATCCGCAAATATGCCAGGATCATCGCAATACACCCCACACTTCGCTGAGTGTCAGCCATCACCGGGCAGATACATTGAACTCTACGACCACCAAGCTCCTGAAGTTGACATGGGATTGAGAGCCGATGAGACTGATTATCCGCCAGAACATTGTGGGCAATGTGACAAGATGTTTAGTGGCAGGTACGCTTTATTTCCCCATATCTCACTCGTACATGGGTATTGACTTGACTACAGGTACCGCAAAGGTAATTTGCGAAGGCATGTCATCGCCTTCCATAGTTCCTTGGCAGTCGTCGTGGGTACAGCGTGCCGTATCTGTAAGAAGGCGTACAAACGCGCGGATGCCACCCGTAAGCACGAGTGGAAGAAACATCGTATCCCAGACGCAAAGCCTAAGAAGCGAACAAAGTAGTCACGCCAGCCGCGACACTATGATCGACTGCGACGATGAATGCGTCGTAGTGCAGATCGGAGGCTGGGATTCCTCCCACCCTGGTGGTGCAGATAGCTGCTTGCGGCATCTTCTTTTTCCTTTCCTTCGGGGGCACTGTTTGTCGTTTTAATGCGCTGGGGCGCTATTAATGTCTTTTGGCGCGTAAGCGCATCTTTCGAGTCCATAGATGGAAATATAATGTGACATCAATGATAAAGATGCGTCCGATGGTTGTACCAGTGAATATGACATCACAGTCTGCCACGCCGATGAGTAGTTTGGTAAGCTTCCCGTATGCTGTATTCCGTACTCTGGGCAAGCATAATTCAGCCGACTCTGACAGTGACTCATCGTCATGCGGCTCTGCGTATTGACCAGTGCCAGTTAGGCAGTTACAGCAGACGGCACCATAATGGCTCGATTCATCGTCCTATTCGCCAGATGGCATCTCGGTGTGGCTGCTTGCGTTGCTCCACTCGCAACAGAGTAAGCAAACGCCCTGACAAGGTTAAACCCATGCGCCCACGTGGCCAACACTGTTAGCCCTCGCCCTTTAAGTCCAGTAAAAACCGCTGATCCTTTCTACGATGACTTCATACAATAAAGTTGGCACAGTAGATGCGGCTCTGTTGCGTCCAGCAAGGGCTTGAGAGGTCGTACATGGTCAAGCATACACTTGCTGCTGATCGGCGGATTGACAGGTGACCGACTGTGGTCGTATTCGACACTGTTCAAAGCTTTTTACATGCTCTCAGCTTAGACAGCCCAGCATCTAGCCCACAAGAGTTCTAGCTGCATGGAATTAGTGGTCGATTCAAGCTTTGAGCTGTGGCTTCCGTAAAATGCCCGTAGACGAGTTCTAGACCTAACCTTCCAGACACATCTATTTCCGGTGCTTTTAGAGATAGGGCTCTTCGTGAACAAGAATACCAAAAATATCACTTAGCATCGCGCTGATGTTGCCAACGCATCCACCACTTGCAGATTGACAGCGATCATGATGGGTATATGCGGCGAGTGAAGCTCACACCGCCGGATGAAAGATGCCGGGAGACCGGTTCTGCGGACACATGCGATATGTGTTGGTTCGTCAGAACAATGAGTCGGTAATGACATGGGTGATAGTCATTGAGGCTACTGTTGCCGGTCAAAGGAGGCTTATGAAGAACACATTTCTAGCGCTCTGCAGCTGAGTGTAGGGTCGGTACAGCAGCATGCTGCTGCGGCAGGGCTTTTGGTACGGCGGAATCTAACAACGGGTTGACGAGTGGTCTTTGACGGAAGTGACGGAGGCGCCTTCCTAATCCGTAGCACGAGAAGCCTCGCGTCAGCCTTTGCGCCCGGCGATATAGTCTTAGTCTAGGGCCCGGGGATGTGCCAAGCCCTCCAAGACCGCGGTCGTGCCCGGAACTGAGGGAGTCACGAAAGAGTAATGCTGATAGAGACTTTTTGCAGTGTTCGAAACCTCTCCGTACATGACCAGGGTGATCCCCAATCTGTCACGCGCATAGGTGGCCGATCTGAACCAAATGTAGAAGGTATGTTTCCCATGGCATAGCGGCCGATTCCATCAATGACAGAATGCGCAATCTGTACAGCATGTTGGCCAACCATATGGCCAACTACATGGCTATTGCATTCAGATCCGGAACCAGCGGTCGAAACGGGCTGTCCATGGGTCGATCTAGCAACGTGCCTACCGAGTTTCCATGGTACAGGGTCTGAAGAGGGGGGCTCTGCTTTCCATGCTGCAGCTGAATCAAGACTGACATTATGCCAAAGAAAAGGGCCCAGCTTGATGATACCCTTTCGAGTTGCGATTGTGGGTCGTGCAGCCCAAAAAAGCCGCCTTTTGTCCTGTTGTCAGAGATGTCGTGGCGTAAGTGCTAAGTCTTCGTGTTTCCTCCGACCACAACTTACAGATTAGCTGGTTCGCAACGTGGCGTAGAGAAACGGACACTACACGAATCTGTTTCCAGTCCATGCGACGCCGTTGCATCCGGGCCGGTCCTGCATGATGGGGAGAAAACGGCATGCTGAGCTACCGAGGCGCGTGACGTGTTGGGAAAACACAGAAAAGGCGAGCCGGCTTGACTACCGGCTTCTGCGATTTGATCTGTGGGCTCGCCTCTGGAAGAGCCTCAACTGTGGCAGACACGATCGGCGATCATTCCCGACCCTGTCATTCCAACCAAGTGTAGTACGGTTGACTGCGTGATTGCGTGTGCAGAAGGGGGAGGATTCATGTGGGGCCAAGTGATTTGGCTGCGTTTAGATCGGCATGCTAACGCTAAGTTCGCAGTAGCAGCGACCGGCTGCCTCGAAGGATGATCCTCCCTTCAGGTGACCCCCGAAAAGATCTAACAATCGACATTGTTGCGCATGGTGAGGTACGCGCACACTTGATTGCTTTGGCGGGACTGGGAGGTGGCATCCAATGAGCCCCCATGTTACAGGGTAAACACGAGCTAGGGTGACCATTGTGTCTGAGCTTTTCTCCTACTGCAACTTCAGAGTGTGGCTTGATGCAATCCCTAGAGCTTGCGGGCCGTTCATGGATTGCGCGCGCGAAAGTTTGCCGTGAATGTAACAAAAAATAATTCACGCCAGGAAAACCCACATCATGTGCAGTGTTTTGACGGCTCAGAGATCTAGTTCACGCCCGTGGGATGAATCATCAAGTGTGACTTCGCATGTGGTGGCTTGTCCGCAGACCATCAGCTCCACCTAGATTTAGTAGAGGCAGCGGAGCCCCCCAGCCCAGATGCGAGATGCTTTGGTCAAGATGAATTTCGACGTAGGAAGGGGATCTCCCTAGGATCGCTGTGAGACGTAGGTGCCGAACACAGCTGTCCGCATATACTTTCACATCCCGTAGTAAGATCAAGAGATCAAAATGACACTACATCCGGTAGATGTTGTTGTCGGTATGCGCGCTCAATGTACCCCGCCTACGCCGGCGTGTAGCTGTATGCAAAGTAGTTGCATACAGCCACCGCATGCATACTTGCGCATCTGCAACCAATTCGTTGCAGCAAGTGACAGATAACGCTCAGGAAGCGACTTCCGTTAAAGAGGCGCTGAGGGCCCAGGCGTCGTGGTACTGATTCTTGGGGACTCCTCTGCTAGTCTTCGGACTGATTTCCTCATGTGCCTCTACGCGTTTCGATCGCCCTGTCATCGCCGCATGCACTGTATTTTGCTGTAATAGTCGTACCCTGTGCATAACATCATTGCAGGCGCCCTCGTGTAGTCTCCGAGCCGGGTCAACGCCATCGTCACAAAAATCTCCGAACCACAGCTACTCAACATGGTCTGCCGATACGCAGCTGGTGCGCTTCCTAGGATGGCTTGGGCGTCCACAATGATGGTCCCAGGGATATGGAAACGCTAGTATACCTAGGCAATGCGGTATGTCGCGTTTTAGTGAGATGGTGAAAAGCAGGCAGCAGGCGACAATCAACGTGGCATACGCCATCAAGACCAGACCGTGTGTCAAGCTCCGGGATACCACCTTGATTAGCCAAGCCTCTCTTGTCACTTTCGACACGGTAACGACAGGTCCCTCCTTTGCTGTGCTCGTGGTTGGCGTTGCGCTGATTCGTAGTCCCCTTAGCTTCCGACAGTCCTCCTTCCAAGCCCACCCCAGTCCTTGTTGGACACAGCACCGGAAGCATATACCTCGACCGCCACCTCCACTCCTTCGTCTTCCGCCTCGTCCCCCTCAACCGCGAAGCTCCGTCGCTGCCTCTGCAAGCCGAACCTCACCTCACAACACACATCTTTATAGACTTTCATACCGAGGTCTCAGCCTGCTACAATCGTGACCTTCCGCAGCAGCACAGCAACGGTCTTTTGTCCTTGGTGGTCCGGCCTGCTTTAAGTCGTTCTTACTTGTCATGAGAATTTCGAAGACGACGTCTTGTCGAAATCGCCTTGCCATCCAAGTACGGGCGATCCCCTCTGGACAGAGGTTCGCGCATCGAGTATTTGTACCCGTCACGTCTTAGTCATCGATCTGCCTCAGTCTCCCGCACCAAGACTACCCACGACATAATACAACACGCCGTTGAACCATCGAGAAAATTCCAATCCGCCTCTTAGCATTCGTCTTTGGCTCTTGACTCGGAGCTCCATCGCCGCCTAGTCCAGTTCACGCTGTGGCCTCTTCTGGACGTCTCCGTGTAGCCCTCTGTCGCCAGGCACTGTCACCAACACATCCCTACCCGGGCTCGCATCAACCTCAGCATCGCCTAGCTCTTATTTCGATAACTCCAGCCACCGCCGCGCATTTTTTTCACGTCTCCAGTCTTCGTATACCTTCCACACCGCCGTCGAACGCCAACTGCTTATTGCCATCTCGCCTCTTTCACTTCACTTGAGAGGTATGGCAGACCACAACCGTCGGACGAAAAGGTACAAAAGAGATCCGGGATACGCAATGCCGCCTATTTTCGATGGAGTTGGAGCAGAGTATGGCGCCTATCAATCCCGACCACCTCAGCAGTCTCGACACGATCCGCTGAGGAGCTCAGGGGTATGTAACCACTCCCAGCCGCGGAGCGAAACAGTCGCTACTCCCTTTGGACGATATAGCCATGGAACAGAGAGTTTCCAAAGCGATTCTGACTTTCGCGAGAGAACTATTCGACCTTCATGGCATCATAATGGCTACGCACCTTCCGCGCAACAATACCTGTACAACCTGGCATCGCCAAATGTTGAGTCGCAGAACATGGCGTTTACTGCCGAAGGTGTAGTCGATCCCCAGGTCTATGGCAGGTTCCGGCCGCGCCCTCATCCCCCTCTCCTCCACCAGCAGTCTACTGGTTCCAGCTTCACTGGCTCAGAAAATGGCTCAAATATGTACTTGCACCCAGGGCCTGGTGCGGTAGATCAATACACGAATGTAGAGACTTCCGAAGATCTACTCAACCTGTCTCCTCTGCTAGAACCCAGTTCCTACGATCTTGATGATACTGGAATGCTAGATCTTGACTCCATCAAGCAGATGGACAATGGCCAAAGCCATGCTGCCCCCTGGTCTTTGTTCAAGCGGAGCGAGACACCAGGAATGCCTCAACACGACGGTGTCCATTGGACAGATCACAATGGAGCTCCAGACAGTTCGGCCTCTGGATATGATCTGGCTAGCACCAATTCCAGTTATGTCATGGTTCCTAGACCCGCAACGTCATTTCTGCAATCTGGTATCCACAGCAATGGCATGTATGACAGCATAGCGACTGTCCATCCTGTACATGGTGCTCCACCTGACCCCCACCTTTACGGCCAAACAAACACCACCCCTGGCGTTTCCATCCAGCCAGCCACACCACCAATAGGTCCGTCGCATATAGGGCCATACTTTGACTGCACGGAGATCCAGTAGGTAATAACATGCTCTTTGGCGCCACCTATCGCTGACAAACTGGAAAGGGAGGAATCGTATACGCCATCTTGCACAACAGATGCCTCTTCAGCTACAACAGCACTTGAGCTCCAATGCAATGCTGCGGGCTGCACCGCGGTCTTCCGGGGTCTCTACGCGAAAGGCAACTTAGCTCGACACAAGAGACACAACCACAACGGGCCGAGGGTGTACATTTGCGAAGACGAGGGTTGTGACCGAGTGTTCAGGAGACAAGATGCCCGACTTAAACACTATCGGAAATATCATCCAGATCTTGCAAGCCCGTATGTCGCCCGAACCGATCGAGATCTCGCTTTGAGTAATATTGGCGCACAGCTGGATTGAAGATCGGCGGCTGGCATCGGCGGCAGCCTCCTCAGGAGCAGCGGCACCAAGACTATCTCTTTCTTGCTCATTTGCGTTCCAGGAACACCCCGGCCTACTAAGGAGTTTCTACCGAACGCTACGTGGCCCTACGCAACTCTCCTCTGTCGTCAGCATTCGCATCCCGGTGGTGCTTAGTACCGTTCATTAGTGCTCTTTCTTATGTTGCCGTATAACAATGACGCATGTCGCGAGCCGAACACCACTCCTGCTTGCGCTGTGCATGAACGCTCCTTATTTATGTTCTCATTTGTGTTCCTTATCTTTTGGCGTTTGGATACGTTTGCGAAGAATGGTCTTGGTGCTGTTGTATGTCTTGACGAAGTGTGGTTGAGGAGATGTCGTGCTGGATGGCGGATGAAGTGGTACCTCACGGAGGAGGCCCACAACACATCTTCGTCTAGGCAGTAGTTGCCTTGTCGCAGCCGTGCATAAGAACAACAAAGAAGCCGGCGGTGAATGTGATCCTTCCGAAAGGACGACGATGTCAATGGAGGACCGTCGAAGAGCTGGGCTGGTAGTTGAGCGCGTCGGTACTGGACTGCGGTGACTAGGGAAGCAGGTGGGGCAAGGCCGGGCACTGCCAACCCGAACTACACACGTTTCATGGTTAACACCTAGGCAGGCATGTGTCTGGCCTAGCCCTCAGGATGCGATGAGCTCCATGTCGATGACTCACTGTGCTGGACGATAAAACTAGGCTTCCTCTATACGCAAGAGCAGCCTGGGGTTTGCGCAAAACATGAAGGCTTCGGCCCGACGCCTTAAGTTGACACAGGGCACAACAGGGTTCAACGGAGAGTTGCGAACGAGCTGGTGCGCTCCGTGCGGCAGGGCGTACCGACGGCTACGGACATGTCGCTTGTACCTCTATATCTCAACCTCTAGCGAATATGAGGCAGAAGCGTCGATCCTTGTAAAGTGAGGCGAAAGCGAAGGTACGTGAAAGGCGTCTGATTTCCAGCTAGCGAAATTCGACTGACGGAACATCGCTTGTGCTAGTAGGTCTGCACAAGTTTCGGGTATAGACGCAGTCGCATGTAGTCCTCTCAAGCAGAACGCGTGCGGCGGGGGCCCATGCTACCTATATATCAGGCGGGACGGGAACCTGCCCATCAGAGCTCGCTGCCTGCATCGGTCTAGGTTGTTACGTGGTCGATCTGGCCCAGTTCCGCCTGCCATATATGGGACGCCCGAATGCTGCCTAATATTACTCGCCACGCTTCTCTAACATATTGAGTTCTCTCATCCCGTCTCCTGCGCTGATGGTATCCAATAAAGCTTCGGTATGCGTCTTGGTTGCTTTCACTGGCTGTCTTTGAGTCAAAGCTCTTGGATTCTCCGCTCAGGTAGCCAGTGTTAAATCGAAGGATGGTCACAAGCGTCGCCATGTCCAGGTTATACGCAGTAGGAGTAACTGGTCGGCGTTGGGACAGATACAATCGGCTCGACGGCCTTGGTAGTGCTGGATTGGACTGGACTGAGCTTGGCTCTTGGGTTAATGGAAAAGATTACGTACCAATCATGGCTTGGATAGACGAGATCGAACGGTGTCAACCTTTACAGCTGAAGCCCCTTTTGCCTGAGCACAGCTTTCGTGTTCCGTTGCCAGCTGACACATCGGGTGCTGATGACTGTAAACGCATAGTCATATTCCTAAATGGGGATACCCTCATTGCTCGAAAAGAACAGACTCGCTTTGTCCGATATGAAGGAAAGATATCCCAATGAAGAAAGCTTTTTGACGTGTTTTGTGGCGACTTGTTCTAAAGATGGCAACGCCACCCTGCTCAAGTGGCGCAGCATTGCTGCATCTTGAGATCATCAGTCCTAATGTATATCCGGGCGTGCCGAGAGCTTTAACGCTACAGAATCCAAGAAAGTAATAAAATCATGAGTTGTTATGTTAGGATTTCAATGCCCAAAGTTTTTGTTCTGTGATTGTGGGTGAGGCTAACACTAGTACCAGCGATGGCTGAATCGCGCATATGCGTCTCCGAAGCCCTATCGCTCTAATCCTTGTAACTACCTAGGTACATAGCGATCACTTCATTGGGCTCCCACTTCTCGCACGTAAAGTTCGTATGAGAAAGCGATTCGTCGAAAATCGATGAAATTCGGTAGATGCATGACACGCCCAATCAGATCGTGGACCTAGCTGCCTCATCATTCTCATTCTGCCGCACACTCTCAAGGTGTTGTCATTCAAGCAGCACTTCATGTCCAGCTCAAATCGGTGACTTGATGCCCAACGCATAGCTTTTTCATCTTCAAACGCAGTTCCCGATCTATGGTCACGAAGCCAGTCATTCAGGCATTCCATCGCTCGATGGTGTAACAGCTGGCATTCTTGGGCGGTGCTGCATGATAACTGCGTCGAGCCCGAGTAAGAAGCAAAGAGCCATGTGACTGACTTAGCTGTCCTGCACACCGTTTTCGTAACTACCTATCCTCTCACACCTCACACCGTCAGGATAAAGTGCTATCAAAGATGATTTGTCGAAAGTACGGTGTCACAGACATACCACACGAACACGGCGGCCCTAATAACGCCCTATTTTACTGTTCAGCGACGCTGTACTACTCCAACACCCGAACTCTGACGTTGCATCGAAGCTTGAGATCAAAATTTATCTACAACGATTGGACTTGTGCTGCAGACAACTGACCTTGCGAACCCAGTAATCCTCGCAAACCCAGTTCTCAACTAGTGTACGTCTGAACCATTTTCATGCTTCAACTAGGTGCTGTACACCACCGAACTAGCGCAACGGTACTGCGCTGTCCATGGAAAACCGACAGCTCGGATATCCGTTATCTGATGACGTTTGTGGGGTGCGAGGATGTTAGACGACCTGTCGACGTGTCGTCGGGTGTTGCATGTGATCCCACGATACGTCTTAACGACATTTTGAGGCATTTGTTGGAGTGTGCATTATGAAGCGATGCTCACTGAGTAGGCAAGGCAACAGCAAGGTGCCCTCATGAGTCTTTTGGTTGAAGCTACGGCTAAGCACCTTTTGGAAACCATGCGTCATGGCTGCAAGTCATCCCGAATCATACCATTGGTACAGCGCGTCTGACAATTCGTAATGTTCCTGCATAGCTAACCTGGTTTGCTGTATGAAACCCAGGAGGAGTCATGCTGTAGCTGGGACGCAGCATTTCATAACTAGTATGCTTGAAGTGGGTAAGCGTATACTGACCTGCAAGACGTGGCACTCAGTCTTGCCCGAGCTTTATCACGAGATGGTTTCCGTCTCCGCCCATGAATCTTGCCCCGATCTTTAAATGCGAAACGGGATGTTTTTGTGTCTTTTGTTTCTTGTTGTTCAGGGTCTCGAAATGTCGGACCCGGTCTGTGGCCACTTGTCAGATTCCCTTGGCAAGTGGGAGGCGAGAGAAAACGAAGCTGAGGCTGTGCTCATCGAAAATCCGCCACAAAAGGTGAATATGAATCGGAAATGTGTCGAGAAGCCAGCGGAGCGTCCGTTCCTGCATAGTCTGTGCCTGCAGTCATATGGGTATCAGGTCGATGTGGTAGTTGTTGGGCGCTGACGGTGTTCAACGTGCGCATGTGCGCCCACCCACGAGCGTGTCTCAGCCAGATGACGCAGAACGGAGGTTTCATAGTAAACATTGCAGGTGCATATGCTTTGCTATCAATTGCTTACAAAAGGGTATGGCGATGTGACACATCGCAGACAGCTTGAGATGATGCCCAGGTGCCATCAACTAACCTGGAACGAATAGCGATGCCAATGAACGCTCGTACAGTAAGTAAAGCTTATACGCATTACTCTCAGCTGGCATTGCCACCTGCATTGATGACGTTGCAGATACCAGTATTGCATTCCACCTTCCTAGCATAGTCGAGATGCAGATGAGATGCCATCTGGAGAATCATACTCACTCTCCAATGAGCTCTAAGCTATACTCGAGCTGTACAGAGTACCTGGGCAAGTGAGCATGGAGTTGATGGAATTGAGTAGGGAGCGCAGACTCGGGGTGAAAGGGGTTGGTGATTACTCCTTCGGGTAAGAAGCTTTCTATAGACGGTCGTGCACACCCCATGTCTTTTCTCACACGATCACGCCTGTTCTGCTTCCTTGCCTACTACCACACACGACATACATGTGAGAAGGCCTAATATTGGTCATATCAGGAGACCTTCCACCTTTCATACCACGCCGATCCGCAAAACCCGGTCGCATTGCGCAAGGTGTTCTGGAAGACGCCCTAATGTCCGAGCAGTGGCGTTATTCCGATCGTGAAGCAAGCGATTGCGCCTAGGCGGATCGTCTCTGTAACGCGTCATTCCAGCTTGGTGCCGGAATGAGGCAAAAGGCCGTGGCGCGCGGGTGACAAACTGTAGTCCTGCTAAGGCTCTCCTTCGATGAGTCGATGAGGGGCGTCAAGGCCCTGGAAACGTTGGCGACCCTCTAGAATCGGGCAGCCTACGGCAACAGCGAGCTGATGCCCCAGCCTTCCAAGGCCTTGATCTTAACCGTTCTTCACCAACGCTTTTACACCTAGCACACCTAGCTACAGTGCCGCCATGTTAAGGTTCTCTGCGAATTCGACTCGTTGCCAATAGTTTTCATATTCTCTTACGACTCCCTCGACATCATTCCGTCTTCAACTCCGCCTTAATGTCTCAACCCATTACGCCAAGCTCTTAAAGGGTTTCGATGTATCAGCAGCACAATCGGACGGACAGCATGAGGTTCTTCCCAAGCAGCATAAGCTTACATACGCAAGAGCAGCGACCAAATTTGGGATATGTCCAGTGTGTCGTTACGATGAAGAGATGCAAACGAGAGGAAGAGAAGATGTCAATCAGGATCATCTAGGAAAGGAACTTTGGATGTATCGCCGACCCTGGAAACATCTCTATGACAACGGCCGATCAGAAGTCATCCTAACTGTTCACGGCTCCTCGATTACAGCAAAGGCATCGGTGTACTTGTCGCCACATAATCACGTAGACGGATACTTCTTACGCGACAGCGCTGGACTGGGAGCGAGATGATGGTGGTGCTTGCGATAATGCTTCACACGTGCGTCTTGACGCTTGTAGCTTTTTGCACACCCAGGCTCTTCACAATCGTACTTCCTCGGACCCTCGCTTTGCTGACTGCCGTGCTTCAGTCGTTTGTGACGGCCGAGGTTCCCCCTTGCATAAGTTCCTCGGAAATTGGCATTGCAACCGAATTCAAGGCAAAAGAGATGTTCTTCCTCTTGTGTCGAAGGCACGCGACTCATATGTGTGGGCGATAGGGACGCAGGCTTACGGATGACAATGTCATGCTGGAATCGTCGTACGTCTGTTGCACTTTATTTTGTTTAGCAGTCACTTGTTACTTGCGGTGAGCATTTACGTACTGAAAAGGGTTGTCGTGATATGGTCTATGGGAAATCTCTGCAGCCATCGCTACACCACCGCTAGTTCCCCTAGACGCCCGCCTTGGTACGGACTTGGCCGAGCCCCCTAGTCGGTATTGAGTGTGGGGTGGCTGACCATAGCTCGTTGTACAAGCATGTAGCATCGACTGACCCTCCATCCCTTCCTGGGACGCTAATGGACTCCACGTTCCGCCGAGGAATCCGGTCCCCATCCATAGCCTTTCACCATCATACCATGTTGCTATTTGGTTGTCGTGAAGGGCTGGACCGATTTCCTCAGGCTGAGTGCATGGTAGTTGGTCAGGGTTCTCAGTATGATGCCACTCTGGATTGTTCGACCTGGAATTCGTGGCGCCGGACGGCCATCCTCTGACCATGCCTTGACCATCGACATCACGATGATCTTCGTGGTACGGTATGGCAAACATTGCCTCTGGGTCTCGGGAGCTTTCGATAACTCGTGCAGATCCTGATGCTGGATGTTCATGATCGTAGCCAAACGTTGCGTGGTATCTGATGGGTAGCCTTCCCAGAACACCGAGCGCATTCGTGTTCGGAGCATAATGGCGGCACATACGAACGTTGTCCGTCCACTCTCGACCATCCGGTGCATCTTCATATGTCATTGTGCGTTTCTTGGTGTGTTGTGTCTTCTTGGTGGACGTCCTGGGTCGAGAAGACGGAGGGCGAGTGTTATGCGACACAAACACTTCAAGATTCGGAGGCATGCTAGCGAAGACTGTGCCCAGAGGCATATTCTGCCTAGCTTCGTGCGCGAGGTGTGCGTGTGTAAGGCTGGCGCTTCTAATGAAAGGTCAGTAGTTTATAACACTGTACAGGCGGCGTGTAATGAACGACGACTGGAAGGTGCTGCAAATGCGTACGTTGGCTAGCGGTCTCCTATAGCATTAAGATCTAGCAGATTCAGCGATGAGGAATGCCTCTGATGCAACAGCAGAACCTGGCGATACTTGTTTTGCTACTCCTTCTACGTCGATACCTGGAACTAGGAATACCGTTGGTTGCCTCACTTACCCTGGCTATGACACCAGCTAGTGTTAAGTTGGGCAGTGCTGACAGGCATGGAACATAAAGTCTACGAGACGAACAAGGAGCGCGTCAATAGTCCGGACGATACCTGAAGATGACGACTGCAAGACGAGTGACGTTACTCGAACGAATGAAGAGGATAAGGCGGCCCTGTAGAGCGACTTGGAGAGAGGCTTGGATCTAATCGCCTCGTTCTTGCTCTTACTGGCGGCAAGTCGTCGCTCACTGTGCCGAGGTGCCCTCAAGACGAGCCTGGTGTCGAGCTACTACTATTGCATGTCAGCAAGAAGGCGGTCACTTTCAACCCTTTCAACAAAGATTAGCAGCAGGCAAACTCATGTATAGACGGTGCCCCATGGCGAGAATGTTCGCATTGTGCCTCAGCGACAGCGCCTACGCCCTAGGCTATCTTCAGCCCCGCGTTGTGATGATCTGCAGCGAGCTGGTATGGCTGGACGAAACGTGTATCGCCCTGTTACGAGGAGTCCTGCTACTTCAGTTGCAAGGCAGACAAGCAACACAGCTTTCAAGGACCTCGAGGGTGAAGAAATCCTGGTATGAAGCAGTCGATGACAGACTTGCACCTTTGAGAGACAAGCGGCAGCCGAGGGGAAAGATCTTGCGGCGCTGAACATTACGAGTAATCATGAAGGAATGATCCAGGGATAAACAAGACCAGATCAAAATCGAGACATTACGCAGAAGACTGGCTACGCTTATAGCGCGTAGAAGATGCATTCGGCCGTCGTCGTGGCTGCATCACTATTAGCGCCTCCATTCTTCAACAGCTGCATGCAGATGCAGAACAGCAGATTACGACCCTTCTGGCCACCATAGATACATCCGAGAGCAAGGCTCCCTACTTTGAACTGGCCGATGCAACGTGATAAGACGGTAGAAGAAGCGCCTCCTTTGTCCATCTGCCACTGATGAAAAGTAGCCTGACTTTCAAAGTCACACCTATGCTCCTCACACGTTCTCAGGCCTGCAACCATGGCGGCGTCCACAGCCAATTTGGGACAAGCTGATTTCGGGGATTCTCAGGTTTTTGATCGAAGCATATTTGGAGGCCTGGTCTTTCCAAATTGTGAACCGCATGAGTACACCGGCAAGTCTCAGATGTGAAGCAGCCACCTAACTGAACACGAAAAATGGAGCGCGCATGACACTACCATCTCTCTACGGATCTACACCGCTGCAGTTCCTACAGTCCCTTGAAGGGGTGGAAGTTATGTACCTCGCAAGTGATAAGCCAGTCGTCTCTCAGCTACAGAGCCGCCACCGTCTTGATTACATGCTAGCGCAAAGCCAACAGTTTGCAGATCAGCAGCAGGGAGATCGATAGAGCCATTACGAACCCTTCCTTCAACTGAAGTGCGGGGTTTCCGGCTCCAATCATTGATTGCAGCATCGGCTATAGTGATTTCCGTTGTCTTGGAACTTGCGCGCATGCTGGACAATCTGCGTAAAGTCACACAGCTGACTTTCGTGAACAACATACAACCGCATGTACGATCTAGGGGGTCTATCCTCCGCTGCAAACCAATCATGGTAGCAGTAAGCAATGCGCTCAGTGCGCACTTCCTAGGCGCTCTCTTTGCCCGTATTACTACAACTTTTGCATTGCTCGTTGGAATCATACTTCAAAAGGGCATGATCCTGATTTCCAAGCTTCTTCAGTCTCAACAAAACGGTAAAATGGACTGGTTCCAAGCACGAGAAGCCAAGCTACTCGTGTTCAGCGATGTGGCGTTGACGCCAACAGAGTTCGGTGGGCTGTCACACAACATGGCTTTTCCATATGCACTCCTCCAGGATCGCCACCCCTCTCAGACTGCACAAAGTGTCTGCTTGGGACCTGCCCATGACGCTATCATACCTTTACCAACTCCATATTGCATGAGCACATGTCCAGACAGTCTCGTCGGATGGTGATCTTGCGCTAGGCCCTTCAAAGACTAGCGAGATCGACTCAGTGTGGGGGCCGGGAAGGCGACGGGCGTCGCGAGATCGACTCTATTGCATCACGACCGTCAGGATGGTTTGCGCGAACCGCTGTTTGGACATCGCTAAAGACATGCACAACTACCAGAAGAGAACAATGGGTGGAGTTTGTTGTCCAACAATTGAGCTCGGATGCGTGGACGCGAAAACACCGAATCGCGAAAATCACGCCTGGCAAACTACGGACGACTCCCAGCCTACCTACCCGTGTGGATCAAAGCGGAGAACCAACTTCTTCTCCTTCCCAACCATAGAAATAGCCTTCTAAGGTTTTTTGGCGCGTTGTCGTGTTCCTCGCGTCCTGATGCCATCGGTTCTATCCGGATGCCCTTTGCCTCCGAAACGGCAGAGGGAGACCTAGACTCTAGGATCCCTTCATCCTTCTTGTCATATATCTTCACAGTCGCTTGAACATGGCCCTTTTGCTCCATGAGGTCTCGCGATAGGCATGCCACGAGCGCGTCAACATCCTCCAAGGTATTGACAGCTCCAATGGTTACCCTGACTATTCCAACAGGTATTCCGTCCAGCATATCAGCCTCCGTATTGCACCGCAAGCCCGCATTGAATGCTTCGTGCAACCACTCGTCGCTCATGCCCAGAGCGCATGCAATACCTCCGGGGTTACACACATTGCCCGTACGAACATGGATCCCACTCGCTCTTAGCGACGCGCCCACGTGCCATGGGCCAACGTATGTTCCGTTGCTTGTGCGTACATTGAAGGCTATCGTTGGTCCTTGCGTTTGCGAGTGGTCATAGCTAGAGTCTTTTGACTGGTACATACGGCATACTGCCGCGCCATTGTCATGAACCATGCTCGCTAAGCGCTTGTGTAGGATTTTGGCAAGCCAACTGGCATGTTTCGAGACCTCCCCGAGCCCACCAAATAGACGGCGGTGAGTTGTTATGGCACACTTCAAAGCAAGTATATTCCGAAACGCGATTGTTCCGTCCTCTAACCGTGCATGTAGGCTCGATTCCTTGCGAACAACCCACGACTCTTTGATGCATGTTGTCATTTCCGTTGTACCACCACCGAAATATTTCCGCTTATCGAACACATGGCCGGCTGCTCTCCGAAGGATCAAGGCACCAAGATCTGGAAACCCAAAGATCTTGTAGAAGGAGAGTGTGATAAAGTCAGGGGCAAAGAGGTGGTTGCTCAGGTCGATTGGGGCCGTGGATACCAAAGCGGCTACATCGAGGAGGGAGTAAGAGTTTGGATGGTGTGATGAGAACCGGAGCTTGGTAATCCACTCCAGCGGAAGTCGCTCACCATTCATGTTCCTATCGCGGGGCAAATGTCAGTGTGGACCCTCATAGCATGCGCCAGGCTACTTACGACTGCGCCGGATACGCAAACAACACCGGCCTTCTCGACAAGGGCTCTGCGTTGAAGATACGGTTCCCACCGGCAAGCCAATCTTCTGTCTCTTCATTCGATGCGAGGCAATGGCTACGATGAGCGAGTTCGCGAACACCAACAAGGCTCGTGTGGCTATTGCGATGGTAATAGTAATCGAACCCCTCGTCTTGGCCTGAGAAGCCTTCAGTTACCAATTTGATTGCGCCAGTCGCGTTGGCGGTAAAGACAACATCGAAGTACGCTGGATTGGCATTGAACATCTTCAAAACCGCAAGCCGCGTTTGCTCTACCATTATGGCAGTCACACTTGGATTGGAAGAATCGGAGTGTGGATTGGCAAGAAGAGTAAGCTGCATCTCATTGCAGAAGGATTCGAGTAGTGACTTTGGTGCAAGGGTCGTGCCGCCATGGTCGAGGTAGGTCAGGCCTATCAACGGTCAGCAACATGTGAAGGGGACATTACAAGTCAGCATACCTTTGAGCATCGGATATTCCAACTTCCGCATACGACTGATCCGTTCGTTGTAGGCTAATCGTTCATGATCGTCGTGCCTGTATTTGCCATCACTGGCTTCCATAGGCCGTCGACGAAGGTGCTGGAAGCAAACCATCTTCCGATGGGACTTGACTTTGGATCGAGTGTTGGAACGAGTTGTATGGCCGACAATCCCAAGGAAGCAAAGCGGTGTGCTGTATGCTGTCTCAGTACGGGGTAAGCATGAACTATGAATCACACCACTGTTCCCACTGGAGACCGCAAAGACGACCGCATTTGCTTTGCCTGGTCACATCCTATCCTGGCCCCCGTCCCCCCATCGCTATCCTTGCCGATTATGGGAAGTCACAGTAACCTGCCAAAGTGCGGCACGCCTCTTTCGGGCGTAACCTTGATTAAGATCAGTGGTCTCAAGTCTCGACGCTGATCCACTGTACAATGACGAGCTTTCATGTTGGCTGTCACATACGACTCCGAGCACTATGTCCAATACGGAATAAACACTCAATGTAGTCTATACAGGTGGCTTCAAATGGCAGGAACCTGCATTCCAAGATACTATCATCAACAAATATGTTCCCTAATGGCGACTATCTGGCCCCGAGAGATTAAGATTATTGGAACTAGATGAGGCTGAGCAAACCAAAACTACATAAATATCTGAAGATGAACCTATCACTGCATAGGTGTCGTGATCGATCTCGTCTCTAAGCTTACTGCCCAGCGGGCAACGGGCGTAGAGTAGAGGGTGGTCAGCGTCGGGTAATCCTTTGCCACGCGATGCTCAATTCCAAGTGTACTTAGACAGGAAAAGTACAATGTCCATGATAGAAGAGGCCTTGAGCAATAGACTCGGCATTGTACACGTTCGGTCATAGAAGCGCCTTTCAACATCGCCTCAACGCTATCTACGACTTGTAATAGGTGTGCCTCAGTCCGCGGAGGACTAGCAACCTTCTCGCAATAGGATTCGATAACTTGGTTTGCATCTTCTGATTGCGGCACATGCGATTCCGTCTTTACCTCGGAAAGACCTCCGTCAGTAGAGTGTTGGGCTCTTTGGTGCACACACGGTTCTACCTTTCCAACCGTGCTCTGCCCCAACTACGGCAATGACAAGGCTCACAGATGGGGCGGGCCGTAGGTCCAATGATCCTGCAACTTTTGTAGGATCTTTGCGACTGTGTAAGGCTGCTCCTCGTAGAAGTACTACTGACAATTTGGTGATGCTTTACATGTCAATCTTTGTTGATACTTTTTGCAATCATTCTGGTTGTTAGTCGAAATTTCCGTCTCAACTATTGTGCTATTCTTCACTGTGACCGGCAGTGGAAGACTTCAACCTGATCTTGGATTTGCATTGGTACCCAAGCAGTCTACATGTACAGAACGGCATGTTGTGCACACCACCACAACATAATTGCGAGCGCACCCTCATTTACTGTTTGAATCACACCTTGCGAAAGTTCTGACGTTGGTAGTGGTTCCGGATCGTAAGCAAGCTATCAAATCCTAGAAGCAGAGTTCCGCAAGCCTGGTCATGTTCACGCAGTCCCACATCCATTACTCAGTCCCAAGAGCTATGCCGGCGCATCGGATCCGCACGCGACGGGAGTGTCAATGTCTAACGCGGTCCGTGTCAATGTCGCAATGACTTCCCACTGTGTTGGGGGTGTTCCGCCCCGGTGGTTCCCGCCCCAACGCTATCTAGGTACGCCTGATGCTACTGCCGGCACTTTGAGCCCTGAGCGTTTTGCAAGCGTTGTATTAGTCTTCACTATTACACATGACGCTCTGAATTTGGCATCGCAACTCGGACAACATACTACCGTTTACTTATCGGTCCCACCTATCAAGATGCGATGGTGTGGTGCCAGATAGGCTTGCATAAGTGGCTGGAGCTACACCTCATCTAGCCAGTCACCCGCTGCTCTCTAGACCTAGGTAAATTTGGAGGGAGTCTTGGCTCCTATCGAACCACCATCATTCTCCAGTTCCCTCCCTAAAATGCGGCACAGTCGTCGAGCACGCTCCAAATACGGCCCGGGCCTCGATTGATTGCTGGATGAATTGATTGATGTTCGCTGCAGATACTCCAAAAGGGCTAGACACGTCAACCAATGTGTCAGAACGGGTGTTCCCACATTGATCGACCAGCTTTGATCGCTCGTTCGTCCACACGATCTCAGCCGGCGGATGTATTGGAGCGCTTAGGCTCTGCAAGCCATCATTTTACAAACGTCTTGATAGCGGCAGCAATGTTAGTCGAGAGCCAATACGAGGTCGATTAGTAGAGAATGCGGCCCCAGCCCCGTGACGCAAGGACAGATGACTTCCCATCGGTGGGTTCTCTCGGTGTAAGGGCTCCGGAAATGGTAGGATATGCAAAGTGGCTTGAAATGCCCACATATTGTTCGGATGTGAGTACTTGACAGGTATAAAGGGCGCTTAAATAAACATGGCGCTGTCCTGGGCGCAGGAATTTATGCACAGCTGCGTTAGTATGCACCCACAACGTAGTGGTGGCACAGTTCACCGAGCCTGAACATTGATCTGGTCAGAAAGCTATCACGCAGAACGACCAGTCCTCGATGCAAGCCGAGGAGCGATATGTTGCTGTTCAGTTCTTTTGACGCACGAACAATGAAAGCTTTCGAAGCGGCGATTGGTTGACTACGGTTGTCGCTGGACTGCTATCGTAAATCTCCAAAGATTGCCGCTGCAGGCGGATCCATCCCTCCACTTCAGGTGGCTGATTCAATGTGCCGCAGGAGAACGGGTCCTGGCACACCGAGGGACAATCGGTAAAGGCGTCAAAAGGAGCCCCTTCGGGTTGGGGGCGAGCTTTCAGTCAGCGGTTGATAAAGGCTGTCCATCTCTTCTGTAGCTTAGAGCTTGATGCCGCTTTTCAACTTCTTCCACAGCCTTACTAAATGCCAAACAACTGCTGCGCACCGGATCGTTTGGCATGCCCCTCCTATGTTGCTGTGAAATCAGCCTGCGCTTTCGTTCTAGAGAGAACCCACCCTTCGCCATGGCAAGTCAGCCAAATGTATTCACAGAGCAAAGTGCATAGGTAGCGTCGTGCTACCTACGACTCATATCGTCATACCCAATCTGCCCTTCAGTCTGCCCTACTATGCGCCGCGACGAAGAATCATCCGCTACCACAGCATCACTCCAATGATGACACAAGGGCCCGTACGGATCCACTATGGCTCGTACACTGTGGCTCAGCGACCAGGAGCCGCTCCGAACACAACTCGCGGAATGGCCAAACTCGACAGGACAAGGTCACTAGGCTATACCATCTTGTTATTACTGCTGCATCACTGAAAGTGCTATTGGTCATCAAGACAATTTGAACCTTCCTGTCATCCTATAGCGGGATTCGCAACCAGCCCAAGCTAGACGCTATTGAAGCCTACCAATCGTTGGTTGGTGGCAGCGGGGCTTCGAGTAGAGCCAACCATCGCTGTCCCTTCACCGCTTCCTGCACGAGCACCGTATCCTCGCCGACGATACACAATTCGACTATTTACAATGGATTGAGCGAAGAGGCATCAGGAGATGGTGTTGGCATAAAGTCTTTGGCCTCAACAGCCAGAAAGGAGAGCCTCTCCATCATCGCAACGACTCCGTCCAATAGTGGTAATGAACGGCAGCGATGCCGTCACCAATGTAACGCGAACAAGAGGCTATCCAAAAGTGTTTCAAACAAGGTATCCGAAGGACCTCTGTGTTCGTGCTTCGCGCCGACACGCCTGTGAGTTCCTCAGCGAACACCCACCATCGCGTGTCCATACAGATGTGTACCTGCCTTATACATCACCATCAATATTGCATCTCGGCGCAAAGCACGTCCTCTCTAGCATTGCAGAGTTTTGCGTCTGATCTTAAACTCATCGTCTTACAACGGTAACTGAAAGTCTCTTTGGAGGACCTGTTGCCAGCGAGGCGCAGACAGCGATGTTCCGGGATCCGGGCACTAGCGCCATCTGTATAACCACTTCAAAGCTCCCGTAATGACCAGCTCCTGGTAGCTTCCATTACCCAGTAAGCCATACTCTTTCAGCCATCATAGGTCATCTTTTTCTTCATCATTCTGGCGTCTGTACACACTGCGAAGGGTACCTTCTAGTGTTGTCGGCTGCCAGAGTTCAGTACACCGCCAACAACTTCCTTCTCTTGCAGGCACGCATCAGCACAACAGAACTGGGGCCAGTTGAATTTTAGAAGGAGAAAAGAGTTACTGGTGTCAAAGAATCTCAACCGGCGCCCACTATGAGCAACTTGTACCCCTGGGGAAGCGGAGAATACCCGTCGAACGTTTCGTCGGACGAGAACGCTGGTGATCATGACAACATCCACGAACTGCGTCAGAATGGGTATGTGAATCCTGGGCACATCATGCGTGACAGTGCTGACGTCGATGGCAGGGCCTATCAAGCAAACCCCTCAGTGTCGGAAGTGGACCAGCGCAATGGCCAAGAATACCTAGAGAATCAAACTCATCAACACTCAGACCCTGTAGTGGATCGGGAACACCAACAGACGGATCGATACGATCATGCACCGCATTCTCCGTCGAATTATAGTCCACAACTCGGGTCCAGCTTAAGCAACACTGCCGTTTTTGACAACCCACTCCAACAGGGAGCCCAATGCGTCAACCACGGTACACATTGCCACTGCCATGGGCAGTGGTCTTGTCCAGACAACCTTCCCGAGGTCATTCCTACCTTTGCTAGCGACTCTGGCGATGTCGCGTTCGGCCACCCATGGAGCTATAGCGAACAGCGTCATGATGGCGTACGACCATTCATGCCGAGCCCAAATCTCGATGGATATTACACACAGCAGTCTCATCAGCATGATAGCCTGGGGGACAACCTAGATGCCGATTGGGTTGGGGATTTTGGTCTAGACACCGATCTGAATCTAGATAACGTTCATGGCATGGACTTTGATGCTCATTCCATGCCCGGAGGACAGGTTGAATACAAAGAAGACGGTCCGTGGTCCCCGGAAAAGCAGCTCAGTGACCAGTTCGGACTCACAGCCGCGCAATTGAGCCTACCGAAGGACATGGTTGGAGCATCTGAGACGAGCCATGCCAGCCAAAACAGTGACTGTATCTCAAACTCGGCTTCTTCAAATACAGGCTCGACCGGTGGTGCTGAGGACTTTACCTGGGGAGGGGCTAGTGTAGCGACTCTGCGCCCTGATTGTAACCAACCTGGCAGTTTGTTAGATCGTGCAAGCTTCGCGTCCAACCTGCTCGACAATAATCGCCAAGGGCAAAGGCATGGCTCTTTCATGCAGCCTACGAACTCAGCATTCGGACAACAGGGCGTTCTGATGCAACCACTTCCAGATCGAACCGCGGTGCAAGAAGGTTCTCGTAAGACGTAAGTCTTGTGCGCTTCTACCTCCATTGGCAGACGCTAACCAAAGTAGCTCATACCACTTCAACAGCCATCTTCATGTTCCCGTAGCTGAGTCGCATAGCTCCAGACCGTCTTCCCCCGCGGCCTCCACAACATCGGATGTGCTTGGCTGTCCTGACTGCCCTGCAAAGTTTTCAGGCATCTACCGTCAAGGCAATTACGGGCGACACAAGAGACAGAAACATCGTGGCCCACCAGTCCTGTTTAGTTGCGCGAATAGCGGCTGCGACAAGACTTTCCAGAGGGCCGATGCTAGGGTCAAGCACTACCGACGCCACCACCCAGAACTCCTCCAGGGTTGCCACTGATTCGAAGATGTCTGACCAAGGGAGGTGAGGCTGATCCTAATCCTATCCGGAACTTGCATGGATATAGCTGCCGATGACGATGCTTCAGCAGCTGGATCAACACCACATTGAGACGCCTTTGCACCATGGTCTTCTGCCCATGACGCGCATTGGTCGTGCCCGCGCGCAGTCTTCCTTTCGTCCTTTTTTTTTGCCTTGCACATTACAGCATGCTCTTGTTCTCCTTCCCATTCTCATTCTCATAATGCACTTCGGCGCATATACCCCATTGTTAGGTGTCTGAGGTTTTGAAAGGCAGCCCAAGCCATACAGCCTTTCGCGAACCGCATCTCCAAAAAAATCTTTCTTTGTACATTCGATTCTTCTTCCCGTATCATTTGTGTCAGCCTAGATTTCTGGGTTTCGTCTTGGCTGAGGACTTGTCTAGGTGTAGCATGCCTGCATACTGCTACGACAATTCCATGATGTATGTAACGTTTTGGGATGATGGTTTTGGTCCAGGTTTGGTGATAGTTTCGGTTTCCTATGGGGCGTTATGGGATACGTTATCATCAGCTCGAGATGCTACAAACGGATAGAGATCAAGACGGTGGATGTAGGATAGAAGGGCGAGCATCGGCAGACCAAGATTGTCGTCGGTTGAATCGTTTCAAGAATCGATAGGTTTCCCGAAGAGGCATAATGAACACGCTGGTTTGTAACGATTTCGTACTCGAGATGTTTGGCAATGATGGCGGTGAAGGTACGAGGTTCGAAGAAGGAGAGGTGGAGTCTGAGCCCGAGCATCAGTCCTGCTGAAGGTCCGCTGCTAAGGAGCTCCGGCACGGTCCCAGCACACTAGTTCTTCGCTAGTAGTATTGGATGTCCCGGACGATCGACGCCTCCAGACGTCTACTAGATCGTGAGCATCGTTAGCGGCTCGTCGCCTCGATCCAACATTGCTTCTTTCCACATGGCTTTGCTACTCTTCTTCGAGCAATACTGACAGCCCCTAGCGTGCTCACCTGAATATCCGCCCCAGGTAGCAACTAGCAAACAATATAGGTGCGGCATCTGCAAGGAGAGGATAACATTGTCATTAGTTACGATGATAGACTTGTTGTTGTGCAAGCCGAGTTTATGCGTCGTGTCTCATGATGTGGAGGGTGTGAAACTTGGAGGAAATTGAAGTCTTTCCGATCTCTGGCACCCGTGACCACTGTCTTGGCAAGCCCTCCCCAACGGTGAGGTCTGATACAACGTCCTCCAGCACGCGCACCCAATAATCCAATGTTGTGGAAGGGGTATCATCGTTCAGATCCCGGGCACGAGAACGTGTGGGTTACCCGGTATCTCAGCTGTCCAATAGCCTGTCTCAATATTCTCTCAACAGAGAAGTAGCGGGTCCGAACATTCTGTACACCGCCGCACAGTTGCGTCGACTCATCATTTTCACATATCTGTTGGCTAGTAGTGGACATGATTGGCACGCGATGGAAGCCACAGTAGGCACCTTCTGTGCTGATGGTGTGTAAGAACTGACCGTTCGTAGCAAGTCATCTCTATAGGCAAAGCCCAGATCTTTCCGCCTAGAAAGCCATCATGTCAGGATGAAGGATTAACCGATCACTCCGTAGAAGCCGTCGCCCCTATGCACTCCAGGCGACATTGAAAACTATCTTGTGATGATTCTACGCCAGGTTTGCCATACTCATCAGAATAAGTAGCCATTCGGATATGGGGGGATGCTCGTAACAATTGCATTGTTTCTGTGGGTGCCTCACCGATATGTCGGATTCGAATGGAATTGAAGGCTAGTGGCAAGACCTGCATGCTCGCATGATAGCCACAAAGCGACGCGTCGCAGCTGCTAACTTTTCAAAATCTACATCCGCGCCACAACGAAACGCGTTTTGACTCTAACCAAAGACAGTAAGCGTGCCTAGATCGCTCAGCCTTGTCGGCCCTCCCGTGAGCCTTCGCGCGATTCTACAACACGACTATTCAAGCTACGCCGTTCTAAGCATTGCGTACTGCTGAATTATGAAGTTGATTCCCTCGACTCATATAGCACAATTGCTATGTACGCTACCATAATACCATGACTTTCACGACACCTCGAAGCCCTCAATATCGCCCTTCGCATCGTATTCGCGGACTATGCGCTCGTACATAGCGATACCACCTCCGTGCAGTACCCTTCGCATGGCCTGCCTCCGCTTCTCAGGATCGCCTCCAGCAAGGCGCAACGTAGCGCCCTCATGATTAAAGTAGCCCGGCGTGCACGCTATCACGACAGAGTACCACAGGGACCACTTCTCGATCTCGTCCACCCACGCATCCTCAGCCTGTTTGGTCGGTTCGATGACAAGCTTTGTAGGGTCCGGAGCCCGGCGAGCGGCCTCCTTCAATACATTGGCGAGATGGGTGGACTCGATGTCGTAGACGGCAGTGAGATTTGGCGAGCCAGCTCCATTGCCGAGACCAGGATAAAGTAGGTTGGGGAAGCCATTTGTGGCGATGCCATGCATCGTACCAAAATCGGCAGAGCCATACTTGTCCTTGAGACGGCGGCCATTGCGGCCAATAACGGGTATGCCAAAGAGCTCTGCAGGTGCTGCGTCTGCACCCGTTGCTAGCAGGAAACCCGTGGCGAGAATCAGCACATCCAGCTCGTACTCGACTCCGTTGGCGACGAGACCCCGCGGCGTGCACCGCTCCACACCCTTGCCATCCGTGTCCACGAGTGTAACATTCTCCTGGTTGAAGGCGGTCAGATATCCGTCTTGGAACGTGGGCCGTTTGCACCACATCGGATACCATGGCTGTAGCTTCTCTGCCGCGACTGGGTCCTTCACTACAGTGTTCCGCACGTGTGCTCGCGCTTGCTCTGCTAGTGGCACATCCATCTCATACAGCGCACGAGCGTGTTCTGCTACGTTGTCGGGCGTGACAAGTTTCGGGCCTCCAATGAAGCCCGCAAAACCGCGCGCCATTTGTGTCCAGCCGTCGCCGACGAGGTCCGGATGATCCACCGAATGCTTCTGACCGTCGAAAAAAGTGTCAAAGTTAAGTCGGCGAGCGCGTTGCCAGCCGGGCCCCGTCGCCACGTCGCGTGTCCATGTGCTATCGTCCGTGGCCTGCTGGCGGCGCGGCACACAGTACGAAGGCGTGCGCTGGAAGGCATATGTATGACCAGCCCAGCGTGCTACCTGTGGTATTACCTGCACCGCTGTTGCGCCTGTACCGATGACGCCGACGCGCTTGCCCTTCAGTTTTGAGAGAGTAACATCTGTTGGCGAGCCACCAGTGCAGTCAAAGTCCCAGCGTGCTGTGTGGAAAACCGGAATGTTGGCGCGAAGTTCGTCGAAGCCCTCGAGCTTGGGCATTCTTGGCTCTGTGAAGATGGTGCTAGCTGGAATTAAGAACTGTGTTAAGATGGTCATTTCCTCGCCGTTGCTGTGCTCTTTGCGCATGCGGACTACCCATCGTCTTTGCTCCTCGTCCCATGTCGCACTGAGCATCCGTGTCGAGAATTGTCCGCGCAGACCATAGTGCGACGCCACGCGGTCGCAGTGTTCACGAATCTCGTTGCCTGATGCGTACTTCTGTTTGGGCACATAGCCAGTTTCCTCGAGAAAAGGCATGTAAATGTAGCTCTCCACATCACATTGCAGGCCAGGGTAGCGGTTCCAGTACCATGTTCCACCAAAACCGCCCGCCACGTCCACTAGGTATATGCCTTTCGCTGAGAAGCCTGCTTCTACTAGTCGTCCTCCTGCCAGTAGCCCTGCATGACCTGCGCCGATGATGAGAAACTGGATGTTGTCGCCGTCCTTGAGTGGGCCGTCTTCCCGGTGCGCATATTGTAACCATGGGTCATCGGCGAGCGGCTTATCATCTTTGCTGGGAAGACGTGTGTACTGCTGAAATCCGTCGGGTCGCAGTCGCTTGTCGCGCTCCTGCGCGTATCGGGCTTGTAGTTCGGCGGCGTTGAGCGTTGCCATTTGTGCTTCCTGTCTGTTCTACTGCAGAGGGAAACTATGAGTAACGAGTCCGTAATTCTGAATGATTGGCTTTACACCAGAGTACACAATTTTATGTCAATCGACAATCCCAGCCTTTTATCGCGCCGCTGCTTCCCATCTTAATGCCCTGCTCCAACCTACTCCTTTTCATCTGCCGTGTCTGTTTCTCCCTCATCCGAGCCGGCTTGCCCGGCAACGTAGCGAGGGTAATCTTGCCATGGTGTCGCGTTCTTGTGGTGTCGGATCCCGACTTTAACCAAAATGGTCCGATCTCGTGTGGGGGCGCGAGTGAACATCAACGGTGGATTTTGGCGCTATAGTCTGCCTAGGAACGACTCCCTCCCCGCCTCATTCAAGAAGCTTGTAATCGCGATTAGGTCATCAGATCTATAGACGACCCTAAGCCAACATACGAACCTGCAGCTTTGCGGCCCCACGACCTATCAAACAGGCTCATCGTTGGCCGCAGGAGGATGATCAGCCTCACGCCCCTGACAGGAGGACATTCTCACAAGAAATTGCTTCCATCAAGTCTTCATAGGTAAGGCTCTAGACATGAGCTCTGACGATGGATTGGAAACTAAAAGCTACATTTCAGTCAGCGGGAATCCGGCAAGAGAACAGTAGATTCTGTAGCAGAGATGCAACGTACCTATGTCTCTTCTCAACATTGTACAACAAATGCACCGATTAACCCCAAACTCCCCGATAAGCCCCTTGCATGCCTAGTACGTGACGTGTTGACGCACCAATAACTTAGCGGTGAATTCTAACCCAAGAGCCTAAAAGCCTACAAATCCCATACAGCTTAAGAAGTGCTTAGCAGTCAAAGGGTAGAGAGATCCAGAGGAAACTCGTTTCGAGTCTTGTCTGCTCCTGAACTACATTGAACTCCACGCATCGTAGTTGAGCTACACACGACATGTCGACCCTACGCACTATCGTGGAGACGGCGCCTGCCAAACTCTCGTCAATCTCGTCAAGGCCTAAAGATGCGGCACCAAAAGCTTCCTGGGGACCTTACCTGGAGCTCACACGCTTCAGCAAGCCCGCCGGACTTTTGGGCGTCTACTTCCCCTACTTCATTGGCTTCCTCTACTCAGTCAACTTGACCAACCCGAAAGCCCTCTCTCCAGCCGACTGGACCAGGCTGAGCGCTGTCTTCCTGCTCGACGGCCTCATCTTACGCAGCTTCGGCTGCGCGTGGAACGACACTGTCGACCAAGACCTCGATCGACAAGTCGAGCGCTGCAAGAAGCGGCCGCTCGCCCGCGGTGCCCTATCGACACCGGACGCCCTCTTCACGACTCTCGTCCTCGCCATCTCGCGCCACGTCCTGTTTTACGCTACACTGCCAGCCCGAGCTGGTCAGCAGGCACTCCTCACAACTATCCTTGCCCTCTTCTATCCCTTCATGAAGCGCTTCGGCAACTTCCCACAGCTCTGCCTGGGTGCGGGCGTGGGCTGGGCGGTCTTCTTGGTTGACGCTGCCGTCGTTGACGGACCTTACCCAGCTGCGCCGGTTCCCATGCTCGATATCGAGGATCGCAGCAAAGCTATGATGGCTATGTGGGCCTGTCAAACTCTCTTTAACATCACTTATGATACGGTTTACGCCTTCCAAGACATCAGAGATGACCTCAACGCCGGTGTGGGCTCGTTGGCTATTGCCGTGCGTCGCTACCCTAAGGTGTTTCTGCTATCGATCGCAAGCGCCATGGCCGGCTTCTTGTGGGCCACCGTGTCGTGGGGTGGTCTCACGCGCGGCCCGTTCCAGGTTGGTGCCAGTGTATCTTCTTTTGCCGCATTATTCATGTTGGCCCGGCTCGACGTGTGGGATCCAAAAGCGTGTAGGAACTTCTTCGTGTACAGTCAGTGGTGGGTCAGTGGGGTATTGGTGACTGGTTTGGTGGGTGAGCTGCTGATGGCAAAGATGTAAATTTGAGAGTCGCCAACGTGAAAGACTCTTGGTCGAACCGTTAAGAAGACTCATCCTGTGACAGGACATGGCACTGTAAGGATGCAAAGATGACGAGCCATTTGCGGCTTTATCAGCTCCTATACATGGATACGAGAATAGCCTTCTAGATAAGGGTATCTCGAGAATAACGAACTTATGACAGAATATGGGGTAGTCAAGGTGATCGATAGCTTCTGTTTAACATAGAACAATACAAATTGATTCAGACCATTGAAAGTCTAGGCACCTCTGGTTTCCATGGAAAGCGGATGACTAGTAATCTGAGTCGCGCATCAAGCAGTATGGATAGACAAGCAGAGGTGTCTGAGTATGCAATCCCAAATGTAAATACCTAGGTACCCCTCTGATTGCTCACGGTGAGCACCGAAAGTAGGAAATTGAAACTCGAGGAGATTGTTACAGGTTATCGGAGAAGACGCGTTCTACACAGTATGTCAAGTGAATACTGTGACTGTTGTCTACGTGAAGCCGTTTTAGGACTACAGCCTGCCGTCGTCCCGTTAGTGTTGTTATCCGAGCGTTGTGTGTTGCCTGATTGTTTCTGATGACCGACGTCGTGATGTAGTGCATTATTTGTTTGACAAGAATACACATCGTATTAAAGTACTTCACAAAGCTGTCACCACGAGCAAATTGAATTGAAGTAGGAAATATAGCCCAGTTCGAGAGGAAGCTATTTGAGTATATATACAATATCTATGCAGAGCGGCAAGTGAACGGCTTATGCGCGGTCCCAGTTGTGGTAAGTTTGATTATGTCCGCAATCGTTGCGTAGGATCCGGCGCCCAGCGTTGTGATCCCAATGATGAACGCCAACAAGCAGGCCGCGCTCATCAACAGATTTTCTCTCGCAAAGGGGCTGCCCTTGCGCAGGAGACGGTACCACATCACTGCGGGAATCCAGAATGAGAAGCCGGAGACAAACAGCGCAGAGGCGAGGGATAGCAGGTCAGAAAATATAGGAATAGCTTCGGCAATAACCCACGCAATGATGGTGAAAATGGCGACCAGTACAATCCAGGAAGCCCAACCGGCGACTGTGTTGATATACTTCAACACCGAGTTCTTGAACATACGGCCGTGGATATAGCGCAGGGCGACGGTAGTGTTGATGCTACCGGAAATGAAGATGACAGGAAGCGCAATGCCAAATGCGATTTTCGAGACGAGCGTACCAGCAGAGAGGAGTGCTGGGGAATCGACATCTTTGCCAATGAAAGCGTAGCACAACGCTCCGGTAAGCGTGTAGATGCAGATTTGAATGACGCCAGATGCCCAAATAGATTTCATATATTCTTGTGGCGTATGCATTTCGTCCATGAAGCTGAATTGTCCGATGGCAAAGCTGAAAGCGAAGATGATGTTGGAGACAGCGACGAAGGCTTCAGAAAAAGTCAAGTCTTCTTTGGGCCAGGCAGACCAGTCAACAGCAGACATGCCGCCAGCCTTGTCACCAGCTTGGACACCGGTTGCGATGATGGTGATGCCGATTGCGATTAGGATGGAGGCAAAATCGATGTATCCAAGGATGGCGACTTCGGAGAAGGAGGGCGGAATGGCGAGAATGAGCAAGATGATGGCGGAAACAGCAGAGAACACGATGGAACAGACATGGCCACCGTTAATGTTGATGAGCGCAATACTGCCGGTCAACGCGTGCGAACCAACAACCATGACGAGCTCGAGCACCAGCGCAGCACCGAAGAGTTCGTAGCCGAAACGGCCGAGCAGAAGGCGGCCTGCATCGGCGTAGGACGCGACCTCTGGGAACTTCAGCTTCACCTGGCCAACAATGTAGCTGGTAAAGATGGCAACGCAGCCAAGTCCGACAGTGAGCAGAACGCCTGGAAACATGCCGAGAGTTGCGTAGGCCTGGGGCAAAGAAAGCGCGCCAAGGGCGATGGCCTCAACGATGGTGACAACTGCGAGGCGCTTCCATCCCAGACGATGGAAGTGAGCATCTCCGTCTTTGGCGATTTGTTTGGCACGTTGCGAGTCCCAGACCTCGCCCTCGCCGAATAGTTGGTTGTCGGCTAGATTAGAATCGTCATCGTTCTTGTCGTTCTTGCGTCGTGTCGACGAGATGTGGTCGGACATGTCGAGCTTGAAAGGAGAGAAGGTGACAGATGATGGCAATGAGGTATCAAAGAGATGTTCAGCTCAGATTTCAAGTAGCATAAGTGATGAAATGAATAAGAGCAGACCAGGAAACTGAATAAGACACCAGTCCTTCTCCACATAGTGCAAGATGCCCCATGGTACATATATGAAGGCAGATTCCCCGCAAGCTCGCCAAAAGTAATGGAATTGACACAACTAACAGGATATCGTTATCTCGACACGTGGAGACCCAGCGCACAGGTCGGCATCGCCTTCCAGCGGTGCAGAGTCTGAGCGCGCCGCTTGCTGCTCACGATGTTCTGAAGGTGTAACGTGAAGTATTCGGGAAGCATTCGGGAAGCATTCGGCCTGACTAGGCGTGCAGATCCTTGCCGAGCATCGCGTTGGTCTTTCCTGAAAGCGACAGCTAGGCGAGATGCTTTAGCTAATACAAGGATAGCCGGCCGTTCAACGGCTGCACTATTGCATTGCTGAAAATTCTTGATGCACTACGTCGGTCCAAAGTGGATTCTATGTGTCGCCAAATTCTTCATACAGTGCTAAGCTTTACTGTTTGCAATACAGACATAGGGGTCTTTGGCCGCAGCGTTGCATTGCGCACATGCGCGTCACAGTTCTTAACCGGGATACGAACGTGCAATGTTGCGGTTATTCGAGGCCTATATTCGTTGGGGCAGGCGAGCTGGAAGATGAGGTCAAAATGACATTTGGTTTCCGTTCACGAGTTCCACCATTATAAGTCTTTCTGGCATATTCTCGGACCTACGAATCCTCCTCTGAGAGCGGCCATAGCGATCCGATCAGCATCTATTTTCCCTCTTGCGCGCTGCCGTCTACGATACCATGCAAAGCTCTTTCGAGCGTGATCTATTCCAGGGCCACAGTATATGTTGGCGCATGAAGAATAGCGCGAGGAGGAGGCTTGGTCTCTCAAAACGCCAATGTTGATAGTACCGAACGGTCGTGTCCGTCGTTGTCGCCCAAGTAGGTAATTCAGCCCTGGAACCCATCGCTTCCGCTCGATTTTAACCTGCCTTCTCTTCTTACAAGTCTCATCGCACTGCTCTCGCGAGAAGAACTCTCTGTTCCTTCATTACCCTTCTCTTGCCATGTCTCCATCTGCCCGCGTTGCCTCTTAAAACAGCTCCCATGCCTACAACCTTCCTGCAGTAATGCCAACAAAAAAGATCTCACTTAACACCTCTTCAAACTCGCACTCAGCCCCCGTCGAGATTCAGTACCCTTGATACTCGAACTCGTCGCGTGATTAACCTACACTCGTGAGAACATGAAAGGAGTACTGCAACTCGACCTGACTACTCCGCTGTTCCACCTGATGTGCTACCCAACGTTGCCGCCTGGTACGCTGCTGCTCGAACTCTATTCACTCCACTCTCGTCATCTTTGCCAAATGTTCCGCTTCCTATCTGCCCATGCCTGCCTGTCTGCCGTCCTGCGACAGGCCCGGCACTTTGGGAATCGCTGCTGGGCTATGTACATATCATGTCTGGATAGCCGGGAAGAAGATCTGACATCACGATCATCCGACATTGCGACGAACTGCTGCAAGATCGCAATGTGTCTGTGATGAGCGACGATTATATAACAGTGCCCTCTATCGCGAGTCACCGTTGCAGTAATGCAAATCCAAGATCGTGCCGTAGGCGAGCGTACGCTAATGGATGAGTTGTAGGTTAATTTTAGTCTCGCTGTACTATGTGATACATTATGTGTTTCATAATGAGCGTTCTTCAGTAAATCCTAGACATAATATCTACTTGATAATCGTAAGTAGATGTACTTGTACGAGAAAGCTACTTGCTTATTCACAAGATATTTTCTGAGACATTTCTCTGCTTCGATTAAGGCGAGCTCATACCGCATACCTGAGGTACAATCTTCCATGGCGGCGTCTTGCTTCATAATCGTCCCAAGCCTAAGGAACATCTACTACGTCATTTCTGATATCAACAACACTGGCGAGTACTGTCAGTTGTTACGGCGGTATTCATTGCAGATGCCTGGAGAGTAATCGCGGCCAGGCCCGAGACAGGAAGTCTTTGCCTCATTGAACGTCTATGCGATTTACTTAGCACACACACCTCATCTACGGCATAACACATTTACTGTGGGGTGGTACATTTCGGGGAATAATCTAGGATGAGCTCCTTTCTTACCGTGATCAGGACTGCCAGAGTACGGATCGTTGTGCGCTGTCGCTTGGTCTCAGTGCAGCTTATTGTACCCGCTGTGCTGAGCAATGAAAAGTGCCTTGCGCTCCCACCAATCGCCTTGGGTTTTGCCAAAGACGACTATGGCACGCTTCTAGTCGTGTCGGTGGTTGTAGTCGGTGGGATAATACAGACTGTAGACGATGCGCCAGGTTGTGTCGCCTGGACAATAGACGCCGTCGACGTGCACAGGGAACGGAGCGCTTCTCATCAGAGGGCCGCTGTAGAGTTTACCGCCGTTGGGATTGCGACGTTTACTTCCTGTCATTGCCGATTGGACTCCTCGTCATGGAGAGAATTGGATCGCTGCGACACCTACCAACAGCGACGCCATCTGAAGCATCTGCCGAGACGCCTGGGGCTGGGCCGTCTCCATGCGCATCAGCGGCACTCTCGGGGTAGCAGGGCCTTTCGAAATCGTTGAGTCGGGCGTGGTTTCATTGAGGCATCGCTGCAAGTGCAGGTCCCCAACCCTTGTCTCCCATGTTGACAAAATCAGGGCCGCAGATGGCAATTCCGCTGACACCGCTCGGGCGACCACCGCAGCCAGCTTGCCTCTTTTCAAGACCCAGTTGTGCAGTCAAGTTGCTGATGTCACTCTGATCGATGTAGTTGATATCAAATCGAGGTTTGGATTTGCTACCTTCAATCACATTCTGGATCCGTCAGTGGCAGCCAAAAGTGCTTGGTTGAGAAGCTCACCAAAGGAATAGCGCTGACAGTGCTCACAAAGACGGCAACGGCTGCCGCGTATTTGGCAGTTAAAGCCATTGTGTGCTGATATAGTTTTAGGATGCTGAGTGAAGAAAATGATGATGACGTCTAACCAGGTGAATCAAGGCGGTCTCTATATCGTACTCCAGAAATCGGTTTGGGCGACAATTACTATGTACTGCTTCACATACCACATGCTCAAACATGTTCTGCAGGGGCCTCTCCATTCTGCATATCTATGAATAGTAGATTTTCAAGTCCCATAAACTAGGCAATTACTTCTCCATGCTGTAACTACCAGCCTTGTCGACTTGTGTGCCACGCAGTATCTTCATCGTGATCATCGGTGATTAAAAATTCTGCCAGTGCCCGATCAGGAAGTCTCCACGAATTCCACACTGACCAGGCCTCCATCATGACCCTAAAAGCGTAACAAACATAAAGCCTCGAATTAGATCTGCGTACCCAAGTCTGACATGCCAAGGAGCTGACCCAACTACCTATGTAGGGGTGGAGCCAAGGTCCCCTACTCAGGGTCGTAACACATGGGCCGCAGCGGGACGCCTTGAAAGGAGGCTTGGGTGAGATACCAGCTGTTTTCAATGCCAAGCAGTCAGTTGGCCGATCAATCGAGATCGGGTTGATAGTTAGCGACTCTAGATTGGCATAATCCGGCCACAGTTTGGTGGGGGACGATGTTTGGAAAAGACTAATTGGGAGACAGAAGTGATGGCCTTGCTGCCTGACGTCGGCCACTAGTATCCCAAAGGCTTGTACGGGGGTGACTGTCAAAAGTTCTTGCTGACGGGGGTCTATTGATACCACCGAAGATACGGCTGAAGCTATGTAGATCTGTCACGCCGCCCCTCCTTGTAGTCATTGCCGCCATCAAGGTTAGTAATTTCTTCAATTTGAAATGGGATTCGCTCTATCCAAGCGTGAATTTGGTGTTGAGGTAGCTCATCCCAACACTGTTGTCATACTGTTGTCGCCTCTGCTCAGCTTTTTAGTGCGCCTTTACATGTTTTTCCTCTTTTAAGCCATGGTCAAGCTGCCTTGATAGCGTTAAGATCTGGTGAGTTGCCTAGTCATGAGAGCTGCTCCACCACCTCTTTTTGATATACAAATCGCTGAGCCTGATGGGCATGCGAAGGAACCTCATCTTCTTGAACAGATATACGTGGCCTCTATTCTTGGCACTCATTTGCAAAGGGGATCAGCTTAGGGATACGAACTTAGTTCTAATATCGTCACCAATCAACGTCACCATGACTGCTTGCACGAGCTAGCTTACCCGTCTCTTTTACTCATATCCATTGTAGAGATCTACCAGGCTTGTTTCGTAACCCTAGTCTCTTCATACCTATTGTAAACTCTTACTCCTCTCTCTTAAGTGGCTCTGAAGCCTTGTTCAACTCTTCAATCTGAAGAGCTGCCTTTCTCTTCTCTTGCGCAGTCCCAAGCCTCCAGACGTGGCAGGAGTTATGGTTAGGTCAACAAGGCATCCTACGTTGAGACTGATGCAGCTGATAGTGCCCACTTCATTCTGCTTGAGTGGGTAGAATATTTGGTGGACCAGAACCTTTTTCTCTGTCCCTTTTTGTAGTAACAACGCTGAAAACCCCGTGAAAAGGTAGGCCTAGATATCCTAGCTCTTCTCAAAGGCTAAACCTACGTCTACAATGCTTAATAGAGGCCCGCTAATTGTAAACTTGGAAGGCCTATTCTTAGCGATAAGTCAGAGGAGCCCTTTGCCTTAATTGTTAGATTGTTACCTGGCTATCGGTATTCAACGATGACGCAACCCTGGTTAGCGCCTTGGCATCCGGATGTCCCGCGATCGTTGCCCTTGTCCAACGCGACTCGCGACGAACAACGCGCCTCTACCCGCAACCGACAATATATTTCGCCATGCCCCCAGTCGGGCCGCACAGATGCGTAAACCAGCCCACATAGTGAGCCTCGATTAGATCGCCGGCATAAACGAGACAACGGACGGAGCGATAATCCCGCGACCAGAGCGATCTCACGGAAGGAGGCGGAAAGGAGATCTACAATGCTATGAAGAGGGGGTCGTACCGAAGAGCATCAGAATCATGTCTTATTGTGTGCACATGCATAACAATGTGTTGAATTATGATATCCAAGCTTGTGGAATTGGCACTGGCCCAGCAGGTGGCTTGCCACCAGGCAACCAACCCTGATGCTCCGTCCTGACATCCCAACTGGCTGGGTAATCAATCTTGGTGTGGAAGAGGCCGTAGTCCTGGAAGAGGAGGATATCATGTTCTTCCTCGGGACCCAACCAGATGTGCTCGGGCTTAATCATCCTTCCTTGGATGTTATCCAACAACTTCCTGACCTCACCCAAGTTATCGATGACCTTGGGTGTGTCATTCGGGCCGTTACGGATGAACAGCCTACGGGCAAGGTTATGCTGTACCTGGAACGGCTTCTTATCGGTGACGGGGTTGACCCAGACCAGCGGAAGCTACGGTTGCGTTAGTACCAGACTGATTGCGTATGTTCCCAGGTTGACCATACCTTTTTCTGCCAATCTTTGCTTCCTTCCTCATGCGCCTCTACCTCTTCGTCCGGCAGTTCCCTGCCCTTGTTTGCGACGCCTAGGCCATTTGGAGCACCACGGCAGCCCTTGATCTTTTCATAAGGCCAATACATGTACTCAACCCAGCTGTGGTCCACCGTCTTCTTCTCGTCATCGCTCAGCATATCATACAATTGCTCGACATCTACAAACGCTGTTCGTCCTGGCTTGACTTCCATGCTCTGACCAGAGCTGTCAGCCCACTCCACTGTCTGCGTGCTCTAGTCTTCTGTTGGGAACTTGATGGGCCGGAGCATAGTGAAGGTTGGGGGATCATACTTCCAGTAGGTGCCGTCCACATGCCACCAATGGAAGCGAGTCTTCCCGGCTTCGCAGTCTGCATCCGCGAGCGGCTTCTGGTAATACTGGTTGAAGTTGGCATCGCCCATGTCAAGGCCAGGCTTACCGTATTTTGAGTCGTCTTGAGGGTCTTTGCCGATGAACACGAAAGCACCCGCTTCCGGAACTTCGACATAGTTGATGGCTGCTACTATGCCATCTTTAGGGTAAGACGCCCTGGCGAACGTGGAGTTATCTATTTTCTTGGAGTCTGGATCAAGCTTTTGCAGCAACTCCCTGCCACGCTTCGGTTCCAGGTCCTTTTAACCTTGGATGATAAGAAGCTTGTGCTCTCAGGTCGCTTTCTACAACAGCGCTACCGTTTCGTCTGTAAACCGGTTTAAATCGAGGCCAGTGACGACAGCTCCGAGCTAAGTGCAATGTTGTAAGCGAAGAACAGCAAGGACGGATCCAATCTCTGGTCAAGATGTACCTTGCATGTCTTCCCTGAAGGATGAGCCAGAGGCTGGATCTTGAAGTCGCTTGCCATGGTATTGAGGATGAAGAATCACTTTGTATTGATGATTCCTATCTTCGCGCGTACAACATATCTGTGATGATGTTACACCGAAACGGGAAACTGGGTCGCGTAACTGCTTACGTACAAGTCTGGCTTCGCTGGTTAAACTTTGTTCCTGTGTTGGTTGTTATCGCGGACCAATTTGGCAAGTCGGGTGATAACAAAATCCACCGAGCCGCCTTGTCCAGCATAAACCTTGGAACAACATGTCTACGTTCGCTCAGACGTCTTAGAATGGAATTGGCATTGTTCAACGTCGAGCAAAATCACAAGGGAATCCGCCGATGGTGCCAATCGGTAGTTAGGATACGAGAAATTTCGAGAGCGGCAGTTGTGTTTTTGGACTGAAGCTCCACATGTGAAACCGATTAGGCCAATCAATGAAAGGAAGCTTTGGCCAAGAAACACCAGAATTTCAGCAAGAGACACTCGTGACAGTCAACAAATTTACAAGTTAAGAGCTCTAGAAGAGCAATATGTCACACGCTGCTCCTGTACGCCGAAAACAAAAAGCGAAAACGAACACACTTATAACCTCTCGTGAACCGTTGCTCGAGCACCAACTACCTGGATGCCATCTCCATGCATGCTGTACGGCACAAACGTTTTCCGTTCCAGCCCAACCTTCTCGAGAATACGATCCCACTCCGCTAGTGACCTCTCTCGCGCCCCATAGTTTGCCATCATCAGTAGATCAAACGAGGCTCCGTACCAGTGTGTGCTCTCGTCCCCAAGGGTGAGCTCGTCAAGCAGGATGACCGAGTCAGGAGCCAGTGCATCCTTCAGTTGGGACAGGATGTTAAGACAGACTTGATCGGGCCAGTCGTGCAAGATGTTGCGCAGGTAGTAAACACACGCCCCCTTGACTGGTTGCACCTTATTAAAGTCATGATAAATGACCTCCAAGCCCTCGATACCTTTGGCAGAGTCAATAGCAGCCGCGTGTGTATCCTGTAGCACAACACGTCCTTGCACCCAGGGAAATCTCCTGATAACCTCTCTAGACTGGTGCCCGTAGCCACCACCGACGTCCACGAAAAGCTTTCGGTGCTCAACAACCGCGCTCGAGGCATGCACGTACTTCTCGAGTGGGAACACATCAAGCCAGCTCTTTTGCCCGACCCGTTGGAAGGACATGTACTCGTTGAATGCCTGTTGGTGCCGTGGTCGCTGCGACAACCATTCGAAAAAGTGTAGATCGGTGTTTTTACTTAAGTTGAACGGAAGGTTCTTATTGTCTTGCGGTTGCTTGTAGGAATTGTCGGCTAGCCACTTTGGTATCGCGTTGTAAAGTGCAATATTCCTCTCTGTTCTGCAAAGCAAGTCAGCTATAATTGTCAAGACCAAACACGGGGTACTCACACATGAAATATGACGGACTCTAGCCCTGACATGGATAGATACCGCGTAATATTCGTCGCACGGTACGTCTCGATGCCGACCTGCTCCACCATCCATTGCGTCGCCGCCCACCGCAACACTCGCACTAGCAGTGCTTTTTCCGCACCCAACTCCGCAACCATCTCACCCACACTCATCACTGCACCTTCCCGCTTCGTGAGTAGCCTCCACAGCCCAAGATCAATACCAACTTGCACCATGCTGGGCGGTAATGCACAAAAGATCAATCGCTGCATGGTGTCCCACGGCTGCTCGAGCTTGAGAGAGGCCATTCTGGCAGCCTCCAAGAATCGGAGCCGCTTGTCCTCGTCGTCGCGGAGGGGAGCGGGGATATTACCAGAGGCAAGAGATTCGAGAGCTTCAAGGATAGTATCGGCTGCGACACCATCCCCAGAGTCTGTATTCAAGGATTCAGAAAAGAATGGTATGGCAGACATGGTATTGGTTTCTTGCTAATAGATGTATATTAAGGTCGCTGGATGGATAGATGCAACAAGTTGCGACAGAGGGATCAACTTATACAAGAGAGCGCGGCAGCAAGGTTTCAGATCGACGTTACCCGTGTTGCGATCGGTACATTGTATGTTATCGAGAGCTGCTTGCATGATCGGTGGCCGAGATTGTGGTTCCGGAAGATCATGTGGAGTTTAGCGATGGTCGCGAGCATGAGGAGTGGAAACCACCGTGCGATCATGTCGTTGATTGACTCGAGTAGTATTCCCCGAGATAGAAAACAAGCCGAACTATCGCTAAAATCTGTAGACCCCTATACCTCCACTCTGGACCCTTTCTTGCTACATCTTCAACCTAACAGTCTCCGCCCTTTCCGCCACCTTCTTCGTGAACTCCCCCACAACATCTGCACATAGTGCTAGCAGTGGCTTCTTCACTGCTCCGTCTCCACCGATTGATAGCCCTGATAGTAAGGCATCCCGTAGCCGCTCTAGCACCCGTTGTGCCTCCAGTACCCGCTTCACTAGTAGTACACGCACTACAGCCCGCCTGTCGGCACCCTGGATCGGCAGTGATCCACAACGCAGCGGTTCGCACTCCTCGTCTACCACAGATGATGGCAGCATGAGATCGTTGCCATTACCGTCACTTATGCTAGATAAAGACGATGGCGATGAAGATCCCCGATTATCATGATTTGGGTTAGGTGTCATTGTGGGTGTCCAGAGGGAGTTACCGCCCAGTTTGAGCGACACAAGCGCCCGATCAATGGCTTCGCAGATGAGGAGCGCAGTTGAAGGGCGTGTAGAGCACTCGTTGGCGCAGGTGATCGTAGTACAACAGCATGTAATGAGGGTTCTGGATGTTGACAGAGCCGTTGACGTGAAGGTGAGGGGTGATGAGGAGGGTCCGTGAGAAGGCGTAGATAGATAATCAAGAAGGTTGGAGACGCAGTTGCATGATTTCGTCGAGGGAGTGGTTTGGTCGAAAGACTGTGGACACTGTGGCTGTACTTGCTGTTGTGAATGAATCGCATAGCTACCATTTTCGACGTCGCTGCTGCTCGTGGTCGGCATCGGTAAGTCGTTCTGATGCTGATCCAGATGGCGAGGTTGGTGACCGTCCGGGGTAAGTAAACCAAAGTACGGCAGCCCTTCGTCGAAGAGCATGGGAGTAGAGAGGGATTGGTGTTGTTCCTGATCGTGTTGCTGCTCCCATGGTGGTCCGCTGAAGCCTATATTGAGAAGCTCTGGAGCGATGTGGAACTCGGGAGACATGGCGTAATAGCAATTGGTAGTTTGTTTCGGTGTACCGCATTGTGAACCCGTGAAGTCCGGAATACCTTGCATGAAGTCGCCGTCTGACCGTGGATACGAGGAGAAGTCCATATCGTCGGGGCTGGGGAGTGGCATAGTCTGCGCTATGCTAGGGATAGTGGATGTATTGGAGCTGGAGCTGGAGCTGGAGCAGTCTTCGGAGGCGGATAGCATGCTAGGTGGACCAAAGGGCGACGTCTGACCTACGGCCGGGATGGTGATGCCGTGTTCCGTCATGGGTGTCAAATACCCTTTCAAGCTCGCAGATGCACTGCTCTCAATGCTAGATGTGCTCTTGCTATTGTTGCGAGTGCGTGGTCGTCCAGCACGTCGTGCTGGGCTGTAGACACACTCTATGCCCTTCTTTGCACATCTGCGACATTTTGGCCGTTCCTGGTCGCATCGGATCTTGGAGTGTTGGCAGCTGTCACATGCGAGGCGGTACTTTGTGGGTTTTGGCATTGGGACGTTGCCCTTTGCACTTGAATCTTTTTCTTGCATTTTTAATTTGACGTTGATATATTGATTGACAGCTAGTAGGTAATGGCGATATCGCAGTACATGTACTCACCATCGTCTCAGGCCAAACTGTCGTGTGTGGAGACGCTAAAACCTGACAATATGGAGGGACTTCGGAATGGTTTCTAGCTGATAGCAAGCGCTGATAATACTAATCTCGCTATGCAGCCACGTGTTAGCTATTCGATCTCGAACTACCTAGGTACGGCGGTGGTGGGAGGCAAGAGTTTCGCATGTGGCGCTGGGATCTCGCGATCTGGAGACACTTCGGAAGGAACCGACGCGTTACTACGTTCCAAGGTTACATACTGAGGCGTAATCGTCCTAGCTAGGATTAGGTGCTATAGTCCCTTGCTAGTGGCCCACTTACAATAGTTTCCCTTGATACCATGGCAGGTGAAACATGGTCTTGCTAGCCGCCTCCGTACCAAACCTTTGTCTTTTACCACAGCATTGGAAATGCACAACATTCAATATGTCATCAACTTTGCACTAACGCACGGCTCGGAACGATGCACGTCTTACACCGTACCTATGTGTTGGAAACGGTCGCTCGGCCCAATCACGGGATGTACCGATCGGGTAGCACGCACTCGACTAGGGTACAGACTTTCCACATCCCACACCTTCCAAGGTGGATTGCCAAGGTCTGCGGGGTCCAGGTTGAAGCAGGGCTCGGGCTCGTATTGCGACGATCCTATTGCAAACCTGGAGTTAGACTTTGGTTGGGCTGGTTATTGGACCCCATTGGCTCGGTGACGGCTTCAAAAGCCGACAGCAAAGAACGTCTTCATATATACACGTTTTCTTGGTGTTCTTTCACATCTTGAGGTGGAGAGGTACGGACCGTACGGTACCGGAGACGAGCAGTCTTGGCATGCAGTCGGAAACCTTTGCTTCAACTTGCCGAGACAAAGTCATGACCGAAGTCAGAAACGTCGGCAACAGAATGGACGATAGGCAGTTTACTATGTTGTACAATAGACAAAAAGAACGGTATGTTCGGGGGTTAGCACGTCTGTTCGCTCAACAAGCAGAGACAGCGGTGAATGGAGCAGGGTTTACTGTTCGAACTATAGCATACGTATCACGTCAGACAAAGACATCAGCTAGTCGTTTTTGCGATATTCCTTTCTCACGAGTATCCTTCCGTATGGGTGTGATTTCGACTGCAGATGTTGCAAGTGGCTCGTCGGTTCTGCAGTATCGCTTTACCTGGACGAAATGGATGGCCACCAGGGTATCAGCTTATGTTACTTACTAGATCCGTGCGCTATCTCTACGCGCTGATGCTATTCTGGCAGGTTTGCGTGGAAACTGGCGATCCGAGGGGATATCTTCAAAAGGGCCTTGTTCGGTTGCACCCACAAGTCCTTGAGATAAGATATATACAAGCCTTCGGGCCGAAGTAACAAGAGGGCCCATTAGCTAACACGATCGGAACCCGTCGTATCCCGCAAGCTCCTTGGAACACATTGTTAGTAGAGAGCCTTATTCTCCCACCTCAAACGCTAGGTAGGTATCGCTTGATAAATCTGTTGAACCAATTAAATAGATGGACAGTTTCGCGTGGAGACTAGCGGACGAAAGGATATGTCCAAAAGGGCCTTCTTCGGTTGCAACCACCTACGCACAGATTCATCGTCAAACGGTCCAGATTGCACCATCACGAGTGCTCGATTCGAGGTTTTCCAAACCTTTGACTCCCCCACGTCATATGTAAGTCATGTTTTAGTATGGTGTAGAAAAGATTGGTGAAATTACGACTCAACGTGCATAAAAGCATGAGCAGCAACGAACGGTCGAACGCTGCTTCGAATGGTGTCATTTACAATTCAGCTAGACTCATTATGGCATAGCTAATTCTTTCTTTGTTATTCTACTAATGTGGCAGTCAACCCAAGAATTGTTTTACCGCCTCAAGACTTTGTTTGAAGTTGGACACCTCATGCATGGAGATGCCTAGCTCCTCCTTTGTGACGAAAAGACCTTGTTCTTTGACGTGGCCAAACCAGTCCGTCACTGCCTCGCCAAACAACACTCCAGTGACAGCCTCTTCTCCTGCTAGGCCAAACAGTTGGCCGATTACCTCTGGCTTCACTTCGACATATACACCTTTCTTGCCTGAGACAACTTCCCACTGTTTCAACGCCTCTCCTAGAGTGATCACCTCAGTGCACACCCCGGCGTATTTCCCATGCGTTAACTTAGGGTTAGCAAGAATCTGGCGCGCCCAAATACCAGGGTCCTTGGCCATATCGCCGGCCATGGGATAAACGGTCGCCGGATCCGACGGAACCATCCAAACATATGTCCCTGGCGCAGTGGCCTAATCGCAGATTGATCAGTCTTGTGATTGGAAGACATTGCGAAAGCATTCACTTACTACTGGTTGTGGCTTCAACATGCCAAAGAAGGCAAAATTGGATGGATAGAAACCGAACATGAGAAAGGTCGTCTTAGCAGCCAAGTCTGGCATGTTTTTCCGGATATGATCGTCGACCTTCGCCTTGTAGTCAAAATGAGGAACGGGGTATTTGCCTTTAGTGATTACATCTGCAGCAGGAAGTGTGCTCCAGATGTAATGCTCCAGCGTTGGCACTTCAGCCGCCAGCTTCGCAAGCATGATACCCTGGCGCTCTTCAACTTCACCAGCTCCTATCTGGCCGGCGCCTTTGAAGAAAGCTTCCCACCATTGAGTTACCGCAAAGATGGCTTGAGCACCCTGTTCATGTCAGATACCCATCAATCACAGGGCGCAAGCAGTAAGTGACTTACGGCAAATGCCTTCCTGACGGACTCCTCGTCTTCGTAGCTGGCTTGGACTACTTCCATACCCTCTGCAGCAAGCTTTTGCGCCTTTTCTCCATTGGGATTCCTGGTCACAGCGCGGACATGCCAGTCTCCTGTCTTAAGCAATCCGCGGGCGATAGAGCCGCCCTGGTTGCCAGTCGCACCAGTAACGACGACAAGTTTCTTAGCCATATGTGGAAAGTGAACGCTATCTCCGAATTTACGATAAGAGAGGGAGGCAGATATCAGAAGGCTCGATTGTAGAATGAGGTATGCACGTCCTAAAATGGCAGCATGAGATTGAGCGGAAAGTGTTCGACTATGAACAGGAAAGATAACTCTTGAATACGCGGAAATGACCGGACGCACGCGAAACAATCGTTGTATACTAACCTATTTTCGGTGTCTGAGAGTTCGGCTGAAGCAGTGCGGTATCATTGTTCACTGGTTAGACTTAGCAACTGAACTTTCGGGGAGTAAACGAAGCATTGGCATCGTGTATCAACACCACTCTCAGAACTGAGTATCCGGCAGTTCAATCTTCGGTAGTATAGTCGTAAATGTCCCGCAGAGTACCTGGGTAGCTCGGCCCGATGTTCCACAAATGCCCCGAGTCAACATATGTGACCCACCATTATGGGTCTTCGTGCATTAGCTACGAGGGTCGGTTGTTCTAACCGGTAGCTAGGTAAACCGCGTACCTTGAAGAAACTTGCTGTATTCATGTGATTGCGAGAGTATCGTAGACCTTAGCGGATAAGTATAGGATATGCTTTATCCGGGAACAACACTGAAGATACAAGCATGTTTGTGCAGCCATGTAGGGCATTACGTTTGAGATCGCTCTTGACAGCTCGTACCACCGTGAACATATGCACCGGACAGTACGTTGGTGAGATCAAAATGCGCCGACTTTTCGGTTTCCCGGTAACGGATGGGTTTTCTCGAAACCTATTATTACAGTAGACGAGATCGCTTCCAAATAGTGAAGAAGCATTTACATCTTGCTGCCCTTTGCTCCTATAGATTAGTTTTCTTATCAACCATAATGTCGAGAACTGCCAACGCCTTAGTATACCGCGCTGCGCCAGCACTGCGCTCTGCGGTACTGCAATCAGCTCGCTCACCATGCCTTCGCAGAGGATTTGCCCAAGAAACGAGCTTCCCAAAGCCACTGAAGCTGAAGGGTGTTCTCAAGCCTCTGAAGCAATTCATGGTGACGCCTACTGTGGGCACTGAGTTCCCAGAGGCCAACCTAGTTGAGATGCTCAACGCGCCTAACTCGGATGAGCTACTAAGAGACCTCGCCATTACAAGTAAGTATGCAACAGACATCCTTGAGAAAGACGGAACTGACGGTTGTCTCTTCTCCAGTCTCCCGACGCGGAGTTGTGTTCTTCCGAGGCCAGAATAACATGACCAACGATCTCCAAAAGACACTGATCCAACGTATGGGCGAGCTCGTGGGAAAGCCGAAGGAATCTACTCTACACATCCACCCCGTACTCAACCCCCAGAGAGCATTGGGTGGCGATGACCTCCACATCAGCACCATCAACTCCAAGCAGAGGATAATGGCCCAGGGCAAGTCTGTACCTCGTGATCTGGGAAATGCAAGACAGGCACTTGAATCGTGGCACAGCGACATCCAGTCTGAACAAGTGCCATCCGATTACACCTGCTTACGGCTCGTGGAGCTGCCCTCTGTTGGAGGAGGTATGTCCATCTCAAGACATGTCTGCATACACCATACTAATCCGCTTCTCAGACACATTGTGGGCATCTGGATACGAGGTCTATGATCGCATCAGCGAGCCAATGCGAAAGCTTCTGGAAGGAAAAACTGCGAACTACACCGCACCATGTAAGTCAGATAGAGCAAAAGTCATCGAACCCCTTACCCACTGACACGTCTCCCCGCAGTCTTTGAGAAGATCATCAAGATGAAGAACCTTCAAGTATACACCGACGCCCGTGGTCACCCCGAGAACGTTGGCAACCCTCTAAAGGCAGTACACCCAGTCGTCCGCACGAACCCCGTGACCGGATGGAAGAGCGTCTTCGCCATCGGCGCATACCCAGGTTCTATCAATGGCCTGACTCCTCCAGAGAGCGAGATGATCCTGAACTGGCTGATGGACATGGTACTCCGCAACCACGATCTACAATGTCGCTTCAGGTGGCAAGGTCCAAATGACATGGCCATCTGGGACAACCGCAGTATGGTGCACAATGCTACCATGGACTACGATGAGTTTGGTGATCGATTCGGATACCGCGTATGCGGCATTGGAGAGAAGCCTTACTTCGATCCAAATAGCAAGTCGATGCGCGAAGGCTTGGCGGAAGAGGCCAAGGAGGAGTCTTCGTAAACGAAGTAAAAGCTGTGAGGTTTCATTGTCTTATCGAGCGATCCGAGCTCTCTTTTTCTCTTGAAGCATAGTTCCTTGTAGTTGTCAAAATATGGTACATGGCTGTTGTCATGGGGATGCTCCAATTTTTGTGCTGGGGGTTCGGAAAAGTTGCCAGTTAGTGAGACGTGTGTGAAGCAATTCGCATGTTGGTGTCCAATGAAGTGTACCTGCTGACTTGGTGAAAATCTTGCCCCTAGCGTGTCCAGTCTTCTTTGGACAAATCGGTTAAAATGTCGATAGTCGCGCGTCGTCGTTGGTGTATCTGGGAGACTTGCCTGTGATCGGAAGAGGTCCTGGTGATGAGGCTTCCTAGGCGGCACGCTAACTTCAGCGCTAGGGCCGCCCCGGATAGGACCGACATGCGGATACGAGCTCAATGTCAAGCTTCGATCTGCTCGAACCAAGCCGACATCGCTGGCGAAGCGACCTTCAAACGCAGTACGAATGCTTATTCGGATCTATTGAAGCTACGAAGATGTGTTTATACGAGATTGAATGCTGCTAACAATGGTTTCCTCCAACCCCGCAAACCCTGGCTGGCCCATGTCCTTCAGCAGCGCTTCCGCCTTCCCTCGGGGTCCAATTTCGGCCAGCGGAAAATCTAAGCCCGCGAGTTTCTCTTGGTTTTTATGACCCGGGACAGCCTTTGCGAAGATGTCAAAGAACTCGTTGATGGAGTATGGGGCGGCAAAGGCGAAAATGCGTTCATCGGTGGTAGTTGGGTGGATCAAGCCGGCTACATGAAGCCGTGCGACGTCCTGCACGTGAACATAGTAGACTGCTCGAGTATTAGCCGTCGGTTGAGTTGCACAAACAAAAAGCGAAGATCACGTACAGCGCTGGACGTGTTTGATAGAGTCGACATCGCCGTCCAAAATCTGGAGCGGGATCCTCGCGGTAGACGGGTAGCCCTGGTGAGTAACGCTCAATGGGCTTCCGTAGATAGTGCAAGGTAGCACCGCGTTGACAGAGAAGTGTGGCTTGTTGTTCTTCACCCACTCCCAGAAGGCCTGTTCTGCCGCTACCTTTGAGGCAAAATAGCCGATCATGAACTTATGCATTGGCGGAAGAGTGTCGGGGATATTCTTAGACAAGGCCAGTGTTTGCTCATCATACTCATCCGCAGACACTGTATCGGTTCCGCGATATGCTTGCAGCGAGCGAACCGCAGCCGAAGACGACGTCAGAACGAATCGCTTCACACTGGGCTCCTTCACCGCGGCCTGCAGACAACTCAATGTTCCGGCCACAGTGGTTCGAATCAACTCTTCTGGTGTGACGTGCATATCCCGCACTGAGGCAACGTGCGCGATACCGGAAACACCTAGACGTTGGAACATCATCAGTGTTCGAGCATTACGACATTGAGGCGGGGAACACACCTGAGACCGCGTCATCAAATGCGCCAGGCTCTCTCATGTCCTTGATAGTGATGAGGTTGAACTTGTCCTTGCCGTACTTTTGCGAGAAAAGATCTGCGAGCCATTGGTGCTTAACCGGGTCTCGGACTGTGCCTCGCACTTTGTAGCCTTGTTGAAGAAGTTGGTCTGCGACGTGAGCACCGACAAAGCCGTTGGATCCCGTAACGAGGATGGTGGAGCCTGGGGTGATAGCGGGACTATCAAAAACTGCCATTATGGAATAAGGTATCGCGCGATTCTGTTGTACACTCACTAGGTCTTTAACAAACACTAAGGAGTGTTATAGAGATATAGATAGTTGTTTCATCCCGAATTACTTCTCTTACGAGGACACCATTTTGTAAACGATGACATAGTTAGACAGCTGCGGCCCTTGGTAGTCTTCGGGGGATTAATCATGTCGTGCATTCGAATGAAACCATTCCTGATTCAGATGTCGGATGATATTACACAGCTGACATGATGGTTGCATTTGTCCATTACTAGTTTAGCAGGCCCCCCCTCGGGAACCTAACTTGAAAACACACCGAGTTCACTAGTTCCTGGCACTTGCACGGCCCCTGACTCGACTCATGATATTAGGTAAGGTGTGGCCATCTCCGCGACAGTGGAGGATACGAGCAAAGATGCATCGCGCTGACTGTGGTTGTGCCTTTCTGGCGCTACGAACGCTTGTGCGCGTCGAAGAAGTTACTACATCATCGCAGGTGCCGCTCGAAACCGCAATCCAAGTCACATCTTCAGTGGAACAGCCCTGCCTCACCGTATTGAGCTGCGAACGGTGCCGCCAGCAACGACTCCCTCTTACCGCTGTCACGATTCTATGCGCCCATCTGGTTGACTGGCTGTGCCGGTTATGGAACCTAAAGGACGAGGACCCTGCCGACACCTCCACAGATGCCAGCAACGCCAACACGACTCCAACTACAACCAGCACCAGCGAAAGTCGACATGCAACTCTGCCCTGGAAGTTCTCTCTTGGAAACTATGATCTCGCGGAAGACGAAGCCGATGCGCTCAGCAACGAATTAATGACATTGCGGCTCACTGGTTTCTCCGCTGTGTTGGGCTCTCTTGAGGCCGCCCTCGTCACATCTGGACCAACCCCCTGTGTTCCTTCTTCGCCCGGGGGCAACAATGACACGGCCAACGACATATCGGCATTTGCGCCAGCTTGTCTCGAACTTGTCCGAGCGAATCTCCGGCTAGTGCGCGCATGCATTCGCCGCCTCAAGGCGCGCTCGCTACTGAATAGCGATGGGACCAGTGCTTCGTTTTAGCAACAGCTCTGGACATATACCAGACTTGGAGTCTTCAATGATATCTTTAGTGGTGGTATAGGTTATCTTATATTCGAGCGCGCCATGGGGCGTTAAAGGGCTCGCATTCTACACATTTTGCGCCGGAAACTAGTCCTGAGACCAAACTTGAAGGTACGTTTGCATCATATTTCCACTGTTTCATCGGATTCGTCGGAGTACTACAGCATCATTGCTCTCATTGAGCCAGGTAGCCCCTGTTCCTAATTAGTATTCCATGCTCTTGTTTATGTCAAGATTGGAAACGACATACCCATCCAGTACCAGTGACTGACCAAACATGTAGCTGCTCATGGGCCCAGCTAGAAACGCCACTGCATCAGCGACTTCCTCTGGCTGTCCCAGGCGGCCTGCAGGCACACGCTCGCGTACAAGGTTACCGATGAAAGCCTTGATCTGTTCCGAAGAGTCGATGGTAGGAGACGCAATATATCCAGGGCAGAGCGCGTTGATGCGAATCTGTTGTGGCGCATACAGCACACCCTCAGAACGTGTCAACCCAAGTATAGCATGGCGACCCGCTACATAAGCACCAGCAGCGATTCCAGGCGGTGAGGCAGCGAAGGCATATACCGAGCAGACGTGTACGATGCTTCCACGGCCATACCGCCCATCGCGAGGCTCCTGCCGTAGCATCTGTCGTAGCTCGGCCCGATGCCACAACCACAAGAGTGTTACGTGGTCTTTGAGATGGGCTTCGAATGCGGCGGGCGCTGTGTCCGGACTGCCGCCCATCGGCCCACCGAAGCCGGCATTGTTGATGGCGAAATCGATACGCCCGAAGCGCGATGCAGCTTGCTGAACAGCAGCCTCAATGGCCTCTTCGGTACTGCATTCGGTAGACACGCCCAAAACGTCTGTTACTTTATACTGCGATGCTAGCTTCTGGATGGTTCCTTGCAAACCGGCTTCGTTGGTGTCGACGAGCGCGAATTGGCGAACACCGTGCTGAGCCAGTGAGTATGCAGCGCTCTGGCCGAAGCCTACCACACCGAGTCAGTCTTTTTCTTTAGCTGCAAACTATATTGCTAAAGATTGTAATACATAGAATGTCGAGCTTGACCTACCAGATCCCGCTTCTGTGATGAGAGCTGTTCCCGAAAGCATTTTCGATATGATACTCTTCGTAACCGCATCCTCATCCCGTGGATCTCGATGTTGTTTTATCGTGATCATGCATCGTCGTCGGGGCTTTCTGACTCGGTGGATTCAGAAATACACCGATTGAGTTAGTCGGTTTCGCCCCAAGATCCAAACACTAGCGCGGAGCCGGGTGAAGAGGTGTGATCTCGGGAGGTGGAGGAAAACACCCCGCATAAACTGCGGCACGATATGCTGTCAGCTTAAAGCGCCCGATGTCAAGCCGCCATTGTTCTGTTGAACCTGAAAGCGACCGATGTGTAATGTTCTTGCTTACGACACTCTGTTCGCATGTTCGATTGGATGGACTAGTACGTTGCTTACCTCCCCAAGAATTGTGCTGACACGAGAGTCTCGGTCCCTAAGCTCCATGTCACATCCCTCACTCAAAGCGACACTTCTCCATGAGATCAACCATCTCGCAAAATATGTTGCATGTTGCGGCATGCATCGAGATCGATATGATAAAACCAAATTAGTCTTAACATAGACTTAACCGTCCAGATTCCGAGTTCAAGCTGTAGAGTCTTCGATGACATACTCTTACAAGTGCTAGCCAGCTCAGTAGTACCCGTGTGTAGCTCGAACCGTCGGATAAGAGGAGAGATATGCCCGATTCTCACAGCGCATCCTATGCATACAAAGCTTACAAGAATCAATATTGTTCAGGCCATGCAACTGCAAGTTCCGCCATCGGTACGGTCAAATTCGAAGAGTTACCCCCACAATATCGTATAATGGTATGTTTGACAAATTCTTCGTTGATACATCGCTGTTGACTCCCAGTACGGCGTGTATTTGCCTTCATCTCGAAAAACTGTTGAACTTCGTCCTCACTCTGTATGAAGAAGCAACAGTAGAGGAATTAAGTGAGATCAGTTCACTCCAGGATTCTACGCGGTGGTTGTCAGCGTGATGACCCTTAAGGTCCCTACAAATTCATGAGTGCAAGCATCTGATTAGGAGCAGATGTCTTTGGCGTAGAGGAATTTCCTGTAGCCGGTTCCGTGGATGCGATCCTTGGTACCGCACGTTGGCGAAACCTTGGGATATCGTTTCATGTTCGGTTACTGGACGAAGGAACGCGGGTCACTCGCGTAGATACGGAGAGGCCTGAGTGATAGCAGTAATTACGATGGCTACCATATTTCGCCCATATCGAATCAAAATCATCGGAAAGGTGATGGCGCTTTCACGGTTGGAAGTTGATGAGATGCACAAGTGTCGTCCATAGGCGTTAAGTGGATCAACCGGTGACGAAAAGCTAGCGCTGTTATTTCTTGGCACACTAGCGCTAAACAGCTCACACCGTCCTCTTGCTGATTCACGATCTCAACGCTACCTTCGTCCCTCATTTTCATCATCTTAGCTCTGTATTTTGGATAGACACCTTCCCATCGCTTAGCGGGTGTTGACCGCTTCGTCGACTTAGTAAGACATACCCCACTCTAGACTCCCTTCTATAGCAAGCGATACATCATTCCTACGCTGCATAGCCAGAATAGGTGAGATGGCAGGTGTTGGACACTTTGCCTCTTCCCTGCGACACGTTCAGGCTCGAAGTGCGCATTATACCTGTTCGCGGCACGTACGAAGAAACATTGTTTCTCGGCTGATGCAGCCACACAACGCCCTATCACAAACCACCAAGGCAGCCTCATGAGTAGATCATCTGCGACTAATTGTTGCCTACTCCTGAAGCTGTCGCCTACTGTCTGCAGCTCGTTCGAGCGTGAGATTGGATCGATTTTCCAACCAACTTTCCCGACGCAACCCTTCCAGGTTACTGACGCCAATCAGAATGGACCCCTTTAGATACCGTAAGGCGTATGAAGCAATGGTACATACAACACAACTCATCGAAGAACGTTTGAACCAGGATGTTCAGCTCAGCGAAGAAGGCACGGTCCAAGACAATGCACCACAGGTTGCTTTCCAGGAACAAGACCCGGACAGTATGGATTGGACACCTACAGAATCGAATACTCCGCCTCCAGAATGTGGACCACCGCCAGCTTTATCTAAGAAAATGCGCCACCTTCTACCTGGTGGTGGCAATGGCGATCTCCGGGCTGAAGATCGCGGCGATAATGCAGTACTTCTACACAAGCTCAAGGAGGGAAAGATAATGGATGAATGTATCGACAAGCTGGTTCACGATCTACCGGACGTGCTGAACTATCAGAAGTCACTCTCATTCACTCCTTCTACAATCGAAGTGCCAAAAGACTTTGGATTGCAGCTCAGTATCTCGATAAACCATCACCTCGCTCAGATAGAGGACCGTAAAGCACTGGAAAAGTACCGCAGGCTACTTGGCCATCGTAAGGATGCGAAGAAGAAAAAAAAAACTGTTAGACTTGGTTTTGACCCTGTAGACTTGATCAAGAAGCAGGCTGTAGCCTTTGGAAAGGACGCTCCCACACCCGTTTGCACACTGGACAACGACATACATCCTATCTTTCGCCCAGAGAACTGGCATGGGTGCCCAGATGGGATCTATGAGGTGTTGAAACCGGCTTTGCAACTAGCCACTCTCATGTTGACATCTCGAGCGACTGCTCATTTTTGGCACACGTTGGTGTTTGGCAAAAGGGAGCATTGTGAGAAGACTTCTGCAGCGTACGGCCAACCGTGTTTTCGTATCAAAGAGGACGTAGCGTGGTCTGAAGAACATCATGTGACCTTCAAGAGTTTCCTGGATAATCAGATCGACACGGTTCATTTCTATTTCCACCATGATCCTTTACCACCAGAGACCGCATACGCCTCAATGGGCCTCGTCAAGGACTACAAGGAAGGCTTGATGCGAAAAATCAATCACAAATGCCACACAAGTCGTATTTGTCTTCATTCAGACTTCTATACTACCGCAAAGAAGCTCAGCCTACTGCGATATCGGGAGCCAGCGATGGTGCTGCGATATAACATGTTTCTCGCTACATGTTTGGCGCACGAGGTTGCACACTTCTGTGAAGTATCTGGGCCGCACCACGATCATCCGCTTCTCTCCGAGCCCGAGGTCTTCTTTGGCGACAACATGTGGACAGAAAGTGGAATCGCTTTCGAACTCAAGATCTTCGGTGGGCGCATACATCCTCTGTCTAGCCGGATTGATTGCAAATTCGGGTTGGCTTGTCTCGATTATCCGCTCAAAGAGCTTTATGATAAGGACGACAACGTTCTATATGCACTGCCGATGGATTACATCCTTAAGCTTCAGCAAAAGGAAACGTGGGAACAAGACTTTAGCGAGGCTGGCCCGGAGGTTTTCTTCGTTCCACGCACTGGTGGCCGCTCAATCGAGATCAATGGTACTAACCTTATGATCTGGGAAGATGAGAACGATGCCGATATCTCCGATCATATCGACAACGAGGAAACGGAATGGATGCGCATGGACGATGGATCGATTACGAAGAACCCAAAAGCAAACAATCGCAAACCACAGCGACAACCCGTGGTGCCACGATGGAACCCATATAACAACCAAAAGAGGAAGCATAATGTCGAAACGGGAGCTCCGTGTGTTTCGAAAGAAGTAGTGGAAATCAAGGATGAAGGGGAGAAGGAAGAACAGAGATTACAGCCTCCTGAAGATGGGGAAGTAGGCAAGAGTGCTTCTGATCAAGATATGGTATGATTGAACACGGCATTTATAACGGAGGAAAAGAGGAGGAATTATTGCGTTCACATTTAATATCAGCTTTTGGATACCACTGCATTTGCGTAGGGCGTTGTTTCTTTGTACTACATTATCATCAGCATGGCAGTTGTTAGTATGGCTCGTTCGTATCTTGGTAGATGCTAAAAGCTTACCTTCCTACCGCTTGCCTTGTCTATAATCTTTGTATAATCCAGTCTTTCGTGCAGTCATCACAGAATCTGTGAGTGTGCGAGCTGTTGAGCTGTCTTCAGTTGAGGCTAATCCAGGCTAGTCGAGTTAGGCTAGCGCGGTGAATGGTGTCCTAAGCGAGGTGAATCTTGGCAGAGTCACTGGAGCCCGAATTCTGCTTCCTAACAACGACGCACGCCTATCGTTTCCTACCCTCGCCGAACGTTCACCCCAACCCTTTCGACGACTTCACGATGGCGGACACACAGAAAGATGCGCTGTTCAAGAAGGTGCAGATCGACGCCCTGGTACGTAGGAAATGTGCAAAGCCAGTACCCCACTGTGCGCCCCGCCATTGTGCTAGAAAGACATCTCCATAGAGGCGTGTTGTAACTACGGGAGACTGACTATGGTCCTCAGGTTGCGATCAAGATCGCTACCGCCAGCGGTAAATCCTTCCCCTCGCTCGCGACCGGCAGCATAGTCGGCATGGAGAAGGACGGCGTACTGGAAATCACAAACTCTTTCCCCTTCCCCGAAGTAAACGCCGCCGCGCAGGCCGACGGACAGAACGACACGGTTGCGAACCTCGCTGCTGGTGCCCCCCGCGCCAAGCAGAACATCGCATACGGCAACGAGATGATCAAGTTCCTCCGAGAGGTCAACGTGGACGCGAACAACGTGGGCTGGTACACAAGCACAAGCATGGGCAACTTCGTCAACCTCAACACGATCGAGAACCAGTTCTACTACCAGAGCCAGCCGAACGAGAGGACCGTCGCTTTGGTTTACGATGTGAGCAGGAGTTCACAGGGCACCCTCAACCTGCGCGCATACAGGCTCTCGCCTTCGTTCGTGACGGCATACAAGGAGGGCAAATTCACGACCGAGAGGTGTGTGCAAACGATTGTGTGATATGGGCGAAACTGACAATCCTAGCCTCCAGAAGAGTGGTCTCCGATACCACGACATCCTGGTCGAGCTTCCAGTGACCATCCGCAACTCCCATCTCCTCACCTCGCTCCTACACCAGCTGCCTTCGGATGCGCCCAAGGAGGAGCTCAAGTTCCCACCCAACCTAGCCGCTCTGCAGCAAGACCCAAACACGCCTCAGCCTCCTCTCTTCCCCAACTTCGACTCACTCGATCTCTCCATCGACCCCTTCCTCGAGAAGACGTGCGACTTGCTCCTCGAAAGCATCGAGAACCACCACACCGAGATCAACAACTACCAATACTACCAGCGATCGCTCGCGCGTGAGCAGGCTAAGATCACTGCATGGCAGCAGAAGCGCAAGGCCGAGAACGCGGCGCGCACCGCCTCAAAGCAGCCCCTACTTCCCGAGGACGAATGGCAAAGGCTGTTCAAGCTGCCCCAGGAGCCCAGCCGACTGGAGACGCTCCTCAACTCGAGACAGGTGGAGCAATACTCGAGGCAGGTGGATGGATTCACGGCAGGCGTCACCTCCAAGATGTTTGCTGTCAAGAGCAATCTTCTTCCTGGGGAGTAGAGTGTGGTAGATACGGTTGTGTTTCATGATTATGCTTCTCTTCGTCACGGCATGGGCATGGCGTTGCGGTTTAGCGGTCTCTTTGACGGGACTGGATTTGATCTTTAGATGGAAGGACCACGATGATTATGTGAAGGGGCATTTGTAGCGTTTGCCCATGTGATCCGATGCCAAAAGTTGGAAGTGCTGCAAAAGCGGTGAAGTTCAAGGCTGCTCCGCTGGGCGGCTGAATGCTGTTCTAAGCGTGGGAGGCTATCGCCACATAGAGTCGAAACAGACAATGAAGTAATCAACACCCTTTCGCAACAACCATGGCAGTACTCTGACTGCAAAGTGTGTGTCTACAACCGTCCTACTCGTCAACTCTGAGTGCTCGGATATCGGATCGTCGGTGGATCTGCTTCTCTCACGAAAACGGCTTGGGGCTAAAGCAGCGTCCAACACCGGCGCCATCATGCAACAGGCCTCCTCGCCTGTCCTCCAGCAGCTCCGGTCACTGCACCCTGGTGCCCTTCAGACGCTCCACCAGTCGCCAGACGGAACGCTATACCCCCACAACCAGGTCCTACCGGAGCTTCAAAACCTCCACACGAGCGATGTATACCAACACCAATATGCCCTGAGCGGGCCACAACACCCACCACCACCCTCACATGCCCACGCGCTGCCAGTGCATTTCGAGCAACATGCGCTTCCGCCTTCAGGTCCGTACCCGCCTTTTCAGCCGGCGGGCTATCAACACGGCGCGAGTCCACGATTCATGAACGCGCCCCCTCCCCCACTCCAAGACCACGCGCAACAGTATCACGCGTCTCCTCCTCAGACGGTACAACGCCCGATTCAACAGCTTCCCCTGCCACCGCCTGCACCGCCCATACTCTCGGCACCGCAACCGCTGCCACGACATGTAGAGCAGGCGCCGTTGCCGCACAAGCAAGAGAGTCAGGACGAGGACACTCCATTGTCCAATCATGGCCAATTTCAAGGCCTGAAGCTCATCCCCAACCCGCCAGACTTGGAGCAATGGAGGGAGAGATTGTTTCACGTGGATGACATGATTACTCTGACTGAGGAGCAGTATGATCTCTCTCTCTCTGGCACTTGGCGCCACGTACTGACCTTGACCATAGATTTCAAACTTACTTCCCGCATATCGACAACGTCTACTCGCATCGCTCGACCCAGCGCCACAAACGGAAGCGCTTCGTATCACACTACTGGGACTGTCGGCTCAAGGGCCGGCCACCAGGAACCAAAAAGTCCACAGATCCAGATAAGAAAAAGAGGAAGAGAATTGCGAGAGAGCGGGATCTATGCGATGTCAAGATCAAGATCACCGAGTTCTTCGATCGACGCGAGTATGAGGAACAGCTTGGCCGGCGCCCGCCAGGCACGGAAAACGATCCGCCTAGCCCGATAGCATCCAACATGCCCATCAACCCAGGTCTGAATGGAAGCCAGAATCAGAACCCGCAGTTCTTCGGACAGCCACCGTTGCTACCACAGCAGCCAGCTGGAACCTGGGATGTACCTCCAAACATGGCTTCTCAGTCAGGAATGAACATGCAGGAATACCCAATATCATCTGGCTCTTCGTCCAAGAAGTTCTATACATTCCAGCGAGTCAATGGAAATGGCGGGAATGGCAAAGGCGACGGCGTTGCTGGGCCACATAAACATACACTCGAAGAGAGTGATCGCGTAAAGAAGAACAGCGTCATCAGATGGCAGGCAAAGATCGACAAAGATGACAGGAGGAAAATGCAGGTAAGCCTTCTTGATCTCGTTCGATCTCAGACTCCACACTCCTTTGTATCGACTCATCTGGCCATGATCATATGCAATGGCGATCCACTCTGCCCGCAGATCAAGTGCATACGTCATTTTGATGCATGCTAAGAACACGGACAACCCCCATCACTTACTTTGCGCTGTTGTTTATGACACTGCCCGCTCTATACCCTCATTTCTAGATTTTCACACTGTTCATGAATTCTGTTTCCAAATTTCTTCGCAAATTACCTCGTCGTTTACCCTCTCGCTGCACACACCCTCCCATTGTCTTAAGCACTACATCCTGTTCAAGCATTACTTCGTTCCAATTACAATCATCGTTGCGAATCATTAGTGTTCCTGCTCGATACAAAATGACCGACACCAACCAGGGCGGAGATTCTTCCAAGAAGACGTACCACAAGAAAGCCACTGGAAATGCTTTGACAACAGTCAAGAACCATTCGAAAGAGGACGATCTTAAGCTGTACGGTAGCGCGTTCTGGTAAGTAAAGTTCTCAAGATGCGCACCCACCAACGCGCTTCGGCTTCACGTTCACATTTCTAACATCAATCAGCCCCTTCGTGCAGCGCGTATGGATATCCCTAGAGCACAAGCAAATACCCTACCAATACATCGAAGTGGATCCCTACAAGAAGCCCCAAAGCCTTCTCGACGTCAACCCACGCGGTCTGGTACCCGCTATCCGACACGGCCCAACATGGTCAACCCACGAGTCAACCGTCATCATGGAATACCTTGAAGACCTTCAAACCGGATCCCACCTCCTGCCCCCAGATGCACAAACGCGCGCTACCTCGCGCCTCTGGTCTGACCACGTCAACCGCAATATCATCCCATGGTTCTACAAGCTCCTCCAATCCCAAGACTCCAACGACCAAGTTTCCCACGCAAAGGAACTGCGCGATCAGATTGGCAAGCTAGTCGATGCCGCAGATCCCGACGGCCCTTTCTTCCTTGGTCCCCAGATCTCTTTCGTAGATGTACAGATCGCGCCGTGGGTGCTACGGTTGCGTAGGGTGTTGGGACCGTATAGGGGCTGGCCCGAGGCTGAAGAGGGAAGCAGGTGGAAGCGATGGATCGATGCGATTGAGGCGGATAGGAGTGTCAAGATGACTACTAGTACTGATGAGCTTTATTTGGATAGCTATGAACGGTATGCGGAGAATAGGCCGGGGACTAGTCAGCTTGCAGACGCTGTTAACAGTGGGAGGGGTCTGCCTTGAGCGCGGATGGGTCAATATCAATACTATAGCATCAGTGAGACAATTTTTTTCATGTTATCAGGTATGATGTGGTAGATGATGTGATTTGAGATCGGTGGACTGGGTGGACTTTTCGGAATAACGTTTAGTTACCAATACATACTGATCGTGATTGTCTGGTTGCAATAATTCGAAATCTATTTGATTGAGTAAAAGAGAGACTGGTTGGATCAAGCAAAACCTAAAACATATAATGAAGCATTGTTTTGTGATTATTAGTGCAAATGAGTATCTTGTACACTGACGAATTACAAGTCTTGTATAGCATGATAGCCAGGGCTAAGGAATATTTACGCGGGATTGAAGGCTATGTAAGATGGCATTGGGTAGTCGAAAGCAGGAAGAGACTACCTAGATGTCAAACAACGGTAAGGATAGTATCCCCGAAGCGCTTCAGTGCTTTCTCTGCATCCTTCTTACATAGTTCCATTACTCCCATCCCAACTCTCACGAACATGAGCTTATGCTCTAATGCCTGTGCTGGTTCTCGATGAACCTCTTCAAGTGCCTCAAATGGCTTAAGTAGCAAACCTTGAAGCTCTAGTCTACCGTTTGCAGATCGGTAGTTCCGCCATGGGTACGCTGTACGAATGACCAAGAAGAAAAGAGGTATGTTGGAGCCGTCCTCTAGAAGTGAAGATGAAAGGTTGACAGTGTCATCGAGCAGACAAGAACAGATATCCTCTTCAGTCCACTGATCTTCCCGGTCCCAGCCAGGACCACAACTGATGTGAAGACTTTCAGTGGTAGGCAATGTAGGGAAGGCTTGTCCAAATATGCAGTGTGGCATATCTTTCCTTTCCTTATATTTCGTCCACATGCCATCAAGTGAAAGTAATGGTGCTCGCAGGGTAATGTGGCCCCCAAATACCATGCCTCTAGGATCGTCTGTACTGGGGTAGACGCGAACGTTCAACACCCTAGCTACTTCCTCTATATCGCATAGAGCCTGTGGTTTTGCTGCGGGATCATGCACCATGCCTTCAATAGATGCCCAAGACCAAGACGGTGGGTTTGATTCAGAGCCTTCAGGCGATTCTGAACGGCTCCCGTGTTCGGTCCACCAAAGTAGGCATATTGGCATGTGAGATTCCCAAAGCCCCGCTAGATAGTTATCTCGGGTTCTCTCGAAGAATCGCGTCAAGCTGGAAAGTGCGGGTAGTCGGTCCCTGCAAAAGCTGATCTGACGCCGTGTATAGTGCTCAACAACGCTACCCCAGATAGCATTTGGAGTACGATGACTGGCACCGATAATTGGTGGTAGCTTGAATCGAGGAAGCCAGCGAGTCGTACATTCGCACATGGTCGCTTCACGGCAAACGAAGACAATCTCATCTTTCGTAAAATGAACAACCCGCCTAGAGAGGAGTTCTTCCTGGAAACACCATGCACGCTTTCGCAATGTCAGCTCCGTCTCTTCTGGGAAAGGAACCGAGTCTCGTTCTCGCATCTCATGGCGCTTTATATTGCGAAAACAGAGAGAATAGGCTTTGCTATTGTGTTCTAGGTTGATTCTTGAGAGCTTGTGACGATTCAAAAGGCCCTCCTGACCATTTTCTGCGGCAGATGCCGCAATTGTAAGGTATGCATTATAAAATATGTCCGCCATCTGAGCAGACTGTTGAGCCCAGTCGGCTACGGAGTCCTGTACAATACCTTAAAGGCAGGGACAATCAGCATTGGTAAAGATGTAGTCTGAGGCTGCTCCAACTCACACAACGAGTCAATCCATATATAATAGACGCCAAGCTTTCGTGTCAACATAATGGCTTCTTGGAATGTCTTAGGCAGATCCGTCCACTCAATACCGTCTTTTGTATATTCAAGTAGCGTGATCGTTGTAGTCTTAATCATTGGAGTAGAGCCCCAACAGTAAGTTAGGGCTACATATTGGATAGTCTGCCCATTCGGTACTGCGGTCCTATGTGGTGAATGGTACGGTCTTGTTTGGAGCACTGTTTTCTGGTTGCCAATGTATAACAAACGCTTAGGAACGAACGTCGCCGTATTTGGGCTTAGCGAGTTGAAGTACAGTTCGTGAGTTGCACATGATTTGTGCTCGAGATTACAGCTATAGAGGACGCTTGTGATAAACCGCGCACAGTAGTTGATCTTTGGGTTGTCACCAAGTGACTCAGAAAAGGCCAGGAATGGCCATGGGCTTTCATGTCCTGTATTGCATTAACTCAATAATCATACTACTGGTTCTTTTGGTGGTAGACAAGTTCCTACCAGATGTAAGATAGAAGTGTGTGTAAGTGTAAGCTAATTCATCGTCAACAATGTTCGAATAGTGCCAGTGCAGCAAGCAAGCTGGGACATACGTAGATTCCGCCCTGTTCCAACTTGGGGTATACTCAGTCTTGGAGCATTTTCTAACACCGCCCTTCTCTGTGGTGTAATATGTACTCTCCAGCCTTCTCGAACACCGTCCTCGTCTATAGCACTGGCGGCCGTCTTAATAACTTTTCGAAGCAGGTCGCACAGCTCGCATCCCTTTTCTGCAGATTTTATCAGGGATGTCCAGTACATCTCCATGTATTCTGGATTTGACAACCGCAGCCTTTCGCAAAACCCACACTCTACACCATTCGTTCCATGATCCAGCTCTTCTGTCGATGACTTAGTTAGATGTGGTGAAGCTGGACGTGGTGAAGCTGGACGTTCGGAGTGAGGGACACTCGACATTCTGCTACTTTTCAGACTATTGACTGACACTTGGAGAGATGCTTTGCAAAAGTTGAGACAGGATTGAACGTATAGTACCCAAGAAAGACTATGACGATCTGAGCGCGCAATCAAGAGACAAGGAGAGCTGACATTGCGAAGGCAGGTTAAGTCACAGTCTGATGACGTCAGGCCCGGTAGTGGCTAGCAGACTCCAGAGCTCTGTGTCCGTTAGCCGTAGGATGTCAGCGAGCCCGGCGCAAATGCGTACGCCATTTCTTGCTTCCTGAAACAGTACACTATGGATAGCTCATTAGAAGACCTGGACGATAGGTTGGAAAGGAAGGGGCTAGTTCTTCACAGTGCCAGCGAAGCCTTTGAATTGCTAGCGGTAATTTAGCACAACGAGGATATAGTTTCCACGTTTGGCAACAGCTTGGATGAGATGAGTGAGTGAAACACTGAAGGAAAGCGCACGCGATCCCTGCCAGGACAGCCCGCTAGCGCGTCTTGCGAGGGGCAATCGCGGGGCACCATCGACATAGTAGCAGTCTCAACACCAAACACGCTCTATACACTCAACCGTCCACACATCCACCACAATGTTCAAGAAAGAGTGGGTCTCTTACGCGTCGTGTTATACAGATGTAGCTGACAAGAAGACAGCATAACCTCGGGCGCAAAGTCCAAGGTGAAATCCAGCGCCCAGCGCGCCATCCGCTCAAAAGTCCTCGAGGAATACCCAAGGTTAGAACCATATATCGAAGACATACTGCCGAAGAAGGAGCAATTGGACCTGGTCAAGCTGTAAGTCGCCAATCGAACCTGCAGCCAAGGTGCACGAAGTTCACGAAGCCAAGTACTAACACTTATATTCACAGACCTGACCGCGTATCGCTCTACACCCTCAACTCCACTCCCCTCTTCTTCCAACACATGGACGACGCGCTCCTACCCCACCTCACACTCGTACACAAATACCCCTTCGCCTTCAACCGCCTACGTATAGACCGCGGCGCAATCCGCTTCGTGCTCTCTGGCGCTACACTCATGGCCCCTGGTCTCACATCACCGGGCGGGCGCCTACCAGGTCCCGAGCTAAGCGACGAGGACAAGGAAAAGTACGGCGCCGAAGACCTTAAGGAGGGCCAGGTTGTGGTTATCGAGGCCGAGGGCAAGGAGACGGCGTGTATGGTCGGTGTGCTGAAGATGAGTACGGACGAGATGAAGAAGGTCAAGAAGGGGCAGGCGTGTGAGGCGGGTCATTATCTGGGAGATGGGCTTTGGGGTTTGAAGCTGGATTGATCGGGTGAACAAGTAGGGCTTTTGAAGTCACGAGTTTGAAACCAGGTGTGGAGAGCCAAAGTTGCGGATGGCGGTAGAGTCATACGAGTGAATGGGTGATTAGGATGAAAAGGCTCTGGTCCGGAAGTCACTCAGGCTCTGATGGCAGATATGCCACGACGTGCATGATAGTCATTGGTTCCAAGACGGGATCTTCATGAACACGAAATGGCTTTGTACATGGTATCATAATTTTAATCGTGAAGACTGCTTTTTGACGGACCGTCACTTACGCTAGCGATCTAGTCGTTACAGTCGATTCGTATCATCTTATTGACCAGCTCCACGGCCAGCTCCAGCGCCTCCGCCTCCCATGAAGTTACGGGCCCTGTGTTTCGTTAGCGACTTGAGGTTTTTACATGGCTTTTTCACTTACATTTCGGCCAGGTTGGGGTCGTTCATGAGATCCTGCATGTTGGGCATACCGCCACCGCCGCCTCCTCCGCCTCGACCTCCTCCACCGAACTGTTGAGCCATCTCCGCTATCCTGGGGTTGTTCATAAGGTTGCTCATCATATCTGGGTTGCTCATGAGGTTCTGTGCCATTTGCCTCATCATGGGATTCTGCATCAGACCAGCGAGATCAGGCATTCCTCCGCCACCACCGCCGCCGCCTCCACCGAGCATGCCAGCGAGTGCTGAGAGATCAGGCATTCCACCACCCATACCGCCAGGGGCGCCTCGAGAAGCTTCAGGCGCGCCGACATCTCCGCCCTCCTCTTCGACCTTCTTCTTGGCTGTCTCGTAGCCCTTGCGCATGACTTCTGAGCCGCCACCCTCTGCGTCCATGCCAGACTTGTATGCCTCCATGGCGCCCTTTGCATCGCCAAGAACGTATTTTGCAAGACCTAGACGCGACCATGCCTTGGAGTAGTTGGGATCAGCAGCAACTGCCATCTCAGCATCCTCCTTTGCTAGCTCGTGCTTGCCCTGACCCGAGTATGCGGCGGCGCGGTTCGATAGGTAGATGGGGTTGAGCGGAACGACCTCGAGGGCAGCAGTGTAGTGCTTGACGGCAGCATCGTAGTCCTTCTTCTTCATCGCCTCGTTGCCCAGACCTTTGAGTCTCTCTGCTTCATCCTTATTGGGCCCACCTGGTCCTGAACCGGCGGCAGGTGTCTGCGGCGTTGCTGGTCGGGCCTCTTTGGCCGACGATGCTCCCTCGGTTGTGGCAGTCGTCTTTCCCTTGAGCTTCTCATAGACGTTGTAGATTGCGAGCAAGTTCTGGTCGCCAATGGCGTCCTTCTTTGCGGCCTCGTCGGCGGGATCTACCTTGAAGGCTTCGGCAATGCAGTTGGCGGCGACTTCGAGCTGCTCAGCGTCGTCGGGTGCTACTGACCCGTCGATCTGCGACGTCTGGAGGAAGTCAAGGATCGCGAGCGCGAGGCGCTTCTTCGATTGGAAAGCCTATGGTTGTGTGAGCGACTGTTTACTTAGACAAGTGTGGGGCAACTTACCATGACGGCGTGATGTGGATTGTCGGACGGTGTCGCAGGCTCGTTGTGAGGCGTACTGTAGTGAGTTTCCTGGTAATAAGCTTATGAACAGGTGTTCTGGTAGCTATGGGATTATGGTTGGTTGCGAGTTCTGAGATGCATGCAGCGATACTCGAAGCTTCCAAGGTTCCTTCGGGCAATTGGCGGGGCAGTCAGCCGCCGGATCAGTGCCAAGCTGCTACCACCAACTTTTGGTATGCACTGTTGCAACCCGCTCAAGCAAGGAAGAAAGATTGCATGTTGATATCTGACTTGTTGACATCTTATACAAGCTGCCGAATGTTGTCATGTACACGTCTACTCTTACACCCCACTACTATATAACACATGCTAGAAGGTGAGATGGGTATCTACAGGTCTTTAATCGTCGCTCAATCCTTCCCAAGCACCCTTGGGCTTCTCCTTCGGCCACAGCGAGCTGAACCATGATCCTTCCGATGGGAGAGACACGCTATTTGCGCGCGCTTCAACCTCTGCATCTAGTGCAAACTTTCGCATGCGCTCAGCAATTCTCGGGTCCAGCACCATTTCGTCTAGCCATACCCTCTCCTTGGTCTCACCTTCTTCACGCTTTCGTGCAGTCTTGGACCAATCTGGCTCTTCATGAGACAGTAATCGTTGTTGCTCCCATTGTGCGTTACTGTGTCCATCTTCCTCGTTTGTGACAGGTGCTTCGCCTGCAGTCTCAAATGGTCGGTATGCACCAAGGACAGCAGCGGCAGTTTCCCTGCCAATAACATCCGCCGCTTGTCGCCTGTTCAAGAAACGGTACATACGGATGGGAAAGTTGAAGAATCCAAGGAGGTGGGGGAGAGGTACTACGGCGGCGGGGCCGAGTGCTTGTGGGCAGTTTTGGGAGAGCACGGCGTTTTGGTATTCGGCTGTTGAGATGTATGGTGGCGGTTGCTTCTTCTTCTTGGGTTTCGTCTCCTCCTCTTTAGGCTTCTCAGCATCTTCTGGTTTGGGAGCCTCAGTAGCGGTGGGTGACGCATCATCGGCCGTAGCAGATGTGGTGTCGTCAGTCGACGTTTCGGTGGACACAGGTGTGGGTTCGACCGCAGCGACCGGTACCTCGACAGACGATTCTGCTGATGGTGGAGCATCTAGAGGTCCTAGCCAACCCTCATGCAGTCCTCGAACATATTCTTTCCATGTGTGTCTTCCAATAACGATGTCTCCTCCCGGTCCATTCCACCCATTGACGCCTGCTCGTTGTCTTAAGCCTTCCAACTCCTCCTCGAGTCCTGGTTCTAGCGGCTCAGCGGTCGCCTCGCCCCTCTTCTTTCTCAGCTTCCGTATTCGCTCTGCTAACCCAGCTCTTACATCTCCTTCCCTTCGGCCCTCTACCGCGTCCCAGTCCAGCGCCGCTGCAACGAGAATGGGCTTGACGTATTCATGGAAGTGATCGCGTGCGGGTACTATTCCATCTGCTGGTGGTGCAGACAGGAATATCGTGAGTTTCCGAGGTAACTGGTGTACGTCCAACGGCTCGTGTGCAATGTGCTCGACAACTGTTGCCCATTTTTGTTGTATGCGCTTTTTCTGGCGACGGTCGTACATGACTGCCGCAGTCCATGATCCGGTAATCGAGAGAAATATCATCCAATTGCGCGAGGGGAGCCTCAAGCGGAGGTTTGGCAGGCCTGCATTTGTTAGTCGGTGTACTCCGCACGAGATACAAGAAACGCGCACCCATCATCCTCCAGACGGGATTCGGAGGCTTCTCAGGTTTCTTGGGTCCGGCAGAAGCCTCGCCGGTAGGCGGTGCTTTTGCATCCGGTTCGGCCATGTTGTTGTTGGCTGCGATGGTGGTAGCAATGTTGGTCGCGCGCCCAAAAATTTCCTGACGCCTGTCGGCGAGCGCGGGATTGAGTCGGAGCAGGCTAGCCACCAGTCCCAACGACTTGACTTAGCGAGCCGCCTTCCCCACCATAGCCCCTCACCCCTCCCTGCAATTCTTCAGGTTTGGGTTGGAAGATTCCAATGCGTGGAACACAGGACGCGCTAATGGATACTTATCAATAACTACCACGTATATTTTGTAAAGATTTTTGAATTTCTTCATCAAAGCGAATCACTTCGGGTAAGCTCAATTCACTCACACCCTCGTTACACACCAGCTAACAGCCCTATCGTGGTATGGTCTAGTGGTATGACGTCGCGTTGTGGCTGGCGGACACCTAGTGTCCCGATCCAGATCCGCGCCAGCCTGGGTTCGAGTACGTTTGATCCCTCACAAATGGTGGTCCTGAGACATCTCTAACATGTCTACAGTTCCCAGTACCGCCAAATTTGCGACACATCTTTTTTTGCTCTAGTATTTGGCTTAAGTCTTCCCACAATTACTGGGAACATTGTTTTTGCTCCCCTTCACTAGTCAGCTTAGAACCTGGGGTGCTTCAAGCGCATTGTTCTCACCGCATCTACTGCCTGTCTTGCATGCGTGTGCCTCTGTATAGTGAGTCACCTCGCGTGGCAGACAAAACCTCGCTTCCCGACGACCGCCCTTCTCTCGTCACCACCTACACAGCTCTATTGTCAACTTTATGAAAACTGTAATCTATCATACCTTCCAAAGCTCCCAAACATGCTTCAGCAATTCAAGCAAGAGCAGATACATACCAAAAATGATCTCCGGCGGTAAGCATCTCAACAATGTGTATTCTTCCCAAACTCATCACAAGTATAGAAACATTCTCTACCGTGAGTCACATCTTGCGAGTATCAAATCAGGTGGGGACAACTTGCTTGCCGCGATTCATAGCTACGCACACGATGCAAACATGGAGATTGTCACACGAGTTTTACAATTACCCCAGGAACTACGTGACGCCATATACATGCATCTATGGGAACTCAACGACAAGCACGATCCGAGCCGCAGTCTGCTCTACTGGTGGGACTCCTTCGACGAGCCTTGGTTCTCCAGAGACGATGATCCTAACAAATCACGATGGCTAAAGACACCGTTGATGACACTCCGACCCCCGCACTTCATCGACAAATGCTTTGTAGGACCTGTCTTCGCTAAAGAGGCCCTCAAACAACTTAAAGATTCCGTGGGTAAAGATCTCCGGTCAATCGGGGACAGGAACCCTGTCGCCGAATGCGGATTACTCGACGCATCCATGGAGGACTTTGTAGAGAAGGACGTTTTTGGAGTTGGGATAACAGTGGAAGAGTTGGTACGCAACTTGGACTTGCGGGTAAACTTCCAGTGCGATGCATTGACCGACGACGAATTTGCCGAGATCCAGAAGAGCAAGGCACATGATCGAGGACCACTTAGGACGGGTGCAACGACATACACACGGGACGACTATCTCCAAGACCTCGGTGACGGCGTCGCGGCTCTGCTAAGCATTTCACACACCGAACGTGTTATCACTCACAACGAGCATGGTCGACACCTGAATACTAGAGCCAGAATCATCACCTTGGCAATCAGGCAAGAAGACGACTTCATATGGAGGGATCATTCGGCCATATTGAAACTTGTTGCCCGAGCTTATCACGGCCTAAGGGCAAAGGGCTTCGCAGTCAAGATACAGTACTACAGTGAAGAGCTTGAATTGAAAGTGTTGTTTGAAGATGACGTCTGGGAGTGGACAAGCGATGACTGGGACAGGAATTTGATTGAGAAGAACACGTTTGGGATAGGTAGCGGCACCTCACCCCAAAGATACGTAGAAGCATACGTTTGGACACAACTTCAGGAACATTTGTTCCAACGCCTAGATAACGACTGCCTCATCGGGAGTTGAAGATCTGTACAGGAGTAATTCAAGTACGTGTAAGAACGTCTAAAGGGCCGCCTTGGACAATTTGAAAGTGATACATCGGGTCCAAGCATAAGATAATCTTGAGGAGAAAATGTTTGTGCAGGTCCTAAATATGGCAGCTCTCTCTGATTGAACGATGGATCAGCCGGGTGTGGACTCTGCGATTTTGGATCTGGCGCACGCCAGGTGGTGTTGAATCCGCATCCTCAGCTACTCTGTATGGGCAGCAAATATGAATCTTTTCTCTGCTCTTGACTATCGCCTGACTTGTCGACACTACCACTGCGACCACCACCACTGCTACCAATGCCACCATCGGCCTCGGTGCTCGCACTGTCCCTACTACTTTCCGTCGTTGAAGCAAACTGTACAAGCATGTTACCATGCCTAACAGTATCGACAATCTCTTTTGGATCCATACCAGCTCTGATTCTTGCTAAAAGTTCTTCCGCCTCCTCTTCCGGCAGATCTCTGAGCAATCCGAACAGTACTTCCAGATACCTATGTCTCCGTTTGGTCTGCGTGTTCTCCGTTTCCGCGTACTGGCAGGGGCTGTCACGGGCCACGCATTCACTGCAGCTGGGTCGTTCGCCGTTGCACTAGATGTTTTGGAACGATCAGAAGGGTTACTTTTGCCGATGCTTAAAAACCAAAGTCTTTTACATGTACTAGGTCATGGTACCTTGCTTTTACGAACTCTGCACGCTGCACAAGCTAGAGGCACGCGAGCTCGCTTCGATTGTGTGGGTGGAGCCTCGTTCCTCGGTGAAGCTGCGGGGAGAAGAGGGCGGAGAGGGCGTGTCGTAGCACTGTCACTTGGACTAGCTTGATTCAACTGTTGCTGTTACATTCCGCACGAAACAGTACTTGGGCTAAGTTCGCTTGTTCTTTTGAAGGGGACTCGGAAGCAGACTACCATTCCCAGACGCTTTGGTTTAAATAGAGGCTTGAAACGAATCTCTACGCGGCCATGGATAAAACGGAGGGTGGCATGCAAACTTGGCAAGAGGGTTGAGCAACCAAGAAAGAAAGAGTCCGGAAGAGCGAGAAGTGCATAGAACTGCAGGCAACCACAAAATGAGAAACAAGAAAGAAGCTGCACTCATCTCCAAGATTACCCAAATTCCCGCCTTCTAGATCAGACGTGTCCCTCGTTTCGAGTTTCCTAATTTCGCAGTGAGTTGTGATTCTCATGAATATGTAAAAGCTCGCTGCTTACGGAACCTTCTCCAGGACCAATCGCGTTACTTGTAGCATGGTATTGCCACAGGGTCTGGACCCTGCATATGTATGACTGCCGATGAACTAAGCCCTAAAGGTACTATGGGGTTTTTGTACTCGGATGCCATTGTTTGCGACCGAGGCTATTTGTCTCGGTTTGCCATGTAAAAATGCGGTCCAAGCAAAACGCAGCCGACCATTATCTCCGACGCTACCGTACCCGCTTTTACTTGTGACTGGTGTGTCACAACGGGTTCTTGCAGTGCTAAGTGTTGGGAGTCTTGTGTATCGCCGATTGCACGTAGTGCCTGCGACTTGTGGTACTGTAGAGGGTGTCGGCGCGGGGGCTGACTGGTAAGCGCCGATTATACGTTCTGGCTGCGGCATCCCACTGCCTAGTCGGCATGATACCCAGTAAATCGTACTGTTTCCTCAGCGATGATGGTCTAGCCCTCTCTTAGCCTCTCTACGAATCCTATCAGAGAACACCTGGATTAGTATAGACTTCATTGATCTGCGGGATTCAAGGCAACGTCCCGCGAAAAGAGTACGTGATGGCTGTGTAAGCAGTGACACGAGAAACGACAACAACGTGTGCACAACAGATGAATAAAATTTCATTTCAACGAGGAAAAGCGAGACATCAGGAACACAAGCCAATATTACCAACATAATAATTTCTTCATGCACGAAGGACACCCCTTTCAACATCATCTACGTACATACCTGCCTGCAAGAGATTCCCGCTCCGAACCAATATTACCCTAGAACCCGGGCCGTCGCAAACAGGGACTTCAATTGCGTCAAAGTAAACAGCAGTACCATCCTAACTGTATCTCCTCACGGCTCTAAGCTCCGCGGAGCAGCCCAGGTGTCGATCTTCGCCAAGAGACTTATACAAGACGGAGATTGCAGATACCACTACGCGGGCTGTCACGACTGTGTTGGTACAGTGCGCGGCGCCAATCAAAAGCGGGGGTTGCTTCGGGACGAGTCCCTATTCGAGTGCGGGAGCTTGTGCCGCTCATCCTCGCAGACCCTGGTGGAGTTTTGCTTATAGTTGTGGGAACTGTGGCGTGTGTATGGATAGACAGTGGAGCTGCCACTGGTATTTTTCAGCCCGGATGATATCCGAAGATGGCGACGCCGTGATTCGCAATGGAATTCGTTGTGCAGCTGTTGTGGTTGTGGTGGTCTAGAGTGTCGTTCTAGCCTTGGGGTCTCTTGGAAGGCCTCAGTGCGAGCGGACGAGTCAGTACCAAACACAAATCATCTCGATTCGTCCGTACACGCAATTTCTGTTGCGCTTTCGATTCTATGGCATCATAGCATGATAAGATTCGTGTCGCAATGGATACCTGCAAAGAAGCTTGTCTTCCAGAAGTTGTATCAGATACCTTAGACAGAGATATAGATCATCCTATATCTTATTAGCCTATTCAGAAACATGCACAGCGAGTGCCTTTGGACGTACGTCTAACAGTGCACAAGCCTTTCGATCCTCTGGCGGCGTTACTTCTATATGCTACTGCCCGCGCTCCTGCACACTGCCTAATTTTCAGTTGCTACATAGCCATCACACATTCTCCTCCAAGAGCAAAAGCACAATTCAGTAGAGGATGGAAGTAAACGATCTGGAAACTCGGGCATTATTATACTAAAATGATTTCGTCGCGAGATATGACATGGCCTCGTGCAATGTTATCCGTCGTCGCGCTTGACCTGAATCGTCGACTACCTTAATACTCAAAATCGTCATCAGCACTTGGCCCCTTGTTCTTACTGACACTCTCCTGTCTTTGATACATCTCAGCAATCATGCGACTAGAGCTGGCCTGGTCTGGCTTCTTGTCATCTCTCTCCTTGATGAACCTGGGGAACCTCAAACTGACACCCTTGCCACCACCAGAGACCTCATCCGCAGCAGCTCTGTACCGCGGTGACAAGGTCAGATCGGCCGTCTTTACTTCCCAGACATAGCGCGGCTCGAACCAAACGTCGGGCTGATCTTTGTTGCCGGTGGAGTGTGTGTAGAAGGGTTTGGGGCGGTCGATAACGATTTCGGATAATGTCTTGTGCAAGGTCTCGAGAATGGCCTCCGAGAAGCCGGTACCAATGTTACATACTGTCTCATACTTCTCGGTCGAGGGGTTGTAGCAGGCGAGAAGGAAGGCGCCATACCAACTTGTACGCTTGCCCTTGCCATAGTACGCTCCTAGGACGACGAGATCCAGAGAGTCGCCGACACCAGCAAGATAGTCTTTCTTGACCTTAAGCCAATTCTGTGAGCGCTTGGATGGCTCATAGAAGGACTCTGGTCCGTCTAACATCTTTACCATGAGTCCTTCGCAGCCTTCCTTTACAGAGTCTTCAAGGAGGGTTTGTATCTCTTCCAACTCGTTGGTGTTACCATACTTGGCGAACGCAAATTCTCCTTCGACAGGTACAAACGCTTCATTGAGATGTTCACGACGCTCACGGAAAGACTTGGTCACAAGGGCCTATGAATGTTAGCACTGACACGATAATGAAAGAAACCAGACCAACTTACCTCGCCGTTCAGGTAGAGGATATCGAAAGCGAAGACGCAGACTTTTACCTTGACGTCTTCGACCTTGACATCTTTCCTCTTTCGCGTCATGAGTTGCTGGAACGGCAACACTTTCTTTTCCACCATATCCCAAGCCACCGTCTCGCAATCAAGAACGAAGCTCTTTGTACCTTCTTTGACCCAAGTCGGTAGTTTGGCGAGAATGTCAGGGTACTTCTTCGATAGATCCTCAGAATTCCGAGAGAAGATGTTCGACACGCCTCGGTCACTTTTGCCAGCGCTTGGAGCTGTGGTTGCCAACTCCATCTTTTCATCGTTTTGCTTTGCGTCATGCGCAACAAAATGTATCTGCGCCCGCTCACCATCGTACTTGTATTCGCAGGTGAAGTCTTTACCTTCGAAGCGATCAAGCACTTCTGTAATTGACTTTGTCGGTTTTGCCAACATAGGCTTAAGTGGTACACCAGGCTGTAGGCGGCAGTTCTCTCGCAGGTTCATGATACCATGTTCGAGCATTGCGGGGATAATGACTTCGTAACTGGGAAGCTCACTATAGACTGTTTTCAGCATGGCCTCAGCCTTTGCCAAGTCTGCTGTTGATGGCGTCTTGCCCTCCTGGGACATGTCATGGAATATCATAGCTTGCGCAACAGCGACTACGACAGTCTTCTCAGCAAGACCTAATCGAAGTTTTCCTTCTAGTGTTCGGACGATGAACTTGGCTTCGCTAGGCCCACCCTTGTCCTTCTCGATATCGATATGCTTTCCAGCGTTGTGCGCATCGGCTGCTGACAGGAGCTTCTTGATGCCGTCGACCTTGCGCCCTTGAGCTCCCTGTCCCTCAACAGTAGCAATACCCATTAGTCCCTTGCGTACGCCTTCTATGGTTAAAGACTTGGGCTTGAACATGGTGGGTTGTTTCGAGCGACTCTTCGCCGCAACGAGCCCTAGATCACCGATCTCGTTCTGGTCACTCTTGATCTGTTGCAAGTTTCGTCCGGTACTCTCAGAAATAGCCTTCATGATAAGAGACTCGCCGATACCTAGCTCGATGCCTGCGTAGTCGGCTGCGAGTTTGTTGACCATTAGCATAACAGTCGGTAGCATATCAGATGGAGTTAATCGTAGCACTTGACGGAGGAAAAGTGAGCAGTGGGCGAGAATCTCGAGACGTTTTGTCGTCATCTCGATTTTCGAAAACGTTGTGCAGAGTGCGGCGTATGGCACTGGCTCACCGGGTTTCCAGTCAGGATATGGGTCTTTGGTGTTTGACGAAAGAGTAGTCTGGACCTTCTTCCTCGCCTTGGTCTTGACCTCTTCTGGTTCCTCCTCTGAGCTCACCATCTCATCTTCCTCTTCCTTGTTTGAAACAGCATCATCCTCCACAGGCACAGGTGACGATTCGGCCCCCTTCTTGCTCTTTGCAACCTTGGTTGGCGCTGAGACTTCCTCATCGTCATTTTCTGGTGTCGCAGCTTTCGGTTCAGCAGCCCTTTTCTTCGACTTTTCTGGTGCTTTGCCAGCCTTTGGCTTCGCAGGAGCTTCCTTTGGGCTGTTCTTTCCTTCGGTGGTTTTCCGTCGTTGACGTTTCGTCGGAGGCTCTTCTTCGGACTCTTCCTCTTCTTCCTCTTTGATCTGCCTCTTCTTTCCCGTGTCAGATGCTGCACTGTCGACTTCCATCACATCGTCGTCCACCTCTAGCTCTTTCTTAATCGGTGCCCTGACTTCTGCATCCGAATCGACGTCGTCATTCTGACCCTCTTTCACTTCCTCTGGCGACGAAGGAGGCTCCTCTTTGGTCTCTACTTCGTTCTTTACAGGCTTCGGTCTTGTGGAAAAGGACAGTTTCGATTGCTGCTTTGTTGCGTCGCCGTTGGGTTTTCCGAAGAACTTTCTGTAGACACACCGTCAGTATCGCAGTATAACTCAATGGATACAGTCTGATGTTGCCGCCGCACCCTAAAGTAGTTTGGGAAGACTTGACATACCCGAGAGTAGCCTGCTTGGGAGCCATGGCTACGAAAGTGTGGACGTTGTGTGCGCCACTAGGCTGTTGAAGGTAATTGCAGCGCAGGAAGATGGATGAAGATTGCAACGGTTGAATTGAAGGCAGTAGAGTCAATTTGTAACGCGGTGTGAAAGAGCAACAGGCAGCATTGAAGCGGAAGGGCATGCTCTGAGGATGGATTGAGACGGTGGTCTAGGCGGCAGGCGCGTCGCGCCTGCCTGCCGAAACGCGAAAGTTGAACGGACCCCCGGCCCCTGCTGACATCATTAAGCCGACATGGATTAGGCGGCATGTTGAGCATCATCACTTTTGACACATACAGTCTCACAACCCTACAAATCATCTTGTCTACTACTATCGATTGTCTTCAAGCTGGCGACCTACTTCTGGAAACGCTTGGAGCCGTCTACTTCCACCACCCCCTCCCAGCCGCCATCGCCGCTCAAGATGTCGAAACCCTCTGCGCAACCTCGCCTCACGCCACAATTCTGCTTCAACCAAACCGCACTGCGAGGTCAGCACCCCAACTGATTTGCTAGCCAGCTCACTAACTAATACCCAAGTCGGCTGAGACAGACTTTCTTCGTATATCACGCGGCGCGATCGATGATTCCATCACACAGAACCTTAATGCTCTTCTTACACCAGCGCAACGAGGCTTCGATCCGACATCCACAAGTATACGACAGCTGCCGTCGCTCGGCCACGGTCGGTCGTTAGAACCAGAACAATGCGAAGGTTTCAAAGAGAAAGTGCTGTTCCCAAGCTGGGCAGTACGATCGGATGTACTAGACTATTGCGCGGGCGTTGCGACATCACCGGATCCCGACAACCCGGATAGTGTATTGCGGCAGATTGAGGACTCCAAGGCACGAGAACGGACTGTGGATGAGCGATTAGATCCATACTCGGGACGTTATTTCCCACAGGAAACAAGAACAGAGAGTCTAGCCATGCTCATGCGCAATGAGCGGGCGGTTGAGAAGATCATACGGATGAGGACGTGGAGCATGCTGGGCGAACGGTGCAGTATGACCAACGAGACAGCCGAGGTGGCGTTCGACAAGTGGAGGGAGATGCAACGACGATGAAGTGTTCTAAGTCGCTAGCCTCTGTATATATTCGACGTATAGACAGCATTGTAGTATGTCATACAATCTCCTCTCTTTGCATATGTCAAAGTATGTAGCGATGGCGCATGCGTGTACGATGAATTACGCTCCCAGGTTTCTGAGGGCGTCAAGACTGCAACTTGAACAACATGGTCGCATACAACAGGAAGCGCTCAGTCAAGACCGACGTATTCCCACGACTAGCACAGCAGCTTTGTATATCGGCGACGGGCGATCACAGGGTTCGCATTGTAGAGTGCTGCCCCACAAGAACTCCAAAGAGTCTCTGCGCAAGACGTCCGAACAGCGCCTCGACGACAACGAAGAACAGTGCAGCACGCGAGCATTCAGACGGCTGTCAACGCGTCTCACTCAGAACACAATGTATCTCAACATAAAGGAATGTCCCACACCACCCCACAACTCCAATCCATCTTTTCACGGATAATTGCAATTGGTAGGAAAGGCAGGCGGTATCGATCTACGGGGCCGGGAACGGAGAACTATCCACAGAAGAAAGAGGGATAACTCTCAGCAAGCCGCTTTCGCGGAGCCACGATTTTTAGGTATGTAGATTACCAACTGATGATGGAGAAAGGGAAGGAGGGACGGAGAGCTGCGTGGTTTTGTGCGCGACGCCAAGCCGCTAGGAGGCCGTTAGTCAGCGGTGCGCACAGAGCTGGAAGAGTCTGCGGTGGGCTGGGAAAAAGTTCGGTAGTGGGGCAGCGTGCGGAAGAGAGGTTGGGAGCATCGTATTATGGCCGTGCAAGACAGAGAATTCAATGGACAGCCGGACGTTACCCTTCATCTGGATAGCATGGGCTCAAGACGAGGGTCCAGTTCCGGTGCACGGGTCATGTTCAATATGAAGGTAGAGGCTCAAAGACATGATTCGGGTTCACACGACAACATACACAGTCAAGCATGCACAGACGAATGCAAAAGTATAGATAGTCAACGGGTTCATGCATGCATTCAAGCTAGCTAGACCCATCGGGTGGTATTCATTCCATCGAAATTCCGTAAGATCGTAATCCGTAGCGAGTCGTCTTTCGACAGCCAGCTACGACATAATCCAGCAGAAGTAACGACCGACCCTCTAGTAGAGGCGCTTGGGGGGGCTCATGGTGGCCTTGATGGTCAAGGAGCCCACGTTCTGCCATCCCTTCTTAAGAAGAGAGACGAGGTAGTTGATGGCCAACATGATGTTACCGATCAACTCGTCCTCAGTCATGCCAACGTTGCCAATAGCGACACCCATGCAGAGAACCTTCTTCAATTGGAACTTGATGGTGGACTTGACTTCGTTCATCTTGTTGGCGAGGTCCTCAGCGTGGGAGACGGGAGTGGGGAACTTTCCAGCCTTGGAGAGACCGGGTCCGAGGAGACGGGGAATCTGCTTGATGAGGGCGTCGGAGGCGATGAAGGCATCGTACTTCTTGGCGAGCTTCTTGATGAGCTTCTTGTTCTTGTTGAGCTTCTTCAAGTCGTCGGTGCTCATGGCGTCGACGCCATGGTGCTTGGCACGGTCAATGTCGTGCTGGTCACCAAGAACGCAAAGGCTCATGCCTGGTATCTGTTAGCCTGCGCCCTTGTACTGGCATGCTGGTATCGACTTACGAGGACGGGGAAGGGTGGGGAGCTTGATGGTTCCAGAGAAACGCTTGTCACGCTGGGGGTCGTAGTTCTTGAGACCGATCTGGAGCTCGACGGTCTCGAGGAAGTTCCTCTTCTTGGTCTCGTTGGAGTACTCAAGGAGCTGTTGAACGTTCGTGCGAACGCCGGCGACAGAGATTTTCGACATGTTGGCTGATGTGTCTCCCAGAGGATATCGTTTCCTTTGGTGGCTCTGTACGGTGGTGGTTGAAGAAAAGAAGTGGGTGGCGGCGGATTTGGTGCATTGTGGACGCGAGGCCGCTAGCGAAGGTTGCGCTAAGCCGTTTTGGCACGGGTGTGACTGTTACGCAGAACGCCGATTGAGGGCAAAGGGCTGAGCATTCGGCAACTTGGACAAGGCCCCGATATTCACGTACGCTGCAGACCTGCAGATACGCTTGCTTGCTTGCTAATATCGTCATACGTGCCCCCCATATCACTACTACGGGAATACGTCTTTATAAAAGCACGCTTGCATTGCCCATCTGCATGAAGAAGATGATATATATAATACAGTACACTTGCTTTTCCTCCTAGGATCCGTGCATTGATGAGTGCACTACGCCATGCAATGCCCGAGAACTCCTCGCCATGACCATGAGTGTTAGAAGAAAGTAACAAGGCAAGTGAAGGAAGTAGCACCTGCAAGATACAGTGTTGCTACGGGTATCCCATGTGAGAAACCCTAACGCCATAACCGCACCATTTTCGTAAGCCAAATCCGATCGAACTGAGGGGTATGTCGTCTACGCGTGCTGCCGCGCCAAATGAAGCAAAGCCGAAGCCAGAAATACACAGAAGGCGAAGAGGGGGTATTCAAGAACGCTGAAGTGACCCGGCCAGATTGTCGATGTTGAGTGTAAGAAGCCGCGCAGCCAGTCCTTTTAATGCATAAGCTGCTGGTTGTTCGCGGCATCGACGACGTTGTCGGAGAGGTTGATCAGGAGTTGGGCAAGACAGCGCTTCGTGGCCGCATCATCTCGTAGAACTGAGGAGAAGGTGGCGTCGCGGAGAGGCTCTGGAAGGCACTGACGCAGCGCTTCACGAGCACGGGCGTTGTCGCTCAAGCTGTTGAAGTTAATCACATGTACAAAAGGCAGAGATAGGAGAAACTCACCGGAGAAAGCAGCGCACAACGTGCTTGAGCAGACGGACGGTTTGCTGCTCCACAAGCTGGTTGACCATGTTGCTGAGTACGGTGCCTACAGCATAGAAGCGCTCGTAAGTCTGACATATGTAAGCAAGACCAATGTCATCTAGCAAGATCTTCTGGACAATAAATATGGCCACTGTCTTGCTGAGCTCTGAGCCGGTCTCCATGATACGCAGACAAAGCGGGATGATCTCCGTTGTCAGGAGGAAGTTGATGACTTCGGAAGAGTCGTTCTTGACAAGAGCACCGATGACACCCAGGGAGGTAAGACGGAGGTATTCGAAGGGTCGCGACTTGGACGTTGTGTTGAGGAATGGGTAGAGGAAGAGCGGAATGTGTGCTATGGGTACATTAGTCGCGTCGCCTCAGTGCACAGTTGGTGTCTGACCTACCGCTCAAGAACAAGCCACGGGTTTCGGTATGAGAAGCGACACATTGAAGAAGCGCAAGAGCGTTACAAACACGGTTTGAAGCAGCGGCGGTCAATTGCGAAGGGTTGAGCAGCGGGTAGACAGAGATGATCTCTTGGAGGAGGGAGGCCATGACACCTAAGGTCGTTAGTATCCAGTCGCATGCTCGATCATACAATTCTCGTACCAAAAGAGTGCCAGAGAATCAGAGCAAGCTCCGGAACCTGTTCTCGCTTCTTACTCAATTCCAAGAGAGCTGCTTCACGCGTGGTAGGCTTCATAAGCTGAGCTATCCACTCCAAAACGCGCCTGTTCTCCTCCGTCATTCCAATATCGGATGCCTGAACGTCGTTGGCGGGCCCGCGGGGAACGGCGTTATTGCCGGGGATAGCGCTGCCATTATTGGCGGCGAGTTGTTGGTGATACTGTCGTTGGGCAGCCGCCTGGACAGCCTGGGCCTGTTGTTGGGCGTGCAACTGTGCGGCTTGCGCTTGATGTTGTCCGTGCTGGCCTACATGATGCTGGGGCTGCTGGTGATGGGCTTGGGTTTGGGCGGGCCAGTCGCCGTACTGCTGCTGCTGCTGCTGCTGATGCGCGAGGAAATGTTGCATTGGCCGCGAGTACCGACAGGTTCGTATTGATTGTGGGTGGGGGTAAGGTGGGAAAGTCTGCGCGACTATATATGGGGAGCGGCGATTGCTTGGAGCGGGCACGTGGATTCAGGGTCAGACAGTGGACAATCAGGCGTGGTGAGTTCGTTTTGGCGGCACTCGAGAGATGAGGTCGCGAAACACCCCACTGGATCCAACGCCTTGGCGGCGCACGCGGGAGCTCGAGCTTTCGACCGAGATCGACGCCGCCTCCGCATCAGGTGAACCTTAGGCAGCCGCCTGTACAGTGAGAGAGCCGTACAAGAGCAGCCTCACCATACTGAAGTTGGAAGGCAACCGCGATATGTTTCCAGAGGCACATGATGCACATCAAGGGTCCAAAAAGGGCACAACTCCGCGAGTGAAGTCAGAAACTAATCAAGATGTATAGTTTGACATCTAAGACCTTCCGTCTCGTCTGCTACCAACCACCCGAACTACTACAGAAGGATGACAAAGGAGATTCGTGGGCGTTCTTACCCGTAAACTGTGCTTCAGCCATACTTCCACACCAACGAAGAATTACAATTCACATAACAAAGCTCGTAGAAGTGAACATGTCCCACTGATGCCAAAAATGATCAAACGCTCCCAAACACCCACTTCAACCTAGACTATCAAAGCCTCAGCTCTGACAGGATAGTCTGAGCCATATTCTTGTACTGCCATGTACCTCCATCCACTTTCTTAAATTGGATGCCATGCAGCGTTAACAGCGGAACCTTGACGATCAAGATCTCGAACACAAGACTCATGCTTGAGCCCATGTCACTCTGCACATGTGTCGACGTTTCGCCCGCAGGCACTGCGCGTCGCGGTCGTCGTTCATCCCGTTCTTCGCTGCCATCAGACTCGTCGGTATTCGTATAGCTCTGATCCGCAGGTGATGGTCGTGATCGCGATTTCGGCGTCTGCGGCGCTCGATTTTGCTCCCGGAACTCGTCACGGTCTCTATCGCCGCCGCCCATGAATCCCCCGAAGCTGATCTTCCTCTTATGGGCCCCGCTCGGTGGGGAAGCTGGCGAATCCATGGGCTTGTTCATATCAATACTGGGTGCATGTCGGCATCTAAAACCCCCTTTGACTTCACTCCACTCGACCCCAAGTTGATCAAGCACCCTAATCAGATCATCCTGGATGACAGGCAGTGGCTTGGTGCTTGTCGTAGAGACGCTGAAAAGACCTTTAAGAAACACAGGCTTAACAGCGTCTGGACTTCGACTAGCTTCTGCCTGTGCTTCTGCCAGCTCTGCATCTGTCTCTTCGGGTACGTTTGCTTCCTTCGCTTGTTCTCGCTTTGCCCTTCGTGCTTGGATACTTTCTCGTCGCGCATGGCCTAGCGACTTCGCCCGCGACGCCTGCATAGGTCGCGGGCTCGATGTAAGGTCATCAGAAGCAGCATCGTTGATCGGACGAACCTTGTGCGCACTCAGCTCGGATCTATCTGACCCACTTGTGGGAGGAGGGTTTCCAGGGTCTTCCGAAGATCGTCCACGGCGACTGAGTCGCCTCCGGAGATCAGCCGAGTTGACGCTTGTTGAGCGGCCAAGTGCTTTCAGCTTCCGAGCGGCACTGTTGCCGCTTCCAGGAGGGGAGAGTAGTTCAGGTTGGTTATTTGCACTGTTTGTGCTCTCTGGAAGATGCGGTACAGAGCCTTCGTCACGGCCACGCGCCCTTCGAATGCTGAAGCTTTTTCTTGGTACGGAAGCTGGCGCCGGGGCAGGCTCGGCGGGACTGGAAATTGCAACGGCTGGAGTGGGTGGAGGCATAGGCTCAGCGGTCCGGTCTTTGTCATGACTTCGGTACTTTCTGGTACTGAAGCGGCGTAACAAACCAACAGCGGCACCCTCCTTCTTTGGCTGTTCAGCCTGAACGTGAGGCGGCAGCACTGGGGGTGGATTGTTGAGATCCACTCTTTTCAGGCCCTCGGTAAGGTCATCTTCTCCATGTGTCCTAGCTCTCGGTCGCGACCTTCCGCCTGTAGGCTTTTCGCCTGCCATCTCGTAGGCAGCTGAGTTGGTATACGCTGCCGGTGGGGGTGGAAGATCTGGCATCTTCAGTGGCTTCTCGTCTGGCTCCTGAGGCATGGCGGCAGGACCTGGGTTTGCTTCTTGTCGTTCACGGTCTCTCTTTTCCTTGACGAGGAAGTAGACCGAAAGGAGAGGACTGTATGCGTTCACTGGGTCCATTCCCCGTTGGATATCTTCAGACGATGAAGCTGTCAACTGCTCCCGACTTCCAATGGAAGTGCGTCTCTTGTAGAAGTCGAACATGCCCCTCTTCTTCTCTGCTTCTGGTGTTTGAGCAGTCGCCCTGCGAGCGGCTGTTCGAACCGCACGTTGATAATCCTCCGACTGGATGACATTGGTCAATTGTGTGGTAATATACTCAGTGGTGCCAAAATCGAAACCTTGCATCTTCTCGATGACCTCGCTGTCCAAGGGTAGTTGCACGGGTTCTCTGTGAGGCAGGTAGTTTTCAGGAGGACTGTTGAATCCCTTGGTGAGCCAGGGATGGCTCATAATTTCCGAGAGAGTCAATCGCTGAGTCGGGTCGGTCTGGAGCATTCTGTGAATCAGATTGCGGCATTCTGGATACGGTCAGCTTGAGAGGAGATATTGTCTTTGGACAACATACCTGCAGATAGCCATGGAGGATAGTCAACATGGCCCTTCTTGATCTTGGCGTGAAGCTGCGGCATGCTCTGGTCATCGAACGGCACCTTTCCGCAGACGAGGACGTACAATACAATGCCGAAACTCCAGACATCAACCTCGGGGCCAGTATACTGTTTAGCCTGGAGCAGTTCTGGGGCTGCAAAGTACAGACTTCCACAGAACGTCTTTAGCTGATTTCTTGGTGAGAACAAGTTACTCAACCCGAAATCAATAATCTTGATATCACCCATCTTACTGATAAGGATGTTCTCGATCTTAAGATCTCGATGCACAATGCTGTTCCTGTGGCAGTAGTCGAGGGCACTGGCGATCTGTCGAGCGAATTTGCGCGCCTGCTTTTCCTTCAAGCGGCCGTGAGAGATGATGTAATCGAGCATCTGCCCGCCGTTGACGAACTCGAACATCATGTACCAGTGGAAGTTTGTGCGCACCACATCCTTCATGCCGCATATGTAGGGGTGGTTCAGCAGACTGACAATGGCGGCCTCCCTGGCTGTGCGGACTTCTTTGGAGTGGTCGGCTCGTTCACGGTCGGCAGCGCTCTGGTGCTGGTCTTGGGACTGTCGGGGTACGATCTTGACGGCGGCCTACGGGTTGTTAGCACAGAGCCTTGGCTGTCATTGTGTTGCAGTATGCGCGATTAAGCGCATGCCCCTCCATGTGCCAACACGGTGACGACCAGAGATACACACCTGCTCCCCAGTCTCGGCGTTCTTCGCCAGCTTGACCTTGCCCATGCTGCCAGCGCCAATTGTCTTTCCCAGCGCCCATGTTCCTGTGCTGGGCGCGGTGATGGTGGTCCTGCGCTTGTTTACGGCCTGAGGCTGGCCCGGCCTGGCTTCGGCAGCTACGCCGTTGATGGGCATTGCGGAAGTTGTCGACGCGTCAGACGCATACCGCGAGTGGCTTCGTCTGCTGGATTCGGTGCGGGCTGGGTCTTCGCTGCGACGTGAAGGCTGCTCCTGGGCGACGTTGCTCTGCTCGTAGTCTCTCCGGGCGACGTTGGGGAGGCCGCTCTGCTGCTGATGGCGGCTGGGCGCGTGTCCAGTGGGCCGGCTCTGGGTGCTCTGGGAGCGTTGGGGTCTGTCTACGGATCTGCGCGAAGAGGAGGAAGTGCGCACGACTGCGGGCGACGATGGGGCGGCGGCCGACATGGCGAATGCTCTCTACCACGATACGCGCAACGCAGGGAGCAGATGCAGGCCTCGATTAGCACAGACGCACAGGGCGTGGAGCGAGCGCAGAAGCGACCACCGGCAAGGCTATCGTGACAATGTGAAGAGATTACTTTGTCGCTCCTCGGTGGGTAATGCGGCGTAAGTGTACAAGAGGTTAGGGGCCGGTGGACGGTTGTGGTCGCGAAACTTGGCACAGGCGGCGGCGTGTTGGGTGTGCGTCTGTCTGGACGTATGCAGGTCCCAGGGCAGCCAGCACCGGGTTACAGCAGATGAGCAGATGCAGGATCCAAGTCGAGGACAGCATGTATTACGGCCAACGCGAGCTTGTATGTTGTTTTGTTCATGTCTATTTCCGGTTCGAGGCCAAACGCGATAGCTCCCTCCTTCCACGCCTAGCTCGTCTACCAATGCCGCGCCAGGTTGGGCCGATACGGTGGGGTAGGTACAGCTTCGGGGCCATGCATTCACCCTGGCTTTCACCCCATCTACATGCCTATACCCTTCGTCTTCGAGACAAGGACAGCATCGCCTCCTGACGCCTTCGTCTCCAGAACATTGTGTTGCTGGCGCCATATCAGGGTCCCTGGCCTTAGCCGCGATACCAGCCATGCTTTTATGCTCATTAGGCCGCTCGACCCAGGCGCGGCACGACATCATCGGGCCCACTCTAGCTCACTAACTCCTTAGTTCAACGGCAGTCAAGTCGACAAGAGCTGAGCAATGTGCGGTGAAAGCCGTCTATTGCAGGCTCCGAGTCTGGTAGAGCTGTGCACTGCCTGCTTCGGGGCGCATGCAATTCATAGCTCTTACATACCTCGTGGCTGCATTTAGTTGGATAGACTAACCTAGCCAATGAGACGGCGGCTGATTAGTCACCTACCCGCCCGCCTGCTCGTGATCGCGCGCTCCAACTTCCCTTCGCTTGACTATAGGGCAAACCAAGTCCATCAGATGCAATAGTCAATTTTTGTATAGAAGAAACTGACTCGCCACCAATTACCACGAGTTACGCGACCCTGTTTCTGCCGTTACAATGGCATACAAGCGGCCGCGCGCGCCTTCTCCAACCAACGCCCAAAAGCGTTCTCGCGGCGGAAAAACAGCCTACATATCCCTTGGCACCGAGCTCCCTGATGAAGACGGAGATGACGGGGCTTTCGTCCCTGTGTGGAAGCAGACCGTAACAGACGAGAAGGGTAGAAGGAGGCTTCACGGCGCATTCACTGGAGGTTTCAGTGCAGGGTAAGTTTCCGAGCCACACCTTCCACGAGCGTAAGACTTCTTGACTATGCTAAGATACTTTAATACAGTTGGATCTAAAGAAGGATGGACTCCGAAAACGTTCGTTTCCTCGCGCGCAAACCGCAATAAGGACCAGCCTAGTGGTCAAACCCAGCGAGCCGAAGACTTCATGGACGAGGAAGATCTGGCGGCAGCAGCAGAGTCACGGCAGCTAGAGACTGCGCAAAACTTTGCTGGTATAGGCGAAGCTGGACGCGCGAACGACGATGGACTTTTCGGCCTCTTCGTAACTCAGGAAGAGACAATGGGAGTGAAGCTCGCGCAGAAGATGGGTTGGCGACGAGACCAGGGCATTGGTCGCAAAGTGTGCCGAAATGCCAACCTTGAAGATGGTGTATCCGGTTCCAAGGACGAGTCCGCTCATATGTTTGCACCCCAAGATGCTCGGATCATGAACTTGCCACGAGAAGAGGTCCGTCGCAAAGGCTTGGGATACACATCAGAAGCCCGCTTGGGCGTTGTAGAGGAAAACGCTGGGGACCAGTCATCCAAGTTCGACCTGCACTATCTCGAAGGTCCGAAGAAGGCATCAACCGTAAAGAAGCCTGGGCCGAAGAAATCTTCTTTTGGGGTTGGTGTGCTCAACGACACTGGTTCTGACGAAGAAGATCCTTACGAACTGGGCCCAAAAATTACGTTCAATAAGACCATAGGCAAAGAGAAGAAAGTGAAGAAGCCTAGCAAGTTCGCCAAAGCAGGAGCGGGAGAAAAGGTTGTCTTTGTTCCGAAGAAGAGTTCGTCGAAGGCTTTGGTCTCGCTAAGCAGGCCGTCTATAGATGGAAGATCTCCATTACCTGGTTTCATGTTCGCGACTGGTCTCACAGACACTACAAGCAAGCCTAAATATCCTCCGCCGAAGATACCACCCGGCTGGAAATCTTCCAAAAGCGCCACTCCAACTTCGGAATCGAAGGAGTATCAATCCGTAGCCGACGCGGCGAAAGCATCAACACTGGATGCAAAGGGTCGCTCAGCACTCTTGGGCGAGAAGGCTTTGCCCGGAAAATCCATTTTCGACTTCATACCCAAAGAAGCTCGAGACCGTCTGGCTGCAGTATCCGGTAGGGCTGATCTACCCCAGGGCTTGGGAGAGGCTGCTCCTGAAGGGCATTTACCTGCGAACAAAGCCCAAGCAAAGGATCTGTGGGGCTTTGTGCCTAAACTCGAGAAGAGCGTGGCAGCTGCAGCGCTGGCCAAGGGGGCGACTGGCTGGATGCCATACGAGGAGGATAAGGCGAAGCGCGCACGCTACGTTAGCTTTTTAGAGTTGAAAGCAGGACTGAAAGAAGATTTGCCAGATCGAAACGATGGCGTATCAACCACAGATTGGGTCAAGGAGCTGCAGGAGTTTGCACATGCTGCAGAGGTGTTCAAGCCTACGACTGGCATCATGGCGTCCCGGTTCACATCTTCCTCGTCATCTACCCTGAATGGGAGTGGTGATGGAGCAGCGACTGACAACCTTCTACGACAACCAGCCGCAAAGCCAGAGGATCCTGCAGAGCAGGCTGCAAAGCTAGGCATGTACGGTCCGATGACTCGAAGCAGCTTTCCCTTTTATCCGTCACGACTCTTGTGCAAGCGCTTCAACGTCAAGCCTCCGCCAGATATGCCACCAGAGTTTGATGCTGGTGAGAACCACTTCAAATCCCAGACGGAGGAAGCCGTGTCTAAGTCAGCCATGGAGAAATTGCAGCACGAGTTCTTGACTAATGGTCCTGCTCTCCAGCGACCTGCCTGGATGGGGCAAACGCCTGAAGCCTCTACTCCTGCTGCTGCTGCTGCTGCTGCTGCTGCTGCTGCTGCTGCTACAGCTACTCAAGAGGGCAAACATGCAGTTGTGGACGTGGAGAAAAACGATGCTCTATCCATCGAACGTGCCTCCGAAGATGTCTTCAAAGCCATCTTCGGAGACGATGATGACGAGGAGGACTAAGCCTAGAGGATATACCATACTTAAAACTATTGTACTCATGTATTATTCACACTACTACTGTTTTACTCTTACTGAAAGATTACTGACAAGACATACATGCTGACCAGTCTTTGCCAATTAAAAGTAAAAAGTCGTAGCTATACAGCCGACGACAAAGTGACCATTTTCATAGTCTTCAAGTTGATGTTGAACGTGGCGGCTTTGATAGGCGCGGACGCCAGACCCAGGCGAAGAGATGGTGCCTCGGCGTACCGACACGCCGGTGCTCGGAACATGTATTCAAAACGTCATGCACTTTTTCGCGACACGAGTTTGGCTGACCCGATACTACCCCATCTTATACTGATATCCACGGCCATTTCCCAGGGCTATTACGATGATGCGTAGTGCAGCTTTGACACTCTTCATATAGCAATTGAACATTTGAAGGCGCGGCAATGTCAGATGGCGGAAAGCGCTCGTCGTCTTACTGTAAGTGCAGAAGAGGCATTGAGCGTAATTGCTATTGCATTCCAGGGACCGGTGGGATCATAGTTGTTAATAAGCAATACAGTCCACTTCTTCGCTGGATTAAACTCAGGTGTTCTATCTGCAGTCCTTCTCCAACCCGCCGACCTCCTCAAGACCCGCGTCCAACAATCGCGCTCGAGCACACTTTATGGAACCATCCAGTCGATAGCCAGCGGACCGAACCCGATACGTCAACTCTGGAGGGGTACACTACCGAGCACTCTACGCACGGGGTTCGGATCTGCCATATACTTTTCGAGTCTCAATGCATTGCGACACAGGGCGAGTCTGGTCGCAGCGGGGAGCGGCGAGGCGGCAGCGAAGGGAGCGGAGCACTCAAGCTCTCTACCAAAACTGAGTAATACCGCAAACCTGGCAACTGGTGCCTTCGCGCGGACATGGGCAGGCTTCATCATGATGCCGATTACCGTTTTGAAAGTGCGGTACGAGAGTAATCTGTACTCGTACAATTCGCTCTTTACAGCATCAAGAGACATCTTCCGAACGGAGGGACTCAAGGGCTTCTTTGCTGGTTTCGGCGCAACAGCCGTCCGCGATGCACCATACGCGGGGCTTTACGTTCTATTCTACGAGCAGTCGAAGAGGAAGCTTTCAAGTCTTGCAACCAAGATTGAGGAAACTTCCGGCACATCCACCAAGCTTTCTTCCAGTACATCCGCAGGCATCAATTTTGTTTCTGGTGTTGCAGCGGCAGGGCTGGGAACGACCGTCACGAATCCCTTCGATGCCATCAAGACGCGGATACAGCTAATGCCTGACCGCTACGTGAATATGGTACAAGCAAGCAAGAAGATGCTTGCAGAGGAGGGTCTACGGAGCTTGTTCGACGGGCTTGGTATCAGGATTGCGAGGAAGGGAATGAGCAGTGCGCTTGCCTGGACTGTGTACGAAGAACTGATTCGACGAGCGGAGAGCTTGAAAGAAGTCGTCGAGGAAAAAATATGATCATGAAGCATACGATATTTGCATAGCTGGCGTTGGCCGGTGCTGAAAGTTGGCTAGATACCTCTCCGCTCACATTGAGTTGTTCAAACGAGATGACGATCTGCTGTCAATGTCTTCTGCGGAATGCCTATTTGGTCCAGATTCGCAAGGTCCGCACCATCTGCAACAAACCATATGTTAGGCCGCCTAGACCGCCGATAATGAGTGGTAAGTTGTGGCTGAACTTGGACTATGTCTATGCGGGACGATCTTGGGGGCAGCTCTAACCGAAATTGCCCATCCCGGACACATGAAGGCTTACTCCGACCGATGGAAGTGGTCACAACACCTCGGTGGGTCGCACGCGAGCGTCACTGTTTCATGAGGCGCTTCTCGTGCAAACATGTGTCTTGGAGCGTACAAAGAGGGAATATGCAGGTAGCGAAAACGTACGAAGCGATGACATCCAACGGTTTTGGCAGATAACAGCACTGTAAGGCCGACCAATTTCACCGAGCTGTCACGGTGTTGCGACCCCCGCGGCTAAGAGAGGAAAGAGGTCTTAAGCGCCTTGGTTAGTATACCAGTTTTCGACGTGCCCCACCAAACCATCACCATCTCGCGCCGCTAAAGACTGAAGGATGCAGAACAAAATGGTCGCAAACATCGCACACGACAGCATTACAATGTCGCAGAGCGGAGCGTAGGTGTGTGGATGGCAGTCTGGACTGACGCCCGCAGATAGACATGCACCACAGGCTGATGTGTGTTCAGCAGACCCGCGCATGAGAAACCCCGGCCTCAGCCCTGGCGGCAGCTGCCTGATGACTAGCTGCATCGCGAGCATTTCAGCCCCCAAATGCACCATGAGGGCGGGTTCCTTCAAATTCCACTGCAGCCGCACTTTCGTGCTGACAATTTCTTGCGTTCTTACGTTATCTACTGTTTGATACCGTGTCACATCTGCTTCTGTGCCGCCCCTCGGTGTCTGTTCATCACCCCGCCCTGCGCCGTTCACGCCGCAGCTGAGACCACGCACAAAGAACTTGAATTGATTGCTCTGTCCTGTGATCTCTTTATCACTGAACGGTATACATACTTTGTTTGAATCTCCTCGAAGTCCCAACTCATACGCCCACCATGCCGCTAGCAAAGGAGTGGGACAGTTACGAAGAGGACGAGTGGTATTCCAAAACTACGAAGGACCATCTGAACATCCGTCATGTTCATCCTCCAGCATCCAAAACCCCGCCCCGGAGGACTCAGGATGATGCGCTTTATCGTCCCGACTATGCTCGCCACACAACCGAGTACCTGGCCCCAGAAGTGCACTACACGACCGGTCTCCATAGGACCCGCTCACAAGGTCACGCGCCCGCCCCCAATGTGACAATCTACAACACCAGTCACTTGGACAACGATAGCCGACCAGTTTTGCGCTCTGAGCAGAAGGGCCCAGAGGTCAGTCGCGGTCGACGCGAACAGAAGATGCCTGGTGCATTTGAGGATTTGGAGGATGAGATTGCTGGACTGAGGGCAGATCTAAAGAAGGAACACCGTTCGCGCTCTAGGCACGAGTACCATGAACGCCAGCGCTCTCCAGAGCCCAACTATGCGGACCAGATCAAGTTGACACTCGCTGAGCAACGTCTCAAAGATCTCGAAGATAAGCTTGAGAGAGAGCGGCAGGAGCGATACCATCATCACTCTCCGGACCGTAGCTACGAGGACAAGATGAAACTGGCGCTCGTGCAACAGCGACTACGAGACTCTGAAAAAGAACTCGAAAGGGAAAGACGTCATCACTCGCCAGATCACGGCTACGAAGACAAGGTGAACTTGGCACTGTCGCAACAGCGACTCCGAGAAGCTGAAGAGAAGCTCGAAAGGGAACGACGAGAGGAGGAAATGGATAGACGGGCGGAACTGGTGAGACGCAGGGTGGAGCTTGACTTCATCCAGGATAGAAGAGAGCGCGAGGCAGAAGAGGATAGAATCAAGAGGGCAGAGGAGAGTATGCGTCGCGACTGGGAGTTGCAGCGAACGAAGGAAGAACGAGATCGCGAACGACGCGAGGTCGAAGAAGAGAAGAAGCGTGCTTCTATCATCGCCGAAAACAGGGCAAAGATGTCTAGGGAGCAAAGAGAGGCCGAAGAACAACGCGACAGGCTTCTGGCTAAACTAGAAAGGGAGCAGAGAGATCAGGAGGACGAACGCAAGCGGATTCTTGCTGAAAGCAAGATGAAGCAAGCCAAGGAGCAACAGCGGGCCGAAGAGGAACGTGAGAAGCTTCTAGCCAAGATAGAGAGGGAGCAGAGGGAGCAGGATGATGAACGCAAACGAATACTTGCCGAGGCCAAGTTAAAGCAAGCGAGGGAGCAACGAGAGGCCGAGGAGCAACGTGAGAAGATCCTGTCTGAAATGGACAAGAAGAAAAAGCGAGAGCAAGAAGAACGCCAGCGCATCATTGACGAGAACACTGCCAAACTTGAGAAGGAAGCGCGTGAGCGTGAGCTCAAGGAGAAGGCCATGGAACAAGAGCGCAAGCGCATCATCGCCGAGAACGAAGCCAAGGTAGCTAAGCAGGCCCAAGAGGCAAAGGAAGCTCAAGAGCGTGCTGTCCAAGAGTATCAGCGAAAGAAGGCGAAGGAAGAGGCCGAAGCTCAAGCAGAGCATGATCGTATCATCTTCGAGTACGAGCGTAAGAAGGTCTTGGATGCCGAGAAGGAAAAGAGGGCACGAGACGAACTCATGATGAAGATCAGACTCGAAGAAGAAGCAAAGAAGCAGAAGGACAAAGAGGAGTACGACGCCTTTGTGCGAAAGCAAAAAGCACAGGAAGAAGAGGACAAGAGGAAGAAAGAGGAACAAGAGAAGGAGCTCGAAGAGACGATGCGCAAGAGGCTCTCTCAGTTTGGCTTCCAAGACAACCAAATCCAGGCGCTTGTCCACCCTGAGAGGGAAAGACACCTACAAGCAGGCATGATGCCCAACCATCCCATGCATCAAATTGCACCTCCGCCTCCCCCACCTCCACAGCACCACCATCACCATCAGATTGCCATTGCACCTCCACCACCGACATACGCCAAGATCCACAGGAGTCATCTCGATGTTGAGACGCTGCACTACTACGACATCCCATATGAATACGATGTGGTAAGTCCTGACCAACTGACATGATGCGAAATCGAGTGCTGACAATTGCGGTAGAACCCAGAGTACATCATCGTCCTCCGGGAGATGTCCCAACGCGAGACTGACATTCTCTTCGAGCACACTCGTCGTCTCCGCACCGGCCATGGTAGCAAGCTGTTCATAGAATCAGAGGGTCGTGATAGCAGGGGCAAGAAGGAATACGCTTTTGTGAGGAAGAAGTCTCGGTCTCGCTCCAGGAGTGTTGTTGGTGCCTCGTCGTCAACTAGGACGAACGTCAGCTTGGGGGAGATGTTCTTCAGGTAGGATGAGATTGGGAAGGGCTGTGCAAGGACGAATTTCGCTGGTCAGTGAGTGTTTGTGTGGTGTTGGATTTTACGATTGCTCTTTTCTAAGATATACCAATCTTCCCTCTTGTCTTGGATACATTTACATAGGTACTTCAGCTCAGTCTCTTACTCTTATTTGGATAGGCGTTTGACTTTTTTTTTTCGGAAACGCGACCACGACATATGCAATACGTTCCATCTCGGTTCTCTGCAGCAATGTATGCCGTCTTGTGCGTGTTTGTGCGTTTCAACGGCTTCGAGCTCTTCACCGGTCTTGTGCTACCTCATCACAGCTGTCCACTGACGGAAGAGAGCGTGTTAGATTTTCACACTATTCCGGTCCAAAGGGTGACAAGAGAATGGCGGAGCACGTGCTTGTTCGTCATGGCTGTCGCTGGCATCTGACGCGTGGGGCGACGTTCGGTCCGTATTAGTGAGTGAGCCTCGGCTTCTGATCATGGTCGGGACATGACGAGCAGTCGCCGCAGCTCACCTCCCCGACAATCTTGCTCACACTTCCTTTGGAGCATGCGTTGATACCCCTCGTGCTTTTGTTCTTGTTTGATTCAACATGGCCGACGCGCTTTGCGGGCCTTCCAACGCCCTTCAGAACTTCCAGAAACATACTACCGTCGATCGGACACTGCAACAGGATCGCCTGGTCGGCAGACATTCACCAGCCCAGGTATGTAATCAAACCCGCGGCTTGCACTTGCACAATCTAAACGACAGCAGGGCTTCAGATCATCACCGGGATCAAATGCAGGCGCACTAGACTCCGAGTTTGATGCATTCCAAGCCGGTCGACCAGTGCCGGCGCACGACTTCCAACACTTCGATCCGCGATTCGCACCTCAGTTTGCGCAACCTCCACAGGCACCCGACTGGGCTGCTGACTTCCAGCGCTTGAACGTCAGCAGCCCACCTCCACAGACGTTCCAGCAGCAGCGACCGCAACCAGCGAACGCGGCATCAGCATGGCATCAGGACTTCTTGAGGCAGCAGGCCCCGATCGCGCAGGCGCCTGCCTTGCAGCAGAACACATATGGCGGCATGTCGGGATATAACATGGGTGGATTCGGTGGACAGACATACATGCAGACACCGAATTTCCAGAACGCCCAGGTATCCGAGGTTGCACAAGGAAAGCAGCGCGCCCAAGGTGACGTCCCCGCCTTCGACGAGGCGGCCTTTGAACGAGCGTTTGCGCAGGCGCAACAAGACATGATGGAGGTCGCAGAAGCAGAGCAAGTACACACACAGCCAGCGCAAGAGGCGCTGGACCTAGACCGGCCGGGTGAGATGGATCCTCTTCTTCAACGGATACGAGAAACGCGGCCAGGTGTGTAGTGTCCGTCAAACATGCTACGAGTGCTGACTGTGTCTCTAGCTGTCTACTCTGCCATCCAGGTCTGGAGCGAAACTGGTCTCGGACGAACCGACGAAGCGGTAACATACCTCCAAAACATGGAGAACATGGAACGGACCGGTACTTTGGTGCAAGATGCAAACGAGGGGAGATGGATCGTCGACTCTCTGCAAAGAATTGTAAATCGCGACGCCCCTCAGCAAGTCAAGACCCGAGCCGAGAAGCTCATCACGGCAATCAACCAACGCCTTATGTCACAGTACCCACTGGGCTCACGGGTGCTGATGAGCGAAGAGCAGATATGGCAGGACCTGGAAGCAGCAGGCTACATGAGGACACCAGAGCCGATAATGCAACGGATGGAGCAAAGACCTGAGGAAGAGCAGAAGCAAGAACAGCCCCCAAAGAACGACGATGACGAGATGGCGGCAACAGCAGGTCGACTGCTAGAGCGCGTTGCAGACAACACAAGCGACAAGTTTCAAAACTCCCAGTTCCTTGGGCTCATGCGTCGTCTACGAGACCGTGAAGTAAGAGTGCAAGAAGACAAGATTGTCGAAGTCGATGGAGCCAAACAGCAGACTGGAAACACCACGTCCACACCACAGGCCAACATCCACCAACAACCACCGTCACAACTCCAACAACAACCTCCATCCACAACGCAAATCCCCCCAATCGACCCCACAATCCTGTCTCACGCGGCCACCGACTTCGAACAACCAATCTATTCGGGCGATGAACCACCACAGTATGCCCACACTCCTCCCCTAGCACCTATCAGTGAGGAGCCCCTAATAACTGATGAGATTTCAGAACAATATAGATACTACAACGTTGATGCCGCATACCACCGCTGAGGGGGAGACTACACTGCGGATACCACGTCACGAGCAGGATGAAGATCTATATCGGAATGAAATCCCGGGGAGGGACCCCGTGACGCAGGTTAGGGGCTCTGGATAGGCTACTTCATGAAGAAGTGATGGGCACGGCAGAGTACGAAGATCTGTGCGACTCCATCTAGAGCACTTGGGCGTTTGAGGATGGTTTTTTAAGCCTCATGGTTGGACTGGATCATTGAGTCAAATCATGGTGTCAGAAGATTTGCACCCTGATGCAGTGCACAGAGGGAGCCTGTTCATTGTGAGTTTGACTGGCATTGCCTGCGTATAGAAGAAAGCATGATTTCTGCACCTCCAAGCTACTCTCACTTTACTCGTCCACATGTCCTGTTCTTCTCACAAGTGCCTTGTTCTACTCACTCCACCCTTCCTTCCTCTTCTCCCTTCCATCCATCCTCAGGCACCCAAATCCCCACTCCCTTCTTATCTAACCTCATCCCTTCCGTTCCCTGCACCTTCAACGTCTTGTTAAAGTAACGGTCCGTGACCTTTAGGTTTGGGGTAATCCAATCGCCCTCCACATTCGACAGTAAATTGTATCGCACAGTTTGTCGACTCATAGGCAACAGATGCAAAGTCCGTAGTTTAGGTCCGCTAAAGCCAAAGTCCTCGCTAGCTTCCATGGCGAGTTCAAAGGTGAGGAAGTGCATAGTCGGATTCTCGAGCACATAGTCGAGGTGGATGAGGGAGGGGATCGTGGGTGAGAGGTGGGAAGAAGCGAGGACACGGGGTTCAGAAGATGGGATTTGGATGCGTGGAATAGGCAACGAGGACGTGACTGGGGAGGCAAGCGGATCGGAAGTGCGTTTCCATGTGATGTTGAGAGTGGTGTCAAGAGCGGTCGAACGACGTTCCTCTAGATTGTTTTTCCGGATATCCAGGCTGAAGCCCCATTCGCTGAGGACCTGGGATTCCATGGCTGTTTCTTCGATATTGAATTCCTTTGTCACGTCGCAGGTTGCGCCGCCGTGGATGCTGTGTACTTCGACCGCTAGGTCGCTGACAACAAGCTGTTCGTCCGCAAAGGACGCGACTTTCGCTCGTAGACCCCATTTCTGTGCTATACCAAATGCATCAGGCGACTCAGGGTTGACGTTGCTTTCTGCTTCTTGTAGCTCGAAATAGCTAGGCCATGGATCGGGGTGTACACGTGCGTTTAGATCATAACTTGCTTCGAAGGGAGCGTTGAATACGAGATCTGCGACCATGATCTTGGAGATGGGTATATCGCGGTCGCTGAGGACATGATATAGCACTTTGACTTCCAAAGCATAGTCTGCTGGATCCGCAGGTGCAGTGAAGCGAATCCTCTCCGTTGTTCTTGCTCCTTGGGCTAGTTTTCCCACTACATGCCCTGGAAGATCCACATCCGTAGACCCGTCGAGCGCAGGCGGAACTTCCTTCATTGGTGACTCTGCTGGACGCTCGAGCCATGTATAACTCAAAGTATCTTTGGACCGTCCCAGCAGTCGCACCTCGAGAACAGCCTCAGTGTCTTCCTCTTCTTGGTTCAGAATCTCTATTGCCAACGTTACTGACTCATCTGTGTAGTACTGATTGCGAACGTCCGGCAGATTGATCTCCATCTTGGGCGGTTTGGGTAGTATGTGAACAGACATGCCAGATCCATGTTTCAGCGATCTTGACTTGATCTTGGCATCTGACTTGATCCACCACATGGGACGAGTTGGAACTTCCGGGTCCGTATCTGAACATGCAAGTTCAAACTTTTCTGTGGTTACACCGAAGACGCATGCCGCAATATCGACATCTCCCGACTCACGGAGGACAAGTGGGAAGCTGTACACATTTGTCTGCCCAGGGTGGAGAGTCAGGTCAGCTGTTCCAGCCCAACGTGGTTTTCCAGTAGCGGAATGGGTTTCCTCTAACGTGCAAGAGTACATTGTTGAGACACTCCCGGAAGAATTTCCATCGGCATCATGAGTCAGCCGGACCTCAGCCAAGCCCCCGTTGAACTGGTATTGTATGAACGACAAGGTGACTGGAGCAGAACCTGGTCGAGCATTCGAGGTAATTGCGAGCTGTGAGCGTAGTGGTTCGCCCACATTACCCTCCGCTTCGGCAAAAGCAAAGCTTGTTGACACTGCCATATCAGTGTTGCGTCATTTTGACAAGAGTTCCGTACTTACAGGGAGATATGTGGTCTTTAGCATTCAGACTCACGCTCACCTTGTCAGCTGCTGCGTCTGAGAATACGTCCAGACATGTCATCAAATCGTATTTGTATTTTGTCTTGCCAGGAATTGCTGGTTGATGTTAGTCAGTGATGTTGTACAGAGAGCAAGAGAATACCAACTTTGACTGTAAAGTTCCCATTCCGTTGCAACATATGTTTCTCGGTCTTGTGTTCGCAGCGCGCATTCATGTAAGGCCCATATTACTTCTGAGGCTAGGCTCCACCAACCTTCTTTTCGCCAAGCCATCGTCTCCCAGAGTGGTCGTAGTACTCTCAAGGCATCGTCAAATTTCCTTACGTGTAGCAGTGTCCGAGCCACCTCAAGTTGCATCTGGTCTACTTTCCGATGCTGTCCCCGAGCCTTGAACTCGGCGATCGCGTCGTTTAGCTTGGCTGAGATGTCTTTCCAATGCTCAAATCCATTACCAATACCTGGAACCGGGTACTCTTCATGCGGATGCGGTACGAGATAGTGATCGTATATCTGGTTCCGAGCGGAAACTTTAGCAGCAGGCGACATTCCCGGCGGCGTTCGGTCCTCTTCTGGCATCTCCCTGGCAAGAATGTAACGCTTCTTTGCATGATCACTAGCAATCTTATGCCAATATCCAGCATGATGTAGCAATTCCCATGGCGGCAGTCTTTCTCCCACTGGAAACTGTTTCTCGGGCTGAGAGTACAACGCACCCGGGAAGTCTATCAAGGGATCTGGATCTGACGAAGGGTCCCTTATCTTGAAGATCGGCAACTCTGTTCGCCTAACAATCTCAGCCATGGCTTGGGCCCATGTAGACTCCCAAGCTTGCCAACCGTAATTATTACTACCCTTGCCCCGGCGATCGAGCACGTCTTGTAGTCTGTATTTATATCTCAACCATGACTGGACAGCGGAGGTAGGAAAATTGTTCCACAGCTGGCACCGAATGTGTCGCAGTGCGATGACATCTGCTAACAAGCGGATCTCATCCCATCGTGGAGACCAACTCGCCGTGGTTTCAAATAAGCCTTCGGCACCGAACAAGGCTTCCAAAGCAGTACCGTAGTGCCGCTGTGCAGCGTCCATCTCCTGTCGGAATTCGGCCAGTATACCCAGCTTGAAGTCATAACGAACACCCCACCCGGGATACGACAGCGTTTGTGATGTTCCGCGTGTAGGTGGAGCTGTTGGTGGAGGGATGGTGCCTCGTCCCTTCTTCCTTCGCGCATGCTTGGTAAGGTCTCGGTAATATTCGACGCATACGGGTTGCAGTATGGCCAGAATGGATGTAACGAAGGCTTGGAGTTCGACGCGCGATGTTCTTGGAGGCAAGAAGAAGAGTGAGTTTTTTGGATCCAGGCCAGTAGCCCGCCGTATCACCGCCAATCGATCCTCGATATCTGGCGCCTCGATGATGGTCTTATCACTCAGTAACACGACAACGTATCTTGTGCGATAGTCCGACTTTTGTATCTGACCCTTGATCTTGTTGATGTCCGTTTTCAGCTGATTATCGTGCAGGCTGTTTGTAATGGGATCAGTCGTGAAGTTGAAGAAGGAGATGAATACGGAGGGTACGTAGTGCTGGTGCTTTGCGACCCAGGCAGGAGCGATAACACCGTCGGGGAAGGAGGGAGATGCTGGGGAGAGGGGTGATATGGGCGAATGCAGGACCCACGATGTCGCGGCTGCGATTGTGGGACTGCCTGGAGGAGTTGTTTCGGAGTTTGAGGGCGCATCTGCCTTTTTCGGTGGCAGTTGGAAGTTCTAGCAAACATCAGCCCATGGCTCCTTCCCGTGGCATGTTCGCAGGCGCCTGTACCCTTCCTACACTCCTTATTCTGAAGCCATGTGTGATGCCTCGACGGCTGAAGTCGCGCGCATTCCAGGGCGCGCCGGTGCCGTCGGCGCTCAAGAACTCTTGGAGTAGCTCATTTGCGCGGTCGCCATCTACAGGCGGGATATCTGAGCTGATGCTTGTGACAGCTCGACCAGGAAGCACATGTTGGACCGATGGAGGGGGGTCGACTTCTTTGCTAGTCGCTAGGCCCGAGAGGACAATAAAGGGTAGGTTATGGACTACAAAGTCGGATGGGTATGCGTCCATATCTCTACGCGCGCGCAAGTTATCGCTCCATGGGGACAGTGGCAGCTACAGTGGGGGAGGGCGGCGGAGGTGGTGCGGAATGGGATTTGCTCGTCGCACGCAAGACAGCAAAGCCAGGTGCAAGATTTGGCACAAGTCGTCTCGAATTCGCCAAAGTAGACGTGTTTGTGGGATGTGAAGACACTGTCAAGATTGCTGGCGGGTCTATGTCATGGGCCATCGACACATGCCTAGGTGTGCTAATCGCGGGAGGGATGACGCTAGCCTGAACCCTGTCATGGATGTTCTCTCCGCCGAACGATTCCTCCACACAGGCACGAGCTCTCCAACACTTCACATCCATACTCTAGCAGTCCGGCCTTGTCTTCACGCGTCTTCCTACCCCGAAAATACCCCCAGCCGCGCGACACGCTGTTGTACTAGCTGGACGCGCATATATCCACACTTGGTCTCTCCACCCACTTTCCGCTCGCGCTGGCCAGACGCCGTCGACGCCATGGCGGGCCAACAGCAGCAGATACTGGATACCATCTTCAGCATGAAGAGGAAGATGCTGAAAAAAGACGATTGTAGGGCTGCATGTCCCTCCACACAGTGCTCAGCTAACACGGCGCAGCTGACACAGAAGATTCCGAGACGCCATTCAGTAGCAACAAGCAGGATTTGAGGCGCAAAGTCCATTATGCGCGCGCTAGCGACCCAGACTTCCTATCTGACCCGCGACCCTACAAGAAGGTGCGTTTCGAGCTATGCTACGTGGGCGCCCATCGTAGACTGACGCCTCCTAGCGCATTGAGCATGCCGGCTACCACAGGTCTATCTTGCAGCGCAACCCTCCGCGATACGATCCGGACGGCGATATTGTCGAAGTCGACGACGAATACGAGGACGAGGAAGACGTGGAGCCTGTCGAAGAGAATCCATACGGTAACATACAGCTCGAGAGTCTTCTTGCGCCGCTCACCTCTGCCGCCGACCTACCCAACCATCCTGCCCTGAGCGTGGCATACTCCTCTCGACATCTCACCGACCTTGCGAACGAAGCCGGCGCTCTATCGCGAAAAGAGCACGTCACCAACGCGCAGGCAAAGACTTTGTTTGTAAAGCTTCAAGGCGACTCCACATTTGCGCCAGATGCTCTATCGGCTATGGGCAGAGCGCCCTTCCAAGAGTCGTGGATCGATGGCGCAAACGGACACGCGGAAGAAGAAGAAGAGCAGCAGCAGCAAACTCATGATGCTGAAATGCAGGATACCTCGGAAAGTCCCCATGACGTAGACATGGAGGATGCAGGTCAGCCAAATGGCACTAGCCGAGAGACCGAGACCAACGGTGAGAAGGTCAATGGCGCACATCCTGTAACAAACGGAACGCACATTGGGGACGCAGAGCAAGCGCAAGAGAACGGAGAAGGAATACCCGACGATGCGTCTGATACCGCGTCGCAACAGACGGCGCATCGGATGACGACTCGAAGACGAGCTCAGGCGGCAGCCTCCACCCCTTCCCCACCTCATTCCCCCTTGAGCGGTGTTGGCGCGATACATCCTCACTTTATACACCCCTCAGACTCGCTGCCGGATCGCGACTTTGGTCTCCCACCCAGCGAGGCCGAGGAAACGCGCATGCTTCTCATGGCTTATGTACAAAAGCAGGAGGAGGTGGCGCGTATAACCTCAGATCTGTATCAAGGTCTATTGCAAGCCGACCGCATGCGGCAAGATGTTTATAAATGGTCCAAAGCAGAAGCACATGTAGGAGAAATGAGCGACGGCGAGGATTGGTATGACAATGAGGAGTGGGGTCTCGAGCAAGATCTCGCCAAGGGCCGGGACGAAGAAGAAGACGATACAGCTGTGGCTGGCAAGAAGAGTACAAGACAACGGCGGAAGCCTGACAAGGATGACCGGTAGTCCCCATTGCGGGAGCAAAGGTGGCCCATCGTCACACTTTTTGCTTATTTGTTGCACGCACAGCGAGATACCACATTTCTAGGATATGGAATGGACAAACTTCATACTGGGTCGGGTTGCTCTTGCCTCAGTGAGCCGTCCACGTGTTACCGCGTCAACATCGTGCTTTCTCCACCGTCCAAACTCGAAGCTTCCCACACCTCACACCGTCAGTTCGCCATGGAGTTCGTTCTCCGGTGCAACGACCTGAAGTGTCGAAAGCGGTTGCACGAGCGTGCCGTAGTCACCACTTGCAGGTTTGTCCACCTCACCTGCTTCTAGCCCTTCGGCCGCTGACGACTGCAAACAGTCATGTCTTCTGCAGCGATTGCGCGGATACCACTGGGCTGTCGAGGTCTACGAATGCGCATCGAACCTGTCCAGCATGTAACGCATCGCTGCACAACCCTGACGACGTAGTCGTTACAGGCCTCAGCCCATCGGAAGACTACAAGACATCAGTACTCAGTGGCCTGAGTCCGACGATCATCATGGAATGTGCGAGCCGCGCTTTGGCTTTCCATAGCTATCAGACATCGCAAGAAATCATATATCAAGAGCATCTCGCGAAGGGCTTGACTGACAAGTACGATACGCTCAGCCAACAGATGGATCAGCTCATCCATGATGCAAATGCGCAGATCAAAGCATTACAGGACAAGATGCAGGGTACATCACGCCCTCACCCTATCTACACACCTTGTACTTACAGTTGTGCAGCTATGCAAGCCGAACAAGAGGCTCTCGAAACCAAGAACTTTGAACTTGCGAAAGCTTATAAAGAAAAGACCATAGCGCATCAACGAGTCCAGAATCACTACCAAGCACTGAAAGGGCAGGTCAACTTGACCCACGTAGCCCGGGCCGCTGGTGACGAAGCCGCGCATACGCTCCAAAATGCTCGAGGAGATCGTTTCATTGACCGTCTTCCCGGCACACGGACGGGAACGGCCAAATACGGTCAGATGAACATGTCCCACCAAGCTGGCGGCGGCGGCGGAATGCACAACAGAGATTTCAGCAGGAGTTCTGAGAACAGTGGACGGTTTCAGCAGAGCGGTATCCACATCGGGCCCCCATTCAACCCATCATTGCAAAGACGGGTTCTAGGTGGCAGGAACAATATTGGTCGTGAGTTGACCCCCCTCGAGTTGCATCGAAAGACCCCAGGGGTATGGCTACCTTGAGAGCACCACACGCTAACGAAATGAAGATTCTGCTCCAGTTGGGACGCCTTCACAAGCCCACAGAAGTCAGCTTCCGGTCCTTGGTGGTTCACGTCAGCCCCCATATTTGAGCCAAGATATCGATTCCTCATACCACAACTCACCTGTCCCCAAACAGCCTGTTGCCAGTGGTCTTGGTCCGCGAGGCTTGGGCAACTTTTCGCTTGGAGCAACGTCATCAAGGAGGGCTGGCGGTGCTAACAACACTGGGCCACTGGGACGCTAAGCTTGAGAACACTTACTCGTGAACGCCACAAACGAGGGTTAATAACCGACTATGACCGAGAAGTAGTTGGCCACCGCGTGTGCCAATGGAGAAAAAGGTCCAATCCTATATTCATCTACTATGGTATCGCTATAAAACATGATAATATCGCTCATGGAAGGATGTGTTTGTTTATCTCCTATATTGTGCTTTTTGAGCCAAACCGTTTCTTCGACACTTTCATCAAACGTAATTTGATAAAGACCCCAGACACATGGACATGGTATAAGCGATGACCCGTTGGTCACTTCTTCTCCACTATTAATGCAGAGCGTCACTCAGATTTACGAATTCCTTCACTTGGCATGACATTCTCAGATATGTCTAGTGACACTCCAGGACGTCGGCGAGGCAGAGTCAGGCGTACCACGTTTCTCCACGTCTCCAGGCCTCCAGTCTCGTATTGTGCAACTGAACGTTCTCCACGACGCGGAGATATCCGTCTTAGGCGTTCAACCTTCACCCTCAGCAACTAGGTAGAGCATTAGAGGACACAGCCGTAAGGCTGACTGCTTCGGCGCCGAAAGCAAGGTCTTCTAGTGTTTGCGTAGCTTTTCTTGCAAAACAAAGCGTTGATCACGGACTTCGGCATACAGTGTACCCACAACCTACACGCAGGACTGATGTAAATGGAATCAAGTGCATCCTTCGGATCCTGGATGAAAGAGCCGTTGGTCTTGGTATGCTTGTGCTAACGTCATTATAGAATCACTGATAGCAATCGTGGAGCAATTGATCGATCGCGACGAGCTTTGACAGGGGGAGTGGATGAGGCTAGAGAGAGGGAACAAACATATAAGTAAGTCACGGTAATCCGAAAGATATAGGAACATCCGCATCAGCGACAGACTCCCACTCAGACTTGTCACTCTCAGTATTGAACGCACTATCGGAATATTTGCTCTTTGTCCAGCTCCTGCTACTCCTAAAATGAGGACTTCACAGCTCACGGTACTTCCCATCTTGGGTCTTTTGCCTGCATCTACCTTCGCAGACTTTGTCATTGGAAAATACTCTGGTCAACAGCTTGGTGGTACTTTTCAGACACCAGGACAGCTAGGAGTGACAGGGACGTGGATTAGTACAAGTAAGTCTGATCGCTATCACCGGCCCAACACATAACGACACGGACGCCCATCTTACCACTTAGAGCCATCGTCACTAACCGCCTCTTTTCCACAGATATCCCCGGCCAAGATTCCGGCTTCACAACCTCCGACTTCTGCGACGCAGGCACTTCGGCGGACGCCAGCGTCGACGAATGGAAGGACTGGACCAACAATGACTTCTGCGACCTAGAAGTGCCAGGGTGCCCCTCCACTATGCGCATCGTCAAGTCCGCGGGTTCGTTTTCTGGGGACTGCGGTGCCGAGGTGAATAACGCGGACTATACAGGCGACTATGGTGTCCTAATCGATACGGTTACGAGCCCCAATGCGGCGATTGGAAACTGTTACTACGCGGGCGGGGATCTGTATGAGAATTGCGCTAGTACAGGAAGTGTTTACTACAACGCGCTTGTCGTTTGTCTTACGGGGGTTTGTGGAGGGGTGTTGGAGAGTGAATTCAACCCTTAAGTTCAACTGGGGTTAGAATGATTGCCCAAGTCCATCTCAAAGTGGCTGCAATCAAATCTCCAATATAAAAGCGCGGGCAAAGAAAGACAGATGGAGATTTGAGGGTTTATGAGTGGGGGCGAGAATCAAAGACGAGAGCGGCGGCTTGGTACATGGTAGCCGAGATGTAGCACCACAAACCCTTAAAAATGTTTGCCATTATAATCAGGAATCCATCAGGATAGATTTCTTGGATTGCCCAAGTGAACTGGCGGCATCGGCTAGCAAAAAACGCTCCGATCTGTGAAGATTTCAATACAGCGATGAGCCTCTCTCCACACATTTCTGATGTGTCTATCTAGATATGACCTAGCCGTATCATCGCCAGCATCTAATTCATCTCATCGTATGAGCTTATCCGATATGTGTTCAACGATGTAGATTGTATTTCACTCGTGCTTGGCCAAATAGTGAGTCAACGATGATATGTAAGCCGCTGCCACCGTAGGTAGACATACGCCATCTGACCGTATTATCTCGTGAAGGGTATTTCTGACTGCGCGAATCGCAATGTGTGCATGGTTAGACTCAATCGGGTTAATAATTGTACGTTGAAATCGTTTCATTGCCTTACCTGGGTCTTGGTTCAGTCAAAACCTTCCTTCTCCAGCGTAGCCAGGAGGCTCTTATAGTACTTCGAGTTAGTTCGCACAAAGCTCATGACGCATCGGGTTATGTTATTCTGAAGTATCTCGGATCTACGTGGACATCGACTGCAGTCCTCCACTACGGATAACCCACCGAAAATCTACAGAGTATCGCGGCAGCCGCGCATTTGACCTCTAATAAACCTATGAAGATCTTTACAGGTTTTATTCTGCATGGCCGAGCACAAGTCTGCCGAGCAGGTGTATTGGGGGAGAAGACGAAGTTTAGTAACTGGTTGACAACGATATGTCTGTTCGTTTGCTCGACTTCGCAGACATGGCCTTGTGTAGCGACAGTGTGTCAGCTTCAACGGGGGTAGTTCAGCTAAAGTGTTGAGTATAGTCGAGCGAGTGTGAGTGACACACCTGCCGGAACGATAACTTTGCGAAGTTTTCCTCAAATTCCAGGGGATATAGCCACCAGATCGCGCGAGTTGCATGACCGCAGCCGAAATAGTATGGCAATCGTTTCTGTGTGAAAAACAGTCGTCGATACCGTTCAATCTGCTGAATTCCGCAGCATGCGACCAACCTTGGAAGTCTCAGGTATTGCGCCGTGCCAATCGACTTCGGCGCTTCATCTCGGTAAGTAGTACGACAATGACATCATCAGGTGCTCTAGAGTCCTTGAAGTATCCACCAGAAGGCGCCAAACTTCGATTTCTTTTTTCTATGCACTGCCAATGGTCGTAGACAGACGTGCGTAATCATGGAGAGATGTCAACGGCTTCTGCAACGGTCAGAATAAAGCCACGATTAGACTCTATTAAAGCGGGGCGCACGCCACCTACGCCTCCACAGCCACGGCCCGAGCCACGTTTTTGCTGCCACAGATCCTCTCACGTACCACTATGTGATCTCATCCAGTAACTTGTGGCTTGCCCATCGTGTAGTACATCGTCAATGCTCGACGGAGGATTAATCACGTCCGATGATTAGACAGTCGCATGAATTTGTTCTATGGAAATGGCGTTCTCGAGAAGGCAGAGCGCGCAAACATTCTTCGTGCCGGTGATGGCGGTGTCAGGAAGGCCACCGATAGCATATCGTGTTTGAGAGGCGGCATGTCGGGGCTGGTCCGTTTCACCACTGGGAAAAAGTCTTGCCCGCTCAGCGTCGCGCCCAAGATTTCGCCTCAACAATGTCAAAGGATTGATTCATGCATGCCCTCTCATTTCGGTGTGCTGTTTGCCTCCTGACGTTGTTGCGCCGGGCGGGTCGTGTCTCTCAGGCTATCGACGTTCGCTGTACAGTCCATAGCCTGTTCGAGAACAGAAGAGATACGCGTCCTCATCTCTAGAGTCGTTGTCGACGGGGTGGTGTGGACCCTTCGAGTCAGTGGGTTGCACTACAGCCTTGTTGTCAAAGTCGCATACACAAGCTTTCCCGCCCCTTGGTTTGCACGCCAAGCAATCGGCTTACGACACACCCGCATCCTTCTCTCCACTATCCTCCTGGCCGGTGCCTCAGCTGCGCTACTAAATCTTCGCTTTACCTGATTGAAACTACGCCCGGGCCTATGTGTGGAGCGAAATCGCGTTTTGACGGCAGGAACAACGCCCAAAAGCGCGCGCATTGTTAGGCGGCTCGATGTCACCGACTGCCTCACACTCATGCATACTCATAGAACTAATACACTAAAGAGGTGACGACGTTGATCGCAACCAGAAGCGCTCTTGCTCCTTGTACTCGAGTAGTGACACTGAATCGTTGTTTCCACCACTCAAACACCATGCTGTCGCGCCAGGATACGTCTGGAGTGGAGAAAAAACAAGTCTGCCAGTCGTGCTATCTTGTGCTCCAATTACTAATCTCAGTGTACGTTAGAGACATGGCGTCTGGTAAAAGTCACTGCTATATTCTTTGGTAGTGTGAAGAAGCTCTACCGACTTGACAGATGTAACCGCAACCTTCTTAGATGTCAAAAAATGTTAAACACTTTGACATGCTATAGAACACGATTAGCGTACACAACTCTCAATGCTAGGCGCACTCACACTTCTGAACTGACTTCGCGATTGGAGGAAATTCAAGTCCACTCTTTGAAACGCTTCTTTCTTGGCACAATAAGGCGAAACAGGCACAAACCGCGAGGATCACGATAGGCGAAGCCTAGGACTACCCCAGTGTGTCGTGTTTCGAACAAATGAGCATAATCGCCAAGACCAAGACCAAGAAATGTCCGACGGCATGGGGATCGACCCTCGTCTTTCCCATCTTGGTGGCAAACCATAGTTTCATGCATCCGCGAGGCTGGATGGGACCATGTGGGTTCACTCTATTTGCGATCTCGCCAGACTTGCATGGTGCATGTTTCCGTGGTTCACCCGTTGGCAGGCATCCAGAAGACGTCGGGTATGGGGGTCTGCGTATTGTATAAGAGGGAGTGGAAGACGCACCCAGAAGACAGCACTCAACATCGAGCCAACAGTTCTTCACAGTCCTTCATCTTTCCAATCTTTTCACAATCTTTTGCTTGAAGCATCACATTCGCTAGTCGAACCTAACGTCACTCTCTTCATTCAACAACTATCCAGCTTTTTCAGCCCCAAATATTCCAACCATCAACATGAAGGCCTCCGTCGCTGCTTCCATCATCGCTTTCGCCGTTGCCGTCTCGGCCGGCCCAGCCAAGTCCGCTCCCATGAACTTCTTCAGCATGTCCAAGCGTGCTAGCCTTCCCATCCCAGCCTCTAAGGGTACTGAGACTCTTAAGGAGGCCCAGGAGATCACTGGTGTCTTCGACGGTGGCCTCAAGACCTACGGTCGTGGCGTCTCCTGCACTGGTCAGGCTGAGGGTGGCGACTCCGATGCCGTCTTCATCCTTAAGGATGGTGCTACACTCAAGAACGCCATCATTGGTATGTCAATCGGTCGCTGAACATACAATCCATCCACTAACATCCCTCAGGCGAGGACCAGATCGAGGGAGTTCACTGCGAGGGCAGCTGCACCATTGAGAACGTCTGGTGGGTTGCTGTCTGCGAGGATGCTCTTTCCCTCAAGAAGGACGGTGACGCAACTGGTGAGAACTACTCAAACACATCTTCTCTGAGCCGTGCTGACATCCTTTAGTCACTGGTGGTGGTGCTACCGGAGCTGAAGACAAGGTCATCCAGCACAACGGCGCTGGTACCGTCACTATTGATGGCTTCACCGTCGACGACTTCGGCAAGCTGTACAGGTCTTGCGGTAACTGCAAGCAGTCCGCTGAGCGCCATGTCATCATGAAGAATGTCAAGGCGTCCAACGGCAAGCTCCTTGCTGGCATCAACCCCAACTTTGGTGATTCTGCCACCATCGACGACAGCAACTGCGCCAGCTCCGTCAAGACCATCTGCGAGGAGTTCAAGGGTGTTGCCTCTGGCAGCGAGCCCGAATCCGTCTCCACCGGTCCCTCCGACGCTTGCATTTACAAGGAACCCCTCGCCTCTTGCTAAGCGGCTTCACCAATAACACAGATATACTCGGAGGTCGAATTGGTGGATGTTGAGGCTGTCACTGGATAGCAGTGATGTGGTGCATTTGTAGCGCTGGTAGCATAGCCTGGTGCATTCACTTCTTTCTTGTACATACTCAAAAATCGAGAACATTTGTCTCTGCATACTCTGGTTGGTTTATTGTGCTGGGGATTGTTGTGTAAAAAGATGGCAGAGTCCACGCATTGACAAAGCGGGATCACTGATGACGCGGTACAAAACCATCTATACATGTCTGCAACGATGAGTCTAGGTTGTCGTTCACCCTGAAGGAACTCACGATACCGTACGATTACGGACTACCAAGATTCAACTCAACAAATACCTCTATCTAGAGTAAAAGATACACCCATCAAGATGGATCACTTTGTAGGCGTTTCACGCGGCACATACATCATTCTAGAGAATAACCCTCAAGTAGGATTGCCAAATGGTCCAACTTATTCCTCCTGCTCACCAAAATCACTCTCCTCTAGTCTGACCCCGCTCAAGACCTTGCCCATGTGTGTCTTCTCCACACCCTCTCCCTCACGGCGAATCTTCATGAGTAGAGCTCGTAAGAAGGGTACAGGAGACTGTTTCAGTCCCCAGATACCAGCTGGCGGGTCGATGAAGCCATCAGCATAGACTTGTTGGCCATCTTCTGCCCTTCCTTTCAGTAGACCAAGATGATCGCATAGCTCTTGATACTCAACGATGGAGCGAAGATAGAGACTGCCAGCGAAAAGATTCAGCTGTGTCGTCAAGCTGCGCGAGACTGAGCCAGGTGAGAATGTACGGCCAACGTTATAAAGCATGAGTTGGTCGATCGACGGGTAGCTAGCGTTGGAGCGCG